TTCATTGCCGAGCATTGCTCGATTTGTATCTATCACCGTGGATGCCTGAGCGGTCAGATACCCTGTCTTTTACCTAGTAGGTCTAGGTGTAGCGTAGACCACTCTAGGAATAGCATCTCGGCATTTGTGTGAGTTTCGCATTGACGTCTGATGCTTCGCGTGACCTCTTGCGGTGTCTGTGGTTGGTCGGAATTGGTCGAAATTGAACCTGTTGAGCACTGCCTTCCGAAAGGAAGACAGGCTGACGTGTCTTGATAGCTCCGGATAGTGCTCTGGGAGCTCAGATTGATGGCACAGTTCATGCAAGTGAGATCCTTGGGGCCGTCGTGCCGTGGCGGATAGTTTTTCTAAGATGAGGCTCTCGTAGTGACCGTTGCGACGGTTAGCGTTGGATCCGATCGGGTCATTGACCCTGATCAAATGCCTTGGACCCCTGCATTTCTATCTATGTAGGTTTGGCCCCCTCGTATTCATAGGCCGGGGTGACCGGGGGTGACGGGTGATGGCCCCGGGTGATTACAGTAGATTGGGTGATCAGACTGGGTGATAGGTGATGACTGATGACTGATGACTGATGACTGATGACTGAGCTGGGGTTAAGTCGATCATGTCGCTTCTTCGAAGTACATCAGCGCTTAAAGTGTAGGAAGTTAAGTGACAGGGCACTGTGAATCGATTTAGGGGAAGAGATATGCGAGGCTGCGCCTCGCTCTAGTCGCAAAGTAGTAAGAGGGGAACGCTCAGACGCTAAGCATCTCCACGTGTGCCCACGTGGGACATGGATGTAAAAAGAAGAATGGAATCACCATGGAAGCCCAAGATTATTGTCTTTTTTTTTTACTTTCTTCGAGTTATTACTTACGCAATGTCCTAAATGCCAAGTTTGTAGTTTCAGAATCAAAGGGAGACCCAAAAGGGGTTAGCGTGGGTATCGAAACACCGATGCAGTTCGACATCGTAGCGTATGTACAGGCTGGGGGATCCGAGGGAAGCGTTGTCCTCGCCCCACTGCCGATCGAGTGGATACGGGTAGGGGTACGGCCACTCCGTACACTTGTACTATATAATTGGCATTTATTAGAGTCTTAGACAAAATTATGTATGAATGTAAAAATATGAGAATCTAAGAATCTCAAAATATGAATATATGAACAACCTTGATATGGAGAGATAGAGTAGACTATAGAATACTAGACGTAAAACAACATGTGGGTCGCTATTCCAAATCATTTTTTTTCAATACCATACCATGCCAATACATCCACCGATCTTCCCACGTTGTATGCAAACTCACGCGTGGGTTGTGGGTCAATGGATGACAGCCTGTTCTTCACCTTTTCTTTTTTTTTTTTCTTTTTTTTTTTTTTTTTTTTCGCCTTTTCTCCCTCTTTTTTTCCCGTTTCCCCCTGCTCATTTTCCTCCCCTCCTTTTGGGTTTTCCTTTTAGGAATAAAAACAATTTTTGAGCCTTTTTATTCATCTCCCCCCTCCCCCAATTTCCCTAAAATTTCATGTTTTCCATGTTTTTTTTCAGGTTGACCTAACCCACTTTTTCAAAGTCTGGTTCGCCCGACTCAATGCCAACCCAACCTGGGAGCCACTACCGAGAAGATTCTCTCCCTTCACGTACCTCTCCTGATCCTCTACACTTCACTGGGTCTGTTGTCGGCTCTATTTCTCGCAACCGTCGCTCTTTTGCTGCTTTGGCTCAGAAGACTACTGTTGCCCTAGGCCTACAGAACTCATCTTCATTACGCTCTTCGACTTCGTACACTAGTTTGTCGAAACACTCCGCGACCCCTTTGACCCCACCGCTGGACGATACCTACGAGCAATTGACCGGTTCCTCGCGCCCTTGCTCACCGGCTTTGGCCGACTCTACGACCTCACTGAAGCGTCGTTTCACTCTCCAACGTCTTCCCACTCCTCCCCAAGAATCCCGCTCTGATCCGCCGGGCGGTTCCCCCAAGATGCACCAGACATCGTCGCGCTTGTTGCGCATGACCGAAGATGAGCGCCCATTCACCAAGGTAGGTCGTGGCTGTGGAATTGCGAAGCAGGATCCGAATTTGGAGGACAATTGAGCTGATGTGCGCAGGATTTCATGGACTTGTTCTCCACATTGATGGTTAGCTTGAAGTTGGATTCACACCGCGTTCGATTCACCAGATATGACCACACATTTACCTCGGAAGAGGCCATCAACAACTTGGGCTCGCTCAAGTTCTCCCAATCCAACCGCATGCCTGACCCCAAGGACCCCTCCCGCATCGTGACTACCACCACAACCACCACTTTCTCCATGGCCAAGGAAATGGCCCGATCTGTCTGCCAGCGATTTGTCGATGCGCGCTTTATCGAATCCGTCGACGGAAAAGCACTCCCGATCTTCCCTCTCAAGGGTGCTCTCTTCCAGCTCACACCAAAGGGAATCAACATCCTGCAGCGGTTCTGCCAGCGGAACGGTATCACCGCCCGGCACGTGATGGACGTTTTGGAGTCCCCTCGCAACACCATGCAATTGGTGAACCTGGAGCGCGACACCGAATCCGACAAGCTTTCTCATGACCGCGCGACAATTGAGGTCATTTTCCGCCGCTTTGCTGGTCAGGATGGCCCCAACGTGAAGAGCAGCATTTCTACCTCCGACTCCGATTCTCTTAGCGACTACACCAACGGTCTGGTCGGTGTCAAGGTGGCCCGGGAACGGAAGCTCCAGGATGGCAAGGTTTACTCCAACACCTTCACGGGAAAGGGAGCGGTGGACTGGTTGATGGACTGTTCGACTACAATTGAGCGCCGCGAAACCTCCTTGATTGCCGAGCTGTTCCTTAAGTACGGCTTGATCACGATGATCCAGGACGACAAATCATTCCCCGACGGTGGAAACAACGCTCACTTCCAGCATTCCAAGTATGCTATTTATGGATTTACCGAGCGTGGACAGCGCGTATGTGGTTGGATTGCCCGTGAGAAGGCCCGGGAAAACGCGACCACCTATGACAGTCGTGGCATGCCCAAGGATTCCAACAACGCCCGCTTAACCCACATCCTCCAAGACCCCGCTCTGCGCCTCCTTTTCCGCGAGTTCCTTCGCTACTCCCTCTGCGAAGAGAATCTTTCTTTTTACCTCGATGTTTCCGAATTCACTTCCAACTACCACAAGGCGGAGAAGGTGGGCACATTCAACAAGGTTGACTCGGTCCGGGAAACCTTGGCTGCTGCTTACGGGTTGTACAACGCCTTCCTGGCCCCTGGCTCTCCATGCGAGCTGAACATTGACCACGCCCTGCGCAACAGCCTGGCCAGTCGCATGACCAAGGCCGTCGGCGATGACGAGTCCATGTTCAAGAGTTTGCAAGAGGTGGTCCACCTCTTCGAACTTGCCCAAACCTCCGTCTTCAAGTTGATGTCCAGTGACTCTGTTCCAAAGTTCCTGCGCGATCCCAAGTACTCCGTCGTTCTACAAGAGCACGATGTCGACATCATGGGTGGCTCGCGCTCATACTCGCCCACACCGGGTGCGCCCGCCATCCCCGAGCGGAGTATGAGTCGGTCAGCCCGCGCCTGACAACCACAGACCACAAGCATTGACCTAGCGCGTAACCCATTCGAAGACGATTCGTACCATTGCGATTCCGACTCCTCATGAGCCTCGGTGCACACAGCAACCGAAACATTCAACACCTGCGGTTTTACAGCATTCGAGCCCCTCGAGGCATATCATTCGAACGTATACCTGCACATACACCTCATGCTTGTGGACCCCCAAACACGGATTTCCCTTTTAGGGGCACATAAAAGTTTCCGGTTGCCCTTGGGACCCGATTTCACCAATCTCGTCACGATCGCTTCCACGAAGTTCCTTACCTCTCCGCATGCAGTCCAGCATGCCCAGTCTATTCTGATGAGTAGAAGACTGTTGTCACTGGCTGCCATTATCTCCATTTCCTTTTTTTTTGTCCTTTCCTTTAATCCCACTCGTCACGAGATTCCCCCACTCCGAACGAAAGACGTTATGATCGATGGCTCATGTTATAGAGAAGGCCGGAACTGGAAAATTATTTGTAATATTCGCATGGCATTGCTTTTTCTTTTCCCTTTTCCTTTTCCTTTTTCTCACCTTTTCTTTCCTCTCATCTCACCCTTTGGCTAGTTCATTTACCCGAACTGGTCTGCAAGGTCTGCAACGGGGGTGTATTGAGAAGAGAACCAGAAGAAGAAACATCAAGAAAACATTCAAAAACAAACATGAAAGATGGGAGGCTACTTCTTTTTCAAACCTATTGAGCATCAGATTCGGCGTTTTCTTGCATGTCGTTTTTTCCGTTCCTTTCCATCTTACTTCTATCATCCTCTTTTGCATTTCTTTTCTTTGTCTCTTCTTTTGAGCATTTCATATGATTTCACTTCTTTCTTTCCTCATTTTCTTCTTATTTCTACCTTTTTCCATTTTCATTGTTTTCCTGTTTATTTTTGTTTTCTTTTGTTTTCTTCCTTTCGAGTACCCTGCATTCTTCTCTGGGCACAGCGAGTGAGTTCTGGTCTGTTTGTGTATGTCATATTATTATCTTCATTTCCAATGGAAATGGCACTGGACACGACAATTTTGTTCTTTCATTGTAGTATCGTAGTGTAGAGCAATCTGTCTGAGATGCGTGTAAATGATGGCAGGTATATGAGGTAATATACAGTAACTCAGTTGATGTTTCTGTCATCGGCTTGAGATGACGCTATCAAATAGTCCCAGGGTAGCTTGTCCTTTTCACATTCACGTTCACGTTCATAATAGCTTATACGTTGTCCAATGCTTCGATTGTAACCGTCTCATACATAGACAGGCAAGCATAGGATCTATACGGTAGTACCAAGCCACCCATGTATTGTACCACAGACAATGAAAAAGAGGGAGGGACCTCATATTGAAACAATACAATACAAATAGACAAGACCAAGTCAATGCAAATGCAAAGGTAAATTCAGATGGCAAATCTACTTAATCTACTCACGCCACCACTGTCCCAAAGCACCACCCGAACCAGCCATCTCAATAACCTCCTCGAAGCTAATTTCCACACGGAACATCTGCCCGTCAGCAGTACCATTTCCACTCCCAACAGGAGTAACAAGACCCCAACTAAGCAACTTCTCCCAAGACTCCCTTGCAACGTCCCGTCCCCAGACACGGCCAGGCGTAGCAGCCGCACCGCCAACAGAAGCATTCGTCTTCGCGGACGTCAACAAGCGCACGTATTCCGCGTACGCCGCTGGGAAGGATAGTGCTAGTGGTGTCATACTCTGGGAGCCGTCGTTTCCTGGGTCGAAGAGGGCTGCTAGGCGGGTTGCTGCTACTAACAGGGCTAGGGGGAGGGAGGAGGGGCTTGATGATGTTATGGATGTTGAGAAGGGGAGGGGTGCTGGGTCTGGGCAGGAGAGGGTTTGGGAGGTGAAGGATTTGGGGGTTGGGATTTGGGGGGTTGTTTGGGGGTCTGGGGTTGAGACACTTTGGAGAAGGTCGGTTATTGGGAGGAGGGCGCTTGTGAAGAATTCTTTGGTGAATTTTGTTTGGTTGTAGATTCGTCGTAGGTGAAATTGGAGGTCTTTGTCGTTCCACATGTGCTAATGAGAGGGTGCTTGTTAGTATATTGCTGTGATCGTAGGGGATACTAGATAGTTAAGTTACCTTGAGAAATTCCTTCCATCCCTCGAGCAGCGTTTTCCATTTGTCTGACTCGACCAGGGAGCGTTCGGTGCCGAGTTCATCTGCGATATCTGTCATCTCGCTCTCATTCAGATCTAGACTTCCTAGACAGGCATCCGAGAAGATCTCAAAGGATCGAGGGAGCGGGACGTAGACGTATCGATGACTGAAACGACTCTTGACACGTTTCTCAAGCATCTCGGTTACGTCGACCTTGGTTGTAAGGCCAATCACGGCAATTGGCGCCTTGCGCGCCTGGGCAATATCAAACAGGTTGTACAATAGAGTCTGTCGTGGATGGGTAACGAAAAGATCGAACTCGTCCAACAGGATCACAATCGATTTCGCAGCAGTTGCACCTCCACTCCCTGAAGCTCCGAACAGCTCTTCGGGGTGCGATAGCATAGCCAACAGCGTTGCCATGGTATCCGCATAAGAGCTGACCTTGGCCGCATCGTCTTCGGTATGAGTCTCACGGCCCAGCTGGCGCCACATCTCTCGTAAAGCCAGACGGTCATCCGTGTGCAAGAAGCCATTAAGACGGACGACGTGGAAATCGTTTCTGTGCTCCTTGGCGAGAGATGAGATGATCGATTCCACAATCGCTGTCTTGCCGCATCCTCTAGATCCAAGAAGAAGCATCGAGTTACCCTCACCCACTGAGACAGTTGACTCAACTAGTTGATGGACTTTCTGGTATTCAGGCTCTAGTCCCCGTAGAGGAACCTGTCGTTTTCCAGACAGCTTTTCAAGTAGAATGGTAGCAAGAATGCGCACTTCATCCCCGAGACCGTTCCGACAGAGAGCTTGGAATTTCTCTGCATATTCCGGCAAAGGCTCGGAGACCTCAACAGCCTCCTGCGTCCCGGGTTGGAGCTCGTGGAGATCTTGTTGAAGCTGCATCGCCACAAGATCATCAAGACCATCCGGGTATTCCGGCGAAGGCGACTTTTCTTTCGGCTCGTCGGACACCTTTTTGCTAGCTCTAGGCCTCGCAGTGCTTCTCCTTGATCTGCTTCTTGTCATAGAGCGAGCAGTAAATTCCGGAGATGGCTCGTCAACTTCCATTTCAGCGTCATCCTCATCGTCCTCTTCATCCTTGAAATCGTCGTCTTCTTCTTCAACCTCTTCCTCCTCATCATCGTCCTCGTCTACCACAGGGGATTGTTTCGGCTTTTGCGCGCTTCGGGCCGGACGACCACTTCTCGGCGTAATTGCCGATTTGCGCCTCGAAGAGGATGTAGTGGCTTCTTGTTCGAATCTCTTTGGCGTTTTGCGCTGGCGTCCGCTTGTCCGTGTTCCAGCTCGTGCGGGCGTCTGCACCTCCTGTTCCTCGTTCTCGGCATAGGTAGATCGACGCCGGGATGCTTTATTAGGTGTGGGAGATGCTCTGTCGTTATCCGGAGATGATGGAACAGCGAAGACATCTTCATCTTCGGTTCCCATCTCAATGTCTCCATCCTCGTCCTGGGAGACTCTTCTCCGCTTCGATGCCCGGGGGTCCTTCATAGCTGCGGTTGGGAAGGCGACTCGTTTCTAAATACGGTTGGAGGACAGGTGAACTGAAAGGATATTATATCGAGGTAATCACACGGGATTTTGGTATGCGATTGCTGTAATAATTGAGGTCAGAAATTGAATCAACATTGTCTACCGGCTAGCTGCGACCAGTGAAGGAGTTCGCCCGAGCGCATTGACTTACATTTTGCAATTTGCCGAGAATCAGTGGCACATCTCTAAGCGAGTGCCAACAAGGGCAGCTTTTTCCGGTTCAGTGGGAGTACTGATCGTAGTTGAGAGTCGGAGGACAACAATTGCGGCCAAATTCTCGCCTCAGGCCGAGACGCGTGACGCGAAATCACCTGAGGTGCCGCAAGGAGCTCTCCCTGTGTCTAAAGTTGTGTATAGGGAAAATCTCTATCATTTTTATAATCAAATCCAGAGACTCTTGTCAGATCAATGAGACTAAGATACTGCTGACTATTGCATAACCTACACAACTTGCCAACATGAATTATAACAACCAAACGAACAAACGAAACGTGGAACTACTATTGACTACCGACTACACCATAATGTTAGGTGATGGAAAATCGGGCTCCAAAGTCCCAAACCGCGCGGCATTTATTTCCCTTATCTCTTTGTTCCTTGTCTACGCCGCTCCTGGCATATAAATAGTCTCCCCTCCCGAACCTTCATGTTTCCAACGAATTGTTCCTCCTGATTGCGCAGCAATTACAACAAAAAGATCCCAACGTGCTAATAAGTTATCAATCGCTTCTATCATCTGCTAAAGCACCTGCTGTATCGATATAGCCTTTGCCATGAGAACGGAGATGATATTTTTCGAGCAGCTAAGTTGGGATCCGTCCCTGCGGTAGCTCAGTTCATCAGATGGATACCGTCTGAAACGCCAACCTGAAAATAGGTGAGGTATGTGCACTCCGGAGGCGTTGAAGCAGGCTCCTATGAGGCGCCAAACAGGAGCTTTGCTCTACTTAGGCTGAGCATATATCGGTGAGGGGAACTGCCTCTCATGTTATAAGATTATATGCGGGCCTATGCTGAATGTACCTTTCAATTCTGCTCCACAATTTTATGAGGCATAGTTTCATTCTTCAGACAGGTACCACTAGAGAATAAGCTTATTTATCCAGTAAAAGTATTCTTAAATGTATCTAGGCGTATACTAAAGAGCAGGATGTAGTTCACCCCGACAGTTGGAGACGCGTCACCTGACAGTTGGATTTCTTGGCACCACGTGACTGTAATAAACCTTTACAGACTGATACTCGCTAGAATTTGTCGTATTTTACGCTAGTGGCCCACAAAAAAGTGGCAATATTTAAACCAGTCCATTTTAATATATTACTTTTGTATTAGAATATTTCTCTACCATGGCTGAGGAAAGCATTATTCGAGATCAGATCGTGATATCTGATGAAGAACAAGTAAGTTTCGTATAAGATTACACCTTGTTAATGCATTAACAATGTATAAGGAAAACGACGGAAATTTCCTACTGAACTTGACCCATACAAAATGCCACCCGCTACGAACTCGGTTTATTCGATATACAATAGCTTTACCAGAGTATCCTATATCAGATCCTGATGGCTTTACCTACATAGTCGCAGTTCCGGGTCAAGAGCAGAGTGCGGTTGCTAACGCGATCTCAAGCGTAAGTGAACAAGGCACGCTATTAATAATGATTTATTAATATATTTCAGGTTCAATATGCGATGCGGCTGAATTATCGAGAACGGCCTATGAATAGTGAGACTATCTTTGGTAGTGTACCACTACTACATACCTCTGCTTATTGCACTGGAGTGAAGCTCTGTCAATACGCCGATCCGGCGCTTAAAGATATGAAGCATACGTCTATATCAAAGACGCAGTGGGATGAAATTGAAGCTATTCGAGAGGGTATTCCTTTAGCTGAAACAGAGCAAGTGAAGCGAAGGACATATATGTAAGTGGCTATAATACCTTATTAAGGAATTTTAATCGTGGAGTAAGGAAATACCTTATAGCAGTCAAGCTTTTTCGGGATCGGAGGTCATGCGGCGTGTCCTGGAAGGATACATGTAAACCAACGCTAGAATGGGGGAGTTACTTGGTAAGTAAGGCACTATGGCTTATGTATTATCTAAGTTTTATTAATGTATTGTTTTAGGAACCTTCCGGAGTTCTCGCTGCCTATATTAGATGCGTGAATACAGGGGACGCACTCCATACTCATTTTACACAAAAAGTCATCGATAACCATAGATTCGACATGGTATTACTCGAATGGCTATTTCGTGATATCGCCTCTATTGAGCATGAGTTTTGCGGCAATATTGAGGCTAATAAAGGCCGCGCACAATTCTGCCGTAAGGAATAATACATTATCAGCCTATTCCTAATGTATTATTGCTAATACTTTAAAGTCACAAACCATCTTCAAGGGCGCGGGAAGCTTCAAATCATAGGATGCAAGGTACAATACCATTGGCTAGTGCCAGTCAACCTCACAACAACCCCTTTCTACGCCTTTTTATCGATAGGTATCCATTCGCATCCTCCTCCACCTCCAGCAAAGCCTCCACAGGCAATTCTCCTAGATCTGATCAAGGTTATTAGGAGTATGGAAATTAGGAACCTCACTCCGGGTACGGCTATTTTTAATACCGTCTTAATATATTATCTCTGCTAATATCTATCAAGTTGCTTTTCTTATGTCACCTGAGCTTAAGGCGTTTTGTGCGCAGTTTAATGCGCTCTCTCTTAACGAAATTCATGGAAGTCTAGGAAATATGGGCCGGATTGCTGCTATTATTCAGAAGGAGCGTCTCCTAGCCTACCCACAGGGTCAAGGAAAAAATGGGCTTCTTTTTCAATGGCAAATAAACCAGGGCAACATCAGGGTAAACAGAGCCCGGTATATTATGAATACATAACTAATATATTATTTGGAATACATTGTTGAGATTACCGATACCCTTATCATCTGTCAGACTAGAGAGCAAGCCGAGATCATGCAACGTTCCGAGAGTTTTGAGGTCGATATGTCCTATAAGAGGGTTAAGGATTCTAAGACCCAAGAGGTTGTCTTCGCTAAATTTGTGGAAAAGCAAAATCGAAGTAAGTGAGAGAGCCCAGCTATTATTAATATATTCTTAATGTTTGGTTATAGTCATTACTCTTGCTCGCGTTTTTACCTCAGGCAAATCAGATGAAGAGGCTTATGCGTTGATATTTAGTAGGGTATCAGCCTCTACACAGCGTTATACTGGTCGGCCCTTACGCTTCTTCCCAATTCATGGGTCTGGGATCCAGGCTGTTGTGATGGATATGGACTTAGGACAGTGGAATGGTAAGTAATAACTTCAGCTATTGTAGATATATCATTAATGCATTATAGGTCTCGCACGTTATCTCGATTCAATCTCCGATCTTAATATCCCAAAGGAGGAACTAGCTATGTCTCTAGTTATCTTCTGCCAGATACACTTCAAACGAGGAATTAGAGAGTGTCTACGTGGGGTGAAATATCGCCATAGAGCGAAAGAAAGGATGATGTCTATACTCGATACGCCAACGAAAGAGGACTACCAGGTAGCGCTTCGTATAATTATTGGTATGTCGCTTCTAGCTATTAATATAGCAATATTAATACATTACTCAGAGTCAGAACCTTCCGTCAAGATTCAAGAGTGGGCGAAGCACAAAATGAGAGACAATATTGCATCAGGCCTTCATCGGGGTAGTACTAAGGTCCCATGGCTAGTCTTTGATCAGACTCGGCATAATACGAACGCAGTTGAACAGAGCCACTTTAAGGTCAACAATCGGGGCCGTCAGCTTACGCTTATACAAGCGATTGATAAGTGTGTTGTCTAATACATTCTTAATATATAGCTAATATATTCTTAGTGGAAGAGCAGTTGATCGAAAGGATATGGAAGAGTTTCAGTCCTTTGAAAAGAAGCGCTTACGGCCACACTACCGTGCGAACACGACTAGTGAGGCTATGTATAGTCATATGGCGAGATGTAAGCGTCTAAACTATTTTAAATATATATCTAATATATCATTACTAGGTGCCGACCGCCAACAGGAGGAATTTCACGATCCAAACAAAGCGCCCTCCGAAAACTCGATATCTATGTCCTTTTCTACGACAGGAGTTCCAGTTCAAACTCGTCTAGTAAAAAGGCTAAAAGTATCACGAAAAAAGCAAGAGTAAGTACGCGGGATTATATATACTTAATAATGCATTATTAATCTGCGGTAGCGAAACGACCCGGCCGGATATATCGGGAATCGAAGACCTTCAAAAGGAAGAAGAGGCGGAGGATATAAGGGCAAGAGTGCTAGAAAAGCGTCTTGCAAATAAGAAGAGAGAGTTAGAACTAGAAAAACTAAATTGAAATACTAGTTATATCTTTATATATATATATCTCTTACCTATACATTAATCTTTATATATATATATCTCTTACCTATACATTAATCTTACATTTTATATATTGGTGTGGCTAACATATATGATATATAATTTATATTAGCTATATTATGTATAGTTAGACCACTACCAATACAACTAGCATTTATTTTATTACTGCGAGGTATTGCCCTTCTTATATTTTCCGAGTTAATATATTATTAATAGTCCGCTTATGCACCTTTTGTCCTAGTAAAGATTCTTATAGTATATTAATAATAGTAAGAGTATGTATTAGCTATTGAGTTCAGCTAGTAACTCGGATATCAAAACTCCACGAATTCAAAGAAAAAGCACCCGTATCTATCGTCAAAACATAATAGTCATATCAGAAAGCGGTAGTAGTAGTTTTACTCCGGGCGGTCGAAAGACTCTTCAACGTCGTAGTAGCGGTCAAGGTACTCGCAGACGAAAGGGGTGGCACAGCATTCTGTTTTAATGCATTAGTAAAGTATTAATAAGAGTATAGGTCGAACTCACTAGCATTAGCTTGCTCGCAGGACTCGCAAGGGAACTGGGTCACATGCTTGGTCCGAAGAAAATCCTTGATCTCTTTGATACCGATCTGGGATAATGCATTAATAATGTCCGGAGAATGTATTGTCATCATATTAACTCACATTGCCAGCCTTCGTAAAAGGCACGGCCATCTTCTTCGGAGGGGCAAAGAGCGATTTATACCACGCGATCGAGGCATTTTTGTCCTCGACACTAGGGGCACCTTTGGCGCGGCCGGGGAGGGTGAGGTCTTTATGGGCCTTTATGTGGACACGCAGGTTGCCAGTGTGGGAGAACTGCTTCTGTAATGCATTATTAATACTTTTCCAATAGCTGATGCCTTCATCACTCACTGTTTGGGAGGAGCAGTCGGGGACGCGGCAGAAAACCTCGCCAATATGCATGACAATATGGCCATTGTCATCCTGTAATGTATTAGCCATGGTATAATAATGCATTATTCATGCGATAGAACCGACTCACGGTCTCGTAGGGAGGCAGGGGGGGGTCGCCAGCCATGGCACGCGCAACGTAACGGTCGAAAAACTCCTTCTTAACGCTTGCCATAATGCTCAGCTATTAAGAATCGATGAAAATATGATGGAAATTTGATGAAATCGAAGAAAAATTGATCCAGTGAAGGCGGTCGGGAACCTCAGTGGAGATGGGGTGGATGAAAAGGGAAAGATTGTAATGGCCGTGTAATGCCAAGATATGGACCCACTTTAGTAGCCAATCATAATCGATTACTAATCACAGAGCTGACAGTTCAAAACACGCTAGTGGGTCACATGACCTTCCAACTGTCAGCTGACGCGTCTCCAACTGTCTGCCTGACAGTTGGCCTCACTAAAGAGATATTCTTGCCCTAGTCTTGTATAAGTAGTAATACCACGGCGCGACAGGGGGCGGGGGGCTCAGGTGCCCCGAGATTAGGGGGTGCATACACCTAGAGCGGCCATCTCTTGGCTAAACCCGAATATCAAATATAATACGACAAATTCTATAGCTGGTATTGTAGATAAGGGCTTAGTTGAAGGAGTTGTACAATTACAATACCTACTTTATCATTTGAAACCGTCAGAAATAGATCATCTAATACAAAACTGTCGAGAAAATTGATAGGCAAAAAGTTACATAGAGCACTCGGGTTCCTCATATTACACTCCGGACAATACGAGGTTGTGGTCGGCATCAGCCCAGCCGAGGTCCAACCCATCCGAGCCTGTGGGGAACTCCAACATTTCTCCCTCATCACTTGATACCTAGATACCCATTGCTCTTCACATCACTACATAATGTCAGACCGCGCGATCACTGCTCCGTCGCGGAAATTGGACGAGTTCGAGGAACTCGTCTTCGAGTATACAGGCCGGATGGGTCTGGGGAATGAAGAGGTATGCGCAACACCTACATCAGCATATAAGCTACGAGCTATTTACGCACGACACACCGTTTCGTCCTACATCAACAAAGACCACCACAAACTATGGTATATGATATAAAGCTAACAAACCCCTAGCACTGGGATGTCGACGCGCGCAACTGTAACCTCCGCTTTGAATCAGCAAGCCGCGGTCCCCCAGCCACAGTCTCATTCCTATTCACCATCACGCCCGCGCTAAGCAATATGATGGGCAACCTACACGGCGGTTGCGCAGCAACATTAATTGACGTCTTGTCGACGACTATCCTGCTTGGCGTGTCTGAGCCGGGCAAGTTCTCTTTCGGGGGCGTGAGTCGCAATCTGAAGGTTACTTATTTGCGGCCTGTGCCGACGGGGACGGAGGCTCGGATTATTTGTGAGGTTATTCATGTTGGGAAGAGGCTTGCGCTGCTTAGGGCTGAAATTCAGCGGGCTGATAGTGGGGATATTTGTGTTGTTGGGGAGCATGAGAAGGCGAATACTGATCCTGAGGTTACGCAGAGGATTTGATATGATCGCTTTGTTTGTACTATGTTGGTAGGAATGGGGGTTTAGATGGTGTGTTGAATACCATTTTGTATAGATCTTGCATAAGGGAATTTCAGGTGATACTGTTGTAATGCGCTTGTAATTCTTAATTTGATTTGATAGTACTGAAAGAGCGGATAACAAAGGAGACCATTGCACATGTCCAAGAGAAATATAGTCAATCTAAACCCTAGATTATCTGTAGGCCAGTATGTCCCTTACTCGGCAGCCAGTTGCTGATCCTCGCGGAGACCCTCAACCTTGAGCTCCTCACCAGTGGCACGGCGGTACACATCGCGAACATCGTCTGTGGCAAGTTAGCAATGGTCAATGTTAGATATCTGAAGTGATATTCTTACCAGTTGTAGTCTCGAAGTGTGATGTGGAATCGTAAGACTTGGAAATGAAAATGTTGGACTCCTCGCCGCTCTCGGTAGGCTCGTAGAGAGGAATGGGGGGACCCATGAAGGTCTCCTCGATCTTACCCAGGCGATCGAAGCCGGGCTCGAGCTCGATGTGGTGGTTAGCATCGTTCTCGGCGATGGTGGAGACGATGGCGATGTAGTAACCCTTGGGGCAGACGTTGTGTGCGGACGAAACCATGGCAATGTAGATATCTAGAGTCATTAGCTGGGCTCACAAACGGACATAGCATTTTTCTTACCGTGCTTGCGTCCAACCTGGGACTGAGGAATGATCAACTGCAGGGAGTCGCTGCCGTCGGTCTTATCAATGGGGTGGTTCAGGATGCAAATAGCCTTGAGAAGGTATCCAGTAACCTTAGACTTGTTGGGGAAGTAGGAAGGATCGGCGATGATCTTCTTAGTCTTAGTCTCGAACTTCATGGCCTCGGACTGGTCATCGCGGTCCTTCATGGTGGCCTTGATACCGGAGACCTTGCCGTTCTCGTAGAGGACTTCATCGATGTCGGTGTTCAGCATGTAAGTACCGCCGTAAATGGCAGACAGACGGGCGAAACCCTGGGGCAGCTCGCCCAGACCGTAGAGAGGGTAGATGTATGGCGACTTTCCGTAACGCGCCATGGAGTTGACGTAAAGGCGGATACGGTTAATGGTCTCGACAGCAGCGCCGGGCTGGTTGATATATCCATCCGAGGGGTACAAAGCCATAGAGTGACCGATGAAATCGCGGGTGTTATCCTCCAGACTGAACTTGTCGTAAACCTCCTTCATGGTGCAGACGTGGATGTTCAATCCTACTTCGCATTAGCCATCTACTCGTAGCTCGCGACAATTCGAGTACGTACCCTGGTGACTGGCAGAGTCATCCTCCTTGAAATCACCAACCCACTCAAGGAACTTCTTAGCACGTCTCTTCTCGAACATTCCCATGAGAGAAGAGCGCAAAGCTTCACCGGCATCGGAGGGCACCTTGGCCACGGTCGCCTTGGGGCCCTTGCCCTGCTGAACATAGCTGCCAGCGATTTGCTTGAACTCGAGGTAGCGGGTAACGTCGGTGGAAACCAAAATGTTGGTCAGCTCTCCGTTCGACATGAGCAGCTTCGGGACCAAGTCGATGTTCCAGTCGTTGACCCGTCCATATTTCTTCCAGGGCTCCTCGCCGGGGCGAACGTTGCCGTACTTCTTGAACAACTGCAGAACTGGTCAGCAGAGCCTACCGGGGGGAAATCGAGGTACATACTGTCTCAATGTTGACGGAGGCTGCCTCGCTGTGGTCATTGTGAGCTGTTTTGATCTGGGGTGAGCTTTGCCTTCCGAGGTCACCTACCCTCCATAGTGATCATTGCGATCGATGTGAAGAACCTTGCTTCCCTTCACACTGAGGACACTGTAATCCAAAATAATGAGCACAGCCCAACGAACCAGCAAGCTCGGATTACCTACCCAGACAAAACACACTCGGTGAGGCCTGGAAACTGTCAGTTGGAATGGCGGGGTAGCAAGAGTAGCAAAACACAGCAACATACCAGTGCCGAGCACCACCACATCGTACTCTGGGGCGATCTCATCCATGGTGAAATAAAAGTTAACAGTAGGTAGAGGGTTATAGGAGATGTTGAAGAGAAGAAGGTTAAGCTCCCCGCGCAAGCGGTAAAGGGGAACTATTTGGCGGATCCGCCACTAGTGACATCCGACACGCCAGGGTAATAGACGGATCATTGACAATTTAGAACAGCCCCTGAACTTGAACATAGCTTTCAGGGGCAGATCTCATTTATATGATCTTGGAAAGACAATTTGAAACGTAATGGACATGCGCATTTAATTTCCAGCTAATGTTACATACTAAATATGACTCGGTGGAGTCTATATACTCCTACTCTTTGGCCTGGGCCTTGGGTTGCTCTCCAGACATAGGGTGTTCGACCTCCTCGACCTTCTCAACCTTGGGGTTGTTCTCAGTGAAGTTGTCGGGGCGATATCCACTCTCGAACATGCGCTTAGCATCCTCGTAGGCGTACCAACGCTCACGCAGGACGTGCTTCATGTTCTTCATGGTGCTTAGGATCTAGATCAATTTGTCAGTCAGGGTCAATCATATATATTGGTCGATCGCCAATCGGAGGTGTAAACAGGAGAATGTATGGAAATGGCCTCCAGTTTCAAGCGAATAGGGTGTGTAATCTCAAAAGCAGGCGCAAAACTCACCACTGCGTCTCGTTGATCGGATTCGTATTCACCGTAACCAGGCTTCAATCGGATTCGCTCCATATCTGAGGTCATAATACGGTTGCGCTCACGGACACATACATGCCACAGGCCATGAAGGTCTTCCCAGCTTCTTTCGCGGAGCTCTTGAATAGACCAAGAACGACCTGTAGTCCAAATATCAGCACCGTCGATAGACTCCAACCCAATTGTGATACTAACCGAATGAGTGATCATATTCCGGAGTGCTCAATGCCTCGCGGTTGGGAGGAAAGAAGCCCCAAAGTCCGTGGTTGGGTGTTTGTTCCCGTGCAACCATCTTCTCCGGCGACACAGGCTTTGGTAACTCCCATCTTGACACGGCAAATGGAGTTCGGGGACCGGTTCGATGGATAGCTGATACACCGCGGTGTCTGCTCTTGTCGCGTCGAGGATTGCCCGCAACGGAGGCTGTTGAAGAAAAGCTTGAAGACTGGACAGGCGACAGGGTGACGGGGAGATGGAGGGATGGCGCAAGGTAGGGAGGAGGCAATTCGACCCGAGCCAGGCCTCCTAAGCGGCTGGCAATTCGTGGGACCTGCGAATGCATGGTTGTGATGGCTGTCCGGACAGTCGAGATCGGGGACTGTTGGTGATGGCCTTTTTCGGGGCGGCAAGGCAGTCACGTGCTCCGCGGCAATATCACACTCTTCCCCCACGCATGCGACTAACTCATTTGAAAGTCATCGAGTTTCTTGAAAATTCGTTTCTTTAGTCCGTACAGCTTTTCTCAGACAATCCAGAAGTTCGTCTATATCGAAATATACTGTGCGCGGCTGTCCGATAACCAACCTGGGCATTCCTCAGCATCCGCGCGTTTAACTGCCCAATCGATTCGACCAGCGGAGCAGTGCCGCATCAAGCGTGACCAAGAGGCCCTTTGTGGACTGTTCCCCTCCACAGATTCTACCCCGGTGTTTTACTCGACCAATCGTCCTCTGTGGTTATTTCCAAGAGATTTCCAAGGTCTCGTCAACTGCTTCTTGTTGGAGCATCGACTATGAATAGACCAGGTTCGTCATTTTCCTTCAATGCCCTTGAAACCCTTGTCATGCCTTATCTTGTACCTCCGCGGAGTGCATTTGATCGCGGAATATACCTCTAAAATGGGCTTGGATGTGCTTGCTAGTCAGAGCAGGCCTGCGACCCGAGCACCAAGGAGTTTCGTACTCCAATGGCAAGCCTCGCAGCCGGTGCCTTCATTTGCGACCGAGACATTGCTGCAGGGACACGCCGACACATTCTTGCGGTGATGACCCTAGCAAGCGTGTCTCGACGCGAAACGATTGATGATCGCGCTGACTTGCCACGCTTGTGTCAGGACCAGGCCCGCAGCCGCTAAGAGGCATGCCCGGATTCCCTTCGCAACAGCAAGCACATGTTCGAGATGAATCATTGGCTTCTGCGCAGTCATCAAACGGCAAACTTGGTGCGCCTGCCTCTGACCATGCTTTTTGGACACTCATATTCTTGCCTGAGAAAATGCTAATGTCTGAGTGATTAGGCGGCGCAGCGAACTGGAGCTTCAATCTACCCGTCAGCGGATCATCGAGCCTACAGGGCAACCAACAGCGTACAATGGGAACCATGGGGAGCTTCGCACAAAGTCTTGGGGGGTCCCAGTCGGCGGCACCGCTAGATCTTTCGTAAGTGCTGTCAGGCGAGGCCTGTGGGGCTTTCATTCGGTCTCTGCATGGAAGCTAACGAAGCCGTTGGCTTTAGGGAGTTTCCTTCATTATCGGGAACACCACAACAATCTCAGTCGCAGTCACAGACCCCCGGCCAGCTGATGTGGGCTAACGCAAGCCAACGCGCTGCTCAACAAACACCTGTCCAAAGACAACAGCATCCTCCGTCGTCGCAACCTCCCTCTCGTACCTCCCAACCCCAGGGTCTTCCTACGCCTCAGCAGCCACAACAGCCTCACGACGATATGTTTCCTTCAGGTTCACAATTTGCCAATCGGCTGGATGACTTTAGAAATGGTGGCCAAGGCATTAGTAGCCAATTAGGCGCCGGTGGCCAGCCTCAGACAGGCAATATCGAAGAATTCCCTCCTTTGGGTCGGAATGCTGCTGCTGAGCTTCCCCTCGGCCGGACTGGGTCTTTGATGCAGGGTGCGAGTTTCGGAAACTATGGTGCTGGTATGTGAAATTCAAGTCTCAATGGCCCCAGTCATGCATAAGCGCAATCCCGCGGGGGTTCTGCACACTTTGAGGCTAGCAGAAACCTCACGATCTCACTTGCAGCAATGGATCAGCTTACTGATACTGTATCTAGGTCTAGGGGCTTCGCGGTCACCTGTCAGCCAAGTACCTAATGGTATTCTCGGGCAAGAGAAAGAAGTACGGCTTCCGCGGTTCAATTTCGCTTTGAAAATTTACTGATTTTCGAACAGGACATGAACAACAACGTGATGTCGGGACAGCGGAACTTTAGTGACCCACAAACATTACAACCAAGGCCGACAGAAGATGCGGATGGTCAAGAAGTTTCTAGTGCACCCCAGAGCACAGAACAGCCACCACTTGCTCAAATGAGTGAACTCGACAGGTTTGGATTGGCTGGCTTGCTGCGCATGATCCACAGCGAGAGCCCTGATGTTGCAAGTCTCGCCGTTGGCCAAGACCTAATGACATTAGGGCTGGATTTGAACCAGGCCGAGTATGCATGCCTTCTTCTCCGCACTATGCATGTATTCTGACAGTCTTAGACCTTTGCACACTTCGTTCGCTACGCCGTTCGTGTCATCGATGTCAGCAGTCCCTCTGGAACAGGATTTCTCTCTCCCGGCTTGCTACAATGTCGCCAATATTCAACCGCTTCAGTCGCGCATCCCTGGCTTCAGTGATGAGACACTTTTCTACATCTTCTACAGCATGCCTCGGGATATCATGCAGGAGCTGGTAGCTGAAGAACTGATGGGCCGCAAGTGGCGGTACCACAAGCTCGAACGGTGCTGGCTGACCCGCGACGAGACATATCCCGGTCCCGTCGATGTCGAGCGTGGAGTGAGCGAGCGCGGAGTTTATCTTCTCTGGGATCCTGCTAGCTGGAAGAAGATTCGAGTAAGTGTACCTTATTTTTTTGTCTAATCTGGAACATGAGAAATATCAAGCTAACGATTCCGACAGCGTGAGTTCATTTTGCGATATGAAGATTTGGACAACCGGTTGGACCCCAATCGAGGCGTCACCCGCCCAGTTGGCGCAACACATCACGCCTCATGATTTGATGTCGAAGTTGATAAGAGCAAGGTGCGGCGCTCAGAATTCAATCAATCAGCACTGGCGTTTGGTTTGCTGGTTCTCTGTATTATTGCTCAGCGGAGTGGCCGATAGTACATTGTCGTTCGGGAATAGGGCGCGTTGATTCACCGGGGGCTAAATGGGCTTTGTGGGAATCCAGAATACGATCATGTGAAATCAATGGCCTTGATGACCTTGCCAATCCAAGGTGGTAGACCTTCTATCTGTAACGTACACAGTAAAGGTAACCAATGAACTACAAATCATTTGTCTACTGAGGCTTGCGTGCAGTGGAGATAATAGCCGTCCACTTCGTGTCAATATCCTCGTTCTCCCCATACGTGTCCAACACATACTTTTCCATCGCCCGGCGGACTTTGTCGCCATTTTCCTCGCGTTGCTTCTCCGTCCAGAAGGATTGAATGATCATGTTTAACATCATCATTGTGATGTCCGTAAAGCGGGACGACAGCACGGCGATGTTCCTCGATTCTTCCTGAACGTTGATGTCCTCGAGTCCACGGTCCTTGAGTTGGGACTTGATCCAGGGGGCTGAGTTCCATTCGCCATCGCCTGTCATTTTGAGGAATTCTTGGGTCGTCGGGAAGGGCATGTTTCCGGGTATAGTCGCGATTGCTTTGCGTGCGATTGAAAACCAGCCCGCTGTTTTTGTTGTTAGATAGGAACTTTTGGGGTGGTTTGTGAGGCTTAAAACTCACGTTCTATCCAAGTCGAGAATGCAATTGTCCCCCCGGGTTGCACGATTCGAACGGTCTCTAGTAATATACCGTTAGGTTTGCACGCTCTCAAAAGAAAGAAGCCCCGCAGGAAATTACTTACCATCAAGAGCATTGAATGGTTTCGGAATTGCCATGAGAACTAACGACAAGGCCACGTTCAGTTATTTTTGTTATACAGAGGTCTTACAAAGGGAACTTACCAAAGGCAGAAAAGACATGAGTGAAGTGATCACTAGGTAGTCCAGTCTCTTGCGCATTGACAACCTTAGTCTCAGCATTTTGCCAGCCTTCTTCTTTCATACGACGTGCAGTGTATTCAAGTAGCGGCGTCGAGATGTCTCCACAAGTCAATTTCCAGTTCTGTTTTATAGAACTGTCCAGCTGTTCATTTAGTAGACTAGAAATAATGCCAGTGCCACAGGCATTGTCAAGAACAACGAGAGGCTGATCTGGTTTAGCCGTCGCGTCTTCAACCAGTTTGGTCTGATCAATCAGTGATTGACCAAATGGACCAGTCATTGTCTCAGCAAATTTGTACTGGACGGCAAAAGCCTCGCTTTTGAAAAGGGTTTCGGTGTCAACCTTGGGAGACATGTTGGATTGGAAGTATATGTGACTGAACGATAGATTGATATTTAGAAGACGTCGAGTGGTGTGACGACAGAAGAGCATGGGAAATATCTTGGTTAACCTGGGAGCCATGCCATCTTAAATAAGTTTCTAGCCTGGATTTGAAATGTACTTTGCTTGCTTATTGTCATGTGCGTAAGTGGGTAGAAAAGTGCCCGACAATGTCTCCGTGGGTGGAGACTAGTACTGCAAGTATGTTGATAGGTATTGTACCAAGAAGACCGCTGTTATCAACCAAGGCCTTCTAGATGGACCATTTCCTTATTGTAATCCCAAAACCAGATTGCATGATGAGCGAGTTGATATGTGGTTGGCTGCGTGGCATAAGTAACCCTGGTGAAGTGTGTTCTGGTTGGCCGTCAGGCTTGAGTTATAGGGGTGATGGAATCATAAACTTGCTCATTCTCACTCTACCTAAGTAATTCATATCAATCCTGGCAGTGTCGGAGACTTCCTTTGTGAAGTCGCCGAGTTTTATACTTCGCACGTGACGGCCCCGCGCTGACCTCAGCAACAGCGCCAGACCCGAATGGGCAAAGCATAAACAGCTGCTGCGGCAAAACAATCGCGCTCCCCCTCCACTTTCCTCGGTCCCATGCACTCTGCGCAGCAGAAAGCCGTTCCGAAATCATGAGAATTACTGAAATTGTCATAGACGTGAGTCGCATTACACCGCTTACCGTTCGCGCGCTAATTTTTATCAGGGCTTCAAATCGTACGCCGTGCGTACGGTAATCTCGGGATGGTACGCAATTCTCATTCAAGCAAAACAGGACTCACAACATCGATGGGGCGATGGGGCGATGGAGGTGACGGAATTTACTAATCGCGCAATACAGGGACGAATCGTTCAACTCCATCACTGGCCTGAACGGCAGTGGTAAATCCAACATCCTCGATGCCATTTGTTTCGTGCTCGGTATCACCAACATGTCAACCGTCCGCGCACAGAACCTCCAAGATCTCATCTACAAACGCGGTCAAGCCGGTGTCACCAAAGCCAGCGTCACAATCGTTTTCGACAACCGCGACACAGCGAAATCACCGATCGGATTCGAGGAATATGCGAATATCTCGGTCACACGCCAGATTGTGCTGGGCGGAACAAGCAAATATTTAATCAATGGCCACCGCGCGCAACAGCAAACCGTCCAGAATCTGTTCCAGAGTGTTCAGCTGAACATCAACAACCCTAATTTCTTGATTATGCAAGGTCGCATTACAAAGGTCTTGAATATGAAGGCAGTCGAGATTTTGTCGATGATTGAGGAGGCAGCCGGTACACGAATGTTCGAAGATCGCAGGGAAAAGGCCAATCGGACAATGGGAAAGAAGGAGCTGAAGCTGCGCGAGATCGAGGAATTGCTGAAAGAAGAAATCGAGCCTAAGCTTGAGAAGCTCAGGTCAGAGAAGCGAGCTTTCCTTGACTTCCAACAAACGCAAAACGATCTCGAGCGTTTGACTCGACTTGTTGTTGCTCATGATTACGTTCGTGGCGGTGAGCGACTGCGAGTTGCGGGTGACGAGTGCGAGAACAAGCGCAGCAAAGTTCAGGCTTTAGAGGACAACGCATCCAAGCTGAAAAATGAGATTGCCCACTTGGAGGAGGATGTGAAGCGAGTGCGCACAGCTCGCGACAAGGAACTTCGGAAAGGTGGAAAGTTCCAAGGGCTCGAGGATGAGGTTAAGAACTACTCGCATGAGCTGGTCCGATTGACCACTGTCTTTGATCTGAAAAATGCAAGCATGGATGAGGAAAAGGAAAAGCGAACGACCATCCAAAGTACCGTCACAGAGCTTGAGAAGGTTCTGAAGGAGAAAAGAAAGATTTACGAAAAGGTCCAGGCCCAATACGATGCCGCCAAGTCCGAACTCGACGCACAAAACGTGGAAGTAGAACAGAAGGAGGAACTGCTCCAGACACTTCAAACTGGTGTTGCTTCAAAGGAAGGCCAAGAGAGTGGCTATCAGGGTCAGCTACAGGATGCCCGCAACCGAGCAAGCAATGCCGCAACAGAACAGGAGCAGGGCAAGCTAAAGATTACCCATCTCGAGAAGAGGATCAAAGAGGAAGAACCTCGCGCAAAGAAGGCTAAGGAGCAAAACTCCGGTCTTCTTCGTGACCTCGAAGGTCTCAAATCGCAGGCCAGCAAGCTCGAGTCGGAGCTTACCCGGCTTGGATTCGAACCTGGAAAGGAGGAGCAGATCTATCAGGAACAGACAGGGTTGCAGCGCGACATTCGTGAGCTCCGACAAAGAGCTGATGCTCTCAAGCGACAGGCGGCGAACATTGATTTCAACTACACAGACCCCCATCCCAACTTTGACCGGTCAAAGGTTAAGGGTCTTGTTGCTCAGCTTTTCACTCTCAACAAAGATCAAGTTCCTGCTGCGACTGCTCTAGAAATCTGCGCTGGAGGTCGTCTTTACAACGTGGTTGTCGACAGTGCGGAGACCGGTACACAACTGCTCCAGAAAGGAAAACTACGCAAGCGTGTGACTATCATTCCCCTTAACAAGATCTCCGCGTTCAAGGCCTCCGCGGAAAAGATTGGAGCTGCCCAAAATCTTGCTCCTGGAAAGGTTGACCTTGCCCTGTCTTTGGTCGGACATGACGAAGATGTTCTCGCCGCTATGAACTACGTGTTCGGTAACACACTTATCTGTCAAGATGCCAACACAGCGAAGAAGGTGACCTTTGATCCGTCAGTCCGGATGAAGAGTGTCACTCTGGAGGGTGATGTGTACGATCCATCTGGAACGCTTTCTGGTGGAAGCTCTCCTAACTCCAGTGGAGTTCTCGTTACTTTACAGAAATTGAATGAAATCACTAAAGAGCTGCGAAGCAAGGAGCGTCAGCTTGCAACTTTGGAAGACCACATGAAGAAGGAAAAGAAGAAGCTCGATGCAGTTCGCTCCATCAAGCAAGATTTGGATCTCAAGACCCACGAGATCAGACTTACCGAGGAGCAGATTAACAGCAACTCTTCTTCTTCGGTATGTGTTGTTTTTCTCGTTAGTCTCGTAATTTAGGCTAACCTATTTCAGATTATTCAAGCTGTCGAAGAGATGAGAGCGAACATCGAGCAACTCAAGAAAGACATCGCCGACGCAAAGGTTCGCCAGGCCGAAGCATCCAAGGATATTAAGCGAATTGAGAAGGACATGAGCGAATTTAGCGACAACAAAGACAGCAAACTCGCAGAACTGGAAGCCTCACTCGCCAAGCTCAAGAAGAGTCTTGCCAAGAATTCTAGCTCAGTCAAGGAGCTGCAGAAGGAATTGCAGACCACTAGGCTGGACTCTGAACAAGTCGGCAGCGATTTGTCTGCCGCCGAGGAGCAGTTGGTTGAATCCGACAATACCTTGAAGGCTCAATTGGAAGAGATAGAGTCACAGACACGAGAGCAGACCCGATTAAAGGTAGGTTCCATTTCTTGCAATGCCAAAAGCGATATGACTGACAATCACAGGATGCTCATGATATTGCGCAAGCCCAACTTGATGACGAGAGGGCTAAATTGACTGGCTTCGATGAAGAATTACGAGAATTGGAAGAGGCGATGCAGTCCAAATCATCTCAGATCACCGAAGAAGGCCTAGAAGCGCAAAAACTCGGTCACCAGCTCGAAAAGCTACAAAAAGACCAGTATACTGCAAGCCAGGCTGTAGCCCACATGGAGCAAGAGCACGAATGGATTGCGGACGAGAAGGAGCATTTCGGGCGCGCCAACACACCATACCACTTCCAGAACCAGAACATCGCTGAGTGCAAGTCAACGCTACGTAACTTGACAGAGCGATCTCAGGGCATGAAGAAGAAGATCAACCCCAAGGTCATGAACATGATTGACAGCGTTGAAAAGAAGGAAGCTGCTCTCAAGAACATGATGAAGACGGTCATCCGCGATAAGCGAAAGATCGAAGAGACCATCATAAACCTTAATGAATACAAGAAGGAGGCTCTCCACAAGACCTGGGTCAAGGTCAATGGTGACTTCGGACAGATCTTCAACGAGCTCCTACCAGGTAGTTTTGCCAAGCTCGACCCCCCCGAGGGCAAAGATATCACCGATGGTCTGGAGGTCAAAGTGTCTTTAGGCAAGGTCTGGAAGCAGAGTTTGACAGAACTGAGTGGTGGCCAACGTTCCCTCATTGCCCTGTCACTAATTATGGCGCTCTTGCAGTTCAAGCCTGCGCCTATGTACATTCTTGACGAGGTCGATGCTGCTTTGGATTTGTCACACACTCAGAACATTGGTCGACTGATCAAGACCCGTTTCAAGGGATCTCAGTTCATTGTCGTCTCATTGAAGGATGGCATGTTCCAGAATGCCAACCGCATTTTCCGCACGAGATTCAGCGAGGGTACCAGCATTGTTCAGGCGTTGACCCCGGCGGATATGAAATGAGTATGAGCATTGATTCGAGCACACTTGTCTATAGTTTTTTTTCCCCTCTTGGCCTGTTGGGGTCTGTTATGATGTTTGGCAGACGGTGTTTCGGTCTGATAAATGTTTTGGTTATGGATGGGAATGGATTTCTGTTCACGATTTATGCATTGCGAAAGGTGCTTTCGCTTCTAATTGAAATATTTTGCGTAGATTGCAAGTCTCGTAGTATTGCTGTAAGCCTGCACAACACGAACGAGGTTGAAGATATACTCCGACATCCGACTCCGCAGTCAGGCACGTGCTGTTCACCGATCTTCCCGACCCCAGTCAGCGCCACTTTCCAAGCCGCTCTTGCTGAATTAACCGTTACACCCTGATACTCTAATATTGTTAGCTCGTTTCCAATTGTCTTCGATACTATATTGGTCACGTCACATCCTCCCACACGACACCCTACCCTTCTCGGAATCGTTCCGCCAACTACCTGGGTACTCTGAAGCGTGACTCAACCGCGCCCAGATCCGACATAATGACAGACGATGAACCCTCGTTGAATATCCCCTCGCTCCTCACTCTAGCAGTCGTATCGTTCTTCGTCCTCCGATGGTTCTTTAACCGCGACGACGCCCCGGCAGGAGGCGGCCGAGGTCGGGGCCGTGGGAATGTCGTCAACCCGGCGCAAGTAGAACAGATCTCACAGATGTTCCCTCAGCTGAGCACGCGAGATATCATGTGGGACTTGCAGCGAAATGGAGGAAGCGTCGCCGCGACAACAGAGCGGATCTTGACGGGTCGTGGACTGGAAACTGTACGTGTTACGCTGATGTTGTCATTTGCTCCGCCGGCTGCAGTTGGTGGCAACCTGACCTCAGACTTGATCTCGGCTTAGACAAGACAAAGAATATCGACTAATGTAATCATACAGCCACCGCCTTCATTCCAACCCCAAGTCGCAATCCCCTCCGCCACCATCCCCGCTGCGCAGACCGCTTCGGCCGCGGCACCCAAAGCAGACGGACAGGATTTGATCTCCCGATACAACCTGAGCGCAAAGGCAGCCAGCACTGCCGAGCCAGAACCACAACTGGCGACGCCATCCAAGTCCGCTTGGTCCCAGAATAAGGAAGAGCGCCAACGCCTGCTTCAAAAGCGTCGAGACGATATGATTCTTGCCGCGCGGAGGAAGATGATGCAGAAGAAGGAGGGCAGTGCCCAATGAGACGACATTCATCATTTTCTTACTGTTTAGGGCCTTGTTATACCACTTGTATGATGTTGATAACCCCGGCCAAATCTGTACCCTGTCCCGAGTTTCCGAGGCCGATATACCCTCTCTCCATTCTTTTACTATCTCGCCCCCGTTTGTATTAGAGCGTTTGCATTGCTGTCTGGTGTTAGGTAAATTGGAACAGCCTTGATTATAACCGTTGGTCATCGTCAGTTCAGGGAATAGGGTATAAGTTATCGGACTATATACATAAAAGTCGTGTTTTTTGGGGAAGCATTGGTCTGCGTCACATATGCACCGTTGAACTCCAAATGAAAAAAAATGCCCCCGAAAGAAAGAATGCGAATGTCCTTGTCTCAATGCGCTTAGAACTCCATGTAATCTTCTTCCTCCTCGTCGTCTTGTGTACCGTCATATCCACCATTCGCTTTTTGCTCGGCCATCTGTTCGCGTCGAGCTTGTTCTTTGGAGGAGCCGATTTTCCTGTGATAGTTAGAATCAATCCTTTCAAAAGGTTTTGGATCAACATACCGGAGACCATCCACCACGCCAGTGACGAACCCTCGCTCCTCACCCAACTCCATTGAACCAACACCTGTCAGGGCAACACCGCCACCACCAGTGGCCGCAGCATCCAGTGCGTCGACACCTGACCTCATTTTCGCCATGCGCACTTCACGCAAGTCCTTCAATAGTCTGCGGATCTGGTCCGGGTCCACCAGGTCATCGCTCGCAGCATCGAGAAGCATATTCCCAACCTCGACCCAGTGGAATGGTAGTGAGGGCGGATCCCGCGACGAATTCACAGGTTGTGCTGTATTCTGTGGTAGAAAAGGTGGCGCCGCATAGTATCGATTGCCATCTGGAGTATACTGAGGCCGAGCAGTCGGTTCTTGGCCACGATCTAGAACGCTGGGTTGACCAGGCAATGGAGGAGGCGGGGAGAAAGCGTTCTGGTAGTCCTGGTGTCCGGATTCGACCTCAAGAATAAGACTCAATGGTTCCGGGTGTAGCCAGGCGGGTGGCATGATATTCGCACGGCGTTGGCGTTTGAGTAGAAGCGCGAGCCAGAGGGGAAGGGAGGCGCGTCGTGGAGGGACGAGAGGCTCAACAGGGCCCTGATATGGTCAATTTTATGCGTAAAATTCAAAGAGGGTGTGGATATAGTTACTCCTAGTAATTCAAGGCCTTCAAGACGCTGTCGAGGCACGATAGTCACCTTCTCCATCTCCGCCAGAAAAGCTATCTCCGACGCCGTAACGCCCCGCGGCAAAGGGAAAGCCATTGTGATCTCGAAAAAAAGAAAATACAAGACACAAGGCGAGAAACAGACTGGATCGGCCACACGCGACTCACTTCGATCGAGTTGTGTCCGAACGCCAACTCGCATCGATGGCGGAATCGCGTTTGGTCCGTTTGCACTCCCTGATCTTCAAGTTCAAGCTCCCCCGAATTGCCGCAGCTTCACAATACATGGCCATTGCCAATTGAAGAGCTGAGTATGGTTTCGCCCGATGAATCTCAGCTCAGTCGAGCTGCGCGCTATGCCGTTCCTTTCGGCCTGCTGCTCATCCCCGTCTGGATGATTCGTGTCAACGCGGTTGTCCCGGAGCCATACCTCGATGAGGTCTTCCACGTTCCTCAGGCTCAGGCGTACTGGGCACATAAGTGGATGCAATGGGATCCCAAGCTTACTACCCCGCCAGGTTTGTATCTGTGGTCTTATGCGCTTTGCGCGGCGGTGCTTTTGCTTCGCGGTGAACCGACGAAGCTCACGACGGAGGTTCTACGTATGTCAAATGTTGCTTCCACTGCTATATTTCTTCCTTCGAGATTGCAGAGACTGCTGGATACAATTCAGAGAGTGACGAATGATCGAAATTTAAGCTCTTATTTGGGTCATACTGTGTTGAACATTTGCTTGTTCCCGCCTCTGTTCTTTTTCTCGGGTCTGTACTATACGGATATCCTTGCCCTCTTGGCTGTGGTTGAGGTATACAATTGGGATCTAAAGAGGGCTTCTGGTGGTATTTTACCGACTTTGGGCTTCTTGGTCTTTGGTCTTGCTGCCCTTGTCTGCCGGCAGACGAATATCTTTTGGGTCTCTGCCTTCCTTGGTGGACTTCAGGTTGTCCGCAATATTAGAACGGCGTCTTCTGCCTGCTCCTCGTCTAAGATTTCCAAGATTGTGAAGCAGGGAATGCAGCAGAATGAGCTCTATGATCCTCTCGTCTCGGAGGCTACTTTGGCCGGTGAGTTCATTTGACAGAGCATGTACGGCGTGTGAAAACTAACGTAGCAATTAGATTATTTCAAGACGATCATCTCATTTGCAGCTGTTGCTGTCAAGAAGCCTTCCGCTGTGCTCGTCTCTATTCTTCCTCATCTCATTGTCCTCGCGGCCTTTGGTGGATTTGTGGTTTGGAACAACGGAGTTGTCCTAGGTAAGCTACCATTGGTATGTACAGTATATGGAAGTACAGGCTAACATCAATGATAAGGTCACAAGGAGTTCCACACTGCTGGGATTCACTTGGCTCAGATGCTTTACATTTGGCCGTACTTTGCCTTCTTCTCATGGCCGCTTTTCGTCATCCCTCTGATCAATATACTTACCCCCAAAAAGTCTATCCCCGAGTCTCTGGACTTGGGCTGGCCAGCAAAGCAGAGAAAGCTTCCGTCGTACAAAGCAGTCCTGGCTGTGATTCCTCTTATGCTTGCCGTGGTTCATTTCAACACCATCGTGCACCCCTTCACCCTCGCTGATAACCGCCACTATGTCTTCTACGTTTTCCGCCTTCTTCTTAACATCCACCCGACAGTCAAGTACGCCGCAGTTCTGGTGTACTTCCTCTCTGGCTGGGCTGTGATTTCTGCCTTTGGATTCTCCACTCTATATGTGGCGCCCAAGTTGATGCGAGTCCCAGAGAAGCCTGCGCCAACTGCCCCTGCCCCTCCTGCACCCGCTCCGGCCCCTACCCCAGCACCAACTCCTGCACCAGCGGCCAAGCCCACCCAGCCCTCGCAGCCTCCCAAGGGAACAAAGAGGATCACCCGACCCAACCGCAAGCCTACCCCGAAACCCAAGCAGCAAGAGGAACAACCCAAGGCCAAACCCGTCGATCCAAATGACCCGGCAGTCATCGCCAAGGTTCAACAGTCCATCCTAGCACGCCAAAAGACCCAGCTCGAAGCACCGCGCGTCAGCTTCGTCCTCATCTGGCTCGCGGCAACAACCCTCTCCCTCGTAACCGCACCCCTGGTCGAGCCCCGCTACTTCATCATTCCCTGGGTGATGTGGCGTCTTCATCTCCCACCCTCGCCAGGCCTGCTCAAGTACCGAGTCACCCGTCCCCGCAAGGAAGAAGACAAGCGCGCTGCTGACTTCGTCGTTAACTCTCCCAAGTTCTTGGAGACAGTTTGGTTCTTGCTTATCAACCTGGTCACTGGGTATGTCTTCTTGTATAAGGGCTTTGAGTGGCCCCAGGAACCTGGTAAGATCCAGCGCTTTATGTGGTGATCTAGGCTTGCTTTGCTGAATCATAATGTGCTTTGATACTTTGGGCCGTCTGTATAATAGGAATATAAAATTTGTACTCATACTATCAATTTCATATACTTGCAGTTCTTTCTGCCTACCGTTGTAGTAGCTGATTTCCACAAGAACTTGATTTCTCAGATATAATTTTATGTTATTTAGATATCTAGTACGTACACTATATCGCCAAATTCAACTCCAAACTCCCCCATCTATCAAAAAGACATCAACCACCTAGCCCTATTCCAACAAACCCAGGAAGCCTACCCTCGATGCCCATGTAAAGACTGACCAAGAAACCCCGACATAGGCTCACAAATTGTCGATCCTACTAACCCGAAAATCAGTAAGTACCAATACCAACCTATATCATACATCGGGGAAATATGGATCTAACATAAAACATACCAGGAGAAACAGGAGCCATCACCGCCCAAACCTCGCGACAAGAACAATTAACACCCATGACATGTTCACATTTCGCCAGGGGACGGCCGGCTCTCGGGATTCGTTTCATTGGTCGGTCGTAGTGGGTGCATTTTGTTGATCTGTGGCCGCGGATGCAGGAGGAGCTTTGTGTTTTCGTTAGATGGTGACTTGAATGAAGGAGAGGGAAAAAGTTAGATGGTCTTACCAGGACCATTTATCGCCTTTGGAATCGAATGGCATTTTATGGTTTATGTAATTTTGTTTGGGATTGATTTATATGTGGATGTAGAAGAAAACGTAAGACGGGGAATAGTGAATTTGGATAGCTCAATCGAAGTGCAACAAGATCAATTTGAGGACTCGTAAACCCGGGATAGTAGAGTGAAACGAATATGCGCAAATGTGCTCAAATGCGCGGGGGATTGGATCGACGTGATCTGCACGGATCTACGAGGAGTGCTCTGTACAGTACAGTTCAGCTATGGCTACAGCTACATTCAGCTGGAAGAGAAAATATCAAATGTACTTCATGATGGTGTCAATTAGGAATTGGAAGTTTTCTTTCCACTCCCCATAAAGCAAGTCAAACCCCAGACTCCATCGCTTTTTAAGTCAGAAACAAAAAGCCTCATCTTAATCTTAACTCCATTCCAAATCATAGGTATCATGGCCCGGGTACAAAGCACAAGCATGCACAGAGCAGGGCAAACTTATCGAAAGCAGACGCCGAAGGAAAGCAAGCGCGATGGTCTTAAAGTTGCAAGTCTTCCACGCTGCCGGATCGCTTGGCTGTGGGGATGGCACTGTCGGGCAAGGAAAGGGCTGACATTGTGCGTAGGTTCTTGGGGCGGGAGATGTCTTCGGTCTTTGTGCAGATCCAGGTTGATGCGTACATGTTCACACTGGGATGTATTAGTTTCTGTGATAGAGCGGAAGGTTGGAGATTGGAACTTGTTACTAACCGGTCAATGCATGTGCCTGGGAAGCGGGCTCCCACGCGACGTGCGGAGAACCCGTTCTCTTCGAAATGCTTGATGTACCACGGGTCGATACTTGCTGAGCGGAGGAGAATGCGGCCGTCCTTCTTCAATGCGTGGTTGAATGTGCGGGCCTGGGCTGGGGCTGCATCTCCGTCGGGGTCAAACCAGTCCATCGAGTCCATGACCACGGCGATGGTAAGAGTTCCTGGGGTAATGCGGTTGATAACCTCGTTGATCTCATCAGTGTGAATACGAAGACCGTCGAATGCACCAGGCGTAGAAAGCTTGACATGTGCCTGAGGAGACAGGTAGGTAGGGTGGCATCTATCACAATTAGCAAAAATCCACAAAGCAGATTGAAATCTACATACCTCCGAGAGAATTTGCCCTGAACACAGAGGAAGTAGAAGTAGTTGTCGTTGCTGATGAGAGTATCGTTGACAACAGGGTCGAGTGTGTTGACAACATACTCCCAAATCGACTGACCACTGACATCCTTTCCAACCTTCATATCCTCAGTCAAGCCATTGCGACGGAAGAAGTCATCCACAATCATGTTTCGCTGGTTGCGAGGCACACCAGCAGCCTTCCAGGCAAACCACTCGGTGCTGACAATAGCCCAGTGCAGAGGCCGGCTCATGAGAACACGGCGAATGCGGGGCCAAATTTCGCGTTGCTCGGCGAGAGTTTGCGCTTCACACATTTTCTTAACTTCACCCTGTAGCCCGAAGATGTTGAAGAGCCAGCGCACCATGCGAATTGCGTGACGGGAACCACCAGTCTCGTAAAGACCGTGGCCGGAGGTGGAAGTGAAGGTGTGAGTATGCTCGAGCCAATACTGGAAAGCCTGGCTGGAGAGATGGGGACTGAGCTTGGAAATGAGGAGCTCACGGAATTGTGCGTGCTTGCCCTCGCCAAAGATCTTCCACATATCCCGGTGACCAAGGGCTGTGTAGCTGGCAACCTTGAGTTCAAGAAGATGGTTCTGGTTGGGGTTCAAGTCCACTGCGTGCACACGACGGGGACCCTTCTGTAGGTAATCGAGGATGTTATCACCGGCACTTGTGATGGCCAGAATGACATCGTCTTTGCCAATGTTCAAAAGTCGGTGGTCAACTCGGGGGTCTTCCCAGGTGAATGCGTAAATGTACTCGTTCTGGAACTGGGTGTGCTTGGGAAGCATGTCGTTGTAGTGGATGCGGTAGTGCTGGTTCTGGTAGAATGAAGATGGCAGTGGCAGGTTTGCGCTCAAGTTAATGACTGCAGACTCATAAGCCTTCGACCGGATCTCCTGTGAGCTGCTCACAACTGCCTGGTCCATTTCTTGTTTGTGGTTGGCGGGCAGCAGGTAGGGAGACTCAGTGAAGGATGCATCCAGCTTCTCAATTGACTGACTCGAAGGAGTAGCTTGGATTTCCTTGGGGCAACCAACGAAGATATAGTATGGGATACCACCAAGGAGGTAGTTCCGTTCGCTAGCGGAGATCACGGTTCCGAACTTGTATTCCAGGTAGTCACGACGAGCGGCCTCGAGGCTGACGCGGTCAAAGTCAAACCAGGCTCTCCAGAAAACACGTCCGAGCCAGTTGACATGACGATTAAAGGCACCACCGGTGTAGTTGCGGCAGGAAACATCCACGATGCTTTGAACTGTATTGGGGTCAGCATCCAGGTTGTGATCTCTTGCGAAAATGTGCTTACCATAGAAGTCACAGACACCAAGAATACCAGTCGACTTCAGGCGGGAAGTCAACGAGTCGACAACACTGTAGTAATCTGCAATAGTCAATATCCTGAATTTGCCCGTGGTCCCATTGGCACTGACCAGGAATCATGGAGAGACTGTAGCTCATAGTAACCAGGTCGACACCATCATTTGCATTTGTAGACCGCGGATCGACAACCCTGTCCGGAAGTCGGAAAGACCGAGCATCCTGGCATAGAACAGTGACATTCTTCCACCCAAGACGCTCAAACCGCTGACGAGCAACTTCACAGAGAGACGGAGAGAGATCGACCAAGTAAACTTGCTCGAAGAACTTATCCACGGGAAGAAAAGTAGCCATGGCTTCAATGTTGTATCTGCTGCGAGTCAGCTTGCGGTCTCTAAAGCCGTGGTCAATCTGCCTACCCAGTACCACCACCAACCTAGAACATGTCAGCCACAAATACCAATCAGGTCCATCCAATTCAACACTCACATCCACCCAGACAGCCTTCCCAGCCTTGACATCCTTGCTTCCAACCTTGTACTTTAACTGCGCAGCAACAAGACCGAGCATGTCCTCACGACCACAGAGCAGACGACGACGGGTAGCATCGTACACGGCAGCCTGCACCAAGTCAGTCACCAGTCACCAGCCACCAGTCACCACCAGTATAACCAGCCAATCCAAACACACCTGAGTCTTGTAAAAGCTCTCCAAAGCATCCTGCTGATCCCCAGCCTTCTTATCATGGGGTTTAATAAAATTGGCCCAAATAAACTTGAGGTACGGACCAGCCCAAGTATTAGCGACCTTGACCTGCGCCTGCGAAACAAAGAGAACGAGAGCCACAAGGGCAAAGACGGAAAAGGCCGCCGTGGCAATGTAAACGTGCATCCAATCCATTCTGCAATCTGCAAGGAGCGTTACAAAGACAAGAAAAGAAAGCGAGACGGCATGCATTCATATACAAGAACACCGAGCACGAGATCGGAGCGCGCGTGCCACATCACGAGGGAGAGAAAGGGCTGTGTCCTCCTATCACGGAGACACATGGGTGGGGGAGGGAGTGAGCGTAGAGCATTGAGAGGGGGGGAGGGGCATGGGCAGGTACAAGGGACTTGGGGGTGAGGTGCAGTGACGGTAGTGTCGTGAGGTAGAGGGTACAAGTACATGATCGACGGATTCAGAATAGCCCCTCGACTATGTCCGTCTCATAGTAGTACTGTTGGTAGAGTATAGTATGGAGTGAGAGTAATGTAGTGTTAGTATAACTTTAAGCACATTTGGGTTCCTGCAGTAGTCTCAGATCAGCCACTCACAGACCCGCCCGTTACCATGTGCTGCTTGGCACCTCCCCGTTGGGCTCGTGGGGGCTATGACGGGCCCCGATAGGCTGTGCTGGTGCTTAACTCCCAGGGTCTACGGGCGCCAATCATGTCCCCGTGTGCCGGCACATTGGGGGTTCCCCGGACTTGATGGGGTCCTGGAACCATAAGGCCGGGCTAATTGGGGATCTTTGGCCTATCCCATTTTTGGTATATGGCTTCTCATGGCCTCTATGGGCGGTGGCTCGGGATCCTTATCTTTCAGCTCATTTAGAATTCTAGATATTGAATTGGTTCTTTTGTTAGAGGTAATCGCGGCTAGGTTTCTCTATATAGAACCTCGACTCCCTACAGTGGAACACAAGCCCCAATTCTCGTTTTGTAGCCATTGAACGCGTAGCAAGGTCGTTATACTATATCGCTACAGCTATCTACCCCTCATCGAGCCCCGCCATACCATATAAAGATCAACAATATCGGAGACTCTCGGTTGGAAGAGGATCCACCCTATATGTTGGCGATCAACGTGCACGGCACCCACTCAGTGCTCTATGTACGTGCATGCTGCTACGATACGGCTCAGCCGTCGTCTCAAATATCCATTTGACTTTTGACTCGAATAGTTGATCCTCCGAGGGTCTTCCGGGAAAAGCACAAGGAAGATATGTCCAAAATCGGCTGTGGCGTTGCTTAACTCTATAGTGAACGTTCCGTCCGTGTGGTTCGAGCGTCGAGTCCCGAGGTATGAATCGGTTACACGGCAGGGATAGTGAATGGGTTGGAATTATCAAGGAAGAACTTGGGAGAAAATACCTGAGTCGGTAGAGTCTGGCGGGAACTACTTCCTACACACGTACCGCCAATCAATTCAAGTTGTAGAGTCAAGCATTGGGCAATATCAATGTCAATGTACATGTACGATGAAAAGCTTAGAACTTGTTCAATTGAATGCGCGAAACGCCTTTTTTCCTCATTGCTCAGACGCCGGACCCAGAAATTTAGATGGTTCAAGAATCAATGTTCAGGAAAAGATCCATTATACATAACCAAATACCGCTCAACCCTACTCGTCATCGCTCATATGAGTATCCCCAACCGGCTTATCGGCATCCTCGTGCTCGATTGGTTGCTCCTCTTCCACGATGGTAGGTTCAGGCGGCATTTGACTCGCGAACTTAGGATCGACCTGCAGGCGGTGCGTGGCACGCTTGTAGATCTCTTGCTCGTCGGGATCGCGGACCGTAACGTGCATCTGGTCGACTTGCTCCTCGGGCTCTTCTTGCTGGGTGGATGTAGGTGCCAGACCAGCCTGGGCGATGGTACGGGCACGTTCGGGTTTGAGACGGGCCTTGCCGATGATGGGGTAGTAGTAAGCGGCCAATTGTCTGGTATCGCCATCTTTGGGCTTGAAGAGGGTCATTGCGATGTCTTTCTGTTCGTTGTTGAAGGTCTGGGCACTTGTTGCATAGGTTTTGGCACGATCGTAGCGGTGGTATTTGTTGCCGTCGGCTTCGTGGGTGTAGAGTTCTGGGTCGTGTCGGTCTGGATGTGTCAAGCTCATGCTTGTGTGGATCTTCTTGAGGGCATCGGCCTTCTCGGGTAGGAATAGGCGGTAGTCGAAGGGTACTGGGCCAGGGTGAGGGTAGATATTAGGGTTCGTCTCGTGAAGAGCCACCTTGGACTCGTGCTCGTGAACAATACGTTGCTCGGGTGCTGCTGGACTCAGCAGGCCGACCTCCATGCGCTTGTCCCGCTTGCCTGCGACGGCTGCCACAGGCGCCTTGTCGAACTTGAATTGAAGGAAACCGCCTGGCTCGGGGAAACCTTCTAGGTCAGGCATGACAGGGAAGAAGCCGACTGGCTTAAGCTTGGGGTTATCAGGGTGTACTGGGTTTGCCCAGGCATCTACCTCCGCCTTGGTGGGAGGAAGGCCTCGGACGCGATCCTCAGTATCCTCTCCAGTGTGCTTGCTCTGCGGGTAGGCAATATCGAATCCTTTTGTGATGAACTTCTTGACGTGCTTAGGGTCATCGACCGAAGGCTTTCCTTTCTTAGTGGGCCGTGATTGCGCTTTGGCGGGCGCAGCGGCGCCGGCCCCAGCGGTGCGGTCGACGGAGATATGCTGTGTGCGGCGAAGGAAGCTAACATTGGTATTCTTTTGGACGGGGTTTCGGAGTTGTTCGATGCTCATAAGGAGTGGGAGATCAGCAGGGTCGATAGGCTGAGGGTTTTCGGGGGCCATGATAGCTATACAGACATGTTAGTCCCAGTCATGCGATTGAATAAACGTTCGGTTTGCACATACCACTCTCATCGCCCAAGTGTAAGCCCGGAATACCAACCAGGTCAATGGGCATTCCGCCTTCAGCATCGACATCGATATTGGGCTCCTCGCGACGCGCCAAGTTTGATGCAAATCCGGGTGTGAGGAAGCGGCTCAAGCCCTCGTGCGGGATATCGAGGAACTTGGGGGGCATATCCGGAGGAGGGAGGTCATTGCGATAGCGCAGTGAGGCAATGTAGTCCTGGTGGAAGCTCCCAGAGGACTGTCCATCTTTAGACTTGGACATCCTGTCGTCCGATGCGGTTTTGTAGAAAGGGACTGTTGGGAGATCAGCAACTCTGTATCAGCTGGAGGGTGCAAACGTAGGCTCACCGAAGTCGATTAAACAATTGCCGTTTTATTTGAGCCGGGTTGCGAACCGTAACCCAATGCTGAATTATCAATGGAGTGTAAGCTCGGTCCGAGTCGATCTCGAGGCGTCGTCGCAAACCTACGGTGTCCGTACGGGACTGGAGTAACAGCTGTGGGGGACCAGAAGTCGAGGTATAACACCCTAGAGGACCGTAAGTGCAAATGTCCGCAAGAAGGCCTTTCTTCGAACTGCGACAGCTGGAGGCGGGTTGAATCAATTGAAGCTGGACATTGCAGAGCGGACTACGGCCGCCAGAGAATCATTATTTTGCCGACTTCTACCGCCTCCATACTATGCACGTTTGAACGGTCATCTCATGTAGGAACGAAGTTCGTGCGTTTTTCGTGCGGTACTAATTATGCTATGTTTGTCTATTTGTAGATAACTTCACATTTTGTGTGGTGCACTCGCTATTAAGTGAGAATCATGTATATCCGTGCACACTCTCTGATCAAAATACTCCATTGCGTTAGAAAATATCGGAACCCCTTTTGATAATAACCAAAAATGTAAAACTCCCATCGCCACCGCCAGCTTCTCATAATAGCATCACAAAGCCAAAGTCCACAATCAATAAGCCCACATACACTTGTAAGCCATCAACCGGGGCCCAAGTCGATCATACTCCAATCGCCCGATCCAGCTGTCGTTTGTGGCGTTCAACTTGCCAAAAATGCTGGCACCTTTCCAAACAACAACCTGGGGGTCCAAATCTCGAGGCGGTGTTCCAATCATGATCTCCTTGGCGAAGCCAGGACGGAGAGCTTGCAGGCGCTCTTCCAGGAACAAGTGGAATCCAGCTGTCAGACTGCCGCCGCCGACTACCATTATACCGCCGATGAAGTCGCGCATCTTCTTCTCGTCGGAACGAGCGGCGTGTGCGATAGATGTCAGGATGGCGTTGTCCAGGGCGAAGACTGGCATGATATCATCCCGTTCTTCCACGGCTGGGGGACGAGGAGTCTGTGATGGAGCTGCCGCGGGTGTGCTTATTCCGCCTGCCTGGGGAGTTCCCGTGTTCTCGGGAACAGGAGAGCCGGCAACGGAAGACCGGGGAGTACCCTCGAGCTCTTGAAGCTTGCTAACGGCAGTGGGATGCTGGGGCCGGCTAGGTGTAGCTTGAACATCAGCTGAGTTAGATTCTCCATTGGTCTTGGGCAAGGGAGGAGCAATAGCTGTCAAGATTTCTGACTGGGCAGCAGAAGTAGGATCGTTTGATTGTCCATCGTAGATATCAGCGGATCGGCCAATCAAAGTCCGTCGCCCATCAATCTTATGCTCGTTATCGAAGATACTGGGCTCGAAGACACCCATTGGTGCAAGGTGAACTTCGTCAAAGGCCTTGAATGAGTACTTTCGTGTATCTTGGCCCGCCACACGAAGGTGGAAGTCGAAGACTTGGGGAGAGACGCTCGCTTCATTCATAGTGCAGATGTTCTTCTTCAGCTCTTCGGCCAAAAGGAAGTCGTGTCTGCGCCGTAGGTTGATATCGGCATAGGGGAAGTGATCGTGCAGCATCATCTTGACAAAGGCTTCCGTCATGTCTTGACCGCCAAACTTCAAGTTGACCCGCGAGTTCTCAATGCACATGCCTTCTTCCACACAGCAGATGGAGGTCTTTTGTGCTCCAATGTCGACCACACAGGCTGAGGTGAAGCCGGCACCAAAGGTGGCTGCCAGACTTTCTTGAATGAAACACACCCGAGAAAATGCAAACTCCCGCATCAACATTTCGAGAACTTGGGTGACATAGGCCTTGTCGTAAAGGTCTGGGATGACGAATACACACGAGTATTGTGTCCAGTCCTTTTTACTGGTCAAGCCCAGTTGGTTCTGGATAGCGTCTTCCAGGATCAGTGAGATATCTAGAAAAAGCATCCTCTTGCTTTCATAGTCTTTCTCATTGCACCAGCCATTTTGGATTGGCCAGTAGAGCTTGTATCGAGGGCTCGATGCATCGGGGATTCTCAGCGCCGGCTGCCCAACAACATACTCTGGTGGAGGATTCGAGAGCTCGGTCCATTCGACACGCATTGGGTCGTTGTGTTCAGAGATAATCTCCGGTACTGTCCTGCGGTTGTAGTTCACCACCATTTCCTTGGAGTTAGGAAGCATCCGTCGCTTGTTCTGTCGCATATGGACCTTCAACTCTGCAGACATCCGGTTGAACTGAGAGGACCACTAGAGACGATGTTAGCTTTGAATTGAGAAAATGGCACCGAACATACCTCGGATCCAAAAGCCTTCTCTGGCTCTAGCTCGGACTCATCCTCGGCCTTGAACCTCTTCGGCTTGGGCTCTGCATAGTCTTCAGATTCGCTAGTCGCTGATTTCCGCGCAATCACCATGGGCACGGTTTTCGGTAGCGCATCACTCGCAAGTCCAATGCGGAGGTTCTGACTGCCCATGTGGATAACAATAACCTTGGAGCCAGCCATCTCAGCTGGTGTCTCCTCTGCATCCTCCATGTTGGCATCACCGTCTGCCTCGGTCTCGCCTTCCGCATTCTCAGGCTTGGCCATTGCCATGGCACGGTCGTGGTCCTTTGCCTTCTTGGTCATTCTCGTTCTAGCCTCCTCATTTTGCAGTCGGAAGGCCAGGTTCTGGTCGTCACGCTTCAGGTAGTCACTATAGAACATGCAGTCAGCATTGATGTTTTTGACTCCAGCGACGGGGGGAGTCCCTGATTATTGATCTCGACTGTACACATACGTGTAGTAGTTCTTCTGGTTGATCGCGGGAATCTGGGGCCAACTGGATAGTTCCATGTTGTTATCGGTGCGCTCCAGGCCTGTGAAGTCCATGTGTTAGTATTTAAATCAGATTAAAGTGTACTGATCACTTGTTCGATGAACCTACCCTCATCCCGAAGGGCCTTACCCGACTTCTTTCCGACCATGGCGTAAGTCCGGGGTCAATGTGAACGTGCGGCGAATCTAGGGAGTGCGCCGGGACTGTGATAGCGCGAAATCGCGAGTGTTGAAAATAGATAAAGCTGAAGAGTGCGTAGAGGTGATCAAAGAACCCGACAGACCTGAGAGGAGAAGGGACAATCGTCAGGTTTTCGATTGAGCTCAATCCCGCATCGTGATCTCCCCGATTGACCGCCCACCGCACAGGCCGACCCGTCTCTCTTTCATCTGAACTCGACAACTTAACTAGTTTCTCATATTCTCTACTTGACTTCATTCTCCGTTACCTCTTCTGTCAACCGAATACGCGCGCATACATCATGGGTGGCTCACTATCGCGCATGTGGTCCCTGCTCTGGTCCAAGAAGGAGATCCGCATTCTGATTCTAGGACTTGTACGTGGCGTCATAGTTCCTATGCGAGATAACGCGGGATGAATGGAAGCTGATGAACTCTCTCAATCATCCAGGACAACGCCGGAAAGACAACTCTGCTCTACAGACTCAAGGTGAGCCATTGAAACCCCGCCCATCTGAGGAACTTGGACGGCGCAATGGACACGAGGGACTCACAATGCGCGCTCACAGATTGGCGAAGTCGTCACTACGATACCCACGATCGGCTTCAACGTCGAGTCGGTCACATACAAGAATCTGAATCTCAATGTCTGGGTAGGTGATGCACAGCTACACGATCACCCAGTTCCCTACTGATACTGCGTCATAGGATCTTGGTGGCCAAACTTCCATTCGTCCATACTGGCGATGCTACTATGCCAACACAGCGGCTGTAGTGTTCGTCATCGACTCCACAGATATCGAGCGGCTAGGGACCGCGGCAGACGAACTAGCAGCCATGTTGAATGAGGAGGAACTCCACGATGCAGCGCTACTTGTGTTTGCCAACAAGCAAGATCAGCCTGGTGCCAAGGGTGCGGGCGAGATTTCAGAGGCTTTGAAGCTGGGAGAATTGCGGGATCGGAACTGGAGCATTGTCGCGTGCTCTGCTATTGATGGCAAGGGTATTAATGAGGGAATGGATTGGCTGGTGGTATGTTTCGTTTCATGGATATCTCTCTTGCCCCAAGCTAATGTTTTTACAGCAAACAATCCAGTCGGAGAACGCATAAAGGTCTGGTGTTGGTGTCCGGTTTTAGATTTCATCGTTGATATACCTTATGTGTCCAAGTTTCTCATATGGGTTCGGAGCCTTCCGCTGCATTCGGGGTGCTGTGCCTCTTCTTCCCTTCGACTATGTCTCGGCACAGTCCTTGTCTTATATTGCTTCATGATTTCCCCAGTGTCTAGTCTCGCGGCTTACAGATAATTGTTTAATTGAATGTTGAGGCTGAACCAGGTAAACAAAAGTATTCAGTCTATCAAATTTTCCTCCGTATGAGCAACATTAGTATACCTTTTAGAAACCAGGGGCTCTCCAAGACTATAAGACTAACGCATGTTACCCCGACTGGCTTATCTTTCCTGCCTTCACCCCGCACTCGTCCAAAACACCAATCTACTCTACTTGACTCAATCCCTTCAATCTTGAGACATATCAGTATAATTCCGCTGGACAACATGGCGACTCCTCAAACCCAAACAGCAGCGGTCATCACACCCACAACTCCTGCCTCCTCAAAGGTGGAAGTCCGAAGCAATCACCCCCTTCCAATACCAGGAAAGGGAGAAATCCTCGTGAAACTGGAGTTCTCTGGAGTGTGCCATTCAGACTTGCACAGTATCCGTGGCGACACGCCTATGTTGACCGACGTGGCTGGTCATGAAGGTGTTGGGAAGGTCATTGGAGGTAATATTGAGGCTGAAACGCATGCTTGAAAGCATATGCTAATCCTTGTGGGGCTTAGTCGGTCCAGAGATTGACGAGAAGCAATGGATTGGAACGCGTGTGGGAATCAGGTAGGTTTCTTTTTCGGCCAGGGTTTACACTAGACTAATGCTAATTCGTTGTCATTGATCAGGTGGCTCTATAGTTCTTGTCGACAGTGCGAGATTTGCGAGATCAACCATACTGCGTGTCCGTATCAGAAGAACGCCGGTGCTGTAAGTATAGATACTTTCCACCTCCAATCTATATGTCTTCAATGTTGCGATTGACTGACTCCGTCGATGAATATAGAATGTACCTGGCACTTTCCAGCGTAAGTATCTATCCCATGAATACCTAATAGTTTTCTAATTGGATACTCAGAATATATCGTCAGCCCAGCGCGCCACGTGACAAAGATCCCGGAGCAGCTATCTCCCGATAGTGCAGCGCCCCTTCTATGTGGTATGTCTTCTCTGTCTGTAACTCTACAACAATGACACTGACATGTATAAGCTGGGATTGCTATGTACTCTTCCATCATGAAGACCAAAACTCGCTCGGGAAACTATCTAGCAATCCTCGGTGCTGGAGGTGGTCTGGGGCACATGTATGACTCCAAAACCTCCCCAGATACCTGATCATTAACGGTAATCTCGTATAGGGGAATCCAAATTGCCGCCAAGAAGGGACTCAAAGTTATTGCGATTGACAGGTATACGATACTCAAAACCAATGTTATCCTATACGCTATTCTAATCTTGTGTTTCATAGCGGAAAAAAGAAAAAGCAACTCTGTCTCTCACTAGGCGCCACAGAGTTCCTAGACTTCCGAGAAGTCGACATCGTGCAAGCAGTGAAATCTATCACTAACTTCGGCGTTCACGCTGTCATTTGCACAGCGAACGGCGAGCGAGCCTACGAGCAAAGCATGCAGATGCTCCGGCCACTTGGGACGCTGGTTTGTGTTGGTATCCCGAACAAGCCGTTCAAATTACCAGCTACTCCGTTGGATATGATTGTCAAGGGTATGTATTTCAACACTCATGTCTCTTGCGCGAGATTGGCAAACAGAAATATCTAACTGGTTTATATAGGACTCACCATTGTCGGCAATTCAGCAGGTACGGCAGAGGAAATGGATGAGGTTTTGGCAATGGCAGTTGCTGGTGATGTTAAGGCGCACATTGATGTCTTTGGCTTGGAAGAGATCAATGATGTGTTGGATCGTTTGGAGCGCTCGGAGATCGATGGTAGAGTTGTTTTGAAGATTCCTGAATAGTTCATACTCCTAGAGCGGGTGGGTGGTGTGTGTTGATCTTCAAAATCCTACGTCATATTTTATATGAAACAATATTTGCTCAATAACTAGTCGAGTTCACAATTTGTCTACAGTATCTGGTGCCTGTGTTGCAGCTGATTTGTTAAATTCCGAAGACCTCGAAATCATGATCTGAGCTTGGGGATCGTGGGCTCGTAATTACTTGACGTGATCGATTTGATGTCATCACTATGCAGAGCGAACCAGGATGTTATTATGAGAAACTTGGCCATAGACAGGAACGTGCGCCAAGGTCTACCATTGGTGATTATTGGAGGCAGCCAAGCCTGTTATCATGCAGTGGGTTTGCTTTTATAAAGCTAACCTATGAATGATCAAGGTCGCTGCAATATCATGCCCTCCTTCGCAATAAATTTGGAACACGGTACTGTGTAGCAATTGTAAAACACAAGTTAAATACCGAATATAAAACGAATGTTCAAGCAATTACACGGCATCTAAATCCAAATCGGGCCGACTCAGATCTCGGGAAAGTGCCGATGTTCATCCGATCGATGCATAAATGTATAGCCGATCATTTCTGTTTATCAGCCCAGCACCCCTTGCCTTGCAGATCACTTTAGTTATTGTAAGCCATGAATGCCTCTGCTTGACAATTTGTAACATTTCTCGTTAAGTAAAACCCGTGTTTCAGCTAACGTGAACACCAAGCTTTATACTCCGTAGTGGCCCAAAGAACTTTCAGTGGACCCTACAACAAATCTGTACTTAGTCCACCTTGTGGGTCACGACCAGCTGCGACGGATTTCACATTTCAGAAAATGTGTCTTGTGTGATTAGCTACAGTCACCCTGCCAGATCTTGGACGTATGGATCAGCCTTGTGCCCCAATTCCATGGTCCGATTTAGCTACTGTCGAAGACAGTCTCGTTGCTCATCATGATTGAGAGCCCGCCCCCTAAGTTTGGAGCTCCTGATGGGCGTATACCATACTGGCGCTTGTTGACCGACCAAGGGGTAATTACCCAAGAGATCGCTGAATATGACTACGTCGGCACTGGCACGGAAGAAGACCCCTATGCAGTATCATGGATCCCAAACGACCCTCGAAATCCTCTGCTGTTTGGCCTAGCAAAGAAGGTGACCATCACCTTAGCTGTCGCGTTCTCCACCTTGATTGTTTCCTTGACGTCCTCAGCCTATAGTGGCAGCATGCGCCAAATAGAGGACCATTTCCAAGTCAGCACTGAAGTAGCCACCATCGGCCTCTCATTGTTTGTATTGGGCTTCGCTATTGGACCCTTGTTCTGGGCTCCAGTAGGCGAGACCTTCGGACGACAAATCCCCTTCTTCATCAGTACCGGCAGCATGGCCATCTTTTCAGCAGGCTGCGCCGGCGCTGACAATATCCAAACCCTTCTTGTCCTTCGTTTCCTGGCGGGCGCTTTTGGTTCTTCCCCATTCACCAATGGCGGTGGTACCATCTCTGATATGTTTACTGCTCGGCAGCGCGCGTTGGCTATCAGTCTGTATGCCGCCGCCCCCTTCCTAGGACCTTGCTTAGGTCCTATCATTGGAGGCTTCCTAAGCATGAACGCCGGATGGAGGTGGGTAGAAGGCTTCCTTGCGGCGACAGCTGGTCTGGTATGGATAGTCATCACCGTGGCCGTGCCAGAAACCTATGCGCCCGTCCTTCTACGTCGACGTGCTGAGACCTTAACCCGCGTTACGGGCAAGGTATACCGCAGCAAGGCCGATCTAAGTAAAGGCAGACAGTCGTTACCCAAGCTGCTGTCAAATGCCATGTCCCGGCCGTTGCTATTCCTCTTCCGCGAGCCGGTGGTGCAACTCTTCTCCATATACAGTGCCATCGTCTACGGCACGCTCTACATGCTGTTTTCCGCCTTCCCGATTGTTTATGAAGAAGGACGGGGCTGGAACCAAGGTGTAGGCGGGCTAGCTTTCCTTGGTGTTATGATCGGCATCATGCTAGGCATTCTAGCCACAATCCCGTACAACAAATTATACCAACACGTGCAAGATGCCAACGGAGGCTACGCGCCCCCAGAAGCCCGTCTACCAGGAATGATGCTCGCAGCAATCATCACACCCGCTGGTCTATTCTGGTTCGCATGGACCAATTCACCATCAATCCACTGGAGCGTGAGCATCATCGCGGGTGCGCCATTCGGATTTGGCGTAGTTCTGATCTACTTGGGCGTCATGAACTATCTCATTGACTCCTACACCATTTACGCTGCCTCGGTGTTGGCCGCTAATGCCATCTTGCGCTCTATTTTCGGCGCTGTCTTCCCCCTTTTCACGAACTATATGTACCAGAATCTTGGTATTCATTGGGCTTCTTGTATTCCCGCTTTCCTTGCTGTTCTTTGCATGCCTGCTCCTTTCCTTTTTTACAGATATGGGTCGGCGATTCGTGCTCGTTGCAAATATTCTGCGAAGTCGCAGTTGTATATGGAGAAGTTGCATGCGAGTGCTGCTTCGTGACATTATATGGCTGAGCGGGAGTTTAATATAATCTTAAGTATGCCCTTAATACTGTCAAGGGTCTGATTTGGCAAACTAGGTGGTCGTTGAATCAGCAAGGGACATAACTTGGTACGACGAAGTTTTAACATAATACAGTAGATGTTTCAATCCAGAGCATTCAACAATAATTTTTTACAGTACAGTCCGTATTTGAGAGATCCCATCTGAACGATTTTGCCAAAGCTCGACTGCGGCATCAGCATCAGGATTTTGCGCGCCCTCAACCATCTCATAGCGCTCCACAACCCGTGAATCATAGCTTCTCAAGAACTGATTCATCCAGGGATCCATATTGAAAGTTTTGTGACTGCTAGCAGACTGACAAGCTCTGTGAAATGCCTGCAGCCGCGCGTTTGAAGAAGTTTGGAGAAGAGGCCAGTACTTCTGAAACTGAAGAAGCAGCATAGAACTTTTTTCTAAGTATTCCTTCGCATTGGTCAGATTGAGGGCATTGGTGTCAAACAAATGGGTGTGCAGATGGATAGAGAACGCAATGACGAGAAGGTGTCTATTCACTGGAGACCACAGGCATTCCATTCCTGGACGGCGCTTTGTGTGCCACATAATTTGTCCGAGACTTGCAGCATGGCTCTTGCATCGATTTATGTGATGGTCGACTCAATATCTAGGTTCTCTCTCGATTTGGCTCCCCTGCTCAAGAATTGATAATACAACAATTGACATTGATGGTGGTAAAGCAGGAGGTGGACTGCGAACTCCCGTCCAAGACTACTCTTTATTTAGCTCTCCTGGTTCTCGGGCGTGTCCCGGGATGATTAGACGGTGTGTCAAGCCAAGTAGGTAGCTCAACAGATATTACTTCGACCGTTTCTCGAATGTCAAATTCAGCCTTGGATTCGCGAAACATTTTATCGTTCAATTGCATGATATGGCTGTGCACCTCTGTCAAGGCGAGCATGGAGCTCCAAAAACCAGTTTGACCCCTAGTGCCCCGAGAGTTGTTCGTTGGGATATGGCCGTAGGGTACCTATTGGTCATTTCAATGCTGTGCAATATGATAAATATAGGACCTGTCTGCTATCCTGTCGTTGCGAAGACGCCATCCGGTTAATTGAGATACAACACAACTGTCATCGGGAGAGTGGTGCATGTTGTTACTGGTATAGCCTGCAACTGCATTACGCCTCGGATGGTTTACTCAACATTTATGTCATATCCTCCAGAGACCAAGGATCGTACCTTTGGTGAAATTGATTTGCTATTTGATAATCGTGTTCCAGCGAGGAAGTTCAAAGCGCCAAGGTCGATCTTAAGTGGCAGGCACAATATATGAGTCAATTATTCTGGCTAATGCGAAGCACAGAATTCGTCCATCAGTTGGTGCATGAATTGCAGTTGGTACAAAGTCTTGAAGAAGAGCGAAATCCTGCATTGGAGTTGTCAAGGCCGCGCTAAAAACATGAAGATATCCAAGAAAGGCAGTACTGGAGACGGAATGAAGCTTTCCCGACTGCCTCCCACCCTTTAAGCAAGCGAGGTTTGATTTGGTTTCATAGAACAGGAGTGAGAGACCGTGTAGTTACCAGGCTTGCCTCCAATTATCAATTTAAGCCGGCCATCCCCTCTTGGTTTTCAGTAATAATATTGATAATCAAATTTGCAAATAAAAAATTTTCATTTCAAAGGAAATTAGATCAAGGTACTTATAATAAGCACAAGTAAAAAGAAACGTGGTTCCAGAGGGGGTCGAACCCTCGACTTTGGCGTTATTAGCACCACACTCTAACCAACTGAGTTATGGAACCCGGTTATTATTTGGCGGCCACATTTGCGATAATATAACCCAGAAATCAATACATGAGTATGAACCAGATCTGCCTGACTGTGACGTTTGAAAGAGTTCTTTATTGCACCCAAATCACTATGGAACTTCTCGGTGCCAATTTCAAAATGCCGAATTAATGCATGGCTGAAATAATTTTAATGGTCATGCAAGGGTTTTCAATGTTTCATTTCATGAGCTTTTGCAAGTTTAATACGAATTCGAGGTTTTTTTGTACCAACTTATTCAATTGCTTTCTTCAAATTATTGTGCTGCGATTTAATTTGTGGTGTAGAAAGGCAGTGGTCTCTTACGTTGTTACGGCTCTACCTTTATTTGCGTTTCTTCTGCTATCATTCTTTACTACTCTCACAAAATACTCAATTATCGTTGCTATATTACAATAATAACCTGACAATTTTATTGTTAGTTAGACATATATATGACAAGCCGAGCTACACAGACGTTGAACTCCGTTAAATGCTTATAGCATCTGATTAACGCCAGGATAGGGGATATAGTGTTCTTGTTTTTTATATTACCCAAGTGAACGATGATTCCCAATAGGCGTCAATCCCTACACGGTCGATAGGGTTACCCAGCCCTAATAAAAGGACATACCCAATAGGATAGATATGTCACGACCGTCTTTCACGATAGAACTAGGTTTGAGCACACCTTCGATCTATAGTCTGTTCACTGCGTTATCGGCTCCAACCGTCAAACGCCTAGTTTTTCTTACTCATCTTTACCGACGTGTGCAAAAATAAAAGCCCAACCACACCCCTACCTAACTCATGGCAGCAAGGTAGCACAAGCTAAAAAAAGAAATCATGGTTCCAGAGGGGGTCGAACCCTCGACTTTGGCGTTATTAGCACCACACTCTAACCAACTGAGTTATGGAACCAGGTTGTTGTGTGGTTGAGGCGGGCCATGTACCATAGGGTTTAAGCGAGAACCGGAATTTTAGCTACGTCATTCAGCACCCACGTCACAACTGGACTAAATACGGTTAGTTCGAACTAGCGTACCCTTTATATTTGACCTATGCGCTCATGCCTCAATGTATAGAGATACATTGTCACCTGTGGAAATAAAATGTTTAACCCCTATGGAATATTAAAAACATCATGTCAAGATCACATACTATTTCTACTGCCTAATTTGATAGCAGACACATTTTATTGGGGTAAGCAAGCTCGCAAGATCCAACCCTAACTAAATTCTTTACCGACGGTGGAGTGTAGGAATCTGATCCACTTTCACGCCGACGAGACACAATAACCAGGTTCCATAACTCAGTTGGTTAGAGTGTGGTGCTAATAACGCCAAAGTCGAGGGTTCGACCCCCTCTGGAACCATGAGACAACTGCTAGGCTTGCCTAGCTTTCCTTTTTGCTGTCTTGAAGAACGTATGCGCCCCCTCCATTCAGCCTGCAATTTGCTGGATCTTAAATTTTACTTCATAGACTAACGTACGAACCAATTGGCAACTCAATCAAGCCTTTGACTGAGCGAGACGTATCAAGAAACAATGTATACAAAATTGATACAATCAACAAACCCTACTAGAGACATGAGACATTTCATAGATACCGTTAGTCTTCTTCGTTCAATATAAGAATAGCAGGTAAAAATATCGAGTCAACTTCTCAATGGCAACGTTGTACATTGGCTCTTATCTCGGCCTGATTCGTTCTCTGGGATATGATTATTTGATCTTGATTGAGCCGTGTTTACATACTTCTTCTGACCCAAAATTCGAAATCTATATAGCGAAATGCGGTGCTGGGGTTAGATTAGCTTTCAGCAAACCTAATTATATAAGAGTTCCCACCGTACAGTGTGTGGTACGAAATACTTTTCGCTACTGATATACCACCAAAATGCTACAAGTATGTCTATAGTTTCACTCGGGGCAAGTATAATAGTTTATATCTCGTTTGCGCTCTATTCTTAATTTTCCTATTTCAACCACTTATCATCTACCAGGGTACGAATTGGGAGTGGAATCCAAGTGCGTGACGGACTTCGATATATATATGGTTCTATATGATCACAAGGACTAGCCCCACGTAATAACTGGACACTTTTTATGCTGAAATACATCGATCTCACCAAAATGAAAACCAGAGCACTCAAAACCATACTGTATACTCGGCCAACTCCATTCTATTTATGTTGTCACGCCTGCACCTGGGCACCTGCAGGTTTGACGATCGCCCGCCAGTCAGCGACCGCCTTCCATCCAACCCCATGACAACAACTACAATGGAACCACCAACCAAAAAGATCAGAACAGACTCGGGATCTCCCGAACAGGAGTCAAAACTGGAATCTCCTTTGTCAACAATACACGATATAGCCACCCTCCGCAGTGTCATCACCCCACCACCGCAGTCTCGGCAGGTCGCATCCTCCTGCCCGGACGCAAAGAATGAGAGCAATGTGCCAGACACCATCCCAACAAGTTCTACACCCAGCTCCATTCCTCCAAAGGTCATTGAGTCCCCAATTCAACTATCTCACATCCGTGATCTTCCCACAAGCAAAGGCTACAATGTGGACACGGTTCGACTGCGCGATATCCTCGGGGATCCAATGATCCGCGAATGCTGGCAATTCAATTACCTCCACGATGTGGATTTTGTCATGTCCCAGTTTGATGAAGACATGAGAGATCTTATCAAAGTCAAAGTTGTGCATGGATCATGGCAAAGAGAGAATGCGACTAAAATGCGCATTGAAGTGAGTCAATCCTCAGTTATAGTAGATGAAGACCGTCTGACACACAGACAGGAAGCATGTGCGCGATATCCCAATGTCGAGCCTATCGTGGCATATATGCCCGAGCCCTTTGGGACGCATCATTCCAAGATCATGGTGCTTCTTCGGCATGATGACCTAGCCCAGTAAGATGCTCAGTCTTGATACCACGACGTGATTAATCTAACATATCTAGGGTAATTATTCATACAGCGAATATGATTGCCCAGGACTGGACGAATATGACACAGGCTGTTTGGCGCTCTCCTCTTCTGCCGCAAAAGCTGTCATCGGCACCAGCGAGAGACATGCCAATTGGCTCTGGGGCCCGATTCAAAAGAGATTTCCTTGCCTATCTCAGAGCATATGGCCCCTCCAAAACTGGCCCGTTAGTTCAAGAGCTGGAGACCTATGACTTCGGAGCTGTGCGCGGGGCCCTTGTCGCCAGTGTCCCATCAAAGCAGCATGCCAGTGAATCCAACTCAGACGAGGGCACACTATGGGGATGGCTCGCACTCAAAGACCTAATGAGTCGAATCCCAATCAAGGCAGCCAACAAAGAAGGAAAAGAGAGTCTAAAGAAGCCTCACATCGTCACCCAGGTACGAACCTCCCCAAACCCAACTAATTACACAAGAACAACCCATGTAACCAACAACACAATACAGATCTCATCAGTAGCAACTCTAGGCCAGACGGAAAAATGGCTAAAAGAAGTCTTCTTCAAAGCCCTTTCTCCATCATCACCTCCAAGTCAACAACCAAAACACTCAATAATCTTCCCAACACCCGACGAAATCCGCCGCTCAATAGACGGCTACACATCCGGCGCCTCAATCCACATGAAGACTCAAAGCGCAGCGCAACAAAAACAACTCACATATATGCGTCCTTATCTGTGCCAGTGGGCCGGCGACGGTCTAACAAATGGCACATGCATCGATATATCCGGCGACGAGCCACCGAAGCGGGAAGCTGGTCGTGCGCGTGCGGCGCCGCATATTAAGACATATATTCGATTTCGGGATGAGGGCATGGAAAGCATGGATTGGGCGATGATTTCGTCGGCGAATCTTTCTACGCAGGCTTGGGGTGCGGGTGTTAATTCTGGGGGTGAAGTTAGAATTTGTAGTTGGGAGATTGGGGTTGTTGTTTGGCCTGGGTTGTTTGAGGAGGAGGGAAAGGGGGCGGTTATGGTTCCTACTTTTCAGAAGGACTGTCCTTCTCCTTCAGAGGGGGAAGAGAAGGGGAAGGAGGATGCTGCTTCTGTTGTTGTTGGATTCCGTATGCCCTACAACCTACCCTTGACGCCATATGGAGCGTCCGACGAGCCGTGGTGTGCCACTGCCTCATACGAACTACCCGACTGGCGCGGACAGCGCTGGATTGTTTGACCTATGATCTGTCGACGAAGCGGGACAGCTACTAGTGTTATATCGATTATCCGCAACACACCTTCGACATCCTTATATCATTATCCAATGACAATCTTTAGTATACGAGGGAAATGAACATCCAATCAACGTGAAAATCTTTCATGGATAGTAGCATGCAATTGTATTCGTCGTATTCGTTTAGATCAGACCCTGAACTTCAACCGCAATGATCCCTCCCTTACTGGGAATCACCAGATATCCACCCAGGATCCTATAATTCCCAACCAAATCCACATCCATCATCCATCCAATAACGTGTTCTATTTGCGTATATCGATGCCGTTGTGCGTGTTGATTTACTCGCGGGTACCGTACTTGGAAATGAGGGTGTTGACGTGGGCGATGTAGAGCTGGTTAGCCTTGGAGGGGTTGTAATCCTTAACCTTCTCCCAGGCGCCGAAGAGCTGCTTCTTCTGTATTGTGGAAAAAGGCAAAGTCAGCCGATATTCGTTGGTGGGATTTCTTCCCCGCGCCAAGTGAGTGTGCATGATATGATGTTTCCACCACCACCACAAGCTCATCCAAGCTCCCCATTCTCGCGGATAACATTTCAACATACCTGGATATCGAACATGCCGGGCTTTTCCATAGCCTCGCCCTTGGAAACCTTGAAGTAGATGTACAGATCCTTCTTCTCCAAGAGACCGGGGGAGGTCTTGAGGAGCATAACGGCCTTGGCAGCGAACTCGAAGGCCTTGTTGAGAACGTCCTTGTCGGCACCTTCGACGCTCTCGAACTCGCCCTGTTCGGCGACCTTCTCGTATGCGGCCTTCAGGGCCTCGATGTCGATGCCCTCGGCGGCTTGTTGCACATCGGGGGTGATGTTGCTCTCTTTCTTCTGGGCAGATTCCAGGACGGCGATGAAGGGGGCGATTTCAGACATTTTGGGTGAAGTGGGAGGTTAGAGCCAAGGTTGGGGTTGGAGATGTTGAGGAGGGGTTTGTTTGGTGGGGTGCTGACACACTCGCCAGTTGGTCCGAGGTAGATTGGAGTGTACGAGTATGCAGGAGGACTATTTAGGTATGGTGTTTGGTGTTACGCAGTGGTTCCTTAGCACTTAGTATTTGCTTGGATATAATGATGATATGTATCCTCTTATCTTTCTATCACCAGACGCCGCAGATGCAAGATGACGCTATGAATATCAGATCAAATGTACATCACCAGTCTACTGCCCATCCATTGTTCGTCAAGAACTCCTCGCAAGCAGCCTTGAGAGCATAATTGTTGCGCAAGTCGCCGACCGTCATAGGCGTGCGAGTCAAAGGATCAACCCCAGACTTCTCAACGTATTTAGCGATGCCAATGCGATCAAAGCTAGTCCCAGAAGGCGTAATGACCGGATCATGCATGATCTCAAAGGTAATACCATCAATGAGATAGTCAGGCACAACCTATAAAACAGAAAAGTCAGCCCAAACACTCTCACGCATTCTCTCGCCCATCCCATCACATCCTCATCCATCCCACCATAGCCACCAAAACAATGAACAACTCACCCGCTCCTTAACCTCCCCCTTAGAAGAAAGCGCAAAAGCCTCCCTAACATTCCGCACATTCTTCTCGGCATCAACCCGCAGCGCATCCCGATCCTCCCCAAACCCAATCTCCCCAATCTCCCCGCGTTCCAGACGCCCCTCCAACTCCCCCAGCGCCCTCTTATAATCCGCCTCAATAAGCGCCTCCACAGCTCCCAGCGTAGCATCCATCTCTCTCAACCGCGCAGTCTCCCTCGCCGCCCAGATAGCCTGCTTAGCGCGCAACACAATGCGCGACAAGTTCTCCGTCTGGGCATTCTTCGCCGACAGACTCTGCTTGTACGCGTCGGACGCGACGTCATATGCTTCCTGCGGGCGCTGGAGGCCCAGCAGTGCTTGTGCGAGGTAGTAGCTGCTTTTCAGAGCGAGGGGGTTCTTAGAGCCGTAGAGGGTGATTGCGCTGCGTGCGTCGTGTTCCGCGTCCGTCCATTTTGTTAGGTATATTCGGGATATTGCGCGGTTTGTGAAGAAGCTTGGCTCTTTGGAGTTCTTTGCGATTCTGATGATGTCAATGGGTTGTTAGTTTGGGGTTGTTTGTATTAGTGCTTTTGTGTTGGGGTTTGGGTGAGGCGAGTGGGTGTTCGGATGGACCGGAGGGGGGGGGGGGGTGCTCACGCTTGGGAGTAGAAGTCTTCGGCGCCGGTATAATCGCCCTGTTTGAAGAGCTCGTTGCCCTTTGCTTTGAGCTCTTGCGCCATGGTGTATGTAGGATCGTGTTCAGATCGTTGAGCGTGTGCGATTCTGGAGTAGGTGGGGCGCTCCACAGTCACGCAGTGCTGATCTTGAAGGATTTCGGACTCGGGAGGAACTTTTGTTCACGAACTACTGCGGTGTCTGGAATTTACACCCTAAGGTCTGATCGACGTGCTAAATTTGATGTTCATGAAAGTGTGAAAGTGACTATATACATATCTATGACCAATCTGAAATGGAAGTAACATTGGTATCATGCGCTGAGAAAGACAAATCAGGATAACATCTAAGCCGCAGTGCGGAACTGAGTCTCATAATCGGTGATCGCCTGGACCTTGGCTGCCGAGGCACTCTTCGGATCGAAGCGGTAGTTGAGCCAGTCTGAGGCCAGCTTCTTGGCCAGCTCAACGCCGATGACCCGCTGGCCCATGCACAGGACTTGGGCGTCGTTGCTGAGGATGGAGCGCTCGACGGAGAAGGGGTCGTGGGCTGTGACCGCACGGATGCCAGGCACCTTGTTGGCGGCGATGGCTACACCGAGACCAGTGCCGCAGATGAACAGGCCGCGGTCTGCCTTGCCATCCGTGATGAGCTTGGCTCCTTCAACGGCGGGGTGAGGGTAGGCGGTCTTGTCATCGGAGGTGTTGACGCCGACATCGATGATCTCGGCGACGAGGGGGTTCTTCTGGAGGGTGTCCTTGATGGCATCCTTGTAAGGGACACCGGCCTCATCGCAGGCCATGACAATGCGGAGGGGGGCAGACATTGTACAAGTGTGTATAGTAGGTACAGAAAGAGATAGAGTGTAAAGTAGAGTAGAGTAGAGTAGATATGATTGGAAGTAGAGAACTCTGAGCTTAACGAAAGACCGGATTTGGGAGATATCGAGGGGGTTCTTATATCTTTCAACTTCCTGTACTTCACCTTCCCCGGCATACCAATGGTCTCCACTTTCGAATTGGATCTGGTCTGGATACTGTTGCGCGTATTCCAGAGTCCAAATGGGCCGCCCAGGCGTCATAGCACCCTTGAAACGAGCTATGAGTGGTCAGTGGCAACAGAGGATAAACCGAGGTCGGATACAACAGGAGTCCGTTTGAGACGTTACATGCGCCTTACCTCGTATTACACAGGACGTTTGACCACATACTGTACACATAGACTTGGGCGGCTTCCACTAACCTTACTTATCTACAGCCATCCCAAAGCCGTCGAGGTCAGTGAAGGGATAATTAAGCCAGACGGCTGTGGCTTGTACACAGGCTGTTCTCTGCCCTCCCTTTGCTCGGCCAAGTAGCCCAAACGGCCAAAGATGGCCAAAACCTTCCCGACGCCAAAACCTGGTTCTGTGGCTAAGATCCTGGGCATTTCGTATGCCTAGTTACGTCCGAGCACGGGAAGTGGTTGACCTCATAGCCGGGACTAACTTTCAATCTGAGGCCGAAAACCTGGCAGCCTGCAGATATGCCTGAAGATTGTGAACATCAACGTGAACGTGAATTGCCTCATATGCCTAAAAAACAAGTCACCCAATGTCGGCATGTACGTTTATCTCCCCATAATTGATGCGCAGACCCGGGTCTCGCCAGCTTGCGATGTTCTCCACTGCGATCCACTGGGAGCGATGTTGTTGGTTACTAGCAGTGACAAGCAGGCTGTCGCATAACCGGTTCTTGAGAACCTACTCCGGATTTTGGATCTACACTATGAAGCATGGCTTGACGTACTTTGTGTTGAATCTATACCATTAGTACGTAGGTTGTGGACGAAGAAATGTACACAGCCTCTTTAGGTAAATTGTCTACACCTCTGAACCGGTTTGGCGCTTCCCCCCTCTCCTGATGCTACATTGGCTACTATCCCGGCTGGCCATAATAACGCTGATTCGTCGTTGGCCGGCTAAGTGTACTCCGAATGTTTGCTATGCCCCTGAACTAGCGTGACATCATGGACGTATCCCATTCGAAGTATACAGTAGACATGGATTCGGAACATACGGGAAACACGGGAAAATGCGCTAACGCGCGGGGCACAAAGGAAAAGGGAAATTACAATATCCCTTTCTGATAGAAACATCGCTTCAATTCCCTTGGAAACTCACTCATAGCAACTCACCCGAGCACAGCCAAGAGGTTGGCAAAACGCCATCCCCAGACCCGAGCCGTCTTTCCGGGGATCCCCTCAACTTACATTCTACACTCCACAACACCACACCACCAGGACAGACAACCTCACCACCACACACCAACCATGGAACCAAGATACCCAATCCTCCCCGAAAACCTCCTCCTCATCTCCCTGAAGATGTACTTCACCCCAGACCGCACCCTCTCCTACCTAAACGCCCTCCTAAACCCAGATAACGAGATCGTCCACCCAGCCAACCGCCAAAAACTCCTCCTAGCCCTAATCCCTGATTTCCTAACCATCCACCCCTGTGCGCAAATAATCAAAGCCTACGAAGATACCCTCCGCACCCAAAACATCCCCACAACCCCATCCCCCTTCCTCCTCGGCGCGCAAGACTGTTTCTGGGAGTCCGCAGGCGCATACACAGGCGAAGTCTCACCGACCTCACTAGCAAGCCTGGGATGCAAAATCGTCGAACTGGGCCACGCAGAGCGAAGGGCCATTTTCAACGAGACAGACGCGCAGACGGCGGCCAAGGCTGCCGCGGCCTGTAGGCACGGCATGGTGCCGCTTGTTTGTGTTGGGGAGGTTACGGCGCCCGGCGCGGTTGTTTCTGAGGCGGTGGGCAGGGCTGTGGGGGAGTGTGCTGTTCTTGTGCGTGCTGTGCTTGCGGCTGTTCCCGCTGATGCGCCGGTTATCTTTGCTTATGAGCCTGTTTGGGCTATTGGGCAGCCGAGACCGGCTGGCGTTGATCACGTTTCTGCTGTTGTTCAGGGGATTAGGGGAGTTGTTGGGGAGAGGGTTGGGACCGTGCGGGTTCTTTATGGCGGGAGTGCTGGGCCTGGGCTTTGGAGTGGTGGGGGTTTGGGAACGGCTGTTGATGGGATGTTTTTGGGGAGGTTTGCGCATGAGATTGGCGGTGTTAGGGAGGTTGTTAGGGAGGTCGAGGAGAGTTTGGGGCTTTGAATGGGGTAAGGGTATGCTGTTGTGTTGCTTTGAGGCTTATTTGAAGCGTGCTAGTTGACTGATGTTGATGCAGGTATAGATGCTTGATACCGTACCTCGACACCTCATATGCCAGGTGTATCTACCTACATGGACAGATACATGTACGGTAACATGTTTTACGCCATACAGCCCCTTGTCACTGTGATACGAAAAGTACATAGATCATCTAGACAAATCCACAGCTCACGAGACATGAAAGAAAGCGAGAAAACGAGTTCGGGAAGCCTATCTGGGGATCCCGAACGGGCAAACCCACAGAAAACTGGAGAACTCGAGTGGATTTGATTTCCCCAGTTTTGGCCCTTCTTTTTCTCCACTCAAATAAGTCAGATTTGCTCAGATGATCTTAAAAACTTTTTATAGTCCAACTGCATATATGCACTTCGGCTCTCGACCCCCCCCTACTTGGTTATTCTGATAGGATGTTGCAGTCGCTTGTTAACTCCTGCTTTTTCCACTCCAGGTACCAATGATCACGGGAGACGTTTCTTTTGCAGCTTGACTTGATCCACTGTGGATTCTGAAGCTCCAGATTTGCACTGATGGAGTAATCCGAGCTTGGATGTGAAGGATCTATACATCCACTTTCCCCCTTTTTCTTTCCTTTTCTTTTCTTCGGCACTTCCTGACTAGGTTGATATTCTCAAAGGACTGCTGACACCTAGACCCTACATCGTACCGAAATGTCGGTCGAGTCTTTCGGGCGAGAAATGCACTCTTTGCAATGCATGGGATACGTGAATGCAGCAGTAAATCCTATTTTTCTTTCCAATACCCAATCCAATCCATGCTATTTACAGAATTCTATCAAATCAGACATACTTTCATCTTTCATCTCTCATCCCCTACACCGCTTATTTCTTTTGCATCTCCTCACGCAACTCCTTCTTCACTCGCGTGACAGTGCCAATGCCCCCATACACAACTCCAGTATACATCATAGCAACAGAAGCACCAGCTTCAATAGCCTGGCGAGCCTCCTTACCAGAGGTAATACCACCAGAAGCAAAAATAACCTTCCGCGGCAAAGTCGCCAAGTCAACAGCCTTCTCGACGGCACCTTCAAGCTCAGTCGCAGGGGTATCGGACTTGGCATCAGCCGCAGACGAGGGACCCTTGTCTAGCAAGGCGCGGTAGCGAGCGACCAGCGCGACAGAGCGGTCAAATAGCTGCGGGCCGGAATAGCCGCCCGTCTCGGCTAGAGTCTTCTGCTCTGCTTCTGGGAGGACAAAGCCCTCGGGCACGGGGTCGGGCCGGCGGTTGGTTGTGTTGCCGACGATTACGCCGTCGACGCCCGAGTTCCAGACTGCTTCGCAGATCCCGGAGATTTGTTCGTTCGAGTCTTCGTCGGGGCTGACCTTGACCATTACGAAGGGCTTGGTCTTGCGCTCGATGTTCTTGGCAGCGCCGACGACTGCGGTCAGGATTGCTGTTAGGGGCGCTGTGGCTTGGAGATCGCGCAGGCCCGGTGTGTTTGGGCTGGAGACGTTTACGACGAGGATGTCGGCGTATCGGGCTACGCGGTCGACGCAGTAGACGTAGTCGTGCTTGATGGCTTCGATGTCGTTGTCAGGGGTGAGCTTGTTCTTGGCGACTTGCACGGCAAGGAGCTTGCCGGGGACGAGACTGCCTGGGGGAACATTGGCTTCACCGTCGAGGACGCGCTGCTCGGATTCATCCTGGAGACCGAAGCCGGCGGCGTAGGCGAAGTCGGTGACCCGCTGCTTCAGGACGGCCGCCATGTGGTCTGCGCCCTTGGAGTTGAGGCCGTAGCGGTTGATCATGGCGTGCTGCGAGGGCAGGCGGAAGACACGCGGCTTGGGGTTTCCGTCCTGGGGGAGAGGAGTGGTGCCGCCGACTTCAACGATGGCAGGTCCGAGGTCAAAAAGCGCATCGGGAATGTCGGCGTGCTTGTCCAGACCGGCGGAGATACCGATGGGGTTGGAGAGGGTGTAGCCGAAGACCTGCTAGCTTGTCAGCATCGATCTATCTAAGCGCTGGCAGGGCAATTACCTCTGTTGCGAGGGCCCCGTCGCTGTCTGGATTTCCACGCTCGCGCGGGTGAAGACTGTATGGGTAGAGCTTCTTCAGCATGTCCACGCCCATGTGGTGCGCATCCTCCGCATCAGGGTAGAATTGCCGGATCAAAGGAACAATTCCATATCGGTGGATGCTAGCCCTGGTATCGGTTCCATAGATGTAGCCCACGAGCAGAGTCAATGCCAATGAAGTGCCGTACAACGCCTTCTTGGAGCCACGACCAGCCTTACGGGGGATTTCCTTAGGAAATTCCTTCGTGGCCTCCTTAGCGGCATCCTTCACGGTTTCCTTTGCAGCTTCAGCCGAATCCGAAGCATATCTCTTCGCACCGGGGACCCGCTTCGAGATCAATGCCGACGGGCGTTGGGCCAAGCGGGAGGTAGGAAGGGCACGAGCCCGAATGCTGGCTCTCCAGGCCATTTTAGCGGCGATGCAGGACATCTTGACTGCAGGGTGTGGAGATTCAATTGTTCTTCGGCGGAGCTACGCCGAACCTATACAGCCGTTAGTTTTCCGATCGTAGCTAGACTGTGCGCATGAAGTTGTCGAGATTCAAGCGGCTCCGGTTGGGGACCAATTGAAACAGGACAGGCAGGTCAATATGCACCCCGGAAAAGACTTACAATTGCAATTGAGCACGATCCGAGGTTCTCGCAGTCCCTTGCAGTTGTCAAGGGCGGATTCGGGTTCTGCTCTTTCCGGGCGGTGGGTGATAATGCCTGCACAATGTGGCGGTGAAGCTCTATAGAGTATTTTCTCTCATGCTACACATTACTTTGTTGTAGTAAATGATTATATGGTCAGAATGTATCAATTATGCTAGCTCTCAGATTTTTTTTGAATGTCTAAACGGATGAAGTCCCCTCGCTGTGATGATCATCTATTGGACCACGACCTCGTATCGGGCAACGCTGCCCAGGTGCTAAGATCGCCATGACCAACTTCCATCGCGACTCGCGGGCTACTTGACTTTCTTTCACATTTAAATCGATTTTATGTCCTGGCCTCTTTACTCGAAAGCCTGCTTCCAACATATACAGCTTTGGATCAACCGTCAGCGAAACCTGAGCTGATACCCATCTAAACATCTGATCGTTTTAAAGACTAATCCTTGCAACAACAACAATGTCTGACCAACCCCTATCCACAGCTGTGGGCTTCGACCATGTTTGTTTCGACAGAGATGACTCTTCACAAACAAATCAAGTATCACCTCAACAATTCGCAAATGAGATCCCACAGGAAGAGCAACAAATAACCAATAAAATGCAACCTTACCGCTCCTTCAATGTATTCAAAGATGTATGCCTATATTAAAATCCCAATCATTTGTTATACTCCTAAAGCCATGAAATATCCAATGGCCAAAACTAACCCTGTACAGGTAGCACTAGGCACCAACGCCTTCAGCTTCTGCCTCCAAATCCACCCATCAGGAGGCAACGCCCAATCCCCAAGTCCAGTATATCACACCCTCCGCATTCCCTGGTACAAACAACGTCTATACTTACCGGCCCCATTTGATATCTACGCCGGTGGCACGGTAGTCCGCAGCCGGAACGACCCATCTCCAGAACCGCAAGACCACCGCGCGCGTATTCGTTATCGCGGTATTGAAGGTCTAATGGGGTTACATGTTACTGCTGATTTATTTCACCTGGTAGAGTCTACAGCTCTGAGGGATGATCTCCCAGGGTCTGTGGCTGTTTCTTCTGATTTGGTGGAATATTGCTCGGTTGATGTTGTTCGGAAGGGGATTGGGAGGACGTATCGTGTTGAGATTGTAAATGAGGGTATTGTTAAGACGTATTATTGGAAGGGGTCAAAGGCTGCATTGTCTTTGTTTGATGCGCGAGATGGTGAGGTGAATGCTAGTGATGGGAATGGGAACTTGAAGTTCTTTGCCGCTGATCGGCCTGATGATGTTCTTGCTGTTTGGCAGAATCGGACAGATAAACGGATTTTGGGGTCTTTGGGGGTGATTGCTGAGTTGGATGCTGATTCGGATGGACTTCTTGAAGGGTTGATTGTTAGTTGTCTTGCTGTGGTTGTTGCAGAGAGGATTTCTGGGCGTGGATGGCTTGGTGGATTGGGAAAATCTAGGGGCTCTTGACGGTTTTTGAACCCGATGTTTGTGATCTGCAACGATTATTGTTCTGGAAAAGAAGTTATGAGTGTGCACCCGATACCATAAAGTACTAGACGGGTTCTACAGTAAAGCCGCGGAGCGAGTACCCTATTTCATGGACCTTTTGTGTTTTCTTTCGGCCTCTCTTGTTTTGCCCATCTTAGGAGCTTCGAATTAAACGTCTGGATCTTAAAATGGTAGGGTTGTGAAAAGGCTATGCCTGCAAGATCTATGAAATCCACACATTTTTGACTAATAACACGAATAAGCACAACAATTTGTTAAGCTGAATAGCAGATAATGGATCCGCCTATTACCTCAACACGAAAACCAGCACGAAGATCGGCACCAGGAAAGTTACCAGATAAGAGACTGATTCTTTCGTCGCGAAATTCTTTGCAACAATTAGCACAGGCTCATAAAAACCTGGCTCGGTGCTGTTGCGAGTTCCATCCCAACAAAACTTCACAAAGCATTTTCTGCAAACTTCAGGCACCTGAGTATCAGTTCGATCAAAAGACCGACTGAGAATCGCACAGCCTGCGCATGCAGACCAGTCGGAATAGCCATTTCCTGTCCCATTTCCCATGGTCATGGCATTGTATCCATTTTCAATCACAGCATCTCTTTCGATAATTGAGTATTCCACTTGGAAGGTGGATTTGTTTGAGAGCATGGTGTATGGGTGATTAGGAACGTACACCACAAGTGGAGCTGGGTCGGTGAGGTTGGAAATGTCACAACCGAAGAAAGTTGGACGTGTATTCAAGCCGAGATTGATGAATGTGTTTGTATCTGGGATGCTTGAAAAAGCAGTTCCATTTCCGATTCCTGATGAGTTGAGTCTGCGCTCATGAATTGCCACCAGAGGCCTGCCACTAGGCCAGTTGTTCTTCGTACTTGCTGATGAGTCCACAGCAAATATCACGTCAACATGGCGCATGGCGCAGGGATTGGATCAACGGATGAAGTGGAAGCAATACGCTCAAGAACATGCTGATTCAACCATGAAAGTTCCCTGAAAGATATGCCAACGAATCATGTAATACTAGAATACGAGGTAGTGTTGTACAACACCCGTGACGAACTCAAGATCCATGACAAGCACCCTCCTGCCAGCCAGTCATGCCACGAAAGAATCTCGCAAACAGTAGCTCTCCACACAAGACCCCAAGCAAGACGGCAACGAAGACCCCAGTGTTGAAAGTCATGACAGCTAGCATCCTGTTCAGACAACATGTGATTAGCAAAGTGTTCAAAAACCCACAACACACGCAAGTAGCCACGGAAGTAAACAAAACATACAAAAGATACCCAATCAAAGCCCGAGTCAATTCAAGTAACCCCCCCACACCATCCTTCCGAAGAGACCATCTTCCACTAGCTCTCCAAGATGGAAGGTCAAAGTTGCAAGACCACTTCCTCTGCGAAACACCTCGTTCGAGGAGACTCGCCGTTGAACGCCCCATTCCGGCATTGTCATAAGCAACTGACAGCGCCTGCCCCATATCTTCGTCGTCGTTCTCATCCCCGTGGACACGAATGTAATTGGGAAGCGGGCTGAGTTTTGCTTTGTGGATGTCACCTCGTGAATGGATAGCCGTGAGCTCGAGAGCTGGTGGGACGAGACCGTGCTGGGCCCATGCTTGCTCGAGTTGGAACTTGAGAGCGCCGAGGAAGCGGTTGAAGATTGCGAGGAGAAGGAGGAGAAGCAGAGTGAGGGTGTATTGGGTTGGTGTTGTGGTTTTCCAGCCAGTGAAGAGGAGGGTGACTGTGGTGGAGGTTGAGAAGGTCGATGCCATGCCCATGTTCATGTTTGTCGAGGTGTTTGCGTCCATGCCAGAGCTCTCATCCATGTGGGAGTGTGAGTGCGAATGGGTGTCCGTGGCTTGAGATCATTCCCAGGGATGTTGAGGGATGGAGGTGGTGGGAAGAATTGGGAGAAGACAAATAAATTATTGCGGCAATCGAGTTGACAATATCATCAACATGGATTTGACTTCGTGTCTCAGTTAGACGTTTAATGTTCTCAAATTAGATCGTACTAGTAAATGACCGCAAATGCGCTCAGCCGATCAAGTATTTGTCTCAGGCTACCTCCATAGGAAAGTCAAGTAAAGAAGTACCTTGCAGGACGCTTTCAAGAATATATTATCCAAAAGTCCACCAAAGGATACATAGAGATAGAATAATGACTTCAAGTCTAATCATATTTCACAAGTGAAGAATACCGGACCAAATGGCAACCGTCTAAGCAAAGTAGTGATTATAAAAACAAAGACTGGAGAAATTCATAAAATGGATCGCCATGAGCCCGTCCAATGCTTCACCTCATTTCATATCATGTCTGTCAGTCCCACCAAGTCAAAACTCGCATACAATACACAGCAATCATAGAACAATCGTGGATATAGAGACAGAGACAGCAGGGAGATTAAGAAAGTAAGATCTTATGTACGGCCGTATCGTGTCTTGCCGAAAGAGAAGGGCACGTAGCGGTACTTGATCATGTGCTGGATTTGTCGTCGCACTGCGCAAAACTGTTAGAACGGTTTCCAAGAATGATATTGAAGGAAGGCCACGCTAGGCCGGTAAACATACTCGTCAGCACAAACAGGATGATCCAGTAAACAACCAGCACGGGCCAGAAGACGGGAATATCAAAGACGGAGAACCAGGAGCAGACGAAGCCAATGGTAATGGCCTGGGTAGCCGAGTGCCAGAACTTGAACTCCGGTAGGCGACGGATGAAGGGTCGGAACTCCTCATCCTTCTTGGTGGGGAGGCTGGGGGACCCCGCATCACCGTCCTCGAGGCCCTCGTCCTGGGTGAGAGAAGGATCGAACTTGGGAGTCAGGAAGGCGAGGAAGAGGTTCAGAAGGTAAATTCCGAGTGTGTAGGCGACTGTGGCGCAAGACGATCATGTTAGCGGCTTGTTTATGCCAAGGTTCCCAACGTTTCCATCGGATGCTATCTCGCATGGTGTTTTCCGGATGCATTATTGCGCTTCGCAATCGCTCAAAGAATCGGAGGGACCGTACCAATGTACCAACCCTGCGCAATGACAATGCGCAGGAAGAAGAAGAACAGGAGTACGCCGGAGCCTACCCAGCGGTAGGTTGTGTACGGGGTCGAGGCATCGAGGTAGGCTTGGTATTTCTGATGCGAAAAGCGTAGGTTAGCATGCTGCTTCAACTGTTCTCGCAGATTCGAGGAATGAAGGACTCGAGGGCATTGCGCAATGTCTCTGCCCCTCATGATAGACTCACCCGGGTCAATTTAGAGGTGTGCGCGGTCATGGCCGTGAAAGGCGACTGGTCGGGCTCAGGAACATCCATGGTGAAGAGAAGAGGTCGGGCGGTACACAAGTAAAGGCCACCAAAGAGAAAGAGAGAAGGGAAAAAGCAAGGAAATGCGATATTAAGATAAGCTGAAACCAGACATTCCGGAGGAGAAAGGCACAGGCTCAGGAGCAGAAAAGTGTCCACTGCTCACCGACCAATCAGGCAAGAGACGACTCCCCAGCCACCCAGGAACATGTGACCTTAGACAGGTGACTTGTGGCTGTGTAGTGGCGGAAGACGCTAGCTGCTTCAGGACTACTTAGTCACCTACACGTGAACCTCGGAACGGTTAACTTCGGCGTATCGGTCGCGGGGAAACGGAGCTCTATGATGTTATGCTAGCTCAGTACTACTTCACCCTTTCATAGTCCAACACTTTCAACTTTTCAAGCACTTGCATATCATAACCAGGCACAATGTTTGCACGCCAGTGTACTCGGTTGGCTACCTCCAAGACAGCTGTCCCTTTGACTTCGTATCTAGCTCGAGTCCGGGGTTATTCTTCAGCTGCTGGTAGCTATGAGCACATTCTAACCTCGACCCCCAAGCCCGGTGTTGGCCTGAGTAAGTGCCCAATGGAAACAGAATAGCCACCACATCAAGATTGACCGCTTTCCTTAGTCACCCTGAACCGTCCTAAGGCCCTCAATGCCCTGTGCACTCCACTTTTCAAGGAGCTCAACGAAGCCCTGAGTACCTACGACAATGACCAGAGCATTGGCGCGATCATCATCACAGGAAGCGAGAAGGCTTTTGCCGGTATGTCCATATCTAGCCGACTTTCCCAATCCAATCCAATCCTTAGTCCCCAATTCCCAATCTGAACCAAATACTAATACCATCCAGCCGGAGCCGACATCAAAGAAATGGCCCCGAAAACCTTTGCCGCCGCCTACAACGAGAACTTCATCGCCCCCTGGTCCCACCTAGCAAACACAATCCGCAAGCCCGTAATCGCCGCCGTATCCGGGTACGCCCTAGGTGGCGGATGCGAGCTAGCACTGATGTGCGACATCCTCTATTGCACGGAGAAAGCAACCTTCGGCCAGCCCGAGATAAAGCTCGGCACAATCCCCGGCGCAGGCGGATCGCAGCGTCTGACCCGTGCCGTGGGCAAGAGCAAGGCTATGGAGCTTATCCTCACCGGCAAGAACTTTAGCGGTAAGGAGGCTGGTGAGTGGGGTGTTGCTGCTAAGGTTGTTGAAGGGGGTCAGGAGGCGTTGCTTGAGGAGGCTTTCAAGACTGCTGAGACCATTGCTGGTTATAGTCGTGTTGCTGTTGTGGCTGGTAAGGAGGTTGTTAACAAGAGTCAGGAGTTGTCGCTTAAGGAGGGGGTTGAGTACGAGCGCAGGCTTTTCCATGCGTTGTTTGGGAGCAAGGATCAAAAGATTGGTGAGTTTTCAGCTGGGGGTTATAGGGTTGGGTAAGGTTTGCTAATTTTGTGTTTCTTTTTAGGTATGACTGCTTTTGCTGAGAAGAAGAAGCCTGAGTGGTCTCATGAGTAGATATATCATTGCATAGGATAGAGAGCTGGCTCTTTTCATTGCCTGAACACATGCAATGCATAACGCTGGGGATGTACAAGGAAAAATGATGTATTTCACATAAACCCGAATCGTCTCAATAACTCGCACCTCGTGCATGCGAAAAGCGTATTCTAGCATGACTCATCAAGATCCATCTCATCTTCTGGCCGAGAATTACCAGTCGGGGTTCCGTATTTGTACTGCTCCAATCCGCGGTTGATACCAACAATTCCCCAAGCGAAGACCGCCACGTCGCGGATGGTATCCATAAGGCGGTACGAGTGAGGGCCACTTTCTCCTGGACCTCCAGACTTTTCTTGTTCGGAAACCGAACCATACACGGAATCCGATGCGCTACCAGAGCTGGTTTCCATGCCATCGCGGCACATAGTAGAGGTCTGTTCGGGAAGAGGAATTCCATGAACGGTTGAACCAGGCGCAGGATCCCGGCACAGGGTGCCGGCCACGTCTGGGCGAGAAGGTTGCAGAATGGCTGGATGCGAGGGAGTGTAGGATGGTGTGCCGTAGGAAAAGACCGGCTCGGGGGCCCACGGTGCGGCAAAGATACCATTGGTATACACGGGAGCTGGCTCGGGAACCGCAGGGACAGTAGGGGCAGTAGGGATGGGGGCACGGGCACGGCGCAAGATGACGACGAGGCCGTCAGATGTACAAGAAACGACAGCTTCAAGCTCGATTGGGGACAGCACCGTGACCGCGTCCAATCCACGACCGGACCCATGTACGTCCTGTAGAGGGTTGCGGAACCAGAATCGTAGGTAAGCGATGGAATCGTTCCTCTTTGCACCTTCGAGACACCTGATTGCATCACCCAGGCATTCTTCTTGAATGCAGTAGTAGAAGCTCTGAGAGATAAGCGCATGTGGACTGATGCCAAGGATCTCCGATACTCCACTTGTAGCGTACATGATCGTTGCAGTTCGAGTGAAGCGGTTCACAAACATAGCCGCGCGGGGCTCGTGGAGAGGCTCAGCCAGACGCTGAGAGAATTTGTTGGAGATCCAAGTAAGCATGTGGTAGCGAGGATCATTTGGGGAGGAATTGAACAGCTGGCGGACGATGGGCGCATCAGCGGCGCGCTCTATATTATTGAAGCAAAGATTAGTGGGATAGTCAAAAAAGCAGGCCAATTAAAAGAAGTAGACAAACGAAGGTCCCCAAAGAAGATCTGTCATGACTTACTCTGACTTCCATGTCCTCGGCCGTAGACGGTGGTACTTGCGATCAACACATCGTACACTACGGTAAAGACACACTCGCACCCCACCCAGGAACCGTTCTTATGCCGGATCGAACAATAATTCAAGACTGCAGCCTTATCCAATCGCACCCCACGACCATGGATCGATCGGGCAAACGGTAGTTCCTGGGGGTGGAAATACTCCCAGCACGAGCGATCGAGAACTTCATGAGGTTGGTAGCCCAGCACCACCTCTATGCTACCTGACGCATAGCGAATCGAAGCATCTCGGGACAGATCTGGAGCGATGTTAGTGGGCAAGCACAGAGACTAGGATCGATCGATCGGGAGCGGGAAGACCTGCCGTGGATCGTGATGAACGTGGTGTCCATTTTGCGGCGTTTCTGCAGGTCTGCAGAAGAGTGGAACCCGCGCACTACCTGTGAAGAATGCGAAGAGAAAGACAATCTAGCATCGAAGTGGAGAAGAAGGTAAGAGGAGAAAATTAAGAAGTTTCGACAGACGGCGGAGTGGACATCCACAACAGCTGTCAACCAGGGATCGGAGGGCCCTTTTCAGGTACATTTTGCCTTTCTCAGGCACTATCTATATGAGACTACATAAGTACCGTTGTGTATCTATATAATTACCGAGATATGCGCCTTCAATCATATTCCCCTTTGTTGTGCTATGCATCACATCGATACTTCTCTCAAAGGACCTAGGGATCCACGATGACGACGATGACGACACGTGGTGCCTGAGGCCAAGATCAAAATCGACTAACACCCCTAAATTTCATCTCCATGATGACATGAATCTTTTCCTAAATAAGCTAGACCGGACTGTAGGTAGCCAATAAAATCAGCCCCCTAACTCTAGGCTTCCTTGCCCTCAAAGCTTAACAAATTGGTGCCTATACTCCTTCAAGCAAGAGACATTTGTATCTAAAATCCGATATTCTAGAAAGAAAGTTCAATTCAAGTACCTATTCGACCCTTCAATATGTCAATGGTTTCTAGAGACCCTTTCCAACTCTCCGGCCGCTATGCCGAGAATAATCGTTGGGAAATTGTCTTGATTACCGGTGTCTCCTCTGACATAGGTGTCGAGACAGCTCGTGTCTTAGCGTCTACTGGAGCTACTGTTTTCGGCACGGCCCGCAATCTTGCAAAGGCAAAGGAGGCCCTAGGTTCTTCGCGCATTGATACTGGTCATGTGAAGCTTCTTTTCATGGATGAATCGGATCTACCGAGTGTCCCGGCGTGTGCTCAGGAGTTTTTGGAACAAAGCTCCAAGCTTAATATTCTTATCAACAATGCGGCTGGAAGTGTATTGAGTTACAATTCTGGCAATATTGTTTGCTCACTGTTTGACATAGGTGATGAACACCCCCGGAAGCCGCACCAAGGATGGATTTGAGCTGCAATTTGGAACAAACCACCTGTCGCATTTTCTGCTGTTTGATCTATTTAAAGATACTCTATTGGAAACCGCACGTTCCACAACAGTTGATTCCCGCGTCATTAATGTTTCATCCGCAGGCCATCGCTATAGCCCTGTCGTTTCGACAACATCAATTTTGAAGGAAACTACAACGGATGGCTTGCATACGGATCAAGCAAAACGGCCAATTTCTATATGGCTACCCAGATGGAGCGCTTGTATGGATCACAGGGCCTTCAAGGATTTGGCGTGCATTCTGGTGGCTTGGTGAGCCCTTACCTACAGAGGCACTCACAAGAGGAGACGAAGGTTGTCATGGCAGACAAACGTGCCCAAGCCTATTTGCCAAATATCGAACAGGCTTGTGCAACTACCATCTATGGCGCTGTGTCAAGCAAGTTGGAAGGGAAGGGTGATCTATACTTGGAGGGGGCATCTGTTGCAATTCATCCGGCGCCTTCTGAGGGAGATGCGCTTGAGTATGAATTTGGCAGTTAGGCCTTTGATGAGGCGAAGAAAAAAGTGCTGTGGAAGTTGAGCAAGTCCTGGGTAGGGGCTGAGTGAGACCTGGACTCGGTTTTGTTGCGCATATTTATCTCGATGATGATTGGATGTTTGGAGGGGGCTGTCACAGCTGTTACAATGACTCCTCCCTCTCAGGGGCTGCCGGCGAGATGTAAACAATCGATTTCCTTGACTCCACAATTTTCCTTCATTTAATATGAATGCCAGATAACTTTGCCTCAGACAAAACGATTGTTGACTTCTGTGATGTGACAGGCGCTCAGATTGTGCCTTGGGAGGCAACAGCCCCCTTGATGATCCATCATCTTTGTTTTCATTAAATACCGACTAAAGTATGTGAACTTGGCTCACAGGCAGGATAGGATGGCTTTGAACGCGAAATTACTTAACAGGTCAATATTTGGGATTTTGCGGACGAAAGTTCCTAGCCCCCAGTCTGGCCCGGTCATTTTTTTCCGAGCTTCTGAGCGCATTGAAGAGAAACGCGCACCCTATGACAGCCCCAAGCATTTCTATCTCATGCAACTTCATGAAATCCTTGCCAACAGATATTAAGTTTGCTACCAAGATCGAACGGAGTTCCAGCTTGACAGTTTGTTTAGCCAGGGAATTACACCAGTAAGTCGCCGGAGGGATGAGATTGGGCCAATCTAATGAAGTTGGCGCTTGCTTCCTACACGATACGCCACAAATAAAGTCGGCACAAATGACTAAGCTTCTGAAGAAGATGCTGAGAATGAGTTAAGAATTACGCAGCGCATAACCAGAGCAAATGCACACGTTCATGACCGGTATTTTGTTCGTACTTGACTTGACTCATTCGACTTGGCAGGACTACACCGTAATCGTGTTGGCATGGTGTTTGATCCTTAATATCAGCCTCTATGGATGTTACAAGGACGCTTTCAGGGGATTGTGATTTAAGGATATGATAAAGCGGAGAACTAAACGTTCACGATATTTTGATAATGATGGTATTTGAGCCTCGTCACCCCATCGAAAGCCTTTTCTACTGACTATAGAAATAGATCGTTTCCAAATTCCCGAGTTCCTTCGAGAAGAGCGAGAACTTGAACAAAAGCAAGTATTCTCGAATCACGATGGCGTCCAAAAGATCATCGGTCGACTGCGGAGGAACTACTATCTGATCCGTGGCCTGTAAATGCATTCGAATAGTAGTTTCGTGCTTGGAGAACTATATCATATGTAAGACGTGATTGCTATAAATATGGAATTCCATGTAAACAGACAAAAACCGTGCCAAGGCTAAACAAGGGTCAAGACATGATGTGTCGATCAAACTTCGATCCGACATCCGAGCTCCACTTGCGTGAATCATTCTTTGTTCACGTGCCCTAAGGAATGACCAATAGAAGCCATTGGCCCCCCTGAGTCCGTTTTGAAATTGATCTCCTGCACCCCTTCCCGCATGATTGACAACTGCCAAAAATGACAATTGAGGCCTACTCCGTTCCAGCTGAGTCCGAAGCCCTTCTCCGGAAGGGGATTCTGGAGAACCCCGTGTTATCCTCCAATATCCCTTCCAATGCTGATTACCTGGCGAGCTTTGTAAAGCTTTCCGGTAACGCAAAGCCAAACCTGCCAGTCAATTGGCGTTTTGCTGAGAGTATATCATCTCTCAAGGGCCTCGAAGCTATTTGGCTTAATGCTCTGCTGGAAGCCAAGTACAAGCAGAGCCCAGTAAACATTGAGATCGATACGTGAGTGAGACACCCACCGACTTTTTGCAGCCAGGTGTCTGATGAGAGCAGCGACCATGCCTCCCTGTTTATCATGTCACTATTGCTTGTAGATGTCGTGGACGAAGAGGGCAGGCCTTTCAAGAAAAACGTGTCTCCGGTTGAGCGCCTGATGTCAATTTTCCCTACCCCAGGAGAAGACCTTGACCAGGGATCTCCGCTACGTGCTGCCGTTACCAGTATCTACAAGACGAAGGATTCTCGCTTTTACCATGTCCATGGTACGTTTTCTCGAAATGGGTGCAAAAATGGAAATTGGAACTCACAAATTCAACAGGAGGTATGAATGCCAATCCATCCTTGACTGCCTTGGAGATTCCACTAGACCACCCGGTTTCATCAATGGCAAGGGCATTCAAGTTGATTCAAGACCATGTTTTGCGACATGATTCGAATGAGCTTGACGCTCTAATGAATGAGACCTATCGCCAGGCTGGAACCGCCTGTCTGACCACCGAAGAATACAAGGCCAGTAAACATGGAAAAGCGAATGCAAATGCCGGGCTCTATGAGTTGACGCATATCCCCAACAGGACCCAAAAGCCCACTTGGTGGCAGGAAACTTCAGATACTGAAGTCAAGCGTCCACTGGCGGGGTTGAAAGTCCTAGACCTGACTCGCGTTATTGCTGGGCCTTCGATATCAAGAGGCCTAGCAGAGTGGGGAGCAAGTGTGATGAGAGTCACTGGCCCAGGGGTCTTGGATTTCTACCCCTTACATGCGGATCTTAACTGGGGAAAATGGAACTGCTCTATTGATCTCAAGACTGAGACAGGAAAAGGACAGCTACGTAACCTGATTCAAGAGGCAGATGTTGTCTTGGATGGTTACCGACCTGGCGTGATGGAAAAGTTGGGATTTGGTAGAGACGCTGTGCTAGAACTTGTCAAGGATCGGCCAGTTGGCCTTATTTATGCTCGCGAGAATTGCTACGGCTGGCATGGTTCTTGGAAAGATCGGAGTGGCTGGCAGCAAATTAGTGATGCGGTATGCTCATCTCGTTTCATAGGTGTGTTTGCAACTGACTCGTTGGATCTTTTTCGCAGGTTTGTGGAGTATCATACGAATATGGCCGAGCAACCGGACAAGATGAGCCGGTCACTCCCATTTTTCCTAACTCAGACTTCTGGTAAGTAGTGCATGCTTCTCAGCCAACAAGAATATTGATTCTTGCTTTCTATATAGTACTGGTGTTATTGGAGTCTGTGGTATTATGAACGCTCTCATTGAGAGAGCAGAGAAGGGCGGATCATTTTACATGGATGTAAGGGACCCCTCGCTCCTCAAAACCTTCGGGCCGTGGAACTGACTCTCTAGACTTCTCTCAACTACTATTCCCAGTGGCTAGTCAACTCGGTTGGTGTTTACCCTGATGCAGTCTGGAAGGATGTCTGGGAAAGACATGACCGTCTAGCCTTCCGTCACTACCATAATATGCCGGTCATGATTCCGGCTGTTATGGAGTCCCTTCTCAGGAACAGCGCAGCTCATCTATTCCAGCCGCGGTTCTTTGAAGTTCGCTACTCGGGCGCCGTTGATCGTCATTTCAAAGCTCTCCGCCCGATTATCTCATTTCCCGATAAAGACGTCACTCCTCGTTTCAATGTTGGCACAAGGACCAATGGACATGATGCTGCACAGTGGCCGGAAGATCTTCAAAAAGAAGTGATAGTATAGAGTATCGATGAATATTTGCCGAGCGTCTAGGTTCACCAAGAGGGCATAAGCAGCTTGCATTAGTTTCATCAATGGTGGGTCAGTAACCAGCGAATGGCATTTCAACACTATGGCAAATAATATACTGTAGTGTACATTTTCAGTAACAATGGCGTGAAATCTTCGGATGCCTTGGAGCAAATTGCAACTAGTAAAGGCACAACAGTGCAAGCAGTGGTATGTCATCACACTAAGTCTATAAGATCGATATCTTTACTAATAAAAAGAATTAAGGCATTGGCGAACCTGTCTGCGCAATCAACCTATAATTTTCCGATCATCAGTGTCCGAAGGGTTGAGAAAATCAAAACAATGCCGGACGCAGTGGGCATAAAACTCTCCGATGATGAGGATTCACTCCAGAAATCGGCATCGTTTGACCCATTTTTTCCTATGAATTTCTTTTTCAATGTTGATGGTCAGCAAGACTATAATCTTGGTCTGACTGCTGTGCAAAATCAGAAATACCGGATATCTACGTGGATAGATGCGCTACCAAGTTTGCAATAAGTTACAACCCATATATTCGTTACTAGATACAGTGTTACCAATAGCCAAGAAGCCTTATGAGCCCCGTGAGAGCAATGAGAGTCTTTAACTAAGCTCGGGGAACCTTTGTGCAATGGTAGGGGATATATCAACTCAGCCCGACAAAGTTTTAATGGCATCACAACTCTCACAATGATAAATATAATGCACACACAGAGAGGCTCTTCTTGGATGAAGACAGATACTCAGGGCAAATAGCAACATGGATCCTGCCGGCAATGATCCCTGACATTTTGTAAATAACAGGGCTATTAAACTAGGTGGCTTGCGAAGAATTTGGCTAGGTAGTTGCTCCACAGACAATCCCCCAGAACAGCCATTTTTCTCTTTGTGAGAGTACGGGAACTGCCTCCATCTACATTAACGAAGTGGGGCTTCATTATTTCAGGGGACCAAATAATCTTTCGGCTTCCTTGCTATAGACAAGTGCATACACACGTACATTCGATTCCCTGTACTAACGCACAGATCGCCCGTGTTCAGGGATGGCTCTGCGACCTACCCGAAACAGTACATGTTCGTCAGCATGATATCATGGCTGGCAATAATCATATACAAAACTATTTAGATCTGCCCTTATCCTCCTGCAAGGCTACTTTAACAATCTATTTTCTTAGCCACAGCCCTAGGCACAGAATTTAAACTTTCGACCTTACCACCGATATGTCGACGTTCGTACGAAAGGCAGAGAAAGCGATCACGAGCGAACAGCCGAATCGAGACAGTTCATTCAATCATGAAACTCATACTCCAGACCTGGATCCTGGTAATAAAGCCGACACAGAAATGACCAGTGGTAAAGGTGTGACAGCTATTGACACAGAGACCATTGTAGCGCAAAAGTTGACCTGTCTAGAAACTCATGAGGCGAATTCCAGCAGTTTTGCTGGCGATGCTCATCACGATTTAGTCAGGCACTACGGCAGTAAAGAGGATACTGGCCTACATGGCTCCAAAATCGCAAATAAACTCGACCCTCGGGTGGATCCCAACAGCAATATTCCGGGTTGGATGATCGTCTGAATACCAGCAGTAGTGGACAGGGGTCGGGGCTATATCATGGCAGATGTATCTGAAAGGCTAGATTATTGTCTTACTACTGCTCATAATGCATATACTGAAAGCCGAAGGCGGCTTCGATATAAAGAAGAAATGTCCCTATATATTGTGCAAAGGGCGACTCAACATCGAAATCGTTTGGGTATGTCTAGTTCAAATTTACTATAGCGGTCAAGTATACCTGTAATCTAACACAGTAGATGTCGGGTCACTCGGTTCTAACCACTCATTGACACCAAAGATGATTTACTTTTATCGGCCACAGTATCTGGCTCTATGCTTGGACTTGACATAAAAAACCCAGAAGCTGTTCATGCTGACACTAGGAGCAATTTGGGATGGCTTTGTCACATTGCACATTGCTCTCCCGGCAACACTTGAAAGGTCTCCAGCCGCTTGCTCGAGAATTCAGGACTCGGTGGCCTATCAGCTATAGTTTGTTAATTTTGATGATCAGAATTACTATTGCTTGCATTGCAGAACCAGTTTTCCACCGCAACAAAGACGGCTGCTGAAGGCCTGGCGAGGATAGTTAGCACAGAAACCGAACGCGATGTGGCGGGGTTAACATGAGCTAGACTTGCGTTGTTCTAAACTGAGCCGTGGAATAAGGGAAAGAAGATGCGTGATACGAGGATACGTAGCCCTTATACAGCATGATACACCCAGAGACCTTCTTAGTATGCTCACGCACGGGGAATCTAGCGGGGGCGGGGGAGACTTAGTCTCTCATGAACGCGGCTGATTAAATTATGCTAATAATGGATTTGAATTCAAATCTAGCTTTATAGTTACATAAGCAATATCGATGATATGGACACAAAGTACCAAATGGCAGCTGGTACGATCCGGTATCAAGCGAAGGATCTTGGGGTAAACATCTTCCAGTAATAGTATGTCCAAAGGTACTTTTGTTTCCTTTAATTACAGTGCAGTAAGTTTACGACAATCTCTGCACGGCAGTGTCTTGGGCTAGGAATTCCTTGCGGTATTATCTCCGCCATACTTCTTTCTTAGGTCCTAATACTTTACAGTCTGGCATTTGTATTAAATGGTGCTTGAACGTTGCCAATGATGATAAGATTAGGCGAGTCCAGCGCGTGGCTGATTTGTGCGTATTAGAGTGTATAGAAATTACAACTTGCCCCGTAAAAGTGCAAGGGTTTTCACGTCGAATATGAAATATGCTTCATACTGTGTGGATTATCACTGAGCCCATCCACATATGACATCACCACACGCTCCCCACTTTCTCCTGGCGTCTGGTGTTAACACAGTCAACTGCGTTGGCTTTATATCGGAGTGCTATTTGACTCTACCATGTAATGCAGGTCCGAATTTGAACATAGGAGTGCTTTCCTTTCATTTGCCACCTGTTATGCTCAGACTTGCCAACCGGTCCAGAATCTTTTCGATAGCCTCGAGGCTGTCCCTCATCCCTGGGAACCCTTACTGCTAATTGGTGGTATCTCGGCACGAGCCGCCCTTGGCTCATGTCCGCAAATGCAGGTTCTTGGACCTCCACCTCTCGACCCGGGATCTGCGGTGGCTATAGATCCCGACGGTCCACAATAGAGACACTCTGCGATTAGGTCATTGGAGCCACTGCAATCCTGAGCTATCGGCATCATGATCCGTATTCTGGTTCTTCATCCCTTAATTCAAGACATAACTTGTTGACCATAGGTTCGTGGTTCATATAAGAGCATCAATGCCTCTCCCCACCCTCTCACTTTTCCCAATTCTACCAGCGTTGTTTGCCTCCTGAAGTATGATCCTTCGACAACTATAATGCGACATTTCGTTTCAAAGACTATTCCGCACGATGACTACAATGCTTGAGGCCCCAATTACCATCCAATATTTGGAACCAGACACGCAGTTCGTGAATCCGGCAGCTATAGTCTGGTCGAATGCTTCCCACATCACTTGCAATAAAGATGGACTTCTCGCCGAACCCTTGAAACCCGATCAAGGCAGCAAAGCGACAACCAATTCCCCATCAAGTCCAGAATTGAAGCCACATGTGGGACTCAATAGGCAGCGGCGTGGCTCGAAGCTTCAGTCCCACAAAGAAGGTCTCACCCCAGAGAGGGCCCGGTATCTCGAACGTAACCGCGTTGCTGCGAATAAATGCAGGCTGAAGAAGAAGCAAGAGTGCGAAAAAATCCAGCACATACTAGACAGAGAAACGACAAAGCGGGAAACACTCCTAGCTGAAGCCAAAGAATTGAAGGAGGAGGTCTGGCAACTCAAAAACATGGTCTTTGCGCACGCAAGATGCGGGGACGAGCAAATCAACCGACAGCTCACGAAAATGACGCAAAACGTCCTCAAGTCGAGCTCGTTGCAGTGTTCAGCTTTGAGTAGGCCAGAGGAGAAGGATCTAGACCTATCTATAGCGTCTCCATCTTTAGTGCATGACACAGTGACCTGTGCAGAATTCTTTGATGATAGTTACATTGATCTACCTGACGTGTAACATGGCTCTCCCTCAATGGCATCTTTTAACACACGTTTATTCCATTCATGGCGCACTATAACTAAGATCGGCCATTATAATATCCGTTTAGCTAATCTCATTTACAATACGTCCCGTGACTACATCCTTGATTTATTTGACGGCCTCAAGTACCGAGACACGCGTCATTGCAACTTGTAGAACAAAGAATTAGAGACCTCTTTACCGTTAGCACCTTTGCGGCAGTCAACGAAATGCATCGAGGGTCTCAACTGGTTCGGGAAAACCAACCACCAATGATGTGAGGTGATCTACAAAGTGGGGCGAATTAAATACCTGAAGGTATTCCGGGCTTCCGCAGTTCAATCTCATTGGCTTTATACATAACAGACTAGAATGCCCAATGTCCTAATGTTTGCCACAGTATGGATGCAAGGAATCATGTTGTTGTTATCCAACAGAGTTCTTTTATCTACTTCAGTACTTAGCGCCATAGCTGTGATACTCATCATTTTTTCCCTGATTGATCCTTTCAAATCACATTTGGACTGCGAAAACGATTACCTTCGAGCATGTTTGATCTCAATCACTTCTCGCCTGAGATGGGCCCGTCGCTGGCCCAGTTTACTCGTAGAGATATTATGGGCTCGGAACCCACCAAGACGTTAGCAGTATTACGCTAGCCAAGAGGTAAATACTGAATGTGAAATTAGATATAACGTTGGAACGTGTTTGGATGGGCATACATAATCTCGTCTGGTTTGCTGTCAGCTCCTATAATGACATGCATTCTCTGAGAAGCAGTTCTACTATAGCTTAGCAAAAGATCATATTTCAAACCGAACAGTCGTAGACAAAGTCCGGAAGGGAATATTTACCGGATAACGGTGGTGCTTTCAACAAGCTGTCAAGTTCTGCTTGTGTTATGGTGCATCGACCAAGTCATACATTATAGCTTTCAATCCAAATATTGACGCTGAGTTTTCAGTATAATGACTTATATTGCAATTATTGCATGCGCCTTACGTCGGGAATAAAGAATTCGCAGAGCAAATTTATATGTGAACAGGGTTTATATCTGAGATAATGCCAAAAATCAAAATCAAGATATCATCTAGCAAGTCCTACAGTGGGGTCTCTAAGTAGGGATTATTTGACGCAACACACAACGATTTACCAGGTTGGGATGCCGGCCGGTGATCTCGATGCAAGATCTATCCATATGAACCATTACAAAGGCCCACTGGCTCAGAGAAAAATGAAACGGTGTTTTGGTAAATTAAATTCCGTGAAATAGGCGTGGATCACTATCACTACTCGGCTCAATAGAGGTTCAGTCTTCATGCTGAAATGCATAAGAGCATGCAATATGCAATGCTACGACATCGGCCACCAAACCCATCTATAGCGTTTTGCGAGAATAGCCTACTATAGCGGAGAGGCTTAATGTGTCATTTTCGGCCATGCTGCGGTGACGGCAATCCACACCATTTCCAACCTTTGAAGTAACTTCTATACGAAAAACTGGAATCCTGTTCACTTCAATCTTGCTGGCCCTTTTGCAAGCATCACATATATGATACAATTGTATGACTCGACGTAAATTACAGTAATCTCCCCTCTTAGCAATCTGAGGTGATACATCTTTTTAGTCACCTAAGTGACTATGTTGACAGGTTAAGCCCTCTAGAATTATGGCAGTCCTTCTTTTTGCTTAGACATATCACCAATTGCGACATCGGAGCCACAGAGCAAAGCTCTGAACCCGAATGACGTCATTTGGATGTCAGTGTCAAGCTCGGCAACTACCTGAATCTAGATCTCTTGGGTTTCGCAGGTTGCAAAAAGCGGAAAAGGAATGTTGGATACTGTATGACGTCTAATTCTTTTCTCAAAGCAGGCCAAAGAATATATTACCTGATTTTCATGGTGACGGCCAAGACTCGCTGGCTTCCTTCGCCTCTTTAAAATCACGATCTTGTCCAGTAAAGGCCACTTCCTTAATTGAAATCTACAATTTAACTTCACCTGACGACTATTACTGCCCATATCAATATTCCTATCTCATTTTCACTCTATACTACAATACTTGCAAAATGCTCGGACGAACTTCAGGGCCTGCAGCAAGATCCGCCAGACAGCAATTGCGATGCAAAGCTCGCTTTATCAACTCTCGCTTTCAATCCACAGCTTCTAATGCGGCTTCCACTAGTAGTAATCCCGCTTTAATTGGTGGTCTTGCTGGTGGAGCTGTCGCCTTCGTTACGGGTTACACCTGGTACCACTTTTCCGGAGCCAAGACGCTTGTGAACACCAGCAAGCAAACACAAGCATATATCGATCAGACCAAGCAAACAATTGCTCAGAAGACACCTGAGCCAAACGAGGCATTCAAATGGGTGAGGGATACGATCAAAAGCTACGCTGTCTTCATCCCTGGCGCGCGAGGCTACATCGACACCGTATTTGACGACCTCGATAAGATCAGAAATGACCATGGAAATGAGTTTGATGAAGTGGTCAAAAATGCATATATGGAGTTGAAAGATCTCTCGAATAAAGAAGGATTGAACATAGACTCGGCATCCAAGGCATTGGTCGTGCTACAAACACATGTGAAGCAGTTGTACGACCTTGCTGGCGATGCCGCGGAGAACGTTCTCGACAATCACCCTCAACTGAAGGAGAAATTTGGTGGTGGCATTGATCAACTCAAGGAGTTGGGTGACGCTTATGGGCCTCAAGCCAAGGAGGAGGTTGATCGGACCTGGCAACAAATCTCCAGTATTCTGCAGCGCGGCGCAAGTATCAATTCAACTGAAGAGATCAAAAACTTGATCCAAGAGAAGAAGACAAAGCTTGAAAAACTAGGGGATGAGGCGTGGCAGAAGGGTTTCGAGGAGTACCAGCAATACCTTGATAAGAGCCCCAAGCTTAAGCAAATGATCGAAGACAATGCCGATACCTTGAAGAAGGGCAATCCGAAAGATCTTTGGGCTCTAGTTAAGGAGAGTGCTTCTTCGGGGAAGATAGAGGATGTGGAGAAGTATATCAACGAGAAGGTTGATCAAGCGAAGAAAAGCGGCTTAAGCGACCTCAACAAGTGGCAGAATATGCTGCCTGGTGGTTCCAGCGTCATCCCTCAGTTGCAGTCACTACAGGCTATCGCGCAAAACAGGGGAAGCGAGGCACAGAACGTGTTGAAAGAGACCGTTAAGGAAATTCAGAATGTGCTAGAGAAGCGCAAGGAACAGTTGGAGAATATTGCCGAGGAAGGAAAAGAAGAGAGCAAATAACTTTTGTTTGTTTGTATGAATTGTGATAGTTGATAGTCATAGGTACAATAGCACATATCCAGCGGACCTCTGATCGTATGGCAAGGAATAAATCACGTCAGCCTCGTACACCACAAAAAAAAAAGAATTCACGCAATCGCCATCGATCTATTGCCACCAATGATGAAAGCCTCTACATATTTCCGGTCATATTGAAGGTAGGTACTGCATACTAGATAGAATCACTTCAGACAAGACGACATTTTGCCAAGATGAGATTACTGTAATTTACGTCGAGTCATTGAAAGTACATCACCAGATGCAAGTATAGCGGATAAATGTTTTGATACGGCCTAGTGCACCATAGGCGGAGCTTCAGGAAGTAAAGAGAGAGATCGGAAGGAAACTGATTTCTGGTAAGAATCGCATGACTTTTATAATGCTGCGTGGCCGTTATTTATGCTATGCTATCGTTAGTAATCCGTTACTATTAATCCGGTTTCCAAGCAGTATTATACTTGATGAACTCAGCACTGACAGTTGACTAATAACCCTGGCAAGCGCTCGGGACCTCAGTCATCTGCATCTTGAACTTCTATTTTTTTCATTCGGGAGAAGTTTTTGCCAACTGCACATGTCCGACAGGATGTCCACGAATTATATTGTAGGCCTAATCTCCCGTCGTCGCCTACACCTCCCTCTAACAAAGACAGGTAACCTTCCAAGACTCGGCGACCACGGCGCAGATCAATATCTACATCCAAAAGATTAACGATGACGGTGGAAGTGTAATCAATAGGTTTCCCGATATGGTCACCAGGGGCTTTACGTTTGTGGCCTAACTACTACAACGCTTCATCGGATGTGTTACTAATGTGCGCTCCAGTGCCAGTATAACGGATTCAGTCCTCGAAAAGCTTCGATCGGACCCTTTGATTGATCGTATCATCCCTGATAGCTCTTCTTGAGATTCGGGGTCACTCCTTCTAAGAGAACTGCCTAGTCTAGCATCCTTTTGTTTGGCATTCCCTATATCCCACTGAAATAACCTCAGGATACGTTGCTCTCTCATTGAATTGACCACCATGCTGGCTAGCTCATACAGGGAGCGGACATTCATTTCTCAATTGAAACCTTTGCCATGGATTTGCGCCGCAATACTTTGTATTTACCTTACTGATTATGTCTGCTCCGAGCAATTGATCAATCCTGACCTGGAAGGTATACAGTAACATTCGAAAAACAGTAATATCTCCACAATCTAACTATTTCACGTGCGGAAGATAGATCCGAATTACGCTAATTCATTTTAGCTTACTGCCTCATAAGATCTGCAAAACCATCGTCGTAAAGATTAGAATAGTATTAATGAGCCATCGTTCTAGTACCGTGATGATATGGAGAACCACTCAGAATCTTTCGTAGATCTGGCGATCTTGCCAAGGTCGCCCTCTAGCTTTCCGCTTTCCCGTCCGTTCATACCTTGCGACGTAAAACTTATTGGTGTGCTTCCTACTAATTATAGGAATCGCCTTCATCACATCACAGAAGCGACAATGTGTTAGTCACGAGGAGACTTGAGACGAGAATGGTTAGCAACAACCTCTAGATAGCTTCGCTATCTGCCCCCCCCAATGAAAGTAGTACATCATCAAGAGTTTCGTGTGGGGCAGGAACATAATCAAGCATGTCGATCTCATTCCCCAAAATGCCGAAAGACGGCTGCAGAGGAAGGTCAAAGTCGTCTGTAGCTCCTTGCTCTAGGAATTGCGCACCAACGACGGTGCTGCTGTCGTAGCCGAAGTCTCCAGTACCAGCGAATTGGGGGTAGGAGACATCATCCTTGCATCGATTTTGCTGATGAAACTGATCCGTTGGTACAGCCAAATAATGCACGTTGGATTCGGCGCTCACGGGGATGAACTCGTCAAGATCAAAGCTAGTGGGCGCAATACGGCGAATGCAATTTTTGCAAATTTCGAAAGCCCGGTGTGCGGAGACATCTGTTTTCCCAAGGCAAGATAGCCACTGCAATGCTTTTTTGGCCGCGGTATGAACAGTTTCGGAATCGACAGCTTCTGAAGAGCCAGAAACTTGGCCAGCATCCATGCCACTAGTGAATATGTGGCTTCTCTGCTTTTTGGGCGCCAAGTTTTCAAGTGAAATGTTTATGAGTAAAATTGTCGTAGCTTGAACCAAAAAATGAAGAACGTTCCACCACAGGACGTAACAAGCCCAGATGGGATCTGGCTGATCAGGAAAAATGGAAAGAATCGCTAGAGCTGAATGTAGGCAGGTCGTCGCGCTCTCTTCCCTCGCGCGAGAACGATATGAATTGATGGCGCTCTTTCCACTCGCCCTCGGTCGAGTGAGACAGGGTCTGTTGAGGACAATTCGGGAACTGTAATAATGTAGAGAGAGAGAAATTTGATAGGTGTTGCTTTTAGAAACAGTTTCTCCAGCGTTGATTGCCTTGAAGCTCACGCTGTCAGGCAGACTAGAGCTCCACTCCTCCATTGTCCTATTGAAAAAGGAAATGCGGCTCTGTATTTGATCCCATCCTTGGTTAACAGCATCGGTGCTGTACACTTGTGTGGAAGCAGTATGCGAGATCAAAATGAGATCCGTCAGACAAAAGAAATAAAGCTCATCGGTAGCATGCATGAATTTCATCGACGCTCGTTGGGCTTCGAGCGGCTCGCGTTGCTGGTAAATTGTCCACTTCATAGGTGGATTCTCAGATGGTCGTTCTAGACGGGCTTCTGGCCTGTCATCCGTGAAATGTTCCATGTTTTCCGCGACGAGAGGTGGGGGTGCAGAACAAAAACTGTTCCCTAGACCCGAGGCCCGTCCAGTCATAACAGAGAGGAGGTTTTCTAAGATAAAAATCGACCACCAAAGCTTATGCCGAGCTTCTAAAGCTGAAGCATTCAATTTGTTGTGCGTAGCTCTGAGGTGTAGACCCAAGGCAATAGCGGAACGAGTAGCAGTGCCAATCATCTTCCACGCCCTGTGAAAAGTCAGACGCTCATATCGGATGCGGTGGCCTACTTCTCGGTGTGCAACATACCTGTTGATTTGGGAAGAAGTCATTAAAAAGAACGCCGCGAGTGTTTCTACCTGCACTTGCTGCAAATCTTCATGGTCCTCCACCAGACTTTCGGATATGATCAGCTTTTGTGCACGGGAAAAATATTTGTTGTCCCTGCGGTGAATATTTTGGCCGGAGACCTGACACAACTTGCTGCTGATGGCGAAGATCAAGTTTAGCACGGCCAACCACTTTCTTCCAGGATGTATGGAATCTCCTGAGTATAAAGAATCAAATTGATCCACAAAAAGAGCCTGTCGGATAACGGGCAACGACGGTTGGACACTGTCTAGGTATAACCTCAGTAAGCGTTCTGCCGGGGCTTTCGCCGGTAGGGTGTAAGGATTTTCGTCTTCTAAACCGGGGTAATCGGCGGATTCTATATGATAGTCCACAGAGGCCACCGAATCATCATCACGGGACTGGGAATGCTGGCTGCCCTTGGAGACCCCTTCGTTGTCTCCGTGACATCTAGCTTTTAGTGTCAAACTTTGCATCCAGGCAACTTCGGAACTCTTTCCAAGGTATCCCGTAGCTATGCTCGCTTTGCTCCGATTTACGTCTTCATCGAGAGTATCTAGAGCGTCCAGGGAGCCGACAGACGATGTCAACGAGGTACTAGAGGCACTGCTTGCCTCCCCTCGTGACTCCTGCCCTTGGAGCGAAGGCTGTAAAATGATCAGTAAGCGTGAACGAAACGTGCGACAGCAATTCAAACAAACCAAAGCTTTCATAATTTTTCTTGCAACAAATACATCGACTTCTTGAGATATCTCTCGAAGTAACCCCTCATAACGGTCGACTTCACGGTTCGCTGACTCGAACCGATCCCGCTCTTGGGCTTGCTTCGACTGTGAATAAACGCAGTCTTCCAGTCCTGCGCTGGCGCACTGGATGCATACTGGCCTGTCGCCGTCACATTTTATTTTGCGCGATCGACACTCATCACAAGCACGAGCGGTACGACGTGTTTTCGAACCCTGGTGCTGATTCGGCAAACGTGGGATAGGGATACGGTTAAGCATCGCGTTACTGCCCGAAGCCACGATGAATTTATGTAATTCGGTAGTGTTTCGCTGTTAAGTATATGATGTAACTGATTAGCGGGCTGACCTGCTTTAGTTGAAAGGTAACAAAGTCTCCGGTGTATATTCCGGGGACGCCCCTGCCCCTCACCCCGAATTTGGAGGCTAACTATGGTTGGACAGGATCTCCGTCTTCTGATTAAGCCACAGGGACGCGGAACAGAGTTGAAAAGAAAAAGCTGTGGTGGTGGGCCCTAGTGGGCGTATCATACCGCCGTGATCTATTGTGCCCCCGTACATCCCCTTGTCTGTAGCCGTCAGACCCGAAGGAGTGGCGAATATTGAACATTGATCCACTATTGCAATAGTTGTGATGGATTTCTCCAGGGCATTGGTACCAAAGGTTCTCCCGAAAACCAACACGGCGTCATGGGCCTTGGCTGGGATTTTGCATCTGTTCGTAGCACACGTTCAATTGATTCAAGAGCGAACGGACCACATCTACTGAAAATAGAATTATCTACAATACTGTTACCGTAGGTAGAACCTGCTGCTTACTGTATTGTATGTGAGAAATGAGGAGAGAAAGACTGGCCTAAGAGATAATTCGCCCTGAACTTTCCGGTATAAGTGGCCCGAAATCAGGATATTGCGAACGTAGTATGACTTTCTGAACGCCGAAATCGACTCCATCACACACAATTTTGAAATCGGTGAAATCGCCTTTTTCACGACATCTTCTGCTGCTTAGTAAACTTTCGCAAATATCGCGGAGAACGTACTCTGAAATTTCCTCAATGATGCGCTGAGGTTGTGTTGACGAAGTGTTGGACACGATTGCGTTAATGGTATTTGGAAGTAAAAAAAGGCAAGACTGCAAGGAAAACCTAACTAGTACTTAAATACTTTGAAATGCTCGAGGCCAAGCTATAGCAAACTAGGGACTGAATATGCAGTAAATGTCTCCATGCAGTACCTTCTTTTTTTATGATGTCAATATGTAAAGCAACTCAGCTGTTTGTCAAGTTTTTCACTGTGAGCCAAACGTGCTTTGATGAAAATCTTTTTTATAATTGACCTAGCTACTATACCGTACTGTACAGCTTTGCAGAGCCTCGAAGCGGATGGTGTCGTTTGATCATTCCGAGTGCGGTTTAGCGCTTTAATCTACTCCTTCCGCCGACATGAGAAAGAATACTACAAAATGCACAAAGGATGAGGGACATCAATAGTGGAGATAATTCCAATACTTTTGTTGGAACTTGCTGTACTCCGTAACTTGCTCAGCCAATAAGGGCGTTGTGATCTCTGTCTTTTATTACTTGTTAATTCCGGCTATTTAAAGTTATTCTATGCTTGTCATGAAAAACTCACGTACTCGAAAATACTATAAATCCGGGTTCCAAGCAGTATTCATGAACTTAGCACTAACATTTTCCAAAGCCTTATCATCATGTGACTAAACCTACAATATATTTGAAATCTCATAATAGCGAGCCTGAATTTGAGCGCGTCTGTACAGGATCACGAGGAAGAGCACTTGTTGAAAAGACAAGGTCTCGAACCCAGGGGTTCAGGGGATCGCGGCGTCAAACTCCAATTGCGATATAAATTTGTCGTATTGGTGTACCGAGCGGGAGCTAACCCCGGACCGATGACGGACCCATCCGTGGGGGCTTCCGGGCCCCTCCCACAAACACCCAGGAAACCCACACCAGCTTCTCAGTTGAGGACTTCTTTGAGTACCACTAGTTAGTCAATCGATCAAAGTTTTACTTTTCACTAGACCTTATAAAAAGCCTTAGACCCCGAGGGACGTTTAATGAAAGAGCTTATAGGAATATTGACGTCTAAAGCTTATTTTCCGAGGTATCTCAGAAAGTAGGTAGCTTCGTAATAGAGATACTCAATAATATAGTTAAACAGTGCATAAGTTATGTAGTCACGAGCCTAAGCGTGTTTGCAGTGTTTGGAATTCAAAATAGAGCTCGGGTTGGGCCCGGTTTAGGATTGTGTACGGATTGGTGGCATAGTGGGTGTTTGACGAAGGGAGGCCTAAATAATTGACGCGTTTTCGCGTTGCTGATCCACTCGGTTGTGAAATGCATTATCATCCGACTGCTTATTAAACAAAGAAACTGGTCACTAAGCAATCACCCTGTGCTGTGAAATACTTGAGCGCGACCCTGAGCGCCTTTATAACGCGGTGGCACCCAGTAGTGATTGCTGCAGGCGCGGCAGACTTCAGGTGTCTCGTTCCACCAGTAAGTACTATTGGACCAGGGGATTGATGCATTTGGATCTGCTTTGAGGAATTTGTTTCTGTTAACCCTTGCAATTGCGGTCATTGCTCTGGTCGTGTTTTTTTGCGATAGAGTGGCGTAGATTGCCTGTGGATACTAAGAAGAAAGAGTCCACAAGTGAGCCGACATAGTTTATCAAATTGAGAGGTCACTTTATATATTGGGAATATTATATGTCGCTTCTGGGAAACCCATGGATTTGAAAACCAGCATAGCTCCCTCATAGAGGCCCAGAAAGTCACTTCCTATGTCCCGCAATTCAGTTCATCAGAAAATACTGTTTCAGCTCATGATAAGTGATTGTCTTGGAACAAACATGACAGAGAAGGGGTGCCTTGGGAAGTATCCCGAGGCAGTGTGATCAAATTATGAAGTCAATGACTAGAGGTGAGTACACGAAAGCCAGATTTTGTGCCAATCAACCGCTAATCCATAGGCGCAGTTTACGTTTCTCGGATTTAACGTCAAAAGGCCCATCGCGCCACTCGCTTCTGCGAGAATCCGAAAGCGGCAGCGAAGCTAATCAAGAAAATTGGTCTTGCATAGCCTATAATTTTCACATCTACGTAGCAGAAGGAGAAGAAGATTGGGAAGACATCTAAGGCGCTTTGATTCGACGAATACATGGATCCATCGTTGCGTTTTGATTTATGATACGCGGTTAATTTCCCAGTTGGCGTAGAAGAGCCGTATTGGGGCTCGATGCGCATTGAAATATTAAAGGAGGAGAGGATGTTCTCCACTCTCAGGAAATGTGCATCCCAGATCCCAAGCCGAATATCGAGAATCTGAAAGTAGACTGAACATGGCTGTACACATATTAGCATTCGCTGAATGAAAGCAATGCAAAGCTTTGCTCAAGGGCTTACATTGTCCAGAAGTATCATAAATGTCATCAAAGTGATTTATAGCCTGCGGCTGCGCGGTGGGTAGCTGTAAGCCCGGGTCGGCACCAGTGCCAGTCGACTCAAAACTCATGGCATAATTCTCCAAAGCATGGGTATTTTGCATGTTAGGAGGATATAACGAAGGGCAACCTAGTACATTTGAAGGCCGGGTATTGATCTGGTCTTGTGTGTCGGTGTGGCTGGACCGGGCTGGCTCCCGTACTTGCGATGATATAGGACGGGTTTCCTGGGGTGCTCCTGACGCAGATAAAGCATTATCCATCTCTCGTCGTGTAGTAACCGTCAACAGCTCGGTCAAAAGCTCTTCTGCTTGTTTTGCTATGCGGTGCTTGTTGCGCATTGCCCGGCTCGACTTTATAATTCTGAAAACGGCAGCTTTCGCTTGTTGCGCAGGTTGAGTAAATGGCTGGCTGGGTGGAACAAGACACAATGTAACACCCGCGGTAAAAAGGTGCATGAAGAGGAATGATATGGCATAGTGCGTGTGGAACAAATGAACCGGGATTTGAGATAATCGATGTGCCGCCTCGACGGCAACGCCAAGTGATTGGTGTACTGTGTTAATCATGGATGTAGACTGAGGCATGCTGCTGCGCATTTTATACTCGAGCAACGGTTGATGGAAAAGTATCAGAGCCGCGTCATAGCTTAGTTGCATGGTGGCTGCCTGCAAGATGATAATATTGGCCTCTTGTTTTGCTTCTGGTGTAGCGTTCTGCAGACCCTGGTCCAGTCTTTCTTGGCGATTGTTCTCTGTCCATTTGGAAAAATCAAATAATGGAGGTATTTTGCCACGCCACTCTGTCAACATTGTCTCTGATTCATATGTAGCACGCTTGATTGCTTCAAAATCATCTTTTGAATCGCTTGATCGAAGATGCATAATGTGCGAGATAGTTTGACGTATCAAATCATACAATTTGAATTGGGCATTGTGAAAGGGCGCCCTAGAGGTAGTGGTACCAAGTTCCTGGAAGACTGGAGTATCCAGTAACAGTGGGTTAATCTCCATATCATCGAGGTCTTGGATTTGATGCAGGCTCGAAAACCGTGTATCTATGGACACTGGCCGCCCGAAGACCATAGAGGTATACGTATCCATCACAAGCACAGTGTTCCAACACCGCCGTCGCAGCTGATGAATGATGGGATCCTGGCCTTCCTGGGAGATATTGTAAAGCTGAAGATATATCGCTGCCCTGATAGCCATGCCGATCGTATTCCAGGCGAGGGTAGATGACTTATGGTATCCGTATATCGAAGACAGGAGCAGGCAGACTTGCACCGCTTCAATGCGACAGTCTTCCATCAAATCAAGCAGATGTAGACGGACCTCTGATATGATACTGACCATCAATTCACAATGATCTAGATTGAGGGCGCGGAGAATGCAACATCCAGGCCAGGTGTGATCTAGTGACCCGGCCTTCAGACCAACTGTTACCACCATCAAGACGACAATCACGTCGCTCAGTTCTTGTCTTTCCCAAGTTCCTGAAGTCGATGCAAGAACTCGCTGTGCAGTAGTTCGAAAAGTCGGTTCATGGAACATCAACACGAACCAATGCGCACGACTAAAATATGCATCTATGGCAGCCCACATGACGCTCTCTGGTGGAAGCTGCAGGTTTTTTAGAGACCAGCGGATATTTTCAGGAATGGCTATACCAGAGTCGCCAAGGACAGACTCTCTGGTGACGCTGCGACCGGTCTCTGCTTCATTGAAGACTTGTCGAACGAAGTCAAGGGTGGAGACATTTTCTGACGGTTGCTTCTCCGTTGTGTGATCATTACTAGATGGTTTGGCAGATGGAGCTGCAGATTTACCTTGAGAGAGCCCACTAGAGCCCGGCACATCTTGAGCTGGCTTAGTACGTTGGCGTCGTTTGGTGATTCCGGTGGTTAATTTTGCAGGAGTCCGTGCAGATGTCTCACACTGATTCCCCGAATGGACACAAAGAAGACATGGCCGATTAGAGTCACACTAAATCCGTTGAAGAAAATTAAGACCTATGAAAATGGCAAAATATAGCTCGAGACGTACCTTGAGCTTTTGCCGGCGGCAGCGGTTGCATGCCTGCGCAGTACGTTGTCTTACGGGACGGGATCCCGTCATGTTATCACGGAGACCGGCAAGTCCGAGTCCGTTCGATTAGCCTAGTCAGATGGCTGCGGCAAATCATTCATTTCCATGCGAAACTTCAATGATAGAGCAGTATCTAGTCATGGGAGTCGTTCAAATGTTCCACCGGAAGTTGGAGAATGATTATGTCATCTCTGAGCCCACCTAACATGACCTACAAATTTTAAATGCATTTATCTCAACCAAAACGCCATTAGACTGAATAAGCTAAGAACAAGGTCTATTTGTACATACATTTCTCTTATAACCCTCAATTTCACAAGCTCCACATTTTGGTAAGGCTCTCGTACGTGGCTATGAAAGTGCCGGACGCTGTCTTGCCTCACGGGGCTCCAGTGCCTCAATTGTAAACCCTAGCTGCAGTACTAATGTAGGGGCTTCTAAAGCTGATAGATAATCCTCGGTAGGTATTTGATCTGTAGACTGAGTCATTTGCCGCGCTTTCTTCTCGACTTCAGCGCGCAAATTGCTTACTTCCTTCTCGAGAATAGCTACCGATCGTATTTTGATTTGACAAGCTTTTAAAACTTGATTTATGGCGGAATTTAGCGGACTCGGTAGACTTTTTGAGCGTGGTTCTAGCAATGCTTTTATCAAGAAGCCTGCTTCTGTAATTGGGCGTAGTTCGACGGCATTTTCGGCGACCACTCGCTCGCTACCCTGGCTCAGGGGGGGGGGGGGAGCTGGCGAACAGAGGCGAGTATCAAACATATTTACATGAAAGATTTTAGCTTCCAAGCAGCCCGACCGCATTTTAATCTCAGCTTTCTAACTACTCTGACAATCATCTATTATTGCGCATTGATGATGTCATACAACAGGGGCCAGAAGTCTCGCCCCTACAAGACGAAACCACAATTTTTAAACAACTACAGCCCAAAGCCCAAAGCACCCCAAGATGAGCAAAGAAGAGGTAACAAAGAAAACCGAGAATAAGCAAAAAGTAATGCATGAAGTGATAAACTCGCTTTGAGGATTTCGTATGTACAATATGCAAGACTAACCCACTGGCGCTGTTTACAAATCTATGACTTTGATTTAACCACCCAAATCTCTTTGCCTCAAACCAACAGGCTACGAACGGTGTTCAACTACCGGACGCCAGTGTGAAGATAAGCTAACAGTTTGGCAGCACCAATGGATTGCCCTCTAGCATTAAAGCCCCAAGTTTTCTCACCTCAGGTTACTAGCTCATTGACCTGAACTATATCGTTCAAGGCTACCTCTTCAGGCGAAAGAATGAAATTAGGTCCATATGCAATAATTTTTCTAGCGTCATACCGAGTGATTTAATTGAACCTAAGCCACAAAGTGGCGTGACATTTATGTACACATCAAACAACTTCCGGTGGAAGTTTTGACCTCTTACCCATACCCCACCTACAGACGCAGGGTTAGTGCATTTACGATTTCTAAGCTAGTTTACCAAGCTGATACCGGTGGATGTATACTTTTTTGCTTAAAAATCAAGCTAATTTGCGTGAAATCAATCTTGTGCAAAGGTGGTGGATATTGCAGACACTGATCTAGTTCCGGTGGAAGATTTCATTCCGGAACAAAAGGCCTGACTATCGATTTGAAATCAACAAGCTGATTACATTTTCTTAACGAATAGCAAGTTCTTAAATAAGGCTTTCTCCTTCTGAATTATCTTTTTTTGATTGTCATTCTTCGCCATACAGTATGACTTGGTCCGATGCCCCCCTCCCGGCTGCCGAGGGCATCTCGTACTTTACCCCGGCACAATCTCCACCAGCTGGTACTGCACGCGATCCTCAAACAAGCGGAAAGCCCATCCCAACACTCTTCAAGCCTTTCACTATCAGGGGCCAGAGTTTCCAGAATCGGCTCGGAGTAAGTTTCGTGCATTAGTTCCTTTATCATGTATCTCGAAGCTAACTCTGTTCGACAGCTGGCTCCCATGTGCCAGTATAGCGCTGACGATGGACATATGACTAACTGGCATATCGCCCACTATGGCGGTATTGCTCAACGTGGACCTGGTTTGATGATCATGGAAGCTACTGGTGTGCTTCCTGAAGGCCGCATCACCCCTTACTGCGCTGGTCTCTGGAAAGACTCGCAGATTGCGCCTCTCAAAGACGTAGTCGATTTTGCGCATAGCCAGGGCCAGAAAATTGGTATCCAACTGGCTCATGCTGGTCGCAAGGCCTCCTCTTTGCCGCCCTGGCTCGGCGGAACTCCTGTGACCAATGCAGCAGGTGGCTGGGTGGATAACGTGAAGGGGCCTAGTGCGATCCCATTCTCCGATAATGACATTGTACCTAAGGCAATGACTGTGGAAGACATCCATGACTTCAAGGATGCCTGGGCCGCTGCAGTTAAGCGGGCCGTGGCCGCTGGGGTGGATTTGATTGAGATTCATAATGCCCATGGTTATTTGCTGTCCTCTTTCATGAGTCCTGCATCCAATAACCGAACTGATAAGTATGGTGGTAGCCTCGAAAACCGCATTCGACTTCCCTTAGAGATCGCACAAATCACCCGTGATGCGGCGGGAGAAGATATGCCTCTCTTGCTCCGTGTTTCTGCTAGTGACTGGGTGCAAAATCCGGACATCGATGGCTGGAAGCTGGAGGATACCGTGGAATTTGCCAAAGCTCTTGCCAAACAAGAATGTATCGATGTGATTGATGTCAGCAGTGGCGGTGTCCATGTTGAGCAAAAGCTCACAGGTGCTATGGGTCCAGGATTTCAGGTTCCATTCTCAACGGCGGTGAAGAAGGCAGTCGGGGATAAGATTCTTGTTGCTGCTGTTGGTATGATCAACAGCGGTACTCTAGCTGAAAAGATCCTGAATGAGGACAATGTGGACATCGTTCTGGTCGGACGTGCCTTCCAGCGAGATACTGGCTTGGCCTGGCAATATGCAAAGCACTTGGATGTTGAGATTTCTATGGCCGCACAGATCAGATGGGGTTTTACTAGCTGGCAAAATGCGTCGGAGTATATCCAGCCGAATGCGATGAAGGTCACATTGTTTGAATAAGTTAGATAGGTCCAGGTTAACTCCAACTTTACTGCACCACATTCACATCCATTCACGTCAATCCCAAGCCCAGATCTGGGTTAGACTCTGCGAATTCGACCCCAGGAATGATCCTCGGTATCCCGGCAGAGAGGGGAACCGCATTCATTGTGGGAAATTGGAGAAAGTACTGTCCATGTTCATTGGCTGAAGTGTCGGTGAAATCCTCGCTGAAATCGTCGGGGTATTCCGAAAGGCCTGCAGGCCTGCCCGATCAGCATGAACTCGGAGTTCTGAGCCTATCGCTGGATTTCTCGTTGAAACTTTCGCTCAATCTTTGGGGTGTTTTAGTTAAAGATTTTTGAGGCGTATAAAAACCACCGTAGAGAAGTATGCTGCTCCCACAGCCTTGGAACTTTACTAGTCTTGCATGCCAATTTCTTCCAGGCGATGGCCTTCATGACAAAGCCCGTCGCAAAACCCCAGGCCATCGTGTCTGGTCCAACCTATCGCTTCACAATCCTCGCTGATCGTTTGATTCGGTACGAATGGGCCGCTGATGGCTGTTTCGAGGACCGAGCGTCCACCTTCGCAATCAACCGCCACTTCCCCACGCCAAAATTCCACATTGTTAAGAACGATGGTCATCTTGAAATCATCACTGACCATTTTCACCTAATTTACGACACGAATCGCTTTTCTGCTGCTGGGCTGGTCGTTCATTTTAATTTCAAACACACCAACTGGGGGGCTCCGTGGCAATATGGACTTTCAGAAGAGCTCAACCTGGGAGGAACAGCTCGAACTTTGGACAATTGCAATGGACGCTGTGATATGGGAGAGGGGGTCATTTCTAAAGCAGGGTACGCAGCCCTCGATGATTCAACATCCATGCTCTTTGATGGAGACTTCGTGGCTGGCCGAAAACCTGGCGATCGCATAGATGGATACCTTTTCTGCTACGGTCATGACTACAAAGCTGCCATCAGAGCATTCTACTCAGTCTCCGGAAAACAGCCTATACTGCCCCGATTTGCCTTGGGAAACTGGTGGAGCCGGTACTTTGCGTACCACCAGGACGAGTACGTTCAGCTCATGGATAAGTTCCGCACACACGATATTCCTATTTCAGTCGCTGTGGTTGACATGGACTGGCATCTAGTGTCAGACCCTTGTGTACCCCATGCCGGGTGGACTGGCTACACTTGGAACAAGAAGCTCTTCCCAAACCCAGAGCAGTTCCGCCGTGACTTGCACGAAAGATGCCTCAAAATCACACTGAACGATCACCCTCACAATGGGATTCATTCACACGAAGATTCATATGAGGAGATGGCCAAGGCCCTGGGTCATAATACCGACCAGAAACGGCCTATTCTATTTGAGGCCTCTAGCGCCAAGTTCATGAAAGCTTACCTCGAAATCTTACATCGTAATCTGGAGAATATGGCATGCGATTTCTGGTGGATTGACTGGCAACAAGGCCCGTACTCTAAGATTCCCGGCCTTGATCCTCTTTGGCTGTTGAACCATTTTCACTATCTTGATCATGGACGAGATGGTAATTCCACTCCTCTTATCTTTTCCCGGTACGCGGGACCAGGAAGCCAGCGATACCCCGTGGGATTCTCGGGCGACACAGTAGTAACTTGGGATTCGCTGGCTTTCCAACCGGAATTCACGGCAACAGCTTCAAATATAGGCTACGGATGGTGGAGCCACGATATTGGTGGCCATATGTTTGGAGGCAGAGACGATGAACTCGTGACTCGTTGGGTCCAGCTCGGCGTCTTCTCCCCCATCTTTCGTCTGCACTCTTCGGACTCCAAGTGGAATTCCAAGGAGCCGTGGTTGTATCGCCAGGAGTACGAGAAAGTCATGTCCAACTTTATGAAGCTCCGACATCGATTGGTACCGTTCCTGTATACGTGCAGCGTGATCGGCTCTGTTGAAGACGAGCCATTGATGCAGCCAATGTACTGGATTCATCCGGACTCCGACCAGGCGTACTCGTTCCCTAACCAGTACATCTTTGGATCCAAACTTCTCGTTGCTCCGATTGTTGAGCCTCGGAATAGGAAAACAAATTTGGGAACAGTCAGAGCATGGCTTCCTGCTGGTCCTCGATTTGTCGATATTTTTACTGGTCAAGTATACGACGCAGACCGCGAAGTCATGTTTCACCGACGGCTGGAGGAATATCCCGCTCTGGCTCGTGAAGGAACCGTCATTCCTCTGGATGCCAACCCAGCTCCTGCAAACGGTTGCTTGAATCCAGGCGCATTCGAGTTCCTTGTTGTAATCGGCCGTGACGCTGAAACAAGTGTTATGGAAGATCCTGCTGACGATGCGCCCAATTTGACAGTACGCAAAAAGCAACGCAAATTCATGATCTATTATAATCAGGCGGAAGGGAAAGTGACCGCAGAGCATTTAAACCGGCCCTCAAAATTCCGTTTCTTGTCGGTGACAAATACTCCGGCCAATCTGAAAGTTTTCTGTGATGGTATCGATCGCATGAAAGATGTGAAAGTGACTATTGAAGAAGCCACTCAGACGCCTAGTCTGCTTATTGAGTGTCCATTTGCAAATTTTGATCACTGTATCACTATTGAACTCGGTCCTGATCCTCAACTCAGCGTGATCAATCCGACACTCCGTCTTGAAAGTCTGATATTGGATTATCAATGCGAGTTTGAGATTAAGGATCGCTTGTGGAAGGTTCTGAAAGAGCACATGAAACCTGTTAATGCTGTCATTGGCACGTTGCTATCACTTGGGTATGAAGAATCCATTGTGGGTCCTGTGTCTGAATTGCTGTTGGCAGATATTCGGTTATGCTCGCTGTCTGCTAAGTAAACGTCAGAGGGTGGTTCCCCCGTTTTCTTGATTGTCAGGGCTTGAATTTAAATTCAATATATGATGCTGCATCATGTTTTCATTGAGATGTTTCCATTTCTGTAGGCATCATGGGATCAAGAGTCTGCATAATTCTCTCCTATATCCCACAGGTGCTGATGTATGGCGCAGTGGGGTGATAAGTATTCAGCATGCTACACATACGCGGAACATATTCTAAACGACATTTTCATGCGCAACAACGACCTTCTCAAAGCTCGCAGTTCCCTCAGCGGATTCCGCGATAGCTTCAATGCCAGCCTCATATCCATAGACTGTCTTCAATGTTGGCATCGTAAGAGATTTCAACTTGTTCACAGCCCGCTCCAAGATTTGAGAAGTTCGCTCTGCATCGGCTAGCCGAGCCGCAAATGTGACTGTGCCAGTAAAGCCCTCGAAAGAGAGCTCGTTGGCGGTTGTTGCAAAGCAATTTAGAGATTTACTGTGGGGAATGGTGGAAACGACTCTCGCATCTTCGGAGCTGCTTGAGAAACACAGATCGGCCATATGCGCATATCCCACATGTCCAATGGTATCAAAGGCATAGTCAAGGGATTTTCCTGACTTGGACACCCAGAGCTTAATCTGTTCGACTACGTCATCGTCACGATAATTGAAACAATGTGTTGCTCCGAGCTTTTGCAAGATCTCATGGTTTTGTGGCGAAGCAGTAACAAGAATAGGCCTGATTCCAGCGGCGGCAGCTAGCTGAATAGCAGCTGTTCCCACGCCACTGGCGCCTCCCCAGATCAGAAGTGCACCAGGGTTTTCTAAGTTTGAGTCGGGCTCAGGAAGTCCCAGAACACAGAAGAGAGCGTCGATTGCCGTGCGCATGGCAACACCAAGTGTTGCGGCAAGTTCCATGGAGACATGGTCTGGCACAGGGAACGTCATCAGATCAGGTGCGATGAGGTACTGCTGATGAGCTCCGTTCTTGGCGGGCCGAGGGTTCATTGCAGGGGTAAGACCTGCAACCCTGTCTCCAGCTATGAATCGAGATCCAGGACCGGCCTCGACAACGGTTCCGGAGAAGTCATAGCCGGCAACGTTCTCGTTGATGCCCATGTAGATTCCGTGTTTGAGATCTGCAGGATTGATTCCACTGAACGACACCTGGATGAGTGTCTCCGCTTCTTGTGGGACATAATTCTCTTCGATTTCCCGAATTGAGAGCTGGTCACAGCTGTCGACCCAAATGGCTTTGTGAGGCATAGCTTGTGTAGGAAGTGAAACTAGAGGTATGACGGAAGAGATGAAGATTAGAGGAACCACTTTCCAGGGCTTGCAATAGTCATATATTTGATCGAGGGTTCCCTGGATACATATGCGGAACAGGCCTGTCCCGTCCCCACCGAGAAATTCGGGGCCAATATTTCCATTTGTGCGTCTACATGCATGCACAGTGATCACTAATCTTGCCACGTAGATCTTAGCTTAGATTCGAAAAATCATCACGGACCAAAATTACCTCAATTCTACGTTGATTTACTCTATATTTTTGATTCTATCGTTTGTTAGTCATCCATGATGCTTCCGTTCCATCTTTAGATGTTCCGCCGGAACCGATCTCAACACTAACCCTATTTCAACTTCGGAACACAAACTTCCACCGGAAGACGCAGACTTAATCACTCCGCTAGAACGAGACTTGAGATAATTATGTCTGAGAAATCGATTCGAGGCTCTTGACAAAAGTAACTCAATAATATCGACCGCTGAGAAAATGCCACTCAAAATTTCCACTCAACCAATCCTTCATAACGGCAATATGACGCTGGGCAATTTCCTTCTCTAATGGCGACAATTTCTCATAGCAAGTGGATCTGAGAAACTCAAGATCAAGTCTCTTAAATTGATTCAGAGAATCCCGGATCATTTTGCGGACTTCGTTCATGGCATCCTGCAAGGAGAGCTGTCTCAACCTCATGAGAACAAGTACCAGATTACCAGGACCGTTCCCATCCCTGCTATCCTTCCTTATAGAAAATAAATCGTTGGTCCAGGCAATGACATCCATAGCATTATTCGCCAAGCGCTGAAACGGTTCGTCCACAAGGACATCCTAAGGCAGCTCATACCCGCCCGCAACCTCTGCCCAATCAAAAGCTTGGTAACAACCACCACTAGCCCGTCGACCAGCGATAAACTCATCCAGCTCCGGAAATGTTGCATTCGTACGCTGTTGTGCCTCTCTTTCCGTTGCTTGGTTTGTCCATTCCCAATATTCGCGGTATCGATATCGAGTATTTTCAGAAGAATCAGCATCCAATCGACTCAAAAGACGTCTCCAGACGGCGACCAACGGCGGCTCCTCTCCTTCTGGCTGCTTGCCAGCCGTGACATTGCGATATAGATCAAAGGTCTGAGCGGCTTCTTCGGGCTTGACTGTTGCTAGATCGAAGGAGTCATCGAACAAAAATGCCCAGCCAGCCACTTCGTTGAGTAGATCTAAATATGCGCCGCGTGCTCATGGATAGCATCGAGCTATCAAAGCTGGGAAATCTGCTGCTTTGAACTTCAGCAGATTTCCCAGCTTTGAACTTTGCGAGTGCTTTCGGGCTAAGTTCTAATCCTTGTTCGGTAATCCATTGGTGGAGATGTTCTCGAGATGCCTCTAGATCTGGGTTGATCTTACAAGGGTAGGGTGGGGCGATATCTTTGAGATATTGGGGTTTTAGAGTAGGAATTTCTTTGCACAGAGTCATTGCTGTTAACTATGCGTTTGGGGGGGGGGGGGGGGGGGTCAAGAAATTCTCGCGATAAGTAGTTTACACATATGGGTCTGTGCTCCGGTACGATTGTACGTTATTACAACACACGTACTTTTCAGCTCAAGATTGGTGTCCTATGCAGTAGTTCTAATCAAATGGCCCCTCATTTCCTGCAAAATTCCGCCAAGATGGTGTCGACCGCGAGAGATTAAATCAATTAGTATAAGTCTTTTTTGTCTACGAGCCCCCTTCTGACTTGAGACAGGAATATCCATTAGATTTGTTCGCTTAATCTCCTCACCTTATCAGGTTGGTCGCAAAGCATCAATCGCAATTTCTATTTAGCGGTGTAGAAATTTGTTCCAATGGGGCTTGATCGGAGATCGGTGAGGATGGCCCCGCTTCCAAGTATGGCCACGTACGTATTGTAATCACTATCAGATAGAAGCGGGCGGAACTAGTTTCTATTTTGACCGCATAAGAAACCATCTTAGTGGCGTAAGGCTTAAACTATTAGAATGCATACTATGCTACTCAATGTTTAACTTAGAATAGCTGTGTCGAGATTGCTCTTTGGTATAAAATCAGGCCGGTGCCAATCGGCTTTGAGGCTAAAGGCTTCAACTAACTCTCTTAAAATGAAGCTTCTACACCCCCTATCAGAACTGAACTTGTTTTCAGTTAGGAAATTCCCGATCAAGTAATTCCTCTTTCAACACACTTGTAGTTTCCCAGTTTTTGGCCTCCAATTCAAATTGCTCATCGTCAGAAAAAGCAACAACGGAGTTTCAGGGCAATCAAATTTAGAAAGCAAGGATATCTCAAAAAGCTGAAGGGCCACTATATTGTTCCTCGTTTTCATAAAGACGGGTGTCCGCATTCCATGTTATCCCACGTTGTCCGACTGGCTGTGACATGCTAGAGCTGGTAACTGGCGCCAACTGCTCACTGTGAGTAAATGCGGAACAGTGTGGCTATTACCTTACTTGGGGGCTTTTTGTTATCAATACTCCATTCTCATATCTTATACATATAGTATATATCGTATTTGATTTGATTTGATTTAATCTCATATATTTAACATATATCAATACATTTTGTTCTTATACGGAACGCTGAAATATATCTTAGCTTGATATTATTAATATAGCATATTTACTAGGCGTATGACTGAGGTATAATTTATCATCAATATTACTAAGAATTATTGATAGATATAGGCCTTCTTGTATAGCATCTTTTGGGGCTATATATTCTAATTCGTAGGTGCTTAGGGCTACACTATTTTGCAATTGAGGGTTAAATTGTTTATCGCTAGATTTAAAATGATCTAGAATCAAGCACCAAGTCAGCAAGCCAAGCGAACACGACAGCAATAGCCAAAAACAGTGTTACTTTGGATAAGATTTACTAACGGAGCAGAAGTTGCATGTCCAAGCAATACTCGCTCTCTTCCTTCTTCTCGCAGGCACTACATAGGGGAACCGCTCTGATAAAATCTCTTAGTGAAGATATGTGGCCAAAGTTTCTCCCTCTCATCTTTCCCTACTTACCACCTGACTTTACCACAACACACTATCACACTGGTTCGCCAGTCAAACTCTCCAGATCAGTTTAACCAAATCTCATTTCATACTATGGGGATTTTTTACAAAAATACCAATGGGACAGTCTTCTAGTTATGGGGTGTCATTTTCTTGTTTTCTGACGACAGAAGAACGCTTGGTTGCATCACCGCTTACACTACACGCACAACACGAACCACCGCAGGAATAGCCAGACACAATCAAGCTACGAATGACCTCTCTCAAGATTCATTTAGATTCATTTGGCCACTCATATAGAAGTTCTCTTTGTTGTGTCAATGTCATTGCCTTTCATCTCATAATTTAAATTGTACTTATACCAGAACTCCTGTTATAGGTATCGTGATGATGAACCTTTATACGTGATTTTTGCGCTTTCCTTCAGAAAACCATGAAGGAAAGGACATCTGGAATGAAAGGGGCTCTGTAATTCCATCCACATTAAACCCCGCAAGCGGGTAAAATAGCTGCGAACTGTTCACAACCAATTCGTATTTCGGTGTCATAAGATAGCAACTAGGCGTATTTGAATGGGACGATCGGCAATTCAACAAAGCTACCTTCCATGAAGATAGTGTGCTGACCAGCATTGCAACCAGTTCCAGCGCGTGGCACTTGACAATTGGGGCTATACTCATTAAAGTCCCTGCCTTGAATAACAACCCGGATAGCCTCACCCTGACGGAACAGGGTAGCAGCCTGTTGAATATTGATATCCACTTCCACCTTCTCACCAGGCTTTAGTGGCTGCACATCCTTTTCAAGGAAAGTGTGCATAACCTCATCACCATAAGGATTGTCTGCCCGCTTCCGCTTAGAACTTCGTTGCCAGCCCCATGCCACATGTCCATCATTTACAAAAGAGTGGTAAGGGAATCTGACGACCTGACCATCTCGATTAAATTTTTGGAGAGTAACAAACAGGTCTGCATCAGAGCCTTCGGAGATGGACAGTGACAAGTGCAGACGAGATGATCCGGTGATTTCAGTAGGCTTATCGAATGTGTGCTGCCAGGCGACAGATCCTGTTTTCGCGTCATATGTAGCGGAGTCACTGTCAACTATGGAATCCTTCAGAAGAGTCTCGTTTGGACCAAGAAAGAACTTTGTGCGCTGGGTTCTCGCAATGGGGAACTCGTTCTCACTGCGCCAGCTACCGGAATAATGTTTGTCTGTGACATGGAGACGAACTGGTGGCCAGAAGTCTACTGCACCAGCGGCTCTCTGATCCGGACCATTCAGGACTTTATTAAAGAAAGCAAGTTGACGCTCCAGGGATTCCGCGGTGAGCTGCCACTCCCATTTCAGATAGCTATAGCTAGTGTTAGCTTCTCCTGAGTAGAAAGAAATATAGAAAGAAACCAAACACTCACGGATGAAGCTCAATATACTTGGTTGTTGACTGGGCCGCAAGATAACCTCGAATCGAGCCAGGGGTGTGAACACCATTATCGGCCAAACTGGTAATCAGATAAAGAGGACAAGTTATTTGATCTATGTTCGGCCTGAAGATATCCCAAAACTTGCTGTCGTGGGGGTTTTCTTCAACAGCTCTCACAATATCAATCTTGGAGCAACCTTCCACGTTTCCCTGAGCAGCATAGACTGTGTCCAAGAGCTTGACAAAATTCATGTGAGGGACACCTCCTTTGCACGCGATCTCGCGATAGAAATCAACATATGCATCTTGCACCATAATCCCGGCCAGATGGCGCGGGCGATTAGCAGCAGCATGCCTATAACCAAAGTGAGAAACGGCAATAAAAATGAGCGATGTAGAAATCATACCATTGAATGTGTCCCAACCCACTAGCCCCGATCATCCCAACCCGACCATTACTCCAAGGCCGCTCACCAAGATACTCAATAACATCGCACGCATCGCGTCCATCAGACTTAGTTATAAAAGAAAAGAAATCTCCTTCCGAAGCAAAACTACCCCGAGAATCAACAGCGACGTATGCGAAACCATTTTGAGTCCAGAAAACTGGATCACTAGCTTCAAAGATGAGGTATTTCGAGAATGCCACACCATGGTATCCCGGATCAAATTCCTGGGAAGTGGGTAGCTTTGAGATGTCATATGGCGTCTTCTTTCCAAATGGGGTAAAGACTAGGACGGTCGGTAGCTTGAGATTTTCGGGTTGTTTTTCTGGAAGGTAGAGATCTGCTCGAAGCTGGACTCCGTCACGAGCTTTGATGGGGTGGTTATACTCGACTTTCATCCCTTCGTCAACGAAAGTGCGGGGGGTCGGATCAAAGCCGGGAAATACGTCCTTGGGGGCAAGGCCCTTGGTGCAGGGGACTTTTTGGTTTTCGTGGATAACATGTTGGGTGTCCATTTTCGCGGCGATTGTTGTAAAGATGGTAGATCCAATATCTGGTGCTCATGTGAATAGCATATGGATTGCGGTGCCTTTATACTAAGCTGCCATCCATTACGTACTGGATAACATGAGTATTTACCGGAAGCTAATTCTTCGACATCCGAGACCCGCGCAATGTTCATAAGTGTTGATGAACCACACCGGTTTAAAGGATAACTCGCCCCACGTAGCTTGCCGATGCTTGAAGGGCTAAAAGTTAAGCCGCCATGAAATGTGGGGAAATTAATCTCATGGCCGTTCAGCGTTCTACAATGACGTGGGCCCCTAGACCCATAGCGACACGAGAAGAGTTCCGACGTTTCCCTTCATTATTTTCGGCGGTAGATTAGAGCCGGGGCCGACATAGTAGCCCACATTCCTTCAGAAATATTTTTGATAGTTAGATCGTGTGCAGGAGGCGTGGAAGGGGGCCAATGGGCTTGGGGGCAGAAGGCGATTGCATCTTGTAGTCAGTGAGCTTCAAATCTATAGAGGTGAACCCATTGGGATTGCAGCTCTATGTTTTCAGAAATTCTTTGAAATTGAAAAGGTAAAAAACTAGATCTTAGATTGACACGAATCATTCCAGACCAGAATAGGCTTGATGGTCTTTCCATCTTCCATATCCTGGAACGCTCGATGGTATTCCTCCACAGGATAGAAATTGACAATCTTTTCCACTGGAAGTTTCCCTGCTTTGTACCATCCTATCATCTCACGAATATAATTTTGAGGAATAGCATCGCCTTGTACGCATCCAATGATTTGCTTTCCAGAATTCATATGATCTGCCATGGAGATATCCCATTTATCTAGAGGCTTTGCAAGACCAACTTGTAGGACCTTGCCGAGGCACCGCACAAAGTCCCATGAAGCTTTAGCCAGCTTCTGTACTCCACTTGTGTCCAAAGACACATGAACACCTCTTTGTCCGGTAATCTTGAGCACCTCGGCGACAAGGTCAATGTTTGGGTCGGAAGTCTGAATCGTATGGGTTGCTCCTAAGCTCTTCGCTAGTTCCAGACGCGATCTGGTGTGGTCGATGGCGATGATTGTTCGACACTGACGCATGGCAGCAGCCTATTAGAGGGCATGTTAGATATGGCCATATTGTGCTAGAAATGAAAGGATTAATACCATAATTGCACTTTGGCCCACACCCCCAACTCCCAAGATAGCCACGTCTTGATTGGGTTTAACATCAGCAATTGTCGTCATTGCTCCAGCTCCCGTCTGGATTCCACAACCAAGTGGTGCAAATAGCCTGAGCTCCTCGTTCGTCACGCCTAGACCAGAAACGTTGACGAGGCTCCGTGCTTTGACAATCGCCATTTTGGCAAAACTTGACTGTCCAAAGAAAGAGGCTGCAATGTCAAAGTCGCCGTTGCTTGATGCAGAATACATCTCTTTCTCCCCAACAAAGTTGTGTTCAAACCCGTCTATACAATACGCCGGGTGGTCATCGTCACAATTGTAGCACTCTCCGCAAGATGCGAAGGACGTGATAACCGGGTCGTTCATTTTCACGCTTGTCACAGCGCTCCCAACCTCTTCGACAAATCCAGATCCTTGAACATCTTTAATACTTCTAAACTCTCATCTCGGCATTGGAAACAAAATTGAGCTAATCACTCACCCTCGTGACCCAAAATTCGAGGATAATATATTCCCGGATTCGTGTTTCCCTCCGTCGCAGCATCACCGATATGGATATCTGCGCGGCAAACCCCACTAGCTACCAGCCGCACTAAAGCTTCGTCTGGTCTAATGGGGCGCGGGATAGCATGCTGCAATTTCCATTGCCCGCGACTTATGGGGCCATATGCAACAAGCGCCAAAGATTGGTTGGACATTTCGGTTGAGTTGAATTATTTTCAATGAGGCAAATGGAAAAAAGAGATCTGAATAATGGAATCCAAACATTTTTCAATGTTGAAATCTCAATGCACTTCTATTCCTCGGATATGATTGTACCAGCTGAATGTATTTCCCCGCGAACGTGGGGCTCGCCGTGGGGATCGATCTATCCTTCCGTGACCTGGGGATTTTACTGGCCAGTTTGCAACAACAACTCAGAAACGGATCTGGCTAGCCGAGTCGAATGGAGATCTCAAAATCGGGTTGGCCCTAACTGTCCGTCGTCGTGGGAGCCCAATAATCGAAAAGTGGGAGCACATCCCGTTCAGAAAACCGATATCGTCCGAGATGCGGCCGCCGATTGTTAACAAATTCAAGGATGTCTTGAGCTGAAATTAAGCGATATTCTTTCTGCGCCAGAAACATAAGTATGAAGCTTATCTCATTATGTTGTTGGACGATCCCTGAAATTTTAGGAAAAGGTTTGGTGTTGAAATGGAGAATGTTAACGGCCTGGTAGCTGGGTTTCGGTGATTCCAATTTGCTAACATCGATGGAATGGCCAGTGAATGTTGGAGGCTTCAACTCGAACTCTTAAAAATAAAACTTAATTCATGATCGAATGGAACCTTTTTTTGCTCTGGTGGCACAGATTCCTTGTTAGAGAACCGACTAAGTGACTATTAACTCGATATCTATATCTATAAAGCTAGAATCTTGCTTTCACAGTGAAGAAAACGCAGCTTCAAACTCGGGTGGTACTCGAATATAGCCATAGAATCGACCCTCTGGATCGTATTTCTGGCGCAACTTCTCCAACCTGACATAGTTCTGGGTGCGCATGAACTTTCCAGGATGGCCCGGTAGGTTCTCATCGGCGAGTTGAATACCTTTTCTCAAGTGCTCCATCTTCTCCAAAGAAGAAATTACGTATCCAGAGTTCTTAGTATCCTGCCCCATATCCGTGGAAATCGCGTAGAGAGCGACATAAAGACGCGCCTCCATGGAGAACGCCATCTCAGGACGACCTTTAATTGGGAGCCACCACATCATGTAGAGATGAGAAGGTGCTGGAGGAAGCGCTTCGATGATCTTGTGGAAATTGGGGAGCAGATCGGTGACAGGTAGATCCGTCCATAGGTTATTAGCCTCATATCGTCTTCCGCGGTTGTCGAGAATATCATCGAATCGCTTGAGCATTTCCCGTAACGTGCAACTAACAAAGGGAGCTGATTTGATTGATTTCTTCATCACAGGTAGATTGTGTAATAAATCCAAAGCAGCCCGGGCCTCTTCTTCCGTGTCGGAAAGCGCATCTGCCGTGATTGCAAGTGTCGGCCGACCGATGATACCATCCTGATCACGCGCAACAAAGAATCCGATTTCAAGATCCGGAGAAACAGACTCGGATACGGCGTCGATAGCAGCAAGTACATCGTCTAGGTCGGAGGTCTCGAAGATATAACGTGCGGTCATGATTCCCTGAGGAAGTGTATGGAGCTTAAGATAGAAGCACGTAATGAGACCGAAGTAGCCACACCCAGCACCACGACTAGCCCAATAATACTCAGTGTTCTGGGTTGGGCTTGCGTGAATAAGGTGGCCATCTGCCGTGACCACGTCTATCGCTGTGACGCTTTCGCATGCGACACCCCATTTGCGAGAGTTCCATCCGAAGCCACCCTGTAGCAGGAAACCTCCCAGCCCGACAGTCGGGCAATGTCCAGCAGGAAACATGAGGTTATGCGGGACGAGGGCCGCATTGAGGTCCGAGCCATACGCTGCAGGTTGGGCAACGGCAGTACGGGTTTTCACGTCAAATGTGAAGTTGTTCATTTTCGCAAGATCGACCATGATTCCACCATCTCGGAGAAAGGAGGCTGTCCAGGAATGACCACCTGACTTGGTTCCGATGCTCATTTTATTTGCCTTTGCGTATTGCACGATGGCTTGGACATGGGCATCATTCTCAGGGTAGGTGATCAGTTGGGGGTATCGATCTGGAACTCTGCCATTCCAGACTGCACCGCATCGTGCGTCTTCGTATTGCGGGTCACCACGACGAATGGTTTGAAACGTCCAGGAATCCATTTCAAACTTTCTGTTCGAGATGAGCCAAAAATGGAACAGAAAAGAGGATGGAGTAGGGCAATTTGGAAGTGTCTGGCGTCGCAGAGAACATATCAGAGGTGAGGTTATACTTGAAGTTATATCTAAGTCATATGATCCAGCTTCCCAGTCGATAGATTCAACCACATAGTTTACGTCTCCGCTAGATAGCGTGGGGCCGCTCCCGAGAACGACACAAGGATCTTCAGCGGAGACAATGCGAGGAAACGGCGCTCGAACTACTCTTTTGTCCCCGCCCCACCAATACAGAAGTGTCCCACGTTCCAGGACTTCCGGTCTTTTACTCAGCTCGATGTTTACGTTTGTGAATACGCAGGTACTTAGGCTCTCAAAAAGACTCTGAACCCGACATTACTCAAACATATCAACATCCCCAAGCAGGCATAACAATCTACTTTTCAGCATGTCTCAGACGACTGACAACCTTCCCATTGTTCCCTTGCTCATCGGCGGCGTGGAAACCGCTGGATCACAAAGCGAGATTTTCCCTGTCTATAGCTACGCCCAAAATAAAAACGTGTACCACGCCGAGTCTGCCAACGTTGAAATTGCCAAAGCTGCTGTTGATGCCGCGGCCGTTGCGTTTAAGACTTGGAAAAATACTTCTGCGAGGCATCGACGGGAAATCCTGTTGAGATACGCGGATTTACTTCAAAGTCATGCAGACGAGCTGGTTGCTATACAAATTGCAGAGACCAGTGCCGCCGCATTATGGGCGAAGAAAAATGTGCAGCTAGCGATTGGCTTAATCCAGGAAACCGCTGCCTGTATAACCTCATTGAAGGGTGAGATACCGCAGAGCGAGTCATCTGATGTCTTGCCGCTTGCTTTCACGGTGCCGATTGGTCCGGTATTAGTCATTGCCCCGTGTGTATCGCTACCTCTCTTGGTAATATTGCTTCGCTAACATAGAGGTTTAGCTGGAACTCACCCATTATTTTGGGTGCGAGAAACATTGCGACCGCTGTGGCAGCTGGATGTTCTGTGGTGTTCAAAGCCTCGGAGAACTGTCCCAAGCTGCATCATATGCTAGTAAAAATCTTTGAAGAGGCGGGTCTTCCCAAAGGTGTTGTGAATGTGATCCAGGTGAACAGAGAGAAGGCTGCTGAGGTGACCGAGGCTGTTATTGCGCACCCCGCTATTCGCAAGGTCGAGTTTGTTGGGAGTGCAACAGTCGGACGGATGATTGGCCAGGTCTGCGCGAAGCATCTTAAGCCAATATTGATGGAGCTTGGTGGAAAGGGGCCCGCCATTGTCCTTGATGATGCGGATCTATCTGTTGCTGCCAAACGTTGTGTTGCTGGAGGTATGCTATCTCATGATTCACGGCGATCAATTGCTAAGCAATGAACTGACGGTTATTATAGCTTTCCTTCATCATGGACAGCTTTGTTTCTCGACAGAACGAATTATCGTCCTTGAAAGCGTTGCTGCGGAATTTCAACAGCATTTAATCAAAGAAGCAGAGAACTTCACCGTCACCGATGGTGTCAGCCCCCGAATCGTGGAAGCATGCCAAGAAAAGCTCCTCGACGCAAAGCAAAAGGGAGCGACATTCATCGTGGGCAAGCCAGAGATGATGGACGCTACGAAGCTGCACCCGACAATCTTGCTGGGCCTCACGAAAGACATGCTTCTCTGGAATGAAGAATCATTTGGTCCTTCTGCTGCGTTATTCATTGCTCGTGATGATCAACATGCGATCGAATTGGCCAATGATAGCAAGTTTGGCTTGAACGCTGCCATACATACGAAGGACTTTAACCGAGCTTGGCTAATGACACGGGAACTTGATTTTGGTCAAGTTCATACCAATAATATGACACCACATGATGAACGTAAGTCAACTCCCTTCAATAAATTTGCACCTGCTAACCTAGAGACTTAGCTACCTTCCCAATTGGAGGTGTGAAAGGTAGCGGATGGGGACGCAATAATGCCATTTTTGGTCTTCGAGAGTTTTCTGAGACTAGATTGATGACGTGGAGTCTCGAGGGAAGCAAGTTTGTTTGAATTTTCGAAATTTGAAATGATAACAGCAGCTCTCCGGTATACGAGGAGTTGAAATGGTATTCTTGTACATAGAATAAACAGGAATCACTAAACTCGGATTTCATAATTATCAGATACAAAGGCGGTAGCAGCCCTGAGAATATCGGCGAATTTGCGGGAAAGCTCCCAATGTCCAATGCGGTCCAGTAGATCAATAATTGAGAAGAGAAAGGTTTTCTGGGAGAAAACATCATCGATCCCATGCTCACCTGTCCCACCAATGGATGTAGAATCTTTCATGCCAAACAAAGCAAACTCTGGAAAGCGATGGGGTCCCAAGGGTGAAGAGTGTGGTGGAGTATTTGACTTGGACCCAAAGCGCATGTAGCAGATTATAGCCAAACCTGCCCAGAAGAGGGCGCGTGGGACATGTATCGCAAATTCCGATACAACACTCATGGCTAGAACATGTTTTTGGATCATGGACGCATGAAGGATCGCTCGAGCGGCATCTTGAGAAGTCGCCCAGGCTAGAATAGCTGAAAGCTCAGCTAGTTCTAGCCGAGTACCTTCACGGCCGATAGCCTTTTCTAGAAGATTGAAATCTGCAGATGTTTCCATGTAGACAAGATGCCAAAGAATTTCCAACTGAAGGGGGTCATTTCTTGAATGCTGTTCTCGACGCTCCAAGAATCGAGTATAGAATGCAGTGAGAAGGCTATCGAATTCTATGGAGGTTGGAACTTGTTCGACGCGCGTTTTCCGTGACGAAATGACTCGCATGCTGATGCCTTCTAACACAGCATAGGCAGTAAATCGGCTATGAACGGGGATTTGGCGAAGGCTATTCGGGTCGGAAAACAGAACTCGACCGTCAATCGAAGACGGCTGATCCCCAGGTTGGTGAGACTCTGTTAGGTGTTTATGTTTCCAATCGGTGGAGTTCGGTGCCATGAACACAGTCATTGAGCATGTTGGGGAGAAGGTGTATGATTCAAAGTTCTGAATGGGCTCATGGTGTAGAATGCTGGAAAGTTCGGCGTCCACGATGTAAAGTGCATGCATCACGCGAATAATCTCTTGGCGATGGGCCCAGCTCCGCCATTGTTCCTCAAGTAATGTGCCCTCTGTGTCGGGCTCAATGAAGATATCGACCATTGGCTGATCAAGTTTCAAATTCCTAGCCCATGCTATCGGTGGTCCATGAAACGCATCGACATTGAGCAGAGTTTTGGCGCTCCCTGATAGCATTCCGAATGCCTGTGCCAGTGATGCACAGTGAATGATTGAGACTATGGTTTCTCGACTTTTGCCCACAGAATTCTCCCAAGTTTGAAGCGTAGCCTTTTGGATTCTTTCAAAAAAATGAAGGCCCTGCTGCAAGCCTTGATCGGAGCCGGTAAAAAGACCCCCAAAAGCGCACATCACGATTATCAGATTCGCCTTTGCTTTGGATGGCGTGAAAGTGGCTGGATGAACGATTGGAAACACGGGTTGTGTTTTAACAAAATAATAGTGGATATACATATTCAACGCATCTGCAGATGGTATTATGGGCTCATATGAAGCAATTTGCAATCTTTTTCGGATGCTCTGTCGATATTGTTCATCGAGTGTTGCACTTCCACCCTGCGCCGGGCCTTCAGGAAAAGAATGGGGGGTTTCGCTAGACAGAGGCTTCCACACGTTAGTAAACCACAGAGAGCTCACATGTCGAATTTGACAGAGTTCCTGATCTATCAGACCCCCATTTGTCTGTTGCATCGTTGAGCCAGAGTCTGATAGACAAACTTCCATTCCACATTCACTACGGTGGAGTTCCGAGCCAAATACCCATGCTGCAAAGTCATCATTCAGTATGTTTTGTCCAGGTAGAAAGGCAGGGCCCAGTTCACCGGGACAGATTTGCTCTATACCTGCCCCCGGTGGGTTGTTATGATCAATCGGGGCTTGTAGGTAAACTTGAGTTCTGGGCGAAGGAAAATCGAAAATATTTGGATTTTCTGTATTCTGGAAGACTGGGCTTCTTGAGCTTAATGCTGGCGCAGCGATGTCAAGTCTTGTCTCCGGTGTGTTGACGATCGGTATCAGTTCATTGGGTTCAGTGGCTGGCTCGCTAGCATCGAGGGAAACTTTACATCGCACGTCACGTCGATGTCGTATTAAAATATCACTTCATGGATAATGTTAGCCACGAAGATCGGCGGTCGAGTATCGCTTGTCTTACTGCCTGCTGTAACGGTTGCCACAGTCAGGACACTTGAAGGGCTTCTCTTTTGTGTGTGACCGAACATGACGCAGCAAATGTTCGCTTTTGGTAAAGCTTCGCGCACAGATTCTGCATTGGAAATTGCGCTGTGGGGGCTTTTTAGGCCGATTGCCTACCTCGTTGCCCAGATTTTCAGACATCGAGGCTTTCTCCGTTCATCACCACAAGGATGCGACACTGTGAGCCTATCGTGAGAGAACTGATGGTGGAAATACTCGGTCACGACAGGGGAAAGCGGCAGTTGAATGGAGAGCATCCAGCTGGCTTGGGTGTGGTGGGTAAGGGGCAGATATAATATGGCTGCTGTCAGTGTTACACTTCATGAGCAGTTGACAAGACTGCCGATATTGGGAGGGTGTTGGGAGTTAAAGAAAACATAGGCTTGGCGCGGCTCCGTACCCCGTACCCCCCGCCTTTCACTCCGCTCTCAGCCGGTACACCCGGCGTTCATTAGGGTTTGGAGTATGGTACCTGCCCCACCTATCTTTCTGCCAGTGGGCGGAAGTACTTTGTTCAAAATACCAATGAGCGACAAATGTAACTGGCTGTAAAATAGACGTTTCATTGAAGCTCTAGACATGTAGCATATCCTGTGAGATTGACAATGCCGGTGGCACTCATATGAAATACCCAGTATCCGTTGATCTTATATGTACCCACTTGTATTTTGTATCTACCTGTTCTTTATTTGCAGAGGACTAATGGCGTGTTATTTATTTACGGAATAAAGCTATCCCGTCCTATGCGCGCAAACAGGAAGTTTTGATATGCCGATCGGGTATATAATGTATCCGGACACTAGGTGGGCCCAGGCATAATAATTCTACAAGACATAATGCATACTCTTGGATCATGCATGATATTCCAATGACCCAAGAAAAATAAGTATCTTAACTGCTCATGTTTTCCTCGAATCTTCTTTCTAATTGAATTCAGATACGCCTTGGAAATTTCTACATCAATATGTCCGTATTGAGCCCGGAACTGACGACCCAAGATGTTCAGACACGTTCAACTCGCTCTTCCGTAAAATCATTGGCCTTCTGAACATTTTCCAACTCAAATGAAAATTGACTGATGTCTGTCTTTGCAAAGTCACGAGCTGGGACTTGATGTTCGAAAAGAAGGTCGATCTCAGCGAACGACCTTCCGGCAGTTTCTGCGTTTCTTCATTAAATCATGTGCATTCACAAGGAGTCTAGAACAACTCACCCGGAAGACGTTCATATGTCCAAATAGCCAGTATTAGGCATGATCCGGCCCAGAAGAATCCGGCCTTAGCACCCCAGTTCCAAGACTCAGCGCTGATCATCCGTGGGACGAGGATGTTAGTGATGATGAAAAACTAAAGTACCGTCAGTAATGTGGACAGTCAATCGCGCAATTTGTCATATCCAACCAAATTATAAAAGCTACGGGCAATTCCCATAGACATGATCTTCAAGCGAGTGGCAGGCACCTCCGAAACAATGGCAAAGCAAACTGGGCCGATGGTAATATCATATACCAGAGCCAGCACAAGTAGTAAGCATCCGATAGCCCAGCTGACACCGCTTCCTTGTGTACAAGCTCCCAACACACCGATCCCAATCAAGAGTACGAACATTCCTGCTAGTCCTGCGAGGTAGAGGGTGCGGCGCCCGATCTTTTCTAGCAAGACCCATGACCCTGGAAGAACGGATGTAAGTTAACTGGTGTTCAAGCATTTCCAAATACAAATCTGGAATTAATCAGGGTGAGACGTCGGGAGAGAGTAACCTACCGAGTGTGCCTAACCAACCAAGACCGAAGATCCCAATGTTGAAAGAGAAGGCGTTAGTTTGACTAAGCCCCGCACGCTCCAAGAAAACCACGGCGTAGCTAACTAGACCGAATCCACAGAGGGTTTGGATCATCCAAGCAACTATCGCGATTTCAGTCCGGCGAATATTGACTCCTTTGAGGCAGTCTGCTAGGCCAGCACCATTAGAAAGAAATATTTCTTGTTCGTTAGTGGCCTGGATAATCGAAATTTCCCGATCAATATCAATTGATATACCACAGGTTGGGGATGTTAAACGACGGAGTGATTTCTTAGCATCTTCCACGCGCCCTTGACGCACCAACCACCAAGGTGATTCAGGTGCAAAAATGGTAAAGACGATGATCGGTAGTGGCCACGCCCATTGAAGACCTAATGGTATTCTATAAGACCATTCATCTGTTCGAGTAGAAAAGGCACGAACGACTCCTGAGGCGATCAATTGTCCCGTCACCAAACAGAGGTTAATGCTGGTGGCCATGTATCCACGCAGACATATAGGAATGACCTCCGCAATGTAGGTGAGGGGAAGAGTTTGGAATACGCCCCTATCTTTTTGGTTAGCTAGATATAACAAGGAAAACCCGGAGTAGGCGTAAGCAAACCAAGGAATTCCGATGAGAACCGCGCCCGCCTCGATAGTTGCGATGTTTTCCGCAAAGAAAGTCATGCAAATAAAGACACAGGTCATTAGCAAGGACCCAATTAGCGTAATCTTATATCCAATTCGCTCAGCAAGCATGCTGTTCAGAACAAGGCCGACGATACAACCAGCCTGCCAGAGTGTCAATATCTGTTCACGATAGCATAGCACAGAAAAGAACACATTGAGCACTCACCAGCATACCGCAACTTATACCGGATTGCCAGGCCGCTGAGATTACCCTCTTACCAGCTATACCAGGTGAACCGTACCTATAGGTTCCTCGTGAGTCCGGTGAACACATATCCAAGGACTGCCAACCCACTTGTCTGCAAATTTATCGAGCCCGAAGAAGCTTCCGAGTAAAATCACATCATAGCCTTCCATAATTGGCCCTAGAGATATAGCAAAGGACCAAAGAATAGCCTTCTTGTATAACTTGACGGCATCTTTCACGGGAATGTTGATCGAGTCATATATCTCGCCAGGCGAATCTGCTGACGATGCAACCATCTCAGGGATATTGGCCATGACGAAACGCAAGGCAGGCAGATACTCCTTTATGTAACTTTAGAAAGGGTCAAACGAAGAACTCGATGAAAATGAAGGGCAAGATGGAAACAGTCGGTGTTGATATAGAAAATCAAAGTCGTGCCAACAAAGGCGCGAAGGACGAGAAACTAGCAAAATGCCCTCGGGCGCCACCCCTCGCGTATTTTTACTCCCAATTCAATTAAGCTTCTCCAGACTTCCCCGGACTTTCCCCCATGTGGCCGATTCACCAAGCCCTCATTAGTTACATTTGCGATGTATGGACAGGTAGCTTTCAACAGAGAGCCGAGAGCAGAAGTGGGGGGTGGGGATCCAATCAATCGCGCGGGGCGGCCCTAATCTCCCGCCATCGGGGCGCCCAGCCAACTTGGGAAGAAAACAGACATGGTCGGCTATTCTTCGGGATTGTGGAGTTGCTACATTTAATGCAACTACATATTGCCGACGCGCATAAATATACATCCATAATCTTTTCCCATCCAGAGGGTTTTACAGTAACTCTCTTCGTTCCGCCGACACTACCACTTTGTTACTCTCATCCATCACTGATATATCAACAACAATCCCTGTATTTGCAAAGATGGGCTCATCCACTACCAAAGCGGCCCAGCCTCTCTACCGAGATAGCTCGAAGTCGATCGATGAACGGGTGGCGGATCTTTTGAGCCGCATGACTTTAGCCGAGAAGGCTGGGCAACTCTTTCATAATATGCTCCTTCCTGGGCCTGGAGGATCGCTTGCGCCAGCGCACCTGATGCTTGGAATGGAAGACACCAAGCAGCTTCTGTCAGAGAAATTCATGACCCATTTCAACCTTTTTGGGCCAGTTGAAGATCCAACCCATATTGCTAAATGGCAGAATGCCCTTCAAGAACATGCTCTCAAGCAAACTCGTCTGGGAATACCTGTTACAATTTCCACCGATCCGCGCAACCATTTCACGCATCACATCGGGACTGCGTTCAAAGCTGGCTCTTTGAGCTTATGGCCCGAACCCCTGGGCTTTGCAGCTCTCCGTGATGCGGATCTCGTTGAGCGGTTTGCAGATATCGCTAGACAGGAATACATCGCCCTGGGTTTGCGTGTGTCTCTGCACCCGCAGGTCGATTTGTCGACAGAGTATCGATGGGCTCGCATCTGCGCTACTTTCGGCGAAGATGCCGATGTCTCCGGAGAACTTGTTCAGGCTTACATTCGTGGGTTCCAAGGTGGTAAGGATATTACCTCTAGCAGTGTCTCTACTATGACGAAGCATTTCCCTGGTGGTGGTCCACAGATGGACGGAGAGGATCCTCATTTTGCCTATGGACGTGAGCAAGTTTATCCTGGAGAAAATTTTGAATATCATCTCAAGCCCTTCCGAAAGGCCATCGAGGCCGGTACACGCTATATGATGCCATACTACGGTATGCCGATAGGCACCCAGTGGGAAGAGGTTGGCTTTGCCTTCAATAAAGCCGTTATGACCGGTCTCTTGCGAGAGAAGCTCGGCTTTGACGGGATTATCTGTACCGACTGGGGTCTTATCACAGACACTGCAATTTTGGGTCAAGATATGCCGGCTAGAGCTTGGGGTTGTGAGGGCTTGACTGAGATCGAGCGGGTCAAGAAGATCCTCGATGCTGGCTGTGACCAGTTTGGAGGAGAGTCGCGTACTGATCTGATCATTCGACTGGTGGAAGAAAACTTGATTCCTGAATCTCGAATTGACCAGTCAGTCAGCCGCATATTGCGAGAGAAATTTCTTCTTGGTCTTTTCGAGAATCCTTTTGTTGATATCGAAAAGGCGGGCAAGATCGTTGGGCAGTCCAAATGGAAAGAGGAGGGAGAACAAGCTCAAAGACGAGCCTTTACACTTCTGAAGAATTCGAAGAGCATTCTCCCACTCCAAAAAGAGGACAATAATGGCAAGAAAGTCTATGTGGAGGGTATCAGTCAGGAAATTGTTCATGATTGGGGATTCGAATTGACTTCCGTGGAAGATGCAGAAATTGCATTCTTGCGCCTCCAATGCCCTTACGAGCATCGCACTGGTGCTTTTGAATCGTTTTTCCATGCCGGATCTTTGGCGTTCTCTGCGGAGGAACAGGCCAGACAGGCGAAGATATTCTCCCAAGTCCCCACCTGTATTGTGGATGTGTATCTTGACCGACCAGCCGTCATTCCAGAGATCGCAGACCAAGCGACCGCTTTACTGGTGAACTACGGTAGCAGCGAGAGTGCATTCTTTGATGTCATCTTTGGAAACACTCATCCTGAAGGCAAACTTCCATTTGACCTTCCTAGCAGTATGAAGGCGGTGGAGAAAAGCAAGGAGGACCTCCCCTTTGACACAGAGCTCCCTGTTTTCAAGTACGGCCATGGCTTGAAATATTGATATAGATATTTTTAGAGAGATTAGGTACGGAGACCTGGCCGAACAATCCTGTGAATTTTATTAGTGACCTCATATAGTCAAGAGGGACAAGGAGATAGTAGTCTAGCCATTACGAGTCGCCTGTCGCTGCGGTCTTGGACCGTAGCGTCAAATAGGGCCGGGCCACGCTTCCTTGTAGGGATACAATGTCTGTATTACGAAGTTTTTTATAAATGTAGGGAAGTAGGAACTAGCAGAACGACTTTACCGCTCCGTAAGCTAGCTCTGCGTTAGCTTCAGTGCGGTAACCGTCCCCATGTCCCACTTTGAGGAAATTCTGGGACCGTCGGCTACTTCCTTTTGAGTTTCAAAAGCTCCCGAATGCATAGGCCGTATTTCCATCTCCGTATTTCCGTCGAATTGCGGGGATTGTTGGATGTGGGACTACAAATCATTGTTTTCTGAGCTATTGCTCCCAAGAATACCTTGAATTCATGGACGCAAGTTACCGAAGGCATGATTCAAAGGAGAAATTCCAGGTAGGAATGTGGGGCTTTTTTTCGCGGTCAAACTTATGCTTCATAAGCCAGGCTATACGTAGAACACAATATCAAACGCTTATATTTCTACAGCTCCCGTTGTGCCCATAAATCTTCAGACTCAATCTACAACCTCTTTTCCGATTCATTCTGAAAGACCGAGACAACATGACTGACAATAAACTTTCGACTCAATTCCAAATCCAATCCCTGTTGGTTCAAGAGCGTTACTACAGGGACACCATGCAATGGGAAAAGCTACGTCAGTGCTGGCATCCGGACCCGAAGCAAACCTATCTGAAAATCAGCTGGTATAACTGTTCCCTCTTTCCTCCACAATGATAGGTGCCCAGTGTCAAATTGTTTCTGATAGCATGGAATAGGTTTAAGGGAGATATCGATGGTTTTGTTTCGGGCTCGCAAGCCATGGTCAAAGGAACCAAGGCCTTCCACACGATCACTCCGGTGGAGATTCATGTTGTTGGCGAGAAAGCCTTCTCGGAATCTGTCGGTAGTATACAGATCCGTTTATGTCTAGATGGCAAGGAATACGACTGTGTGTCCAACTGTCGCTTTATTTCCCGCCTTCAAAAGACGGACGATGGATGGAAGCTCTTATCCCTGGTTGTTATATATGATCGAGATTCTTTGGTACCGACGATGCCCTGTGTCAGCTCTTTGGACTTTACTCTTGACTTTCAAAAGGCGAGAGAAAGTTATAAATATCTGTCTTGGGTGATATCCCAGAAAGGGTTCCAGGTGGATCAAACACTCCCTGGTACTGACAACTTGGATTCTGTTACTGAATTGATGAATGAGAGTCATGCCTGGCTTTCCAAATCAGATACTTAATTTGAAATACGAATCCACTACCTAAATATGTTAGGGCCCAACAGCCCAATAGGGGAGTTCCGCAATTTTTGGTCTTGACGAGGAGGGGGTTTGGCTCAACCCAACACCCCCGCCTAAGTAGGTCAAATCTCGAGATATTTCGATCGAGACTTTAGATCTTCTAGTTCGATAGACTAAACTATCTTTTTATCAAATTAGATTCTAGGATTAATAGGAATAAGGGCTTGACCCAGGTGGGGCGCGAGTTAAGTAGAGTATAGATCAGGAGAAGAGTTCTCTTTTATATAGGGTCTTTCACTCATTGAGAGAAAGACCAGGCTTAGACAAGCTCGCGACCTTGACATAAATGCTTCCCTATTAAATAGACATCTAATTTCAACGTGTATAAATCAAAATATCCACGAAATATTTATACGGCTTTCCAACATATTGATATAAATTTAACCCCACCCCTAAAAGTCATCCGGTAAAACCAAAACAAGCAGCTCCATAACAGAACAAGGCGCCCAATAATAGAACTCCATAGCAAGAACAATACCTAAAACAACAGCCCATATCTCCTCATACCAAAGCACCTCCCAAATAATCTTTGCATAGCGATACCAATTGAGGAACGGCATAGTGCGAACAGCATCAAAGATGCCAAGACAATATCTTTCACTGGTTCGGGCTCGGCCTCCAAAGCTGCGGTCGAATGGTACGATGGGTTCATCATTGTCTGGTAGCATCGATGCTGCAACACGTATATATATCGTTCGCATCACGGTAGAAACGAAGATTTCTGAGACGTATGGTGCGAAAAAAAAGATCAAGATTCCTGTTGTCTCCAACTCTGAAGAAATCTTTTCATCGAACCAGGCATTCAAAGCTGCGGAGCAGATTCCACGCAGAAATAGCATCCAACTTTTTGTCAAATAGTGGGCCAAGCTTGGTAAGATGATATCCAAAGATGCGGTTGGTAGTATTCCAACCCATTCTCGCCAGCCAGGGATTCTCTGCCAAAGTGTTTTGTTGGTAGGCTTTGAAATGATAGCGTGGATCCAAGCCGTATGCAAATTTGTCAACAGAAGGCCTGAAAATAACATGTATAAGATCGAGACAGGAGTCTGTGCCCCCTCCACCGTAAAGAATCTTGCAACGTTCATGATCGTAAAGGCCAGTAGCATATAAACCGAGAAGATGTCGAGTCCCGGATACAGCGCCAAAAGTCCACCAGTTTGACTCTGCAGTCGCCGGCGAGCAACACTCCGATCATTGGTGACAGCATTAGAATCAGGTTTAACAGTGAACATAATTGATATAGTCCCGAGGGTGTAAGCCAAACCAACGCTCGGGACGGTCTGTTGTACAGTGTTGATGCCCACATTAGTGAAACCATATAAGGAGAGTAAGTAGAAAGCTGCGAGAAAGAGGAGAGTACCACCGAGGGATGGTGCTGCGTTTATGATGAATTTTTGTCTTAAATTTCGGAGGAATTGTCGTGTGTCTTCTGGTCCCTCTCTTGGGGATGTATAAATTTCGGCGTTTTCAAGTTTCCCATTTTCGGGGATATCGGTCTTGTGGGCGGGTTCGGTTATTACTTGGGTTGGGGTTTCTAGTACTGCCAGTGCTGATATCACGCTTACGTCTGCGTATTCAAACTTTCAAAATATCAGTTTCTGTTGACTCAAACCACGAGTGTTCGGAAGGCTTTACTCGGAAGAACAGCATGGCGCTTATTATCGTTGTCATGACCACGGCTATGGGTATTGTCGTCTCATGATAGGCAGTGTTGGCGAACGTTGTGGCTCCGAGCAGGACAGATTGCCATCTTGGTAACGATCCTAGAGACATCGCGAGAGAACATTCATATCTCCAATGTAATTTTGTCGCATGCAAGGACAAAGTATGATGATGTCCAAGGTGAGAGTGGGGGATGAAACGAAAACATTTCAGCCCCATGCACGATCAGGCCCACTATGACATAGCAAGGGGCCAAACCAGGACTTACAATACATGGCATGCTATGAGCAGCCAGTAAACAGACTACAACTACGGATTGTATAAATCTTGATAATCAATGACGATTAGATAGATTAATGCTATTACTGTAGGAAAGTAGGCTATATACATGCAAGAAGCGCCCAGGCATCAATCTCTAGCCCGAGAGCGAGATTCAAAAATATTCGTATCACATAAGACACATCTTATCATATGGCAGGACCGTTTTTCTCGAGGGAACTGGGTTCCTCGCGGTTATTTTTCTCAGCGCGGTAATTTTCAATGACGCGACCCTCAATAGTCTCATCAAAGACATCAACCTGGGTAGTGGCAAACTTGCGAGCACTGACACCACGCTCGAAGAGCAGGTCCAGTTCGGCGAAGGAGCGGCCGCGCGGCTCGGGGACGCGAAAGTATGTGTAGATAATGCAAAGAAAGCAGATTCCGCCCCAGAAGAAACCGGCGTAGTTGCCCCAGTCCCAGGCGCTGGGGTTGAGCATGTAGGGTGTTAGGACGCCGCAGACGATGGCGACGATGTTGTACAGATTGCGTCCTAAGACGACGGTTTTAATTTGGAGGCGGCGGGTGGAGAGTTCGGCGACGAGGGAGTAGCACACCGTTCCGACTGTGAGTTGGTAGAATAGGGCCCAGATTAACATCATGGCGCCGGTTGCTAGGGAGGCTTGGTCTTTGTGGTCTTCTGGGACCAGGCCAAGGAAACCCATGATGAGGAGCATTGTGCAAAGGCCGCAAAGGCCGTAGAGGCATAGGGTTCGGCGGCCGATACCGAGGGTCATGAGGAACCAGGCGCCGAAGACGCCGACCATGTTGATGCCGTATTGGCCCATGGCGAAGGCGTAGGAGTTGCTGGAGCTCAGGCCGGCTTGTTCCAGGAAGTAGGTGGAGTAGTTGGAGAAGGAGTTGCCGCTAAGGTTTTGGATGGCCCAGACCATGCAGACAATTTCGGTGCGGCGGAGGTCGGTACCCCGGAAACAGTCGAGATAGCTGGCACCGTTGGTGATCTTGGCTTCAAGGGCAGTAGTGTGCACCATCATGGCAACGGTCTCTTCTGGATCGAATTCCAAATCGGTACCTTTGCTGGTCAATCGCTCAAGCGAACGCTTCGCATCCTCGGTCCGGCCTTTGCGTACTAGCCACCACGGGGACTCTGGCGCAAGCCAAATCCCAATGAAGAGAGGCAGGGGCCACATCCATTGAAGTCCATAGGGAATTCGGTAAGCCCATTCGTCATTCCGGTTCAACATGCCCTTGATGACACCGATGCCGATAAGCTGACCAAGACCCCAGCAGAAATTGACATATGTTGTCAAATAGCCTCGCAGAGCCACGGGGCAAACCTCAGAGGCGTATGTGATAGTCAAAGTCTGGAAGACACCCCAAGGAATACCACAAAGAATCTCTGCCGCGAGCAGGGACTGCACATTCTGAGCCGTGAAGAAAATAGTTGTCCAAGCGCTGACGAGGATGAGACAGGCCATGATAGTGTACCGATAACCGAAGCGTTCGGATGCCCAACCGTTGATAAACAGACCGATGATTTCACCACAGTAAGCACCGTTGCTCAGACCTGCTTGCCACTACATAACGAAGTAATTGTCAGTTTTCGTAGTTCTTCTCTCGGGGGCAAATAAAGCCACCCCAGCACGAAACTTGTAATCTGGAATTGATCGACATACCGATGCAGAAACTTGGTATGTGCCATCGGCCAGCATCTGACCATACTTGCGATTGAATTGGGGGAAGGCGTAGAAGTTATTGACCAAACTGATGTCGTAACCCTCCATGGCAATGCAAGTTGAGATGAGCACGCTCCACATAACGGCCTTGGGGTACAACTTGATACCCTGGAGCAAAGTCATGGACTGCTCTTTACTTGTAGCGGCCTTTGCATTCTCAATGACCTTCTCCATTGACGCATTGGAGGGTGGTAACGAGTTGGGGTATTTGTAGTCTGGAGGCGCTTCCACCGGGGTGATGGCATCCTGCGCCTTGGGGTCGGCCATGGTGAATTGGCGGAGGTGAGCACCGGAAACAAAAAAACGCAAGAATGGACGCTCGAGGGTGGAAGGAAAGTTGGTCGAGTAAGAGGGTTGCAGGTCGAGTGGATCGCTCGGAAGATCAGGGGAGAAAAAATCAAAGTATCCACAGTGCAGGAAACATCGCACACGAGCACGCAAGCCGCGAAAACTTCCCTTTTAACGCCTTCCGAGGGTAATTGAGGGAAAAAGGAACTAGAGTGAATGAGGATAAGAGGTCAAAGAGTCGAATTGGCGGGGAAAGTCAGGAAGAGTCCAGGGCAAATTTTCGCGGGATGAGAAGCTTGGCGAGACCGGATGGGGCAATTGATGGGTCAGTGACATTCGATGGCACCCCAATTGATTTGCTGCTCTTGCAGGGAGTTAGTGGAGGATGTAACTAGGATTGTGCTAGATGCTAATGGTCCAGCCGTGGCTTTGTTCTGATCTGCATGTTTTACGGGTACGGAGTACATGTACAGGGTCTCAACCCCACGTGGCGGCATTCCTCCGATATAACCCTTGCAGCCATCTCAGATCTTTATATTTCGACTATCTTTCATTCTGTATTATATCATAGATTAATGGATTCCATATGACTATAGGGGTAAGGAGTATAGAATAAACAATATTGGCAACCCTGGAAGGTGGTGAAAACTCTAAAGTTAAACTTTTCCGGGGATTACCTAGTGTAACCTTAGACAGATAAGAGTTGGACATTTCATAAGTCATGATATTGGTATTTATATACACATCTGAACACATTTAGAGTCTAGTAAAGTCGATAAATTCCTCTAAAGGCGGGCGGGAGGGGCACCAGACACATTAGCCTCAGTAGCAGATTGAATGCGAGCACCGAGATCGGCATTAACACGACGGAACATCTCATAGGTAGCCTTGCGCACGCGCTCATGAGCGCCGCACAGGTGACCAGAGATGTTACTGACAAAGCTCTCCTGCTGGCCGGGGGTGCGGCCAAGAACTTGCCACAGACCGTTGGCCTGGACGTAGTCCTCCGAGGTAACGGGGTACTGCTCGGCAAGAACAGCGCCGGTCCACTTCTCGTGTTCCTGGCTGGCCTTGACGGGCTTGTAGGCGATGGGACGGAAGGTGGAGGGGTAGTTGGGGTTGGCGCCATAGTTACCGTTGACGTTCATGGGGCCGTCGCGATGAGTAGGGTTGAAGGCCTTCAGCGGGCAGTTGACCGGGATCTGCTCGTAGTTGCCTCCCAGGCGATGACGGTGGGTGTCAGGGTAGGAGAAGAGGCGGGATTGGAGGACTGGGTCGGCAGAGGGTTCGGCGCCGGGGACCATGTGGGAGGGGGAGAAGGCGGCCTGTTCGATCTCCGCGAAGTAGTTCTCCGGGTTCTTGTTCAAGGTGAAGCGGCCGAAGCGGCGCAGGGGCACTTCGCTGTGTGGCCAAACCTTGGTCAGATCGAAGACATTCCAGCGGAATTTCTCTGCTTGTTCGGGGCTAAGGACTTGCACGTAGCAGGTCCAGGAGGGGTTATCGCCGCGCTGGATGGCTTCGAAGAGGTCCTGGGTGTGCCAGTCGGAGTTCTCGGCGGAGAGCTTAGTGGCCTCGTCGTTATTGAAGGTCTTGGTGCCCTGATCGGTCTTGCAGTGGATCTGGACGTAGTTGAAGGTGCCATCGGGCTTGGTCCACTTATAGGTGTGGCCGGAGTACCCGTTCATGTGGCGGTAAGAGTATGGGGTTCCGCGGTCACTGAACAAGTGCATAACCTGGTGGACGGCCTCGTGATGGGTAGACAGGTAGTCCCAGAACATGGTGGCATCCTTAAGGTTGGTCTGGGGGTTGCGCTTCTGGGTGTGGATGAAGATTGGGAACTTGGCAGGATCACGTAGGAAGAAAACCGGAGTGTTGTTGAACACCCAGTCCCAGTTGCCCTCCTCGGTATAGAACTTGATGGCGAAGCCACGCGGATCACGGGCACTATCGGGGGATCCCTTCTCACCACCGACGGTTGAGAAACGAGTGAGCATCTTAGTCTTCTTGCCTACACCCTTCAGCATATCAATTGTAGTCTGTGTAGGTTGTAAGTCCAATATCTACCATCGATATCATAGCCGGTACATACAATGTCGCTAATGTTGTCGGTAACCTCGAACTCGCCGTAGGCGCCAGCACCCTTGGCGTGGACCACACGCTCAGGAATGCGCTCGCGGTCAAAGTGTGCGAGGAGATCAATCAAGTGGAAATCCTGCAGCAACAGAGGGCCATTGGGTCCAACGCGCTGAGCGGCCTGGGGGTCCATGACCTGTATGTATACTTAGATCACGTCATATCTTTCAAAGAGAAGAGGTAGGCATACCGGGCAGCCATTGGAGGCCGTGTAGACCGGAGTCTCACTGTCGCGGTAGGTTTCTATTGGAACAGCAAGTTAGCTAGAGCTTCTGGTGAGTGAAAGTAGAGGTACCAACTGACTAGGCTCATTGTCTTGACCCATGTTGGCAATTCGTCTAGCAGTCAATGGAAAAACGAAAGAAAAGAAAAAACAGGAATCCTGAGGACACAGCGGGGCTTTATTTACGTATTCAGTAAACACCAGGGCAAACGCTAGGTGGAGAGGAAAAAAACCCGATGAAGCAATTTAGACCCACGGGGTATTTTGATATGGAATCATCCGTTACTGATTGGCTGCTTGGATCTGCAGAACGGATAAACCTTGATATGAACCTCTATTATTCACCCCCATGGCATTACAATGCAGCATGAGTAGATTCTATAGTCGGTATCCTACCCGATTTGCCTAAGACATATGCTGTGCATCGGTTGGCTACCCGAAAATATCTCATAAGAAGAGATCTCAAAAAATATGAGGGGAAATAACATGGATTCATAAGTGCACTCGGGCTAGACCGAAGTGGAAAAGAGCTTTGTCGTGCGTTTGATCCGTTTCAGGCAGGTCATTCCTGTTCGTGTTCCGAATTGACAGCGGGAACAGCTATAGAATCCTGCAAGGGCTAAATTTTACTCTTCGAGTACACAGCAAAGTTCCTATCACCCTGCAGACTACTTGAGCCAATGTTTTGCTAACACTTTTTCTGCTTGGCAAGCTATGATTTCTTTAGCTTCCCCTTTCTACCGCATTTCATCATTGACCCTGCGTTAGTGGTATCAGTAGACATCTGGCTACATCACGTATGAATATGAATAGGCTTTTTGTCTTTTACAAATGAGCTGCTCTATTGTATTTTGTGTGGACGGCTCCTGCAGCCAAGTTGCCTACCATAAATAATGGGCCGACCAGGCGATCAATCGCGGAAATCTCCGAGTTCCGAGCGGAATTCTGCCGATCGGAGATAGCCCGGAAAATTAAGCATACATTGACCTAGTCATTGTCAAAAGCCATGATTCTGAGCAGGGATGAACAACTCGTCTCATAAGTTTAATCTTAGATGGCAAGCCAGTGGCGATAATACTAGTAATAGTAAAGAAAGTACGTATAACCTGATGTTTACTTGTAATGACTGGCAGATGGTCTTGATTTCGATGAATGTATTGATAACTCTAGTAATAATAGTCCTACAGTAAATGGGCTTTCTCCGTATGGGTTCATCCAGGTAGTTTCCTGTTACATGAAATTGTCAATTCCAAATATGACACAGCAAACAGATTCGATGACCTCGGATATGGCGAAACAGACGCAGGGATCCAATGAGATAACGCCAGTAGTATCGTGCCCATCTGGAACCTAAGAGGAACCAAAGGGGGAAAAGAAACAAAATGCTCGCTCACATGTCGATCGTATATCTTGGCTTGTATATTGGAGGAAGTGCAAAGTCGATGGTAAAAGCAAACAAATAAATCACAGAAGTGGGAGGGTATATCTAATGCCTGTGGATTCTCAGCCCAGCAGGTTGGTCGAAGCAAATGAAAGCAGAGAATATGCTATGAAGGCATGCACGGGAGTGAGAGGGCGAGGACGACGGGGGTTGCCGTTCAACGTGAATGCTGTGGTAGCTACCCCAGTAGTCCATTATCAGCCGCATGGTACGGTAGATCAACTATGTAGGAATCGAGTCAAATTCAGTAGGGGTCGGCATGGTGGTGGTGATGGTGGTAGGATCATTGCACCCGAACCATCCAGGAGTTTTGCAAGTAGTAGTCGTTGCAGTTACCGTGGGTAAAGTCGTCGAGACTATGGGCGCCGGAGTTGCTGTAGTCGAGATCGTAGGATCGTTGCACCCAAACCAACCTGGAGTTTTGCAAGTTGTGGTTGTTACTGTACTTGTCGGAGACGTCGTGGTGGTGCCAGTAGTTGTAGTACTTTCATCCAGACACCCCCACCACCCAGGGGTCTTGCAGGTCGATGTTCTGGTATAGGAGGTGGTTGTTGAGGTAGTGGTAGTAGTCGTGATCTCAGAGCCATTACTTCGGAAAAACTTCCAGAGTTCACAATCAAAGCATTCTTCGTCTTCCACACATTTCGGTACAGTGTCGTATTTCAAAATAACATCGGATATCACATTTTCGATCTTGTGGGTACCCAGCCCAACACGCCATCCTTTGTCTGCGACGGTGTCATATGTGCAAATCTGTCCACTGTGGCAAACTGACTCCATCGCATAACCACCCCATGTACAGATCGAGTTTATTCCGTTGCAGGTACCCATGTATATCGGATCTGCTGTATGTCCGAAGTGATAAGCACCGGTATGCCGCCGTGTTTGCGGAAGTCTTGGGTCGTATCCAGGCGGGCTTGGGAGACCAAGCCGAGCTGCCGGCAAAGCTTCTGGAACAGCTTCAAACGTGACCACGGGCAACCCAAAGGTCAACCCGACTAGACTAGTCATTGCGCCACCCAAGGAATGGCCTGTCATCCAAATATTTGAATCCGGGTAGAGCTCGGTAACATTGGAGTAGAGCTCAATTGCAGCTTTATAATAACGATTTTCGTCGTTCATAGACTCAACAATGCAGGTCAAGTTCGCTGTAAATGTAGCAGTCTGACAGTCGCAGGCTTGCCTCCATAAGTAGGAGCCTCCTTGGCCGCAGCAGCAGCTGAAAAATAGATTGTCGTTGACTTTATCGTTGGTGGTGGTGCCCGCGCCATCAAAAAGAGCCGGCGAAGTACCCTTCAGCGAGATCACGACAGTGCTATTGGTTTCGTCGGAGTATATGTGCCCTCTGAGCCCATCTTTCTGCCAACCAAAGCTCCCCGAGTAGTTGAAATGGCCGTGTATAGAGTGCCACTGTCCCGTCCCAGGTTCCTCGATATAGTCATTTGCGGTCATCTGAGCGAATGTCAAGACTGTCTTCTTGTCTGTAATATCTGGCCCTTGCAAGGTGTCCATGACCCACTCATCTGCAGACAAGGCGGCCACAGAGCCAGAAGACCGTGCAGTGGCCAAATGCCCCTCGATCACCGGAAGTCGTCGATCGGCCAACCGCTGTATCGTGAGCGGACTTGAAGAGGCAAGTAGAGATAACTCTGACGCAACATATTCGTTTTCATCGCCATCCTCAGATACAGCCCAAAGCCGAGTATCTGCGTTGACATCGAGTCTTACATGGAGATCGGGCTGTTCATAAGAGCCGCGGTGAAAGATGTGCCGTAGAGACTAACAGTGTCAGTACAGGGCAAATGAAATGGGGAGGTTGGCATGGCGTAACTTACAAACTCATGCGTCTCGGGTGTACTCTCGGATCCCAAAGGTGCCTGTGGCGGGATGATAGGAGCTTGAAGAGATGGATAAACCGAGGCAGAGGCAGCAGTTGATAGTACAGCAGCTGATAATAGAAGGCTCTGGACATTCAGTCCAAGCCATGAGCGCTTGCGAGACATGATGGATGATCAAGGAGACTTGGAGACTTGGAGTCAAGGGCCTATCGGGTTATCGGTCAGTCACCTTATCAAGTGACGCATTGCGGAGATGGCACGTGACTAGTACCGTGACGTGATCCCCGTGATCTTGTTAGTTTGGTGGGAACTTCCAATGAGATATCTTCAAGGTCTCTTCTTGAATTGGTCAATTATTGCATTCCAAGGCAGAAGCCATACATGTACATGTATAACGGGGGGAGCTCAGGTGATCGACACAAGCCTATCAGCTGAACAGAGCGGAGACACGCAACTAGTGCCTACCCAAAATGTCTGGCCCCTCTGATAGTGGCTCTGGGCCTTCATTTTCACAATTCACCAGAATGGATACCCCAGTGAAGCCCCCTCCCTTTCTGTCAGAGCAAGAGGACACCCCAACTACTCTATCGGCTCATAATGAGGGGCAGGAGAAAGGTCCTGACGTGTTCGATCGACGGGGCTCTGCGGACTCTGGCAACGTCGGCGATGGGCAGGCAGACGAAGGCTTTGTGCTTTCAAGAAGCTTGCAGGATCCTTCAGAGGAGCTTCCGATCGAATTAATCAGTTTGGCAGATCGGTAAGTTTGGTCAGTTGGGTTATCAAGCTCCAACATTACATCTGACAAGCTTTTTTGCTAGGTTCGTCAATTCCTTGAGTGCCAAAGTTCACAACTCGCCCCCTACGATCGATAAAATTTCCGAGCTTTTCCAAGTATTTTACAGCCGTGCCGAGACTCACATAGCCACTCATATATCCGCCCTCATATCTCGCATCAACCGAGACCTGTCACCTCAGGTCCCCACAAAACCCCCGCGGGGAACTGCGCTGTCAAAATTGAGCAGCAAACGCTCCCAGGATGATGTCAGACCAGCGGCTTCAGGTCGCCAAATGCTGACTGCTTCAGAGGTAGCTGAAAAGCGAAAGGCTCGTAGAATTCTGGAAAACAAACGAGGCGCATTGGAAGAAGCCGCCGAACGAAGAGTTTGCGAGATTGTCTATGACAAACTCTGGAGACATAAAAGCACATTGGATGATGTTAGAGACGAAAAGTTGCGATCCAAGACCGCAGCTCTGCTGCTAGTCGGCATTAACTTGAAGGATCTCGGAATTGACCTGGACCTTGATTCCATCGATCAGCAGAAGCAAGATGAAGCGAATGAATTCCTTGCCCAGGCCAGGGATTATCTTGCAAAGATGAACGATTACAAATATCCTCTTGGAAAGCTCCAACAGCTTGCCGCAGCTCACAAGGCAATTGTCGATGCTCTTACTAAACTTTTGCCATCTTCCTCTTCTGCAGATGAGATCCTACCGACTTTGATCTATTCACTTGTCACTTGTCCACCAGAAGGAATCAATATTGTCAGCAACCTGGTTTTCATCCAGAGGTTCAGATCTTCAAGTAAATTTGATGGAGAAACCGCCTACTGCTTGACCAACCTCGAGGCGGCAATCAGTTTCCTCGAAAACGTTGATCTTTCTACATTACGTGCCGATGAGCTCCAGGATGGGCCTGTCAGAACTCCAAGTACGACAACGACGCCATTGTCTGAACATGCCGATCCTTTCCGACCACCCAAAGAAAGTACAACTTTGTCTATAACGGCTGTATCAGCCTTGCCAGAGCTTTCAAAGCCAGATACCAAGGAACCTGTCTCTTCAACATTGCCCAAAACACGGCCCTCTCCAACACCGCAGCAGCGCCGTCTCAGCAACCTTTTCCAACCTCCTTCAAAGGTATTAGGGGCTGCGAATGACGCTGTTCGCACTACTGCCGACCAAGGCTTGAAGAATATTGGCGCCACTTTGGACAGCAGCTTTAATTTCCTATTTGGCCGTCTGAAGGAAATGCAGTCCGGACCAGAAGGAACCGGCACCGCGCTACCAAAGACTTTGGCTGAAGCTCGGCGTCTAGTCACCATGCCGCCTGTCTCTGCTGAAAACCAAAACTTAACACAGGACGAGATTGCAGCGATCAACTCCGTATCCGTGGATGAGAGCACACCACCACGCAGCAATTCAAGACTCACCGGGCTTTCCAGTGGCGGTCCTGCCTCTCGTGATCGGAGTGTAGACAGCACCAGAACGCAAGCAAGCAGCAAAAAGTCCATCGCCACATCAATCAGAGAGGAAATTGCGTTAAACTCTGCCAACAGTCCCACTCCGCTGGAATCAATGCGGAACTTTGGTAACACTCTCAACCCTCTGAACCACATTCCAGGTATGATGAAGAACTTCGGCCGTGCACCAGAGACTCCCGGTGCCCGATCCGTTTCTCCATCCGGACTTGACCGATTCAAGCCATCACCTGCCTCATTCGACAACACCAGCGCTGCAGCCAGCCCTCTCCCCACTTCAGCATTGAAAGTGGACCCTCCGATTCAGCGCTTCCTTGAGACACAGGATGCGCGCGATCTTCGAGTTGGAGATGTGGCTATTCTGCTAGAAGACTATAAAAGACTAGCAGCTGCACTATACAAACCAGCCGAGTCTCGATAAGATCTCACAACTTAATTCAACTTTTTTCGGCTTTATTCGGGCTTTTCATACGGATTTCAGCCGAGCAAAGCTCTTTGAAACATTCTTGCATCATTGATTAGTAACGGCGTCATCTCAGGTATCTCATATCCCATGTCATCTGGGCGAATAAAGGTTTAGATTGCATTGTTTTGGCGAGTGAGATATGCAATCTCGATATCATACATCATTTTAGCAGAGAGTAACCTTTTCCAATAAAAACATGATTACAAACTTCATATTCTCCCTCGTAATATCCCATCAAACGATGAGATAGTAATGCAAATGACATAAATAGGGGTATTAAAACATGAATAGAGATCAAGTCAAGGTCAATTTTCGCGATGGGTAATTAGGGAATAGAACACTCTCGTCTCAGACACCATAAGCATATGAAAGAAGGAAGAGAAACCGGAAATCATGAAACTCATTGGCTGCGTCCGCGCAAGACCTCTGCACCACCGCTTCTCATCTCGGTCAATTTATTCGTCAGCTCTGAGGTCTGAGCCTCGACTTGGTCATTGCGGCGCTTGATTTCTGCTTCAAAGACTGCGGCTGTACGGCGACGGGCACGGCGAAGATTCTTCATTTCAGATAGCAGATGGGTGAACTGGTCTATCATCTGGTCACCACAGTCTTCCCATTCATCCATAGACATCTGGGATAAATACGCCTGACGTTCTTCTTCGGAAAGACGGAGCAAGTGGGAGACGGCATTTTTGGGAGATTGGGTATCGGGGATATAGGATGGTTTTGGAGGTAAAGGAGGTGATTGAACTGGGGGAGGAGGTGGTGTTGGGGCTTTTTCAAAGGGCTCGGCCTGGAGCTCGGAGAAGGATTTCTGGTACAGCAGGTCTGGGGGATAGTCTGCTTCGAGTTCTCGCTTTTTGGAACGGATGACTGTGTTGCGGCGGGGACGTGTGGAAGCATGTATTGGCTCGTGTGTAGGCTCGTGCATAGGTTCGTGTGTAGACTCGTTGATTGTAGATGCGTTGGTATAGAAGGGGTCCTGCATTGTTTCGTCGGCATCCAGGTCCGTCAGACTGGTCATATCGAAGACATTGTGGGAATGGTCACTTTCTCGTCTTCCACTGGCACGAATTGTGTGGTCCATGCCATCATCGCTGCCACTACCGTCGATGTCACTGTCGGTTTGGAAGCCCGTTATGCTGAGTGTCCGGCCAAGTTCTGGCGGGGGCTGAGAGTTCTGACGAGTGGGTGATCTATCAAGCTTTTGGTCGAGTTGCTCAAGCAGGGAAGGCTTTGGTGGACTAAAACGGGTTCTGGGCGTGGCAGATCCGTTGGGTGGGAGAACAACCTTTCTAGCCCCGGTAGGAGGGAGCATTTGGCCCAACTTTCGTGGCTTGGCATGAGGTTTGGGCTGAGGCTGCAGCTGCCGCTCGGGGTCGGAATCCACATTGACAGGCTGGCGTGAAGAAGTCCTCTTTTTGCTTTGAGACCAAAAACTTTCCAAGCGTTTGCTCAGCGGCTGCTCTGTGGTACGCGACTTGTGTGACGCTTGCCAGCCGGTGGCTACTTCATCAGTCTTCTCGTCGTCTCCAGCGTCAGATGTCATCGGGCTATCGAAGCCCACAAGGTCATCGGAGTCAAAGCCCATCGTCTTCATGACTTGGCCACCCCGGCCATCATACCAGTTAGACCCGTAGGCAAGTCGAACAGGTCGGGTCTGATACGTAGGCTGTGGATCGGGGTTGGTGTAAGCAGCATTCGTACTTGACGCTGCTTGGGATTTGTTATCTTCAAATCCAGAGACACTCGTTCCGGTGACAGTTGAATCATCAATCGCCTCAACATCAGTATCAAAGACATCGCGCTGCAGCGCATGGGCGGGAGTAGTGCGGGGCTGGTTTGGAAACTGAGATGCTCCAGGGAATTCTAGTGCAGCACCACTCCCATTGATAATTGTGTTGCTTGGATGAACTAATGTGGGAGGCACATCGACTCTGGCCTGCTCTGCACGTTGCTGGCGCGACTGGGCCGCACCGTTGTCGGGGGCTCGAGGCTGCCCAGCTTCTCTAGAGTGGACATAGTCGCCCACCCCCATATTTACTTAGAGGATGATGAAATGTAGGGGGAATGAGCAAAAGAAGCTTTTTCCCAACCGACGTTGAAATTGTGACGGGGAAGCAGTGTCTTCTTTGAGCACATGGGCAAACGCGACATTGCCGCGAGGTCACGTGCCACTCAATTCACACAATAGTTCGGGCTCATCTAGGGTAATAAGTTTTATTTGATGTCAATGTTGATCTAGGTGTTTTAACTACACGATGTCAATGTGGTATCGTTTGAATAGGAATCTGTTTGTATTCTGGGGGTATATTGGTGCAACATAAGCTCCGAGTAATGTTACAACATCCATCTCACCATATAAATTCACTTAAACACTTAAACTGAAACGCCATCATCGATATGAAGACTTTCCAAATTGTAGGCAACACTTCTTCCTCGCTTCTTTGCCTTTTCGAAAAACTCAATAGACTTCTGGACTTCTGCTGTCTTTCTCTCGGTTGCAACCCTGTGTGCGCGTCTCGCTTCAAGAGAACCTGGAGCCTCGTCCATAAGCATCCGATCGGGATCGTCACTCTCTTCCTCAATGGGTGTTGCTAGTGCGAATACGAATAAGTCACCAATCCAGAGTGATACCATTCCTCTAAGCTCCAGCAGTTCGGGGGAGTCAGAGAACGGGGGGGAACTAAGAAGTTGGTCCATTCGTGCAGCAATTTGCTGGGCCTGCTCTAACTCTCGTGACCTGACCTTAGAAATAGCGGCAACAGCCTTTTTTTTTGGCGTCTGACCATGCTCAAGTTCAGCCTCTGGATCATCGTCGTCTGAAAATCCATCAGATTCGTCTTGGCGAGTAGCAATATCTTTCCTTGCGGTGTTGCTTTCTTCCTGGCTGACATACACCCAGAGCCCGAACATTGCAGGATAGAAGTGTAAAGAAGATATGGAGTGTGGTGATGATTTCATGTATGGATGATTGAGAATGAGTCGTTCATAATATTCTTTGGCCTCCGCAAATCCTTTGGTGGTAGACGTCAAGGGTGTTGCGACTGTAGCATCGGCCTTGCTGGCACCAGAACTAGTCGGCGCTACCTGTTGATCTCGCCGCAGCAAAATTTCAGCGCCCATTCCCCACCTTGCTTCGTTGCGGACATCCATCCGAAATCCTCTGTATTCTTCGCGAAGAATCAGGCCCCATGCCCTTCCAGCTCGGGCATAGTCACCTTGGAGCATACATCGGTGTAAGATTGTTGTCAATACACCTAGATGCTGAAAGCGAATATTGCCTTCCTGAACAGAGTGGGGAGGGTAAATAGGAGGCGAAAGATTCGCCAAGGCTTTGAGATGACCTGAAGCTTTCACCTTTGTGACAGTTTCATCCTTGACCGGTTGATGGGGGAAATTCCCTCCTGGTAGCTCAGCGTGGTAGGGGAAACCGGCAATTCGGTATTGATGAGACTCATTTGGCGTCAACACCAATGGTGGCCCGGCAGGCTCGGATTCCGTAGCGGAGGCGAAATCAGACTCTTCGCCATCGAGCTCATCTTCACTCCACTTTGCACTGCGTTTCTGGCGATCATATTGAGAGACACGCGTGCCAGATGGCTGGAGCCATGGCGGTAGTGGTAGAGAAAAGACCGAAGCCGAAGGCCCAGACGCCATCAGCCATAAAGACTTTCTATAAAAACCCAGTGGGATGTCGCATTTGTCAGTGGAAGGTGACGGAAGTGAAGAAAGTGGTGACTAAGGGACCCGAACAAAGTAGGCAAACATCACTTATCGTCTATCAAGTCATTCAACTCCTCTTCTTTCTCTCCTTTTTATCTTCCATTGTCCCCCTTTCCTTACCTTCTTACTCTCTTGGGTTTTACTCTCTTATCCCCTGGTGGCTCCCGAGATACGCTCGGCGGTTATTTCTCTCGGTGCCTGGGCTGTCAGACAGTTTCAGGCTCATGGTCGCAGTGGCTCGTATCAAGCGTATCAGGACGTGAAATTGTCTCACGCATTATCTAGCTGCAGGCGAATCAACCCGTGCCAACTGCCCATCGGATTTCACTCCTTTGTCCCAACCGTCTTGCACATACAGACTCACTCGATCCATCCCGCGTACCATCCGCCTCCGCACCAGACCCCCGACAACACGTCAAATATTCCGTTGATATCGCCGAACCTGTTGTGTTGTTACTTTCATCGTCTCAACATCACTTTGACTTAATTAAGACTGCCACTATTATCTATATGGTCTTCTGATGGCAGTGAACGGCTGTTGACATTCCCTCTGCCTCGATCTGCTCTCACCACCCTTTTACTATGGGACAGTCCTCTTCTACACAACGTGAACCTCCTGACACCAGATATCCGGAACGCTTCTCACCTTTTTCGGTAGACCGTGGCTCGAACACGAGGGATGAAGACATGAACCATAGGCAGGCGGCTGAACACAACGGGGAGGGTGGCTTCTCGCAACGTGCCGAGATGGATACGAATAGAGGCGATCAAGCTACACTCGAGATGACAAATGAAGCACAGGACATATGGCACCAACCCACGCGGTTCTCCGGTGGAATCTCGCAACCCATGCGCAGTATCGAAGAGGAGGATGACCCAGAGTTTGAACTGCCATCGCGTGAAATACGCACTGCGGCATTTGCTCGAATGGCAGCTCGGAGGCAATCAACTATGTCCAGGCTAGGGTCTAGGCTGCTTCCCAATTCAGTCATCCGTGGGCTGCTCAATAGTCAAGAAGAAACCCCGGCCGAGGGTCATGCACACCGACATGGGCTAGTCACTAGACCTATTCCAAGGTCGGAGACGACCCACACAAGTGGTCGCTTCAGTCCCTTTACATCGCTCAGCTCAAGAGGAATTACTCGACGTCGTTCCAACCGAGGGCCTTATTTCATTCCGCCTCGCTCGGGATCCTCTGGACCACCAGATGTCTCTGGAAACCCGTCATATCTTGATTCCGCTGACTCGGTTCCAGAGCCTACGAGAGCCTCCTGGCGTCGCAGTGTTCGATTGAGCCGTGTTCGAAATTCGATTTCCTCCCCCATCTCTCACATGTTTGGTCAACCGCACTCTAACGTGCAGGGCCACGCAAACCCGCCGCGTCGTATGTCGGATCCATCGTTCGATGAGAGAGCAATGGATACTCGGTTGGATTTCGGCGAACCACCTCATGAACTCGATTCTGTGGAACCAGCCATTCAGGCAGGGGACCCGTTAGCCGGCTCGCCTCCTGGCCACCCGAACCCTGCTCTGATGCGCCGATTGCCTGCTCTTATGCGAGCGAGACAATCTAGAAACGCGCGACGAGAGGAGCAAACTCCTCTCTCAAGAGTTCTCCAGCTCGCTGCAGCGGCCATCGCCGCTCAGCTCTCCGGTACCGCTGGCCCTGCATTGCCCAACATCCAGGCTCTAGGAAATGATGGAATAGATGGTTCTTTGGAGACATTTATCCAGAGTTTACAGCACGCGACGTCTGCTCAAGCCCAGCCAACTGCGGGAGGAGAAGGACCGAGCGGTTCTACAAATGAAGAACCCTCGCCTCCCGTCAATTTTTTGCGTGTTTTCCGATTTGCCAATGCAGATTCCCCAGCAGGCCCAGTTGCCCCAGAACCGACCGCGAACGGCCGTGGCGATCCCGGCACCCAAACCCCCGAGGGAATGGACGTTGACGAGCCTGCGGAAGGCGAAGGACGAACTGTGACCCTCGTTGTGGTTGGTGTTAGATCGGTCCCTGCCGGGAATGGAAGCACCGAGCAACAAGGCCCTCCCCCTGCAGGTCCCGGGGGGCTGGCTTGGATGCCCTTCTTGGTCTGCCATTCTTGCCACCCAATGTTATTCCTCGACCCCAGGATGCCATGGGTGATTCGACGCAACGGGGAGAGCCACCTTTCAGACTACCTATCCCCCGTCATCCGGGCCATGCGCCACTCCATGCCCCCACTGGGGCTTCATCTCGTCCATCAGGGCACAGTATTTCCAGAAGATCATCTGATGCCGGGCCCCGTGCCGCGTTCCCATCCTTCCCCCCTTCTGCCTTCTCAGACAGCCCTCCGGGACCCCACCCTCCACCATCTACTCCAGCTGATCAAGGTATGTCTGCTGTGTCCTCCGGCACTTCTACTCCCAGTCGCAGACCGTCCTCTGCCTCGGCAATTGCTTCGGATATTTTGCCTCATCTACACGCGGGCCAGGCAGTACGGCCAAGGCCAGGGTCCACGGAAGAGCCTTCGACACTCAATTACGCTCATCAGCGACGCCGAAGTGATTCAGAATTTGCTCGTCATCGGGCACTGGGCTCTGGTGCTGTCCGGCGCAATGGCATGGTTGAGCCCGATCAGCCTCCACCAAGCGGGGGTCGTAGTTGGTTGATCTATGTTGTCGGAACCAATCTCTCCGAGAACCATCCGGCTTTGACCACTCCAAGCCTTTTTACTGATGTAAGATTTCTCCTACCTTGGTTGCTTGGCAGTTCATTTACTGATACTATGGAACAGAACCCTACCTACGAGGATATGATACTGCTCTCGTCACTGTTGGGTCCAGCTAAACCCCCTGTTGCTTCTGAGGCCGACGTCAACTCTGCAGGCGGACTATTCCGCCTTGTTGAGTATGGCGGCTCCTTGGTTGCAGAGTCCGTGGATGGCGCTGGCGCCATTCAAATTCAAGATGGGGAGCGTTGCTTGATCTGTCTGAGTGACTACGAAGTGGCGGAAGAGGTCCGAGAACTGAATAAATGCAAGCATGTCTTCCACAGAGACTGCATCGACCAGGTTTGTCACTCTACCACTATTTGCTTTGGTTTTTACAGTTGAACTAATTTCTGATCTAGTGGTTGACTACTGGGCGTAACTCTTGTCCCCTTTGCCGAGGTCAAGGTGTAAATGAAACCACCAGCACTGGAAACTCAGCCCCCGGACCTACTCCTGCTCCTGCTCCTGCTCCTGCTCCAGATGGCGCAGCTGTCTAGCCCTCTCCACTCCAAGCATGGCCATCTACGCTTTGTGAACTGCTCAACTTTGAGCTTTGAACTCTTCTCTCTTTTCAGCTTTAGCATGAAGCGTCTCTTTAGATTAACGATTTGTTTATGGATATCCCCTTTGCAGTTCTTTTGCGCATTGTTCATGGGTGTTTTTTCACATGCCTCTATTTCCTATGCCTCTTATGTTGGATTCTTTTTTTTTGGGCCTTCGAAAATGATGGCTTTGGATTTCAAATTCGATATTTTCAGCGCCGTTCTCATTGTTTGTGGTCTTAAGTCTCTTGAGGCGTGCCCAGTATTTTTGGCATGGCTCGCATTTCCATGACGCATTCATTAGCTCTGGGCCAAAGACCGATATGTTCCCAGCGCTGGAAACTTTCACGTTGATCAACATAGGGTATGGAATAAAATTTCAATCTTTGATTCCTGCGTTTTCCGTAGCCCTCACCTCTATACATCTCCAGTTCCCGCTCCGCTGCTCCGCGCACTGCCCCGCGGCTGACTCAGCTATTCCAAAAAACTTCAGTTCAACAGCTCCCCGCCAACGGGCCTGTCTAGTATTGTATTCTCTGGGATCCTCAGATAACATTTCAGACCTCATCAGTCGCCGCAAAACCCAATTGACCCTGACGCGGCCGCCCAACAAGCTTCAATCGACAAACCTTTGCTCCGTCCTTAGCAACCGCGGGACCTACTACTTCCACAAAATCAACCGCAAACCCAGAAACCCACCGGCCAAAACTACAAACCGACAAACTCGCCGACCATGTCCTCCCCCATCCGCGTCACAGTCCTCATCTCCGGCAACGGGTCAAATCTGCAAGCAGTGATCGACAAAGTGGCCGCCGGCCAACTCAACGCAACAATCGTCCGCGTAATCTCTAACCGCAAGGACGCATTCGGTCTCGAGCGCGCACGCAAAGCAAACATTCCTACGCAATACCACAATCTTGTTAAGTACAAGAAGCAGCACCCCGCAACGACGGAGGGCGTGCAGGCTGCGCGTGTGGAATATGATGCTGAGCTGGCGAGGCTGATCCTTGCTGACTCGCCTGAGCTGGTGGTTTGTCTCGGCTTCATGCATATTCTGTCGCCGCAATTCTTGGAGCCGTTGGAGGCTGCTAAGACTCGGATTATTAACTTGCACCCAGCGCTTCCTGGGGCTTTTAACGGTGTTGTAAGTCGGCCTTTCTGAATCTTAGGTCTTGTTAGTTGGAATCGTTGCTGATCTTCTCTTTTTTTGGTTAGAATGCGATTGACCGCGCTCATGCTGCGTGGTTGGAGGGCAAGATTGACAAGACTGGTGTTATGATCCACGATGTCATCTCTGAGGTGGACATGGGTCAGCCAATCCTTGTGAAGGAGATCCCTTTCCGCAAGGGCCAGGATGAAGACCTCGAGACCTTTGAGACTCGAGTCCACGAGACCGAGTGGGGAGTCGTCATCGAAGGAGTGGACTTGGTGCTCAAGGAATTGGCCCAGAAATAAAAAGGATCTAGTGCATGAATACCCCTGTGTCTATGACACTACAATTCTGGATATCGGACGAAGGGACAGGCTTCTCGATCTGCATTCCGCCAACCAGTGATCGACTTACTGGTGGGGGGCCTAAAGATCCCGAATATGATCTCACCGTCTGGCTGTTGACGATTTATGACTATTTATCTCTCTTGTATTGCAGAAGAACAAAAAGAGACCATTGATAATACATCACATGGACCTGCAGTTCACTCTTGAGCTCGGGATGCGGGCCACATTGAGGTAAAAATCAGACAGTATCACTACAACGAGCCGAGGGACGGCCGAACGTGCACATCGCTGTTCAAGCCGAGACAGCCGAAGGGTCCAGAACAGTAAATTGCATGGTCTCAGGGTAATTAGAGCGGAAATGAGACAGGGGACCTGTAGATCAGACGCCAAATGGGTCACCATGCAGAGCTCATTAGGATCGCTGGATAATCTACAGGGTTGTGGATTTGCAACCATCTCGCCGGTCACTTTCTCATCACATGCTAGGGTGAAAGGAGCTACTAATGACTCTCTGCGTCTTCCGTACTAACCTCTCTTTGGATAGTTCCAAGATGGGAACCAACCAGCCCCGGGAACCAGCCTGACTGCGTGTGTCCCACTGCCTGTCGGGCAATCATTCGAAGCCACGCGACACCCATTTACGTGTCCAAGTAGCGCCCCTAGTACGAGGCCTGCAAGTGCATATGCCGGCACCAGTAAGATCTCCAGCAAAAGAGATATACGATGCAGCCTAGAGGCTGGAGCCCGAAAAGGGGAAAAAAAAAGAACAGAAAACGGGGCGGGGGGTTCAGTACTGTACCAGCATATGCAGTGCAACACACCGGGGAGCAAAGGTGGGCAAGCAGAAGCGCTGCAACCCTGGCCCTCGCCGTTGGGCCTATGATCGTGGCGCCTACGAGGTGATAGATTAAACCCAGTTCCCAAGACTTGGGTCACTCACGCTCGCCATTCCTGTTTTGGGCATTAGTATGCTGGTGGAGGATTGGGTCTATTTGGGCCCCCAGTTTCACTGGCGTTAACTCAATTAAATGGTCCGTCAATGGGATCGGCCGATGTCATGGCCCCTTCTGGTTGGATCTACCGGCGGCGTCCGTGGGTTTTGATTCATCTTTGTGGGTTCTTTGTTTTATAAATTATGTATGGACCATTCCGACAACGCCTACCGGACTTTATTGCTATGATCTTGCGAGTCCACGTTGGACTATAGGCCGCCATGATTATTTGGAGCTAGCTAGATAGAACTAGTGCTGCATCAATAGCAGCCCCGAGATGGTACAAGGACTTCTATTCTAGGAACTGGACAATCAGTCTCAACAATCGTAGCCCCGAAAGTACAATTTAGCCCGTGCCGTTGACCAATTGAGGGCTCGTGGGATCACGGGCCGAGCTACACCGTTGCATGTACCAGACCACACATACTTCATTCAGAAACAAATGCAAGAGACCAATTCGATTGCTGTAGATTAAATTTCATATGATGATTCAACAAGGTTGGAGGACAGTCGATCCCTGCATTCAATCCCTTTTCAACGCACACGTCTCGGAAATCAGCTCTGAATGATCTCCAACCCGCAGAACCATATTTGCTGCCTATTGATCTCGAATGAGTTTGGTAGACAGCCCCTCCTAGAACCTTCCTCTTCTCTAGGGCTACTGAACTAGTGGAGACACTAACCGCTCTCAGGAGATATAGAGGAAAACAATTTCCTCGGGAGCCTCAGAAGGACCTTCCTCAAGCAAAGCCACAGGGCCCACAGTCTGTCAAGAAGCTAGCGTCTGCTTAGCCCGAGTCACCTCTCCCACATGGAGAATGTGCACGGCCCAGACAATATAAATTAGATGTACAGATTTACATGTGTTCCGAGCTTTGAAACCTTGAATCTCGTGCCGGGAAAACGGCGGTTGCAATTTCCGCTCCCCATCTATCCCCCTGATTCCTTGCCTTGGACTAAAATTGTACAGTGATCATGCGCATTGAACGTCGGAGCTTCCAACTACATTGAGATACTTAAGCCGACAATGGAGTCGATCTAAGGCTTGGGAAATTTTAGTGCTTCTCTTTTCGATCTACTGTATCAGGCCCACCCTTCTCCGTCAAACCATCGTCGATCAGGCACATTGCCGGATGGGAACTCGGATGAATATTCCTCCCCGCGAATCAAAAGGGGTTCCAAATATTGCCTCTTCTGTGTCATTTTTTGAGATCAGCACACCGATAGTTTAGAGGTCAAGGGGGAAAAGTAGATAGAAAAAAAGACAGAAAAAAAAAAGAAAAGACCACCCCACCCTAGGCAGACCATGAATCATAGTGCAGACTATTGTTTCTCCCGGCATGAGGACCATGTTCCCACAATCCACCTTAGCCGCCTCCACTTAGGACCGATCTCCGTCAAAAGAACGTTTTCGGCATTTTTTTAATCTGTGATGGCGCTGCTAGGTTTCAGAATTGCCGAGTACAGATGTCCTAGCGGGAGAGTCCGTTCAAACGCTATTATTCATGCTCTCTCCGTGCGCACCGGACTCGTATCAGTCGGAGCTTAGCAGTTGATAATCACCGACTCAATTCTGGGCCCACCAGCAGTCGACAAGTTAAGGGCAAAAAAGCCAAGATTCAGAGGAAATTCTGACATCTCCATTCTGGTTATTGAGAGTTTGCAGATCCATAAAAAGAACTCAAAGAAGATAGATTAAAAGAGACACCCGAATACGAAACGGATCCGAGGTTAAAAAGTAATCTACTCAGAGTCACTCTAATGGATCTTGTAACCAGGAAGCGCTCGGGGAGGCCGGGAGAGATCCATTGACAGACGCTATGATCAGGATCCTCTCCAGAATTGCATCCTGCATGGAGCCGGCCAAGCCCTAATCCCGGATATTGCTTGGATTTCCACGTCCCTGTGGCTTGGGGATCGTCCATGTACCCCCTTTTTTTGTCTTTTTGTTTTGTTTCTTTTTCTTTCTTTTTTTCTGTAATCACCGAGTCCCGAGGTTGATCCGTGGAGATCTCCAGTGTTGCTTTGTAGTTCCTGACTAAAGATACAAAAATAGTTGATCTTCAAGGGGCAAACAGGCAAATAGGCAAACACTGGCGAATAGGGGGGGGATAGTGACATTTTGGACTTTTGCTAGATCCGTGTACACTTCGGCATTTCAGAGCTAGCTCTGAAATATTGAAATAATCTATTTAATTCCCTGCGGTCCGTATTCCTTACTAGGCATGCCACCCTACGGACGAGTGAGGACTCTCTCCAGGCTCCGCTTGAACTCCGCCGGACCCAAGCACAAGTCATGGACTTTAGCCGGACAATATCTTTCCTGGATCAGCCCATAGGAATCCCAGTAATCCCAGGCATTACTCGCAGACATTACTCGTATTGGATACGGAGTCGGTCGCAGATCAGGATCGTCTTACAACGCTTGGGCTTCTGGTTTTAACCGGAGGCTGGGCCGACACCAAAATAGAATGCTTATGGAAGTCAAAAGAAGTAATTATTGGAGGATTGACGACTCAATGGGCGATTTCATAGCGATTTATAGCGAATTTATAGCTGCGAGTTCCTTTTAATCTCCGCACGTCCCGGGATCCAATAGTTTGGGACCTACTTCCACCCCACCACTTCCATCTCTCCATGCTTCCTTCATCTATTTCGACTGATTGGGTGATGATGGAAAGATACATGTACCCTTGAACTTTTGATTTCTGAGGGGGGTTCGGGCCTCGTTATATATACCATGACGCAGTCATATCAGTCCCAGACCCTATCGGGTTTCCTCGATTCAATGCAGCCAGACACTGCCTCGGCGTATTCCTTATTTGGCCCGACCTCATATCCTGAGAGCGTGGCATTCTGGCACAATCCTTCCGCCCCGACGATGGCTGTGGCCCCTTCGGACACTTCCCAGAAAGCATCCCTGCTCAACCCACTCGACCAGAAGAAACACAAGCGCACTCGAAGCGGCTGCTTCACCTGTCGCGCACGCCGGATCAAATGCGACGAGAGCCGTCCGCTATGTGAAAGGTGTAGAAAAGGCTCGCGCGAGTGTGTGTATCCGTCACCGACTTCGTCATCCAAGGGTAGCGTGCGGGCTACAGGCAAGTCGCGCGCAGGTCGCCCGCCATCGCAAGGGAGCGACTCGTCTGAAAAGTACGACATTGAGGCTATAAGCCCCCTAGACCCCATCATCGACGAGGAGGAGCCGGACAGTGCTATATCCGAATCGCGACCGTCACCACCCGCAACCATCAGGCCGGACTTGCATAAGAGTCAAAGCTCGCAGTCTCTCCGGAAGCGCAGTATCAAGCACACGGACGCACCCTCGTCCATCAAAGAACAGAGTAGTTCGCCGTCAACTGAGTCATCGCGCTTTGAGTCGATGAGCGTGCGCTCGGGTAGCATTGGACATTCCACAGTTGAAATGATCAGCAATGCGCGCCTTCCAGACGATCTGCGATTTTATCTAAATTTCCACTCGGAGTTCTTGACTACGCCTCATTTCTTCTTAAGGCAGAGCTGCTCCCGCTTCATTCAGCACAATCTTATTGAACTCGCGTTGCAGTATGAGCCTCTTCTCTACGCCCTGGTGGGCTTCTCGGCCTACCATCATACCTTGCAGAGCCCTGGGGGGAAGCTTGCTACATTTCTAAAATATTATAATAAAGCCTTGACTCTACTTCGGAAATCACTGGGCTCAGGAGAGGGTCACAGTGAGGCGACACTTTGCACTGTTCTTGTCCTGACGACCTTCGAGGTACCTTGCTCTTCCATGCTGAGGCCACTGAAAATGTTTCTCTAACTTTTTGATTGTTATAGGAGTACATCGGCGATTGGATGAACTTGATTGATCACCATCGAGCAGCACATGCATTGATGCTAGAATTATTGACACCGGAGTCTGCCAACGTGAATGAGCTCCATACAAACATCTTCTTATGGTATGCCCGCTTCGACGTGGTCGTTGGGATCCTAGCCGGCACCGAAACAGTCCTCAGTCGAGATTGGTATCTTCTAAAGGAGCAGTATGACGCCGACCAAGCCGCCATCTACCCCGATGACCCATCGAAACAACTTGCCCTCGTGGCATCGATAAACAGACGCTTCGGTCTTGACATGGCCTCACTGTACGCCAAACTGTCCCGCGGTATGATCTCGATGGAGCAGTTCGCCGTGCAAAACGACCAGCTGGGCCTGATGATAGAGCACGCTAAAGCGATCCTGCGAACATTCGACGATTATGAATACAAAGTGCAGGAGTTCCCGCACCAGCTTCCCCTGACCGAAGATGATGTTACGGATCCATACGTCCCGGGGGGTTGCACCGTGGCCCCTTATGGGACTTCAACTATGCCTGGATTGACATCCTGTCCACCGAGACAATGTACCGATATCAGGCTATGCTGGTTTTGGGTCAAGATCAACTGCCAGATCTGCAGGAGTTGGCCGAAGAACAGTGCCGTTTGATCGAGACGATGGATCGTTGGCCGCACAAGGATAATGGATATTGCATCATGTTCAAGAACAGTATTGGAATCGCTAGTATGTTCCTTCCAAAGGAGCGCAAGTATCAGATGTGGTCGCGGCGGAAGATGGCGTTGATGGAGCAAAATGGGTAAGTCATCACTGCTTTTGAACCTCATGCCTAGCATAGTGTTAACCATCAATCGTTTTGAACAGATACATCATGGCCCCTCGATTCCGAACCGCTCTCGCTGCCATTTGGCAAACACCCGACCTCGAACATTGGTGGCTTCCAAACGAGGAAGGATACACAGATATTATTCGCGAAATTCGTGCTATGACCGCCGAACGTTTGAGCCAGCCCAGGGATGAGCTCCGCGAGAACGTTCGTGACATGAAGTATATGTTCCGGGGGATGAATTTGGATGGCCGTGAAGATGACAGCCCTTCCAGTTCAAAGAGCGGTCACCCTTGAATGATAGAAGAAGAGCTGTCTATTTCCCCCTTGCCAGGCTCGAGAAGACTCATTTTTGACATGGAGTTCAGTCCCATACCCTTTTTGGAGACTTCGATCCCCCTACGACAGTTTTTATCCCCAGATCCATCCCCGTTGACACAAGCCATACATCCATTTCTGCCATTAACACCCAGCACAGCCAAATACCCTCACCCCTCCACGCATGTCATCTTCACTGCCGATTCTGCTTTTCCGCCTATGAACACTCTCCCCCCTTCTTACAGCATCGTTCCCTTGCTTTATAATATATCATACCATCCTGCACTTGCCATCACCTTACATGCCCCTATACCTACCATATCATCATCACTCACACTCACTCTCCCCAACCCCGAAGACATTTTCCTCGGCCATGACTTGATGTACATCTATTATACCCAAATTCTCATAAGATCATTGACTAATACATTCCATTTACTTTATTTTCTAATTTTCTTCTTCTTCTGCTTTAAAGTGTGGGACTATTCACCGTGCCTCCTGTGTCAGGTCTCTTTCAAGAACATTCCAAGTAGTTAGGATATATGGGATTAGTACTATAGACCATCTTCTGGCTTCGGCTCAAACAGCCGCACTTGAGTCGAAACAGCACTCCTTGGCTTTAGGGTGGGAAAGGAAATATAAAAGAGCGAGTCATATCCAAAACCATGTCTACATTCAATGTCCAAGTTTATACAACACAGGCCAAAGTCAATTCAAATCCCCACCTTGAAATAATTTAGATAATTAATACAATGCACTCGAAAATGGGTGAAAAGGAGGTGAAGAAAGAGAGGTCAAGTTAAGGCACAAAGGATGCATCAATCAATAAAGAACTCGTCTCATACTTCACGGGGATCATGAAAAGAGTTATGACCCCATTGGATGCATGGGTTGCTGAAGTAAAAGTACAGACGTTCGATTATTTCTCATCAGCACGACACCCAGCCTTCCACGGCACCTCCTCGGCCCTAATAACAGTCTCCAACCCCCCAGCCAACTCCCCAAGACCCCCCAGCCCAATCTCCTCCCCATCAACATCCTCTCCCCAAGGCAAAGCATCAACATCAACCTCCCACCCAAGCAAACACCTCAAAACAACCCCAGCCCCAGCCTTGCTCATAACCACATTCATATCCCTACACCGTTCATCGCAACAACATTCCACACAGCCCTGCGGCGAAAGACAAGAACAAGCCTCGATCCGTGCAACCGCCCGCCGAAGAAGTAACCCAATGAACTCAAACGCCTTACTCGCAATTCCAGATCCACACGATCCACCTTTTGCATCATAGAACGTAAGACGAGCAGGCCTCTGCCGCGAAGGCGGTTGTAGCTTCTGTTCATATTCATCGGGGACATTCGCACGGCGGAGTGGTTTGCCAAGTTCCTTCTTTGCGATTTTGCATTCTGTGCGGACGTCGCCGGGTGATGAGACGACGAACGAGGGTAGGAGGGAAAGGACAGCATGTTCAGCCGCGTGGATTGCAGCCGCGACATTCAACCTGTGAGACTGAAGTATATCAATAGCGCGCGTGGGCACATCGAGCCACATGCCCTTGGTGAGGAGGTCGATAGGCGGGTTATCAACAGCCACAGCATCGAGAACACGGCCCCGTTTGTCGATTTTAAAAAAACCATAGACGACGGCGTGGATTTGAATTGCGCCGAAGAATGCGCGTGAGGATGATGGGTCTGTGCCGACGGCACGCATTGCTTCTGTTTCTATTGGGTCGATGTCTGTGTAGTCTCGTTGCATTGTGCTCCAGTCAACGTGTACGCGGACCACGCGTGCAAAGCGGCTGTCTGGATTTAGTTCTTTGACTAGGTAGGTTTGGCCCTGGTGTAGAAAGATGCCTCCTTCGTAGATTGTGAAGAAGGCGCGCGAGGCTTCGACTTCTTCTAGGACAATGTTGCGGTTGTTTGTTGTGTCTATTACGGCGAAATGCTGGTCTTCTGTATCGCGAATTGAGACGCAGCGGGAGGGCTGGGGGCGGAAGCGTTCGTTGCAGTGGAAGAATCCCATTGAGTCTTTTATGAGGCGGGTTGGGGCGAGAGCGAGGAGTTGGTCGCCGAAGTAGATGCTGTCTTCTTCTGGGCAGATGGGCATCTCAAAGGCTGCACATTGGACGTGACCTTCGAGGATAAGTTCGTTGGCTAGGTCGATTTGTAGCTCGCAGTTCGGTTTTGTGAATATCTCGTCTGGGTTTTGCATGTAGTGCTGATCAGTCGGATATCGGTCCCCGATCAGGACTGAGAGGGAATCCTTGTTGCGTCGTCCGGCTCGACCACTTTGTTGACGCAAATTGGAGATAGAGTAGGGGAATCCCATGGTGATGACTGCATCCAGTGATCCAATATCAACACCCAGTTCCAGAGCGCTGGTTGCCACGATTCCCATCAATCTGCCCTCGAACATTTCCTTCTCAATTTGGCGTCGATCTTGAGGGCTATACCCGCCTCGGTAACCCATAACGAGCTTGCCCACCTCTGTTCGTTCGAGGCTGTCAAATTCGGCTCGAACGGCTTTTAGAAGCACCTCGCAGAGCTGTCTGATGCGACAAAAAGCAATTACCCTCACGCCCCTGAGAATTAGCTGGCAAAATAGCCTTGCCGTCTCAGACACAGTATCACCACGTCCAGAAGTAGGATCTGTAGGGTCTTTGAATGGAGTGTTCCAGCAAACAAATTCCTTGCGGCCAGAAGGAGAACCGTCAAAGTCTATCAGTTTCACATCCTGCACCCCAAAGATGGACTTCATGTGATCTTCGGGATTTGCAACAGTAGCAGAGCAAGATATAAACTTGACATGACGATTGCCCACAGCAGCACAAATTCTGCGGAGCCGCCGCATGACAAAGGCAACATGGGATCCAAATAACCCATTGTAAACGTGGAGCTCATCAACAACGACAAACTTCAGGTTCTTCAGAAAAGCCCGCCAGGCACTTTCTTGTGGTAATATCGTGATATGCAGCATGTCAGGATTAGTGAAAATAATCCGGGCTTCATCACGGATCAAGTTCCGACTCGACATTGGCGTATCTCCGTCAAATGTTTCGACCATCGTATGCTGTAACTCGTTCATATACTGCAAAAGATCTATCATGCTGCGTCGCTGATCTTGTGCTAGAGCTTTGGTAGGGAATATGTACATTCCTCTGCTTTCAGGATCCTTTTCTAGCTCGTGAAGCATCGGTACTTGATAGATGAGGGACTTTCCAGAGCTTGTCGAGGTCGATATAATCACATTGTGACCCTCGTACAAGTGATTAATTGCCTCTGTTTGGTGAGAGTATAGCTGCGTAATGCCTTTTGTGTTGTAAAGAGCATTGACCATGTCTTGTGAGAGCTGGAACGTCAAATCCCCGAAGACAGGCGACTGGGCTTCGAACACTCGATGACCTTCAGGCACAATCTGGGCATGATACCATTGCATCTCCCGAATTTCCGCGATGATTTCCTCGATGGACTTGCGCTCCTTTGGGATGGTTGCCGGTGCTTTGGCTACAACCGCAGGTGTATTCGACCCACTGCCTGGAGGCGTGGGCAGAAAAGTATCCTTCTCTTTTTCAAGAGACTCAACAGGGTCTGTGTTATCATCCTGGCATTGAACCAAGAATGTATTAAGGGCATCTGAGAATTTGATATTGCGCTTCTCAATCAGACCCAGCATCTGCTTTTGGCTATAGACGGGCATTTTGAGATCCTCGTCTTTCATGCGACGCGAGGGCTTAGTAGGCTCTCCGGTCTTCGGGTGCCGGACTTCTCGCTTCAGATCACCGTCCATAAATTCGAACAACAAAATATGTCTGGTGCCATCTGAGCCGTAAAAGTCGCCATCGTTGTCTTCAGTCGTAGCCATGTCTGCTGAAGTTGCTAGAGTCGATCGTTTGTGCAAACCATATTGAGCTATTTCCTGATCACCAGCAGTCATGACTTCAAGTTTCGCCTCATCCACATACTCAAATCGGACAGCTTGGGGAACGAGGACTTTGACGCGCGCAACATCTTCAATTGTGAGTTCCCGTTCTTGACCAAGTTGGGATTGTACTGCCTTCTTTATGTTGTCGAAAGTGGTTGCGAAATGTTTGCGTGTGCAGCAAAATGTATATACCAAATTCAAGGCGCGGTGGATGTGTGAAATGCGCTTGAAGGCATCTGGCAGGGGCCCGGATGGGGTTCGCTGTGGCGCTTTCGAGGCAGCATTAGAGGTGGCTTTCTTTTTCTTGGTAAGTTTTTTGATAGCTGGTTGTTTTGCGGTGTCGGGTTCCTCTGTGTTTGTCTCTGGCCTGTTAGTACTCGCGGGCGTTCTGAGGGCAGGATCTAGGAGAGCAGGATCTAGAGGCGACGCGTCGTAGGGTGGAGATTCAGCGGACTCTGTTTGACCGCTTGGTTCATGATTTCGTTTCCGTTTCAGTGTTGATACTGAGGATTGGTTTGGTGTCGATCCTGCCATGTCGAGGCTCCATGGTGCTTTGTGTTGCCTGTGACGTTATCGCCGGCTGCAAAATGGCCACGCGTGGTCACGTGGGAAATATTACCCAAAAAGGAATATAGATGCGAAGTGGGTCCAGCGAAGTATACGAATGAAGTCCAAGATGAGCTAGGGACTTTCTATTAAGATTCCGAGTAAACAAATTTATTGACCAATCACATATCCATAGACTAAGAAAATTGGAGATAGAATGCCTGCTTTCAGTGCTCGCACAGTGAGAACGAACCATTTTCAAACGTCTGGTTCTGACTCTGAGACTTGGCGCCTCTTTCTTCCATAAGCTCAAGTCGGTACTGCTTTGCCTCGTCCATAGTCATATAGTTTTTGGGCAAGTCTTTGCGGACCATGTACTGCAGCTCGACTGGAAGCTTAGAAGACAACAACCCATCCACAGTCCTTTCTCTCTCAAACCCCCAATCCTCACGTTGCGGTGGAACATTGGCAGATGAGATAATCCGGATGTGAGGGTCAACTAAGAACAAGGCGATTATCTTGCGGTGACCAGGCTTAGATCGGTCTGCGAGTGAAAATGGCGAGACCCGATGTTGGACGACATTAGGGAAAGTTAGGAGACGGCCTTCCTTGCACACCACACCTCCAAGTTCCTGCGTTGTGCCTTTTGTGTCGTAAGAGCCCTCACCAGAGAAACCATAGACCTGTTGAAGGAACTCGTGTCGATTTTGTTCGTAGCCTAGGTCCATCAAAGCTTCATCATTCCCGCGTCCACGGAAACAGAGCATGCTTTCGGTGATGTTTTCACAGTCATAATAGTAGATAGCCGTTGCACAGATGTGCTCGTTCTAGTTAGACATATTAGCGGGCCTATCCATGGTATAACTTGGAAGATCACTAACCAACTGTCCCTCGATATGCCAGCTTCCGCCTTCGTATTCGGGATTCTCGGGAGTGAGTTCGATATTCGCCAGCTTCACAATGACTTGAAGTCCACTTTCTCGATATTCGCTTCGAAGATCAGTCCAGTTACCTGGCTCCTGGTAGTCAGGGGCCTTGAATCTCCCATATGGCTCCGGTTGTTTGATTGGCTGTGTAGCCTCCCATTTCTCGCACTTCTCCCAATATTCTTCTTGATCTTCGAAGTCTGACTCAGCAGGCTTGGGATCCTTATGTTCAAGATACTCAACTTCAAAATAGGATATTCTCTGGCCAACGTCATAGGATGGCAATGTCAAACTTTTGTTCCAAAGGGGAATGGCTCGCGCGATGATTTTCTCAACAGCTCCATACAATGCTCGATGCTCGATGGGGTGAGCATTGCTGATGTATGAAGTTATCCGACACTCATCATTCTCGAGTAGTTCGACATCACAAGGAAGCCATTGAAACTTGCGGCTGTATTTTGTCGTGCGTCCTTTGTCGTAAACGGGTAGCAATTCTCCCTGACCCACACTGCTCAGACAATCCTCCAAGCCAATTATTTTGTCACGGAGGATGTGCGTATGGCCATAAACGACAGGAAAGAGTGACTGGTGCACAAGATCAACTACCTTTTTGTTGGTTCCAGGATGATAATCTTTTTGCTCCTCGGGGACATTGTCGAATGGAGCCACAGCTTCTACCAACTCATGTTTCAGAGCCTCGGAGATCGCAGTATCTGATTTGATCACGCCTATATCGAAAACGTAGGTGAGACCTTCGTTTTGGAGAACCTCGGCTTTCCATTGGAGCTCCTTGATGACCCAGTCCATCATGATTTCGGTCACGTCTTGACCACTTTGAGCGACTTCTTGTCGCCATTTGTTGGTTATTTGCTCGTTGTACACCTAACAGCATTGGTTTAGTTACAATCTCGGAAGTTGGATGAGGATCTTACCTTTTGGTCCCATTCGGGCTTGTCTGTGATGGTATTCATAAGACGCATCATCAGAATCTCCCTATATACATAGATGATCCTAACATGTTTTCGTTGGCCATTGGACATCGTGAACTATGGAATATCAACATACCAGGCCTCTTCATCTAGAGCCGTGGGGAAAAGAGGGTCCGCGTCATCTTCGGATCCGGGCTGTCTGGATTAGCTAGTGGTATAATGCTGACATTTAAACATACATACTGTATATGTCAGCGGCAGGGTAAACCCGGGCAGGTCAAAGCGAGACAGCTGGGAGGACATTGTTGTTGCTCAGAATGAAAAAGGGGAGGCTCGGGCTTATATACAGTTGGGGCCGCTAGGCACGGTAGGCAGAAGACTTGGCACCCAAGAGCCACTGGGCCACTAGTAGGCCTCGATGTCTCATTATGCGAAGCAGGTTCGAGCTTAAATAATGCTAACTTATATTACTGTAGAGCTAGAGATCCAAGTGATTACTGGACGCATCATGAGTCTCCGATGTTTTCGGCGTGGTGAGTAGTCCCCTGTTCAATTCTTCCAGGTAGATGAGAAAGGAAGGTTCGGACTGAGGAAAGAAGGCGTTTTGTAGAATAGCGGTCATAGATCTGTTTACAGTGCCATGAATGAAGTATGAGACGGTTTGTATACGAATTTCTCGAAGCAAAAGTCACCATTTGATGGATTCTTTGTGCCTTAAATAGGCTTCTCTTTCCTTCGTATATTTTGTGTCCATTTACGACGCCTTATGTTGATTGTCGCAATAATTTAAAGATGAGAGTGTCAAGGGTCTCATGGCCTCTGTTGTAGATCTACATAGGTAAAAATATAAGACGAGAAAATGATTAAAGAATGAAGGTGAAGAATAAGAATAATCCTTTTATAACGTGAGAAGATGAACGACTTCCTCACTCTTGGAAGTCGTCTCATTTCGATGAAGAGAGAAGGCTTAGATTGAAGACAACAGTTGAAACACTTCTGTGCCCTATATAGGTCGCTGAGGCTGTAGAGTACAAACACAACGCGCGAGATGTGAGATGCTGTATATTTCAGCTCAATATTGACAGCAACGTTCAAATACTGGCCTGGTATTAAGCTTACTCGGACCACGGACATGTATTGAGGGAGAAAGCAGATCCAGGTTTGGGCATTACGAAGAATTGATATTGAAATATTCGCGGATGTTGTATTGAGTGAGGACCGCTGCTAATCAAAACATGTTCACCTTGTCCTCGCTTCCCTCACTACAAGTGAGAAACTCCATTCTTCCCCACCCTCCTTATAAATAGCTTATGGAATTTTTATGAAAATCGCGAAGAAAAAAAACCACACACATGCAAGTCTGTAGATTGTAGTATTTGCAACCTAGACCTCCTCTAGGAAGTCTTTTAGGGTGGCGTACAGCTCGTTGACCGTGTTCTCATTGTTCAACTATGGCGGAAATCAGCACTGAGAAGAAGAAGAAAAGCAAAAGGGAGAGGACTCACTTGAAGGAGCACGTTGGCTACCTTCCCATCTTCCTTGCTGGCCAGGAAGATTCGGCGGCCGGCAGGGGCCGCACCCTGCTGGTCACCAAAGTGCATGCCCTTGAAGATGGCACTGTTAAGCATGACACGCAGAGCGCCATCTGCGCGCATGATCATGCGGGCGGTCCGCTTTCCGTCCGGGCCCGACTTGACGTTGACCTTGAAGGTCCCAACGCCACGCTCCTTCCATTGCTTGTTATCAAAGCAATAAAGTTTGCCCTTGTTGGCGAAGATGGTCTCCTCATCTTCCTCGCCAGTTTCAACTGCGCATTAGTGTTAGTGACATACTCGATTCTGAAGGAAATTTGAAAGGCGAGATGCATACCAGGCTGTTCAACGAACCGCTCATCAGTCTTTTCCGCCACGAATGTGTCATTGCCATTGCCTTCATCGTCTTGTTCATTCTCGCTATCCTCGTTGTCAGACTGCACGGCACCAAAGGCTTGTGCTTTGGCACCAAGTGGCTGTGCCTTGGCCTTGGAGTCGCCGAAAGAAGAAGTGACTTTGGGAGATGCGAAACTTGTCAGTCCGCCGGATTTCCCAGTAGCCGGAAAGGCGCTGCTGAATGTAGAAAAGCCAGTGGAGTTGGCGGGTTTGCCAAACACAGAGGTTGAGGTACCAGCAGCGAGGTTACCAAACGGAGAATCGTCGGAACCGGCGAAAGCAGACAGAGAGGATGATGCAAATGCGGAAGTGGAAGCTGGGTTGTTATTGTTAGAGGGGTTGGGAGTGACGGCCGGCTCCTTTGCATTAGCCGACAAAGTTGTAAACGGTGAAGTGGCAGAGGTTGATGCCATCGAGGATCCGAATACAGAGGTGGATGTTGTCGAGGATCTGAATGCAGAGCTGAAAGGTGAATCGGTGGAGGTATTGCCGAATGCACTCGAAGAGAAAGTCTACCACAAGGTACTATGTTAGTGAAGGTTATTTTCGAGCAAGGAAGACAGCAAACTCACCTGGTTCATCTTGGTCTTGCGTTCGTCCGAATTGTTTGTCTTCTGGCGTTGCGCTTCAGCAGCGAGAGTCTCGTCCGGTGGGACTGTCTTCGTCTCGGTGGGTTCCATGGTAGCTGGGGGTTTTTCGGTTTCCTGGGTAAATATTGGGTTACTAATGGGCTCAAAACCGAAATGGTCGGTGTGAGTGGTGCGCTCCGGGGTTCTGGGTAGATGGGAACTGGGCAAGATATCTCCATGCAAGAATTCTTCGTCTGAGGAGGTAGAGATGTGGGATGAGATATCATCTTTTGGGGTATCCTCGTCTGAAGATATCGAGATGTGGAATGGAGGGGCCGGGTATTGTGCATGACCAGGTTCAAGAGGGACTTGAACATTGAACGAAATCTTAACAGGCAATTGTGGCTGGCCTTCGATAGAAATGACAATAGAAGCCTCGCAGTGGACAGTGCGGTAGCTACCCCGACCACTACCCGGCGCTTCTGAGGTGTCAGATGTGGCTGGAATACTAGCTTCAATCTCATCCACCCAGTTTGCCGTGTTTCTAGCCTTCTTTGGCTCATGGCCTTCCACGTTCTCAGCGTTCTGGTTGCGTACCGACCGAGGTACCGGAGGGATTGTAGTCGGGTTAGCTTCGTGCAGTTGTTGCCATGCTGCAATAAGCTCGGGCTCCCAAGGGACGGGATCAGAACGCGAGCGAATGAGCTCTTCGTGATCTAGGCTATCACTTTGGGTATTGACATCCACAGATTCATCGGGAATTGCATCTATCTCGATCGTCTCCAGAATGTTCTCCTCGGGAAAAGGGACAAAGTTGGGGGACTTGAATTGCGCGGGACTCGGGGAATCCTCATAGTCCGGAAGAGGGGAGAAGGGGGGGAAAGGGTGGCGTGGGACTCGGGATATCCACGAAGCCTGGGATTTCCACGTACCACCATGGGAGAGGCGAATAACTCACAGGCAAATGATAACCGTCGGGTGCGGTATCTGTCTCGGGCTGTTCAACTCCGGAAGAAGTGTTTGAGGTGGGATTTTGAGCTCCCGATGATTTCTCGGGGGTACATTCGCGAGATCGTTTCTTGGGGGGAGCGTCGGCTTCGGAGGTTGCGTCATTGTCGGAGTCGTCGAGGGAGCGCTTCTTGCTTCCGTTCTTCTGAAGTGAGGAAGTGTCTTGGGATCGCGAAGCGGTTTCGGGGGTGCATTCTCGGGATCGTTTCTTGGGGGGAGCATCGGCCTCGGAGGTTGCGTCATTGTCGGACCTGTCGTGCGAGCGCTTGTTGTTGGCGTTCTTCTGAGTTGTGGCGTCGAGGTTGGTTTCTTTAAGTTGCTGTCGAACGGGGCGTTCACCTCCGTCGTTGTCAGAGTAGCTGGGGGAGGACGGGTTGCCGTCGGTCACTTGAGAAATGCGGATGTCAGATCGCATGTTCGAAGCCCAAAAATGAACGTCAAGTAGTAGAGGAGCAGTGAAGAAGAGTAAGAGAGGATCAGAATCGCGTGGAAGAGAGGGACATCGCAGAAGCGAAGACAGCTATCCGGTAACTCACGATCGGGCTGCTTGTTGCCTGGCGCTGGCCGCGGAGCTTGAAGCCTGTCAGCGAGACTATTCGGAAATGTGGGGGAGGTTGGGAGCATGTGCCCAAGCTGTCACTCACCGGCGGACGCGGGGTCCTGCTCAAGGAAATCAGGAGTCATGGCGCAGCGTCCTGGGCTGAGGACAAACTTGTCGTTGAGATATTGCAGATGGGTGGTTGCACGAGGCAGCCGAAGCTTGGTGGTTAACAAAAACCGATTGTTGGAAACTGATTTGAGCCTGGTGGATCAAAGCAGAAAGAAGAAATGGGATTGTAAGAGAGGTGATGAGAAGAGAAAGATGGAGGGAAGAAAGCTAGCTGCCGGGTACTTATGAGTTGACCGCCGGGTGCGGGGCCAAACATTGAAGACAAATGACCCAAGGCTTTTTACAATTCTATTGTAACTCTTGATGAACAATAGCAATTCATTGACCTAAATGCGATTCAAGGATATACCGGTAACCCGTGCTATTCTGGTAAAATATCTCGCTGTTGAGGCCGTCCAATGCGCCGTGGCTCTCCATGGCGCATTGCCTCAATCCTGCCGAGCACAATATCGAGGATAGAACTTTAACTGATGAAGCAGAGACACCCGATTGCAATGTAGAAGACGAATAGTGGGTACACTGCGATGCCGACACGGTTCCGAACCACCCCCGAGCCTCCCAAAATGCTCACTCCAGCTGCCAATGACCATGCCACCAACACTAGATACACTGGTATCCGCGCAATGGTAGGAAGTCCGAGTGCACTGAGCATCGCCGCAATGACCAAGGGGAAGAGCGTATAACCGATAATACAAATGGACTGGAAAAAGGAACTAAAAAACAAGTCGCAAGGTCAGTATATCGTACTCGGATGATGAAGTCGTGCCCACGTACATCTTGCCACCAAGCAGCTTAATCTGGAGGGTCACAGCTGCCTCTCCAATCCAGACGATGCAGAATACACCCGAGAATACCAATGACGACTGATCGCCCTTTGCGACAGACAAGAACAGACTCAAGACTAAGCAAAAGATGAGTGGTCCCCTATAGCGTAAATGCAGCGGTTAGCTTTTCTCTATGCAGTGCCAGAAGTCTCAGTGTGAAACGTACCAGAGATCCCAATCACGCAGCCCATCGCTCATGCCACCCTGCAGGACCACGTCGGCATCCGGCCAGCGTCCAACGAGTCCTCGAATGTTACGACCGAATCCTGATGCCTCGCCTCTCTCGGCATCACTCATACCACCACCTCCGCGCTGCATCATTCCTCCGAGCAGGTACTTCGGCCAGAGCACCTGGCGCATCTTCTCCCATACCGCGACCAAGTCGCGCGACAATGTTTCCCACACACTCTCGTCAATGGTGTTTTGTGTTGCGCGACGGTCTTCACCACCGATTGAGGAGGTCAGGTAGTTTCCATACCCAGATGCATTGCCTCTGTTGCCTGAGTCAGATTGGATGTTGCCTCGCAGAGGGGCCGTGTCGGAGGTATCGCGCAGGGGGTCTTCGGCTTCGATGGCTACAATCACACTGGATTAAAACATGGCTCAGGTGCAGGGAGCAGTGCCGACGCAGGATCTGTACTCACCGTCATCCGCTTCGATCAGGTCGTCGTCCAGGAGGGAATCATCATCATGAGGATCACCATGGGGGTGACCGTGGTGTACAGTAGCCATGGTTTGTATCGGAGCTACGAAATAGCGCAAGGGTATCACTTATCACCAATCACCTATCACCTTCAGGCAAAGTATGGACGTAGAAGTTCGAGGGTATCGGGGAGTATGAAAGCGAGTTGGTCGAGCTGTCCCGGAAAGGCTAGAGTGGCATTACGTACCGCCCGGCACGGGATGTTTACTCACGTTTCACCTGTTGATACATCTCATGCATGCACTCATTGTCTTTCTTTGATGATTTTCATTGCATACGGAATGCAGAGGCTAAATTTGCTCAATATGTGATATCTACTACTTTTCCTCAGAGTCCTCAACATACGGCTCATCTTCCTGGTAGACATCATACTTATACTTGCTCCCAATATGATCAGCCCGAAGCTCTTTCTGGCCCTGACCAAGTACCTTCTCACGGGCTGTAAGTGATGGCTCTAATGGTTCTGGGAGCTCAGGATACAGACCGCGCCGCCTCAACTCTGGAATCAGCAAGTCAACCACTTCTTCAAAGGTCCCAGGCGTAGTAACATAGGCGACGTTGAACCCATCGAGGTTAGACTCTCGAATCCAGCGTTCCATCTCATCAGCAACAGTGGCCGGGCTTCCAATAGCTACTGGACCAAGACCGCCGATTGCAGCCTTCTCGGCGACCACACGAGGAGTCCAGCGCGGGACATCCTTGCTAGTCTTGAGCAACGAGTCAAGTAGACTGGTCACTTTGCCAGCCTCCAAGGTGTCTGCGGCTGTGAGATCCTGGTCGAGTGGGATTGTGGAGATATCAATGCCCGTCCACCCGCTGAACAGAACCAGACCGCCAACCAGTGAGGCGTATTTCTTCAGCTCCTCGTATTTTGCCCTTGCTTCCTCATCGGTCTCACCCACGATTGGTGTGAAAGTCCCGAAGAATTTGATGGATTGTGGATCACGACCTCGCTCTGCGGCTAGCTTGCGGATATTTGCAATCTTTGGTCGCAGCACCTCTGGCGAATGAGCAGAGACGAAGATCGCCTCCGCGTGAGTCGAAGCAAAGTCCGATCCTGCCGGTGAAGTTCCTGCCTGGAAGAGAAACGGTGTCCGCTGAGGAGATGGATCGACGATGTGCCGTGTGCTTAATGAGAAGTATTTCCCCTTGTGGTTGATCTGGCGGACTTTGTCGGGGTCAATGTACGAGTCTGCCTCGCAGTTCGGTGACAGAGCATCAGGAGCCCAGGAACTTTCCCAAAGTCTAAGTGATCCAAATCAGCTCTTGTACTTTTAGGTACAAGGCGTAGCAAATCACTCACTTATATAGCACCCTCAAATACTCGTCTGCTTGGCGGTATCGTTCATCCTGCTCAATGGGGCTATCCACTCCAATAGCTTTAAAGGCTGCCTTCTTATACGAAGTCACAATATTCCAACCCAGTCGACCATTAGTCAGATGATCTAATGTAGAGAAGCGCTTAGCCAGCAGGAAAGGCTGCTCGAATGAAGTTGAGGCCGTGATGCCAAACGCGAGGTTCTTGGTCACTGCAGCCATTGCGGAGATGGGCTTCCCAAACCAGTCAGATATTGATTAGTCCGATTGTATTTTTTACACTCACAATAGTTGGATCTGTGACCGGCCACTGCGCAGCTCGTCGAATACACTCGTCCAGTTTACCCTCGTAGGTATCATGGCCTCCGGTTGTATCGGCCAGGAACAATGCGTTGATTCCCCCGCGCTCCAGCAGCTTCGCGAGCTCTACCCAGTACTCGAGGGTTCGCTTAGTTGCAGACTTGTCTTTGGGGTTCTATAGAATGTCAGCTTGGTTGCGACGTCCGGCTATCTGCAGACTAACCCTCCACTGTCCTGGAGACAGATGCCCAACAGTAGACATGTCGAACGCATTGAGCAAGATATGTTTCTTGCCTGAGCCATTCTGGCTTGTAGATGCACCAGGCTCCCCCATAGTTGGTGGTATATACTAAGGTTGTTACTATCTTGGCGAAAAATCCAGTCGCATTATATTACGTGCAAAACAAACCCTCTCAGGCCCAAACCTGGAAGTAGGACCTTGTCCTACCCCCGCAACATCCCACCTAGTATTTGTCCATCGGATAGATATCTCACTCCATCGACAAGGGGGGACGGTAAAACTCCGAGTCGCGACAATGCGATTTTTACTTCGACAGGCGATATATACATGGCGAACCATAAAATTCGTCATCTTCTCCACGGCCACTTCCTTGCATATTCATACTTTAGTTTCTAGAAACATAGTTGTGGAATAAACTCTTACTACAGCAAAACAGTTATAGGAACTATAGAGCAGAGGGGTTTGGGTGATGCATTTCATCATCGGCTATCAGATTGCGTGACAACTACCTGCATGTAGAGCTTTTACAGTAAGTAAAATCAAATTCATATACTCAGTCAGGAGTAGTATGTTTGCTATCTCACGTGTTTTTATCCTATGATATACTCCCTAGCAACAAGCACCTCATGCATGTGGGGAGTTCCACTAAACAAATTCCCATAACAACCTAGCAAGATCTACCCATATACCCTGTTTTTATAGATCACAGTTGACAAGACAAAAATTAATCATCTTAAAGAGGTGCCAAAATGCGAGCCGGAAACCCTATGCCCTAGAGATCATCCTCAAACAGACTAGCGCACCTCAATACTACTGACTCAAGCTTAGAAGAAGAGTTCAATTGCATTCGTTACTTCGCCTTTCTTTACCCCTATTGAACGCTTGAAATGCTATTAATTTACCCATAGAGAACACTAGACATAGCAACAGTCAAGTAAGTCATCAAGAAAGCAAATCAAAGCGTCGAAACTGGGACACCCAATATAACGGCGACATATGATGACAGAGGAGTGCATCTTACTGACATTGGCCTGATCAATATACTTAGTCCAATATGCGAGAAAAGCATAAGTAACAATGAACAGATCGAGCTTGAGGATGAGCGTTCTTTCTTCTTTTGTATCATGGTCTGTGAAGCATTAGATGTGGTACCGTTTCCGCCGTTGTTCGGGGACGGCCATTTTTCGCGGGTGTTCCGATATGGAGAGCTTGGAGTTGAAATTGCAGTCCATTCTAACTGGCTTGATTGATGGCCTCGGTCATCGGCTGAGAAGAACTGTACAAGTTACTTCAGCCAAGATGTGAGGTGTCACTAGAGACGGCAATTGCGTGCTGTAGCGCATCTTCAGCGAGTATTGCGACACAATAGCTGCGAATTACATAGCGCTAATCATAATTATTCAGATAGCTTGTCACGGAGAAAAGCTAAGTGTTTAGTTAGAATCGGCTTGTCATCTGAAATTGCCCGTCGGTCCTAGAGTGGGTGTCTGGGTCCCGATGTAAGCTGACCGAATGGAAAGAGGCTCAAGCGTTGAAACAAATATGTCATATCTTTTATATGTGAAGTTGAGAATGTACCAGTGGTATTATGTACAAATGCATATGCAACGCCGTCTATATCCCAAAAGTATGATGTACAAGCATTATACAAACGGTCCGTCACTTGGTCCGTAATAGGCAAAGACAAAAAATGCTCAAGTCAGGCCTTAGTCCTTCTTAGGAAAAGATTCATCCCATTCCGGAGCCTTCTCCGCCTGCTCCTTCGGCTCCTGGTAGGAACCTTCTTCGAATTGCTTCTTCGAAAGATTCTTCCGGGCTTCCAATTGGAATCGCTTGATGCGCTCGCCACCGAATCTCTTCTGCTCCGGCGTCGGGTAGACAGTCTTGCCTCTGAAGCTCTGAATAACAGCTTTGTCAGAGTATTTCTTCAGCATTTTCGATTCTTCCATCAGCATCTTGCGCTCAGCCTTTGAGACAAACGACTTATAGTCATCCATGAGAGTATCGTCGACTATCAAACGGATGCGCGACAAAATCTTGACAGCCGCGGCACCGTTGACATTGTCTTTTTGGTTTTGGATTTCACTCCAGCGACTATTCTTCGAGGGACCTCCGAGCTCCATTGCCTCGTGAAGCTGGGCGGTATAGGGTAGCAGGGTAGCGACGGCTGCCAGGCGCAGCTTCGCTTGGATTTTGCGGCCGATGTCTTGCAGTCTGCTTTTGCTGGAAGTATCTTCCATGTCGAGGCCTCGCAGGTGCAGGAGCACCGAGGGTTGGCTGGAAAGGATCTGGATCAATTCTAGGTAACCCTCGAGGACTCGGAGATCCGGGAGGATCAACGCTTTACCCATCAAGGACATCAGCTCGTTTGCGTGCTGAAGAACCGAGTGGTTGCGACGGTCACGGCGACAGATACTGAGAGCGACGTGGAATGCCTTTCCGTTTGCTACACCGGACGGAATCATCTGGTCCCGTAAGGCAGCGACACCGACTTTGCTGGAGCGGGAAATGCGGAGAAGTCGGAAATATTGGAGGTAGCTGACGCTATCGGGTTCAATGAGATATTTCGGGTCTTGGATGGTCAGAAGTTTCCAGTAGTTGACACCAGCCTCGGTGCCGTGGGTGATGGTGAAGCAGGCATTCAGAAGAAGAGTAAGCTCTTTGCTGTCTGGCTTGAGGAAAGAAAGCTCGGCTAAGTCTGGGACGACAGGCCTGAAGAGCTCTTCGAATGATTCTTCCTCTTCTGGTTCTTCTGCTTCATCCTCTAATTCCTCTGGTTCTTCAGCGAGCGGCTGGGCCTCTTCGCCCGGCTCTGCTTCTCTAATAATTTGGTTGTTTTCATCCACGAATGGAACATCTTCCATACTATCCTCCCGTTTTGATTGTGACTGTTCGAGTGTTTGAGTTTCTTCGCGAGTGATCCTGCGACGGGATGAACTCTCGGACTCGATAGGCCGTTTTTGTAAAATGGGAATACCCATGGTTTGTTTATACAGCTCCATGACATTGTAACAGTCAAGGTCACTTGCTCCATCCAGGAGCAAGCTAGCCATCGCATTCACAACGGAGTTGTCAAGTTCCAGGGCTTGGTTTTTCCATCGATAAGCAACGTCGGCCCAAATCCGCTTGCCTTCGGTCACAGCCAGAGCTTTCCGCTCAAGGATTCTATCAATCTCCTCGGGGGACATTTTTTGGATATCCTTGCGGGCTGCGAATTGAACGGCACCCAAGATAATAGTATAGGTAGCTGCGTCTGGGGCACCTGGTCCCTCCTCTGGGAGGTCTCCGGCAATCTTCCACAAACGATCCATATCATTATGCCGTTGGCAGACCGTAAGCATGGCGTTCGTGTGAATAATGCTCTGGTTGACGCCGGAGTTCGGTGAGGAGATCGATCGATAGACGGAGGCAGCAGTCTTGACGATACTCGGTGATTCTGAGGCTGAGCTGAATCCCTTCAGCATGATCGTGTACGTTGTCGCAAGCGGCCTTCTGCCACGTTTCTTCATCTAAAGTAGTATATCCATTAGCATGTAGTTCCCGGCGCCGAGCGAACTGACAAGAGACTCACATCATTATAAAACTTGAATGCAGCCTGCGGGTGATTTTGATCCATACAATACTGGAGCAAAGTATTCCAAGCAACATCACATCTCATGCCCTGCTTCGTTCCAGTGCGGATCAGCGCCGCCGCCAGGGCGGGATCACCGGCATGCAAAATGCGCGAAACTCGCTCCGCAAAGTCACGAGGATCAGACAACCATTTCAGCTCCTCCGTGATAACCTTGTTTGGAACTTTGAGAGATTTTATGACCGAAGGTGCGGGTTCTTTGGGGGCATCACCATTGGCAGTCTCGACCTCAGCCTCAACCCTAGGAACTTGATCTTGCGAGGCATCGTTTTCAGACGCCTCGGTAGCAGGCTTCTCGGCTTCAGCAGACCACTTCTCAGCAGCTTCCTTGTCCAGGGCTTCGCTTTCGGCAATATCACCATCAACATCAACGTCATACCGGCCGCCGAGGGTTTCCTTGCCAGATGCAATAGCCATCAACAAGTCCCGATCTCTCTTTGAAGACAAATCATCATTGAAGGTCTTCCGGCTCCCCCTCCCTCTGTTCATAGATTTCTGTTCATCTTTCTCAAAGCGGCCTGGGCCTGGGCGCGAAGTCTTGCGATAGGAGTCGTTTCGACCGGAGGAGCGTTGGAAGGAGCGTTGGAAGGAGCGTTCGGAGTAGAACCGGAGGCTAGCTGAAAGCCATGTCTGTGTCTGCTGGAATTGCAATTCACCTGCAACGGATGCGCGGTGTTGCTGTGCGGTGAGAAGTTTGCTGCGCAAAGCTCTGTTCACGAGCGACCCCGGAAACCGGAATGTCATGGCCGGGTTTCAGTGGTTTCCAGGCCAATGTCGAGCTTGGATGGTATGTAAAAGGCTGAGATAAAACACAGAATCCACAATGCCAGGTCAAAGAAATGAAGAAAACAAATAAAAAGAGGCAAAAGGGATATTATGTCCACATTGCGTGTTCGAGATACAGTCTCGAAACAATTTCGCAGATTGCAAGAACACGCTAGTTCGTATCAGGTTAGATTATGACGCCCGAATATTCAGGCATAAAGCAAGATATTTAGTGCCTCAGGTGTCAAGATAGCCCAGATCGGTCTTCTTGACACCTCAGGCTCTAGATCTGACTAGACTGCAACTAGTTTAGTTCCCTTCCAACCCTTGTTTCCTGCGGGCCTGGACGGGAGCGCTAGAGCACATTTCCAGAGTCTCATTCCCTGCGTTAAGTATCTTACTAGTTCCCGGATCTAGATCTGCATTCTCCGTACAGAACCGTGGACGGGCCTTCTCTACACGAACTATAATAACAAGCCTTTTTTCACCTTGGCTTCATTATCTCGTCCATATCATAATGATTGCGTGCATGATTTCTTTCACAGTCTAAGCCATAGGTTTCAGGCGATCTTTACTCTCAGCCTAACTCATCAATTATGAGAGTTGTGTCTTATAAGACCTTTACTGTCTCTCCCAGAAGAACATGTCAAGACTCGAAATCCTCGCATACAAAGACGCTTCAGTCCTGGGCTTACATCAAAAGCAAATCCCGAAAACCATGCAGAATGCACTTCCTAGCCAGAGTACCATAAGCATTACCCCAACCCACAAACATAAAACACAATAGAAAAAACACAATACATGCACAACATTCAAGCAATATGACAAGTCCAATAACAAACAAGTACATACACCAAAAGCACAACCTAACCAAAACCAGTCAACTCATCCAAAGGCTAGCGGCCAGCCTAAGCAGCAACCTAAACCAGAAAAGAAAAAAAGCAAAAGAAATGCCAAAAACCAACTCTAAACCCCGAACTAAAAATTACCGCCACGATGATATCGGTGGCTGATACTAACTGACCCTAACTTCCTTCAGCCACGTGGAGATAGGATGTGAGATGCTAGTGACTAACCACTAGTCCCAAGCACTTAGTCCCTGGTTCTGAAACTAGTCACTAGCCACGCTTGTTAAGTTACTTACTGTACTTTAATTTACTGAACTATACTAGCTCACGCCTCCCGCTCTATGCTATACATAGGTATAGATACGGGTAAAAGGTACACTAAGAGGTACAGGTACAGGTACAGATATGTACACATCATGCTTATGTATGACATATGACATACAGTAGTCTAGCCTCTTTTCTTTGTCTTCCTTTTACTGTTTTCGTTCTAGTTCAGTTCAGGTACCCGTCCATGCTATGCTATGCGTGTGTGCAGGTGCATGTACATGTACGCATTGACATGGTGCAGTAGTTGTGCGTGGTATGTGTACAAGGTACTTCTAATTAACTTTAACTTGATCTGCCATGGCTAAAGTCAGTTCCAGAGTGATGTTGTAAAGTATTTGGTACTTTGTCCGTGTTTTGTGTGCGTGTGCGTGGCTCAATCCTAATTTGGGCTAGGCGTGGCTTGTCTCGGCTTTGGGTTTAGAGACCGGATTCCGAATTTCAGTGGAAGGAACTTAGAGTTCTAGGTCTCTTTGATGATACTTGGTGTATTTTCTATCGATCTGAACTAAACTAGATAGTCTTGAGTCCAAATTGAGGTGCCTTTTGCTGCCTGGTGTAGTTGGATATATACAAAGCAGCAAACGAGCAATGACAGCCAACATTCGAGCATATTACAGAAAGCAAAGACAAAATCAAAAAAAAAATATAAATATAAAAGGAAAAGATTGACCTGAGAAAAAGGAGTCCGGTTTGAATGATACACAAAAATAAAAACCAGATGAAAATAATCAGTGTAGCATAATGTACGTTAAGCGGAGGAGAGAAAGGAAAGGAGGAAGAATAGGAAACCAAACACAGAGATATAGAGAGGAGAGATGAGAGGATAACCAGCACATGGCAGAGTTAAGACATAAGATAGGAAAAGACGATAAAAAAAGAGAACAAGACTAAAACAAAGAACCCCCATGAGAACCATTTTGGGAGAATGCTAATCAATATGACAGATGCAAAAAAATCCGCCGCCCACCATTCCTTGGAGGCACAATCCTGGCCAGCGAGCAATGTATGAAGAGAGTATGAGTAAAAGACACAAACAAACGCACATCACTTCGACATTTATCGTTGAATCTGAGAACAAGACAGGAGACAGAGCGCAGAGGAAGGGAGAACATCCTCTCGGCTCGAAGCAAACTCTAAAAGAGCAAGGAGAATCACAGGTACAGAACAAAGCCGGAAAAGCCACTCTTTGACGAGGATCATAAGCCTCAAGAGGTTGGTATCATTGCAGTAAATTGGGAGCGGAGGTTGGAGAGGATGGGATGAGAGGGGGATCGGAATCCAGGACGAGGACGTTAGTCAAGGATCGGGGATATCGTGATTAGAAAGGAAAATAGCACAAAGCACAGAAGGCAAAAACAGAAAAGGGCAATGCAGTTCCGTCCGTCCAGAGGGTGGTTGATGGATGTTTATAATTGGAGAATTATTGCGGGTAGCTGACGGATGTGGTCTCTGGAAGCCGTAGCCGGGTTTGAGATCAGCGGACGGGACAAGGTCGGGCGAGGATGACCTTGTCAAGCAGGTCCAGAGGGTCGATCCTGGAGGTGATAGCGACATTACTCACGTTGCGGGTACACCGGTCCGCTCTGGTACGGAGAGTGAGGGTAGTTTGGAGGGTAACCCATCTGTCCGTTTTGGTAGACCATGCCACCACCAGGGGGGGGCGCCGTATTGGCCTGGGACCTGGCTGTCCGCAGGCTGATATCCGATAGGAGGGAGTTGAGGACGGACACCACTGCCATAGGCAGGTGGCTGTCCATGGGAGGGGTCGGAAGGGTTGGGAGGCTCGACTTGGTTGGCCTGGGCAGCCTGGGCCGCAGCGCGCTCACGCTCCTCAACGGCCTTGCGTTGAGCCTCCTCTTCCTTCTTGCGGGCCTTCCATTCCTTGCGGATCTCCTTGAATTCTATAGCGGGAAGATAGTCAGCCGTGAGCTTGGATGAAACGTGACGTGGACATAGCGTTGGACAAGATCGGAACTAGTGGGTGACAGGTGCTAGGGCCGGCGGAAAGGGACAGAGGCAGGCTTAACCTCACGCCGTCGGCCACGCTACTGCGAGCCCCGCGACGTCTAGTGTAACTCACTAGCGTCCACGCGGCCGGCGCTAACCCGATCCAGCCATTTGCGACAAAAGATCGAAGATCTCCGTCGCATCGGCCACCACTCATCCAGCAAAGGGAATGAAAAACCTACCTTCCGGGGTGCGCTTGGCGCCATGCGACTGCATAGTCACGTGTGCATTCAAGTGGTTCAGAGTACCATAAGCCTTCTCACAGCCCTGCCATCCACATTTGTACATGCGCTCGATTTCCTCATAGCGACGACGGGGACGCTTGTGCTGCTGCGCACCAGGAATTGGGACGAAAGAGTAGACCTAGAGGATGAAATTCAGAGTCAGCTTTGGTCCAATCGCAAGAGATTCAAAACCAAGCCCCAATCACGAAATAGCGATTGGGGCGACAAGCGCTGTTTTTGGCGATCCCTGGGAAGGAGACGTGCAATCAAAAGAAAACTGCCGAATCGAGTCCAGAGGTGTCCAAAGACAACAGTGAATGAACACAATACGAAGCCTCAAGAAAACCCCCTCCAGGGATCATCAAAAACATACCTGTCCAGGGCCAGTTGCGGCAATAGGGGAGGCAGAACCAACCGTTGTAGCGGGAGAGGCATAAGGACCGGGCAATCCATGATGTTGCTGTCCATAGCTGTGCGGCCAATCCGGGCGCGCGTACATCTGGTGAGGGGGGGGGCGGGTGGCCCTGGTACTGAGCCATCTCGTGCCCCTGAGGCTGGTAGGGAGAATAGGGAGGAGGATAGGTGGGGCTGTTGGCCGGAAGAGAAGGATCTATAGGAACGGGCGCGTCAGATTTATTGATCGGACTGCGCGGGCCCGTAGGCAGGTTGAACGGACTTGTTGCTTGAGCCATACCTGCCGCGCCACCGGGTTGAGGGTTGGGAGCGTAGGATTGGGGTGGGCGGTGGAGGTAGTCCTGGTGGTAGGCAGGGGAGCGGGCGGTGGGCGGAGGGTTCAGACCGTAGTCGGACTGAGGGGTGTTTGACGACGAAATATTAGGTCGCACTTCAGGTTGTGGCGTGTAGGTCGGGCGGACCTCGGGTTGCGGGGTGTAGTGAGCACTGGCAGCAGCAGAAGTTTGGTCTGCGATTGTTAGGGTGCGTGCTCGAGGTCTTGTATCTGATAGAGTGCGAACCTGGCTGTGCGTACTCGGAAGCGGGCCGGGTGTCCATATAAGAGATTCGCGCGCAAACAGGCTGAATCTAAGGATATGTTCCGCGTTCTGTGTGGAGACGCGTCGACATAACAATGAGTTCAAGTTCGGGGAAATTGACGAGTCGGACAGACACGTTTCAAGCAAGGGACGGGAGCCTAGGTTGCCACGTTGAAATCGTGGCTGAGAACGTACCTGAAGAGAGTCTCGCAGAGGTCGGGAAAAAAAGAAAATGTGTAAAGTTGGAAGTTCAAGATGCTTAATCTTAGTTCGCTTTTAGGATGCCTTGCAGGTGGCGGTAAGCACGAGGCACCGGGAAAACAGACTAGTGTATAGAAAGAAAAAAAAAAGTCAGTCCGCGACTTGGAGCGACCTAAAAGGTGAGACGATTAGGAGAATGGGATCCGAGGTGGTGGACCTCGGTGGAGTAGGTAATTTTGGTTATCGAGCGAAATATTACCTGCCTTTTTACTTTTTACTTGTTGATATTAGGGGGGAATGGAGAAATATGCAGAATTATACATCCTAAATGGTTTGATCTCGGACCATTCGCTATTTCCAGATATTTCCCCCTTTCCCCTCCCCATGACCGGCTAAGCTTTCCATGTGTGATAACACCTGGGCACCTTTGGGGTCTTTTTTTTCCCTTCGAGAAAAAAAAAAGCGGAACCAGGGGGGAAGGTCAGAAAAGTGGCAACAGAATTCCTACGTTCCCCTTTCCTTCACAGTGACTTAAAATAATGAAAATACAGTTATACATGGTGGTTGATATAGACGATTGTCTAAAGGCTAGGTTCCCTTCCTTAGTCTACCCGCAAGAGAACCTAGCGTACGTGGGTACCAAGATGTCAGAGAGGGGGAGCCAGGGGAGAGCGAAAAAGCAGGAAGACTAGGGCAAAAGGGGGTGTAGCGTAGGGGGGGGGGGGGGGGAAGACTCGGGAAGAGGCTAGTGCGGTAATATGACCAATAGGAAAATAGTAAATGGATCAAGGGTGGACATAGTGGGGAATGGAGAAGCTCGGTGGTTGGGCCTGACCTAATTGAGATTAGTGGAAAAGTTAGAGGTTCAAAGCCGCGGTTGTAGCCGGTAGCTTGGACCATGTACTTCTCAGTACCTGTACAGAGTATGTACAAAGTACTTGTATAGCCAAGACTTATTGTGAAGACTGGCTGTCTCCTGACACCTACATATATTATACTCATAAGCATCATAAGCTTGATATGAAGTGACCGATCTGGCAAAGCCCGATGGCAACATCCAATCCTATGGGCCCTCGATCGGAAACAGATAATAATAGCCCCCATGCCAAGGGCAGAATAGGGGGCATTTCCCAGCGGGATTTCCGTGGAACTAGTTCAACCCGTTGATTGGTCGCCTATCTCCTAATCACATCGCCTTGCAAGCGGAGACTCGGCGGCTCTCCGGTATATTAGATTACACTTTTATAACTTTTGAACAAAGGACTCTGATAGGGAGAAAACGGAAAAGCACGACTCCTCTCCTCGGAGTTGTCTCTGTCTCTGTTGCTGTAACGTAACGTGATTGGTGCCGTCTCTCACCCTGCAGGCGGAACCTCTTCCTCCACTGCCGGTGAGGAAAACTTGCCTTAATTGCCCAATTTACACCTGACGCAGCTATAGCGTCAACATGATTCCATCCATGTCCATAGACAACTATGGAAGGGACAAAGCCATGGCACATGGCATGTGCACATGCACATATATCCATGGGATGTAGTAGAGCTAAACACGGTCGGCACATCACTGTACCGCCACGATCACAGTGGAGTGGCGGCGGACTCCGCCAACACCAGTACGGAATATCCGGAGTCGTCGCGCAGATATATCTAATTCACATTGCGCGCTAATCATTGGACGCCGCAGCCGCTCGGTATCTGGCCAGTGTTGTAGTCACTGATGTGAACATGTCCCCAGTTTTCAGGTCGCATTGTCGAGCTCCGCTAGGGTGCAGGTGTACATGTGCGAGTGCATGTGCATGTAGCGTGTAAGTTAGCGTTAGCGTGTAGCGTGTAGCATGTCGATCGTATTAGAGCTGGCTTTCAACTTGGCTATAATTGTTGTTGTTTTTTTTTTCTTCTCGTATTTGTATTTCGTTTGATACCTATTCTGATGCTGCCGTTTGGCATGGGCCACTTTCAAGGATTTGAAAAAGAAAGTGAGCGATTAAATGTCTCATTCTCAGGCGTTCATGTCACTTGATGCACGTGGGCCCATGCAACTCGAAGATACTGTATCTCGAGGCTTAACTCCGGAAACGCGTGACTAATGAATAAGAGGCCGGTTTCCACACTTCCAAACGGGGTCAAGTCGGCTATTCTCCGGTCATTTCCAGCTCTCCCCAAGGCTTGGCTGTAATTTCTTTCCCCGGAGAGCCAGGAAACCGGTTTCTTTTATGGGTAGCCCTTAGTCGGCGATCCTAATCCAGCTGTCACTCTTGGCTGGAACTGAAGTACCTGGATTATACCTGGACTTTTGCCTGGATGGAGCCGCGCCTGACTCAAGACACTCTCTCGAGACAATTACTCCCATATAGCACTAACCCGCCATGTGCAGTAGCGTGTTGACGCCCCACGACTTGCCGAGTTCTCAAAAAATACGCAATTTCCCATCTCCACCGGTGGCCAGTGCGGTACCGGAGGAGGCTACGCCGCACATAGTAAGTCTTACCCGCTAATGCTTCGGCAGATCGCGTTAACTTGATCCCCCAGATGATGATCCCTGGGCCGTTTGGTTTATGTTCGGAATGGGATATAATAAGATCCGAGCAATCTCGGTTAGAGGAAGGATGTCACCCATGCCAGTACTAGTATCAGTGGAGGCCAATGAATGCGACGGAAACATGCAGGGATCTAACTTTGTCGGATGGGGGTCTAAGCATTGCCAACTCAAACCCTTTCATTATCAATTCCTGACCCAAGATATTATGGGGCCTCATTACGGTATTTGAATGCACTTGTCTACCCCGGGCCGAGTATATATCCAGCATGGGTTGCTTGTACTCTCTGTACAATAGGATGGTGAGCCCAACTCCCAAAGCCTGAGTCCAATCTGCCGAGCAGAGTTACATTTTCCATGCATATTCTTCGTCTGCTCTAGGCTCTCAAAAAAAAAAAAAAAAAAAGAGGAAGGGGCCTGAACCCATGTGAACCTAAACTTACATTTCCCAAGGGAACGTTGTCTTCTCTTAGCGTATAGCGGGTGTCCCTCCCGTTGGCCGCGGCACGGAAGAATTATTTATTATTTTTCTGATTTATTTATTGTGTTTTACGTTCGATTTGGATCTGGACCACAGCGTACATGTCCCCTTTTTTACTTTGCTCCGACGTGCATCGTCGGATATCACGTCTTTACTGGTCTTGGCATGGCGTCTTTGAGGCGTCGGGGGCGCTTATGCAGATTACGGGAATTGAATCCTCTACTAGATTTGACGCTAGGCTTGTGTTGGCATTATCTGACTGCATGTCGCTGTCTTCGGTTGTTTTGTTGTCGTTCTGAGTTAGTCGTATTTTTGGACGAGACTTGGGGTGCTTGGGACGTTATGCATGCACCTGCACTGCGATGCTGTTGGTTTCTATCGGGCCGGATGCATGCATTTTATATGTACTTTCATTTGATGATATCGCGTTGAGTAACTTATTTTTGAGGTTTGTTGGTACCGATGGCTCGGTGAGAACATCGATGTCTCTCCCGAATCATTCAAGAGACATCTAGACACGTGCCTCTTTTGTTTTTGTTTTTGTTTTTTGTGTGTGTGTGCATTATGATAATGCAGAGCTCGTAGCGACTTCTAAACTTCAATGTGAGGTAAAATTAGAATGTTGCAGAGAGATAAGCAAAATTTATGTATGTGCGTACACCAACAAAACCAGAGAAAGCAATGATCTACCTTCATGGACTTCCAATTAACCTCAATGTTAGTCTTACCCGGATCCTAGAGTTTGTCATGTCCTGAAACACTAAATGCAATCCACTGATAGCCTCATAGTGGGCCAGGTAAGCCCAAAGCTTGACGTTAAGCTAAGCACGAGCAACGATCTTGCAAATCAGAACCCTAGGGAAATAGCCTGCGGAACTAAGGAAGAGCATTGACACCGGTTGATAGATCACACTTAGGTCGAATCTGGTAAGGTCTATAAGGCTGTGTAAACGTTGCTACCTAATACCTCGCCCCACCTAGTATACATTCTTCCGCTACTATGTTTTGATTGACAGTGAAGTGATATCAATATTTGCGCATATCAATGAACATGGCATGATGCTACCTAAATTGTGTGATGATAGTGATACGGAATTCGACTTTCTTGATGTGACTCGGTGCAAACGCCTTGTTTAGACACGTCTAGTCATCCCTGGTTGTTTGCTTGCTAGGAGGACCTAAAGTCCACAATGAGACATAGAAGCAGGTTTATTGAGCTAGACTCTAGTTTTTCTACGTTTGTGTGATAGACCGTTAGAGGTCTATCAAGAGTACCTTCGTCTTCCAACCAGATATATCTAGATCAACAGCTCTACCCAAAAATGAGACTTGATTCCCAACAAGATCCAATTCTTCGATAGAATCTTTTGAGAAACACTATTTTTCAGGGAGCCTCGAGACCAAGCAGCCTCTAAGTGATACATGTCCCAGATATATTCCGCTTTATGACCAACAAAAACAGGATGGAGCGCTGTCCAAGGATCCTCATCTAGACCATCCTTTCCAGTCAGACTTTCAAACTTGAGCTAACTTGAAAAACGTTATAACTCAATGTCGACGGAAAAATTGATTCCGTCAAACCTCAGAATTTCCCCGTAGAACCGAGTAATTGCGGGGTTAAAGTAATGAAAGATCAATATATAACATTCCTAGTTAGAAAACATCAACGCCAAGTAAAGAAACTTCATTTAATCTTTAATTCCTGGTATAACTGATCACCGGGATGCTTCGTTTAGCTACATATACCCTAGCGGCAATCTCGAATATTCCACTCGCCCAGGCTGGCCCTCTATCAAAACAGACATCCAAATTTGACTGGTCATCAACAAATGCTGTGTGAGTACGAGAAAAAGCCTGACAAACAAAGTGATAACCTGACTCGAGATCTTAAGGATTGCTTTTGGTGATTCCTACACCTATGTACAGGGAACCCAGGGCCGCCAGAACTTCAGTTTCATTGGAGATCAATTCGATTTTGCCTATGATACGGAAACACTGTTGTCTAATAAGATAGTTCAGAATCAGGTGAGTAGATAATATATTGTCCACCTTATTTGCAACAAATGAATGATACTAGCGCTTAATATATAGACGGGAACCGCAGAAGGCGGACCAAACTGGATCGAATATCTCACAGATTGCGGCGTCAAAGACGGCCTAACTTCCCCAAAGAGCTGCGAGAAACAACTCTGGGATTTTGCATTTGCAGGAGCCGACATTTCAACCGAATAGTACGTCCAAACCCCTCACTTCCACCTACCATAGTTCTCAACAGTCGATATCAACCCCAGAGACTGGGAACCACCAACCCAAGAATGCAAACAAGAGGAACCCCAAAATATACCCAAATTAAGACTAACAAAAAGACCAGCATACCCCTACACCACAACTACACCCTCTCCCTTGAAAACCAAATAACACAATTCACCCAATACGGCCACCCAGCCCTACAGAAAAACAAACAAACGACCAACCCAAAGGAAACCCTAGTAGCAATATGGATAGGAATAAACGACATAAGCGACAGCGCAAAATACCCCGTCCCCTCCTTCCAAGAATTTTACAAAACCCTAACAAAATCCCTCTTCGCCTCCGTCGAATCTCTCTACGATCTCGGGTACAGAAAATACCTGTTCATGAATTTACCACCGTTAGACCGGACACCTGGAAACCAAGCTGATATTAATCCGAGTCCGAATGCCACGCAGGTTGCGTGGTACAACCAGGCGTTAGAGACTCAGGCGGATGCTTTTGGGGCTGGGCATGGAGATGTCGAGGTTAGGGTTTTTGATGCTCATTCGAGGCTGGCTGCGATGCTTGATGGACCTGCGAGGTATGGGATTGTTAATACTACCGGGTTTTGTGTTGGATATGATCAGCCTGATATTGAGGTTGAGTATTTGAAGTATGGGTGTCCCGTGCCGTTGGAGGAGTATTTTTGGTTTAATTCCGGGCATTTGACTAGTCACGTGCATCGGGTTTTGGCTGAGGAGTTGGAGGGATGGCTGAAGAGTAAATGAACTGATTTTGGAAAAGAAGAAGAAGAAGAAGAAGAAGAAGAGGAGAGGAATGGGTTCTAGTTGGCACATCTACAGAAGAGGAAGATTTGAATAATATCATTATTGCAGAGTGAGTCTGATTCAGAAACTCCCGCGAGCTTTGTGAAATGAACTTTTAATCAACATGTATGATTGTCGCAAGGTACCAAGCTTAAGTGGTAAAGCAAGTCCAAGCCGTGACAGGCTCCCGAGCCTGGAACCGATAAAACAAGTAAAACTGTCTATGACATCGAAAACGCCGCCCGAACCGAATTACGCAGGGAATCGAGAAAAAAAGAGTCTACCGGGACAATACAAGCTCGTCAGCAGCGAGACATCTACCAGCGACGGTTGTTGCCGAGGCCACCAGCGTTAGAGCCAGTGAAGCCACCACCACCACGACCACGGCCACCCCAGCCTCCACGGCCACGGCCACCCCAGCGACCACCGCCGCCGCCGCCACCACCGCCGTAGCGGACCATCTCGGCAAGACGAGGATCAATCTGCTGCTTAGCCTCAGTGAGAATGGTGACCAAGTCGCGAGCCTGCTTAGAGTCTACGAGAAGAGTTAGCAATTGAGCGAAGGACAAGACATGGAATGAACTTACTGTCAGTCGTGAAGAAGGTAATGGCGGTACCGTTGGCACCGGCACGACCAGTACGACCAATACGGTGAACATAGTCCTCCGAGTTGTTGGGGTAGTCATAGTTGAGCACGTGAGTAATGTCGCGCACATCTTTTCAAGAGAGGGTTCGTTAGCAAACACAGAACATTAGTGGGATTATAGATGAGGATGGCCATAAAGGACCCTTTCTCAGTCGTGCAGGACTTGATGCGTCACTGCTCTCTTCATGGGCCTCCTTGGAAAATCCGAAAGAAAGCGAGTCCATGGGAAGGTGGTGAAATCGTGGTCCTAGAGTAACCTTGGAAATGCAGCCTTCAACAGTTCAAAAAACAGCGTTGAGGTGTGGAAAAAACCTCGACTCTCCTACAAGTCTGTCACACAAGAAATGGAGAATCAAAGTCAGGCCTGAAATGCCTGCTGCTGTGCTGCACTGTGAGTCCAAGGTCCTCCTGGTATGAGAACCAGTTAGGATGACCAGATGTGCCTGGACAAGGCGTTTACACCGAATTACTTCGAGAGAGTTGAGCACCGTGCCATTGTCATCACACAATTTGAAACACGGGTGAGTTTTCTCAAGGGCCCCAAGGGGGGATAAACAGGGGAGAGGGGAAAAGGATGGGGGGATGCAATTTGTTCATACCGATACCACGGGAAGCCACATCAGTGGCCACCATGATGGGGCTCTTGCCCTGCTTGAACTCGTTCAGGACCCAGTCACGCTCGTTCTGCTGCTTGTCACCGTGGATGGCTGGAGAGAATGTTAGTACTGAATGTATGCACCAATAGCCTAGAAAACTTACAAAGCGCGGGCCATCCATCCTGGCGAAGGAAACGGGTAATCTCGTCAGCGATACGCTTGGTACCAGTGAAAATGAGACACTTATTGGCGCGGTTCTCCATGATCTTCTCAAGGTGCTTGATCATCTTGTCGCGCTTCTCGAAGTCGGAAACGACCTCAACAATTTGGTGAATGCGGTGGTTAGCGGAGAGGTCCATGGAGCCAACGTTGACCTGAATGTAGTCGTTCAGGAAGTCAGAGGCCAGCTGGCGGACCTCCTTGGGCCAGGTAGCAGACCACATGCAAGTCTGACGGTCAGGGCGAATCTGGCCAATGATCTTGCGAATTTGGGGCTCGAAACCCATGTCCAGCATACGATCAGCCTCGTCAAGAACGAGGTAAGTAACACGACGAAGGTTGGTACGGCCAGCCTCGAGCATGTCAATGAGACGACCAGGAGTGGCAATGCAGACCTCAACACCACGGGAGAGGTCACGAATCTGAGGACCCTTGGGGACACCACCGTAGACACAGGTGTTGCGAATGCGGGAAGACTTGCCGAACTTGGTGATTTCGGCCTGAATCTGGACAGCCAACTCACGAGTGGGGGCCAGGACGAGGACAATGGGGCCGTCACCTGGGGCGAGGAGGGGCTGAGCGTTGATGTGGACAATAGCGGGAAGACAATAACTCAGGGTCTTTCCGGAACCAGTCTCGGCAATACCGACGACATCACGACCAGAGAGGGCCATAGGCCAACCCTGGGACTGAATAGCAGTGGGCTTCTCGAAGCCCTGGGCCTTGACCTCGGAGAGGACGTACTGGGGGAAACCAGCCTCATCGAAAGTCTCAACGGGACGGGGAACGTTGGTACCCTGAACGGCCATGACCTTCTCCTTGCGGAAAGCTTGGATATCCTCCTCAGAGCGCTCGCTAACATCGGGGTGCTCCTTGTAGAAAGACTTTTCGAACTTGGGGAGAGAGTTCAAGTCTGAAAGGTTAGCAGGGAACAAATAGAAGTGAGAATAAAGGGAAAGCTTACCCCAGTCCTGTGTCTTCAGGCCAGCGCCGAGGTTGGACATGCGGTCACCACCGGCACCACCGCCGAAACCACCGCCGCCGCCGCCGTAGCCACCTCCGCGGCCACCACCGTAGCCACCGCCGCCGCCGTAGCCACCACCACCGCCTCCGGAGTAGCCGTTGTCACCTCCGCGAGAGCTGTAAAATGAGAGTCAGTAAGGTTTTGGTTCAACTTTGAATGTGATGTATTGCCTGTTTCCCGGAAGGATATTTGTTTTCCGGAAGACATGGGCGCGGAGAACCGAGACCATAGACGACCAGTACCATGAACACCCCAGTTTGATTCTCAAAGCTGCCAGTTGCAAGCGTCGGCTCAAAACCAAGTCGCTTGTCAACAGCGTCAAGAATCTGAAAAGAGCATACGGAGCAACAAGCCCGAAACACAGCCTGATGGGAAAACTTACCGGTAGGAGTTGTCGCGCGAGTAGCCGCCACCACCGTACGACATGATGAAATCTGTGAGGATGGACTGTGTAATGAAAAGGGAGAAAGAAGAAGTTGATCTCAAGAAAACAGAAGATCAAGTCCGCAAGTGAAAGGGGATGAAAAAAAGAAGGATGGAGGAGGAAGAAAACTGCCAGGGGAGAAGGCGCGAGAAAAAAAGTTGTTATCGGCGACGAATGGGGCCTAGCGTACTTGCTTTTTCTTCATTTTCTGCGCCTGCCAATTCACGTGATGAGTCTGGATCGGGGGCTAACCGCCTGCCTAATCGGGACCGATTAGAGTTTTAAGAATGCTTAGTCGATTGCTGATTGGCGCGGTAAAAAGCGGTAGAATCACCCATGGAAAGGAAGGGGCAAAGAGGCAAAATCCTTGATGGCAAATCGGAGGTGAATGAGATCGTAAAGTATAATTTGAGGAATTGTGGTTGATTACTGAGAAATTTTGCATAGAACGTGACATAGGAAATGTGAAAGACTCACATTAAGAAAGTAATCGAAAATCTACAAATTCAAAGTTAGAATTTAGATACAAGGTTGAGATGAAAAGCGCATGGAAGCATTCTAGAAGCTGTATGGAAGCAGATCGGAAAATTACAACTTCGAGATCACAATAAAGCACAAGCACTGTGGCGAAATGGTATTGTCGGCATAATGAAGATAGTAACACCCAACTACTCTCAACAAGTAGGAAGGAGCACTTTGTTCTGGCTGCAACGAGCAAGATTAAATACAGTAAGAAGCCTCTCATGGAGGTATACATTGTCTATCTACTCCTTACCTCCAAGACCCATGTCCCAGAACCGAATCTCCAAGTCTGTAGCCCGGATGAAGATCTTGATGAGCTCTTCCATGCGACTAGGTGACACCAGTTTCATATGCTCCTCGAGCAATGCTATAATAAGGAATGATTCAGCTAAGGTATCGCTCGTCAGTCATAAATCAACGTACCTGAACCCAATCGTACAGCCTCGGTATAGTCCTCCGCAACATAGTTCTCAATCCATTTCCAGTACTTATTGCCTTCTCGGATGGTACCTTCTTCTGTGTAGAGTCTGCGTGCAATGGCACCGTATCCGATCAAGCAGGGCGCGAGTGCCATTTGAAGGGCTAGCCAGTCCTCGGATTGGCCAACGTCCAGGATGTATCGACTGTACGCAGTGCAGGCTATGGATCCGGGTGTTAAATATCTGAGATACATCAAAGAGGTAGAGGGAGCTTACCGATGGTTTCGGGATGACTTTCCATCTCCTGCTTTGACAGGCCGAAGGAGGCACAGTAGTCAATGTGCAATGCCATTTCCCGCTGGATGTGCAGAACGATTTGGGCGGACTGAGATGCAAGTTAGACTGAGACCATGATAGGCACCGAATTACATACTGCTGCTACTGAGTCCATGGTCTTAGCTTTGTATGAGGCCAGTGCATTACTGCGGGCAAATTGAACCTGCAGGTTTAAGTTTTGTTAACAAAGGGACCCTTCGAAGCACATAGAAAAGGCGATCTTACCAGATAAAGATAATCCTGAACAAGGTATGCCTTGAACCGGTCGATAGGCAGAGTACCCTGGCCCATACCCTCCACAAATTCGTGAAGAGTGAACTTCTCCCATACCTGTTGCACATCGGGGCGATCAAGGACATACTCAAGGAATCGGCCACTAGATTATTCAACAGTCAATATCCCTGATCAAATCGTTCACAAAGGCGATCACATACGGCGCAAACGGCATGGTATAAATAGAGTGGAAATGGTTGATAGGTCCACTTCCTTTACCCAGGTCAGTGCTAGTCTTGATACCAACCTCAACGAATCGAACGGCACTGCGAACAGCTCTGATCATGTCCTTTCCTGAAGCGAGATTTGCAGCGATTGCTGATGCAAGTGAGCAACCTGTGCCATGTGTGTTTTTGGAGACCAAGAACTCGGTCTCAAACAAGGTGGTCGTGGTTCCATCAAAGAGAATATCCACAACAATAGCAGCCTCCTTTGGTTCTTGAGAGATCTTCTTTTCTTTCGTCAGAGGTAGATGTCCACCCTTAAGAAGGACTGCTTTAGGACCCAAGGAACAGATCTTCTTGGCGAGCTCAATCAGCCCCAATAGATCTGTCGGCTCGGGCGTTTCAGCACCAGAATCCTTCAATAGAAGCAGTGCTTCGGGAATATTAGGTGTCAGAACTGTGGTCAAGGGAAGCAACTTTGTTCGCAACTCCTTGATAGCTTTCTCGGGTAACAATTGAGAACCACTGGTTGAAATCATGACCTATTGATTGTGGTTAGTCTAGACGACATATCAACAGCCAATTCAAGCATACCGGATCAAGAACAATAGCTGGGACTTTGTGAGTCTGTAATGTCTCCGCAATGACATCGATCGTCTCTGCAGAGGAAAGCATGCCTAGCCAAGTCATCAATTTTGCTCTATATCGGTTTCAGTCTGACTTACCCAATTTAACTACATCAGCACCAACATCCTCCAGACCAGCATTGATCTGTTTCCTGACAAATTCCGAGGGAACGACGAAAATGTCTTGTACGCCCAGTGTGTTTTGTGCCGTCAACCCAGTTGTAGCAGTGAGGGCATAAACACCATGGGCTGCAAGAACCCTTTGGTCTGCCTCGAGGCCACTATGAGATGTTAGGATTGACTTATATAACGTAAAACAAGATGGAGTACAAGGCCAATCAGCGGGTTGGGGTGACATGATGGGATACTGCTATTTTTCTCGTACGAACTTGGGGGACCAGGGTAGACTTACGCGCCGCCAGAGCTGTCAGATCCAGCAATGACCAGAACTCGATTGGCCGACATGATGCAGAGAACCAATCAAAGGAGGGAGGGAGTTGCAGAGGAAGAAGTGAAGCACGTCGGAGTGGGGGATGGGGAAGAATTGCCGATAAGATAAGAGAGATCTACAAAAGGTTAAGCCGAGCTTTTTTTTGAATTGAATTGAATTGAATTCCGACGAGCGCAGTTGTAGTCACACTGTAGCAAAGAGAATTTGGAATACAAAAAAACAACACTGAATTATGCGAAATTGTCATAATGCTTGCCCAGAGACCCCATCCCTATTTACATCCAAATCATAGCCGAAGCATTTATTGTAACATGAAGCGGAAGAGACCATCCATCTCAACCCATTGCCGTCCACACTTCTTCAAGTAGCTGTCGACGACACCCTTGATCGTACCAAATCTTATCCGATTGAATTCTACAAGGGCGGCGATGCTGTCCTTCTTCTCCCCCGTCTCCTTCTCCGCCGCACTCTTGGCCTTGTCAACATCCCAGAGACCCGCAAAGTAGAGGAGCTGGTTGTAGATCTCCTTCTCGGAGTACTCGTAAGACATGCGACCCAGACAGCCTTCTGCCCGACCACGAGGACCGAGACAGCGATGTCCATACACACTGATTTGGCGTGTGCGGTTTCCACATGATGAGTCGTCGCAAGCCAACCACCCTTCGTAGTATCGTGAGGTTTGTTCACGGATCTGATTCTCCAGCTGGGCGACAATGGTCAAGACTGAGAAGGGTTTCTGGCAGCGCTGGTTGGGGCAAACAATTCCCTGAGAGGTGCACATGTGCGATGAAGCTGCCAGACCCTCAAATACAGACTGTTCTTTGCAGAATCGACATCTCAAGTTGAGTCGTGTGGAATCAGCAAATCGAACAGAGTCTGGAATTTGAGATTCAAGTGGGAAGATCTCGGCGTTTTGCTGGTTGTTCGAACTGGAGGTGTGGATTTGGTACTTGCGAGTATCAAGACCCAAGCATTCAGCGAGGCGGACGGCATCCGTTCCAGGGATTGGAGCGCAGAGACGCTCAATAGGAGGGAATATTTGCTTGAGGATGTAGAACTCGACGTCTGGCTTAAGGCCCGAACCTGCCTTCAGCACGTCCTGCGGGCTGTACGACCGCTTGGCAGGCGGCAGAGACGAGGTTTCCGAGTCTCCGTTTGTCACAATGTATGAGATGACGTCGTTAGGCCGAACATTCTTGCCTCGGGCAATGTCACGAAGAGCAACTTGTGCTGGAGGCATACTCTCCTTGTTGGGGTACTCCTGGGGTCGTTTCGAAAGTTTCTATCAAGGGGTTAGTAATGGAACTGAGCAGTCATGGTCTTCATCACGAACCGTGTAGATCACATATTTCTGGACAGGAATGGTGTACTCCTTCATTCTGTCGGCAAGCTCGCGCAGATACTCGTGAACCTTGTTGAGGACGATTTCTTGATCCTCGCCAGACAGTATCTCATTAAGAAGCTTCGATGAAACCTCCTTCGAAAGGGCGCAGTATTCACGTCGCTTCATATCAAGACCCTTGACCTCAAGTTTTTCGACATATTTGCCATCTACCTCAGTCAGGTTGACAGCAGCGTACTTCTTCTTGGCATGAAGCAGGAGACGACGGAAAACATTATCAATGTCGATCTCCAGAAGGCGGTAGCGCTCGTTGACTGATTTCTTGAACTCGTCTCCAACCTTGAGAGCATCACTCATATTGTCCATGTTAGTGTTGATCATGACTGAATCCGTGTCGCCATAAATGACTCGCAGTTGCTGACTTTCGGCTAGTTCCTTGGTGTTCCTCAGAATTTCACGTCCCTTAAATGTGGTGAGCATAGCTAGTGGGCGAGCATAGAAGCGACTCTGTGTGTATCCCAAGCATCCGTACATGGAGTTTGCAGTCAGCTTGAAGGCCATTTGTTTTGTGTCCCACAAAGCCAGTTGTTCAGGCGTGGCTCGCTTGTCTTTCATCAACTTTTTCACTTCGCGTCGACGGCCAACCAAAGTTGCAATCAGCCGAGGAAGCACGCCTTGATCCTGGTCCGAAGAGGGAACATCGGGTACTTTTTCTTCATTCTCATTTTCGACCTGTTTGGTTAGCATGAAGGGTATGGGATGAGGGTGAATCAAGCTTACCGAAGCTGTTCTGTCCACCGTGGTGAAACAAATGTTGTACTCTTGGATGATACTGGGATACAGACTGTTGAAATCCATAACCAGAACAAATCTGTCATAGAGGCCCTTTTCGGGCTCAAACACGAGACCACCTTTGAATTTGTCTTTCTTTTTTTTGTCGACCGCTTCTTCTTCCTCGCCATCTTGCATCATCTTCTCCTCCGCCTTCTGGAGACGGGAAGAATACTTGTCAGGGCAAATGTACTTGTTTCGATGGAACTCATGGAGTAGAATGTACTCGTTTCGCTCTGCGCGTGTGCCGCTAAGTGTACGTGCCCATGAGTTACCAGCGATGTTAGTCAGAACCTTTGTGAGCGGCAGCATTTGAAGACGCAGGACTAATGCCGCAATGAAATATGTATCTGTATCACAATGATTGACGAAATTCATGAGGCCTTCCTTTGTAGTTGCCCAAGTCTTCAATGCGGCCTCAGTATCCAACTCCTGTCGCACGTGGCCTTGGCCAAGGTAGAGTTGACACATCTCAGTCAGACTCCACGATTGGCATTTCATCATGAGAGACTATCTCTTGTCAGCGTTGTCATCTAACCAGTCCGTAGGGAGCATTACCTTGCCCATATCGTTGGCTATGTCACACATCAATCTTCCGGCAATCAACTGCCTTTCCGCAAAGAAGTTGCCGCCCTTGTTGAAGTTCTTAGGCCAATCTCCACGTCTGAGCCGACCAATACGGTGCCAGCCCGGTGTCTTCTTCTCGCGCATTCGGCTAAGCAGAATACCCAAGTCGACATCCTGCAGCTGGTGACCCATGATGACATCGGGATCCATCTTCTCAAACAAAGCAAGGAACTTGCTGAGCAAGAACTGCTCGGACCTTTCCAAAATCACCGTGCCACGTTGTTGTCGCGCTTCAGCTTCGAAGTGCATTGGATAGGAACTACCAGCAGGTCGCATAACAGTGAATGTCTTACAGGGGAGTTTCTCGGGGGGAGTAGTATCAGTGAGAGAAATGTCCTCGTACACTCTGGCACTCGCCACAAGAATCTCCTGTTTGTTCTCTTTGACATTGAGCTGCGTACGGAAAGCGAGACTCATGAATGTCAAAGGCGGGGTGTCCATATTCTCGGAATCTGGAATAGGACTGATGAGGGCTGGTTTAGTAGCTTGGCATTCAAATTTGCACCACGATGCATTCGTGACTGCAGCAAAGTCGGCCTCTTCAATTTTAAGCCAGCATGGGCCCATGATGTTCTTCCAGAGAACAAACTGTTCAAAGAGGGAGGTGTTGGTACCAAAGACGTTGGAAAAAGTCTCGCCTTTGGTCTCCATCGGTAACGCGGTTTTATCGTAAGGGTAGAGTAATTTGAGATATTGTGCCTCTTTCGGGACACCGGGCATTTCGAATGCGTACTTCCGCGTGCATTCTTTGATCTTGTGCATGCCAACTTTGAGCTTGGACATCATTTCGTCGACCTCGGTGTAGACGTCTTGCATGTCAACCTCCTCTTCCGTTGCGCGTCCATGCTTGTGTCTGTATTCCCGAGGAAGAAAGTAGAGCTTTCGCAAGATGTTGTCGACCTTGACGAAGGCACTGGTGTAGGACCCATTCTGCTTGTTCTTCACCTTTCCAAACAAGCAGAGACTACCGTTGACTTCGGTGTAATCCAACCAGAAGATGCGCAGGCTACCATCCTCTTCAACTACATCTTGGGCACGCAGTTTTCCGAAGGAACGCATTTCCGGGGCCGGGCTGCTGAGCACATTCAACTTGCTTCGTACGTCATTCCAAGAAGGATCCATGACTTCCGGCATAGACTTGACTGGGGATGAACTGGCCGGCTCTAAGATGACTTCGTTCTTGATCTTGGGGGGTGGCCGGCTTCCAGTCATATTGATGCTTTCTGTCTTGACGCCGGAGTCGCCTGTTACTTCTGCGACGTCCATCAGGTCGATATCATCATCTTCGGGTTGCTCGGCCTTGACAGGCACAATTTTCCTGCGCTCTACTGCCTTGCTGATTGGAGACGAGGGCAAAATATCACTCATAGGAACATCATCGTCGTCTGGCATCGGGAGTGGGCCATCGTCGAGGTCATCGGAGTGCAGTGCTTGGTCCTTCATTGGTGAACTTGGCATGTCGTTTTCGTCTCGTGGGTGAGCCTTCTCGCGGCGACGCTTTTCAGACAAAGGTGGAGAGAGAACGCGAACTTTGCGACGGGCCTCTGATTTCACAATGTTTCGAGTGGGGGCTTTGTTCGATACGACGTTGGTGTCAACTTCTCCGAGTAGGTCGGCCATGAATGCATCGTCCTCCGCAGTGGCAACAGGCTAGACGTACCCTTAGGACAAGTGTTTCTAAGTCAACGTGGAGGGCGCACTCACCTTTGGTTTGGGTGCGGAAGAAGCAGCCTGTCCACTGTTGAAATACTTGGAGATGCCATTGTTCATCTTCTCCTTTCGCTGCTGCTCCTCATCGCGCTTTCTCTTGGCAGCTTTACCTCGTGCGGGTAATTCTGCGCTCTCATCGCTGGCATAGTCTACTGTTTGTTCATTCCACACTTCTCGGCCATCGTCTGCGTAACCAGCACCATTGTCGTCGACGACAAAATCGTCTTGGTCGAGGCGGCTGCGGATGACCTTTTTGTAGCCATCGTCATCGACTTCATCGTAAATGTCGCCCTGGTCTTCGATCTCGTATGTTGAAATTCGTTTTTTTCCTGAGGCGCGAAGAGCCCTCAGCTCAGCTAGCCTGTCTGGCTTAGAAGGCATTGTTTTTAGTGATTGAGTCGAAGTCGACTGCCCATCAATCAGGATTGAAAGACAGAGATCGATATGGGGATCACAATCCTTGCGGGGAAAGGGAGGACGAAAGGAGAGTCACGCATTTGATTCAGGCGCGTGCACGCGTTGTGTCGCGTCCGCGGCCTGTAATTAGATTATGTCAGCAAATTAATTACTCCTGCAACCTGAGGCACTACTCCAATGTATGCCTGAGGTGTCAGACTTTCAGCACTCGTGCCCTGGACGGGAAATTGTTCATCCGGTGCCAAGACCATTTATCGGACTTTCTTTAGTCCGTCTATCGAGCCCTAACGACTTAGGCCCCTTTTCACCACTAACAGATGAGTGTATGAACAGCCTTTCAAACCTGGTGCTACAGGCATTGAGGGTCTTAGAAGATTCTCAGTCGTTCGATCCAGAGACCTATATACACACATTGTGTACTAAGTAGGCATCTCTCGTTTGGCGCCGGATAGAGACATGGAGCTGGTTGCCGTAGTATATTTAAAATCTGAGATACAATAGTGAGACATGTTGGTTCAAAATGAGTAGTAGGACGGCTGAGCTTTCATAGCATGAATCATACCAATGGCAGGTGTCTCACTTGGTCTAGTAACCGGAGATAAAGCCTAGTACTTACGTGTGGGGTTTGGTGGACGGGAGCAATGCATTTTGTCCACATATCACATTGCACAGACGTGAATTGAGGAACACATGAGTGTATATGGGGGTGAAAACTTAAATTCCATGGGAGATGTCTCAGATAAGTCCAGAGCCGCATACCACTTGACGGTAGATAATAGTTGTTCAAATCCTTGTACTTCGCTACGCACTACGGGAATTGCTAAACGTTAGTGATTTATTTTGACCCTGATGGAAATTTTGACATGATTATTATGATACTTTGCGGTGGGGTGCTTCGTTTATAGTTGTAATACTGTTGATCTCAAACTCAATCTTTGAACGTGAGTTGGTTGACCGTCGTAGATAACTGGGTTGACATTAACCAAGCAAGTAGACCGCATTTCTGTAGCCGTAGAGTGGTTTTCTCAAAAAAGCACCTGTAAAATGGTTCTTTTGATTGGGTAGCTCACTGTCGCCTCGACGATGTCGTGGGTGTCACGGTCTTTCCTCAACCTCTTGCGATGAAAAGTTTCCCATGAACACATCCATCTTCACTTCATTAATTTTCTTCTTTCTCATGAGATCTACTAAGTCATTGTCATCAATCGCATGGATTCGAGGTTTTCGAGCAAAATAACCACCCAGTCTACCGTTCCATGATCCTGAGGCCTTGAGGTCTTTCGAGCGATTGACTCGTCATTCGCCTCACCATCCCACTTCAGTACGCTTCTAACGTATTACATGAAGAGTTCAAGTACTCATCTCTCTCATGAAGCCTACCTTGCATCTTGTTGTCTCATTGAAGCTCGAGGATAGCATTTCTGGAGCACCTTTCCCCATATCGCCTCTTCGACACGCTCCAAATACAACCAAATGAGCCGGCCGGGATCAGTGAACACAGACAGCAATGGATTTTACAATTGCTTGGTTATATATCTGGGTTGTGGGTTGTTGGGACAAAAGCTAAGTTGGTGTTGAGGGACCTTTCATCTTATGCCCGACTGGGCGAGTGCTACCCATCCATCTTATACCCGCCAGGACAGGGCTCCCCATTCAATTTACACGCTCTGGAAACAGCTCAAAGGCTAACTCGTGGAACAAATTCTCTAGATTTTACGTCTTTTTTCCGGTATGGGAGCCCTCGAGACACCTCTCAGACCCGACATACACTTGCTGGTGATGAATGGACACAATCTCAAGTTGTTGAGTCAAGTTGATCTCTCCTTCTGATACACTGTATTACAGTGCATTCAGTTCAGATTACTTTTGAACGTGAGAAGAGGCCCCAATTGCGGGTATACAACACGGGCAAAGTTCTCACGCTTCTGGTTGATCCAATTGCGATATGGCTGTCGTACAGTCCTTGAGTCGATGACAGGTTGGTGAAAAAGGCTGGGAGTATCCAATCAATTTCAAAACATCCTCCCGCTTATGCTCATATACTGACAATTCTGTTTATCATAGATCATCTACCTATGTATCGCCAGACATACCTCAACGGAACTACCACAGGGAACAACCCCGCTACAGTCTGCAACGCCGACGATGAACTGAGACAATTTGATAATCGAACGCCCTTTATGCACTGTTTGTTGGATGCCAGGTATGTTCCTTCATCTTTGCTCTACAATTGATCTGGTGATGCATTAATTTGTGACTACTGTGGGCCACATTTTCTCTCTTTTCTCACGTCTATGATGAGGTTCTTTATACAATATGAGCTCTTGAACTGGCTCACATCCGTGTGGGTTAATATGATGCAAGAGAAGAACATCTGAGACGACGCCACTACGTACAATCATTGTTCGTCTTTCTGGTTCCAGGTATGTTCCCTCATCCTACTTATTTGGCGATGCACTGACTCGTACATTGATGAAGAAACCTTCTATCTACACAACAAGCTACTAGATTGGTGCATGAATTGTGTGAGACCTGCACAAAAGTAGGCACTCCTACACGGCCCCCCCTCCTTTTCACGTTCTATCTATCACACGCACTATGATGATGAAGTTCCAAAGCTCAGAAAAGGACTGTGCTTGCACTTGTCTTAGCACTTTATTGTGCGAAAGTGATGAGTCAAAATACAGATACTACATCTGATGTGCTGAAGGACCCATGGGGGCTCGGGTCGCTGGAAACATACTACCTGATCCGAATCCAAAGAAGAGAAAGAACTGTCTTTATTGACCTAAACTCCTGGCGCTCTATGCAGACCCATTGAAATACCCTCCTCCCCCCCCAAACTTTACCCTCGGTGGCTCTGTCACGACTTGTAAAGGTGTCTTTCAATTTCTACGGTACGTCTCGATGGTACACAGCTGTGGCCTTTCAATTTGAAGATAACCCCAGAATAAAAAGTTTGATCTCTGAAAAAGCCGAACCGAGGATCAAGTCTTCCTAATCGAATGGAGTACACACCAGGAATCAGACTCGCTATACTCACGGTAAGAGCAATCCCACCCATCAGACGAACTTGTTGATTTGGGACCCAATATTTTATGATGACCCCTATGAAAAGAACAATCCGAGGGAGAGCCACTCATATATATGGGTGACTCTGGACCGATGCTGATTCACTTACACTACACACCTGAACTGTCATTTTCAAACTGAAACATCCGAACACAATACTTTCAGAGTTATGCTGTCATTCTTCTCTATTCTAGGTATTCTATTTCTTTTAGGTCTCCGCTCCCGCCGATTACCACGACGTGAACCACTCCCATTGCACTTTACGACATAAGCAGAAGATCCCTTGGGATAAAGATTCAACCCCTCGGTGATGAAAAAGAGCTCTGAGGGAACATTATCCCCCATTCACTTGGATTGGATTGCCTAGTGGTGACAAACCTTGATACATGCACTTGCTGAGAGGGGTTTCTTTAAAACGCCAAGTCACCTTGGACAATGGGACTGGACTTTGCTTTTGAACCGGCTTTCATGATGTGTTACCCCATTGGGTACACTGCAAGGAACGAATGAAACTCCAAGAGAAAGACTGACAACATATATCTGCGGGATCTGATAATCAGGGGAACAGAGTCCCCCCCCCTGGTATCGTCGATCAATGAGCAGTAAGGAAGGTTGTCTGATGTGTTTTGAAAACCAAGCCCGCAGCACAATTGCCATTCAAGATCCGCTGCTGACCTTTTGTTTAATCCCAAGGACTTCACTCCGCATCCGTATGTTACCACGATCACGAACACGATACAAATTTGATACACTTTACAGTACGTCTAGTTGATACATGCAGATGGCATGAGATACCCCAGGATGACAGCCAACGAAAAGAACATTTGACTCGAGCCCACTAGGGAGAGAGGATGAAACTCTCGGAATCTAGATCTGGTGGACTTTGATTCACCGTGGAACCCGAAATAATACTACCAACTTCTGTCTGACTTGTTCGGGGTTAATTAAAATGCAGTACTATGCAACATTGTTGCGAAACAACTGCTGACATTTCTGCTTCGATAAATAATATAGGATCATACCTCACAGACCATACGATGACGACGACTTGTTTGCTCGGCTGGAGGTACAACTGGTGCCAGCGGTTATGATGGCTCAGCTTACGACATAAGGGGGTGAATATGGATACAAGAAGCTTGGGATGCAGCACTTGAACAGTCTGCTTGGGATATAACCTCTGTCTGTACTGTCGACTACAGGTGATTGTTCTCTATGGCCATAGTCTGTGTTGATGGTTACTAACTCAAAGACATCCCAGATAACCCCGCAGCCGTCATCTAGAATCGTCGCACATTTGAAGAATCGCGGAGGAGTGTCTGATCTGAAGGGATCTCTACTACAAATTGCTGATGAGCAAGGTTGAAACGATGAAACTGGAGACGGAAGCTAGAGAAGATCTCTCTCATGTGCTGATACCAATACCTTTTGCAATGACGTTCGGGGATGCGAATATGTACGAAGAAAGAGGCAGAGCAAGCCTCTAGTTAGGGCTCAAAGCCATTCTGCTGTATCTCACCAATGACATGTTCGACCGCAACCGCGCAACTGTAATTTCCTTGTAAACTAGGCTGGACTGATGAAATCGGAATATTATGCCTAGAAGAAGTGTATGTGCTGGAGCTAGGGGTCACTCTGCCACAGTGTTTAGCAATATCAAGAATTGGGAGGCAAATGAAGCAAGAAGCGAAATAACATTTATCGCAAGAGGTATGGCAAGCTTTAAGTTATAAAACTTCTCCCAGTCAGAATTGTTTTGGTACATGCATCGATAGTTCACGAAGCCACAGGGTTTGAACCAGTCTTTGTCAAGGAGCGCCTCGAGTGTATCGGCGTTATTCAGACAGGCATCCATCGTGGGATCGCGTTTTGCGGGGACCATTATTGTTGAGAATGTGGGAATGGTTTTCCCGAAATATGGTGGTTTATACGTGGGCGTTGCGCGACGTGAATGGTGGTTAATAGGAGCAGGGAAGCGGACAGCACTCGGGCGGGTGGAAAGGGCGAATTGGCTGTAAAAGCGTGGAAAGTGTGTAGTTCGGAGACATCTTCTAGTAATCATGGGTGTGAAGATCCCTGGCATCTTGTTATAAGATGATAGGGGGGGGTGGTAAGACTGAAAAAGGAAAGCTAGATAAATTAGGGAGTTAGCCATAGTCCAGGGGCACGCAGGTATCTTCCAAGGTTACAGGGCTTGAATTAGGGATCCAGTTCGTCTCCCAAACGCTCTAATACCTCAAATCTACAGGTTCCACGCTAAAATACCTGTGCCTAGATATAGTATACTTCTCCTATCCATAGATTGGTGCAGCTAGAGCCGACACTAGGGTTCCACTGGTAGAATTGTTCCAGGGTGATGTCGAACTTAGTCTCAACTGTAGCGTAATTATCGCTATCAGTAATCGTGCAGAACAAATAGCATCCAGCCACAGTATCTGTGGGCGTGGGGCCCATGGTGGATGTGGTATAGGTGGCAGTTCTAGTGCTAGAAATAAGGATGGGAAATAGACTGAGCAAGAGAGACTTTGGCACGGGCGTCGCCATCTTGGACCTATGAAAATATTAAGTAAACAATCGAAGACTCCAACTTCCGGGGGGTGGAATAAACAATAGTTACTTACCGTATACCACGCTAAATGTCGCGATCTCCATGGCACCCCTGCTGGTGGTGCTGTTGGCTTGAATCAAACTCTCGAGGATCACCAATTGCGGACAGTTTCCCACTTCCCCTTCTCCCCTCCTTCTCATCCTCATCCTCAAGTTTTTGGCGGTGGCGGGCGCGTCATTTCCGAGATGGCTCTGGAACCTTTTATCACCTGAAGCTGCCGTCATAGTTACATGTTTTACAGATAATCAAATTCAAAAGCCTGCCGAGGAGCAAGCATTTTCTAGGCGCGTGCCGTTATTTGACAGTCAGAAAGACAATTTACATGCGGTTGAAGAGCCTCTCATTTTTGCGAGGCAATAGTCAAGATTGCTCTATCGGAAACTGATTATTCTCATACATCGACAAGGGGGAAGAAGGAAATGAACAGAATCCAATAGCTGCTTTTGAGTAAATGAAGAATCATCAAATACAATAGTGTCAAGCAAATAGTCCTCCCTGCCATAACTTTTGCTCTGACTAAAGAGCTTGAAAAAGACAGGCCTGGAATAGTGAAGATTGGCAAAAATATGAGTAATCCTTAGGAAATCTCGATAGGGAATATTTGAACCTTGGATATTCTCGCTTTAAGAGGAGGGACTAACGTCCTTTAGCATCTGTTGGATCTATTACTAGTCGCATTTCTCGGAGATGAGCGATTTTGCTTCTGGTAACTATCTCCGTCTTAGGAATCACTTTGTGACGATAGGCAAGTGTGAAGGCTCTTAGGAATACCTACCAGGCTTCATCTACTAAGTATAAGATATTTTGTGGGTAGGCAAATAAGGAGCCGCGAATACTGTTAAAGCAGTCTAGACTATCTAGTGCGCATGGTCGATATGTCTAGAACTATTTGGCGATATCCAGATCGCTAGAGTTGAAGTCGGATTCCTAGGAGCGAGCGGCAAGCACTATCAAAGATCAAGCGAGAAAAAAACTAGATTAAATCAACAGACTGGATCTGGGATATTCTAGATATTGTAAGCCCAAAAATTGAGGGTGGGATTTTTTCCGCACCTATATAGAGACGGTAACGTGGATGCGAAACCTCGGCCAGTGGAATAGTGGCATAGCCGCATCATAGTAATGCCAATGAATATGGCCCCACTGTGCAGCTAGAGGCGACACAACCAGCATCGACCGCCATGCCATCCTTTCGTTGAGGGGACAACGGTCAAGTGTGTTGGTCAAAAGTTACATTGGATAGGGCTTGCATGGTGCAGTTTATTGAGGCGAGCTACTAACTTACTTAGCTCTCCCGCTTTGCTCAGGTCGCGCTCAGTGAAAGTCAAGAGCGGTTAGTTGGGTCACGCTCCGTGAGTGGGATCGGGATGCTTAGTGAGCGAGTCATCTGGCTTATAGTTATAACAAGTACGTATAACGTTAATTTAGTTAACAGTACTCAGGGAGCAATATCATTGTTAAGGTTAGACTGAGGGGCGTGCTCAGCTCTCAGTAAGCAAAAAGCGGCGAGGGGTGAGCACCAAAACGGAAAGGGAAAGCCAAGACTTGTCAGACATTATCCTGTGTATATGCGTCCTCACTGTGGTTCAGTGCAACTCTAACAGAGGTGCAATGGAAGACCCGTAGCTTTCTACTTGGGCGCATGCAATGCCGTAACCGCCTGGGTAGCTACCTGCTTGCAATATCGCACTTGAAAAGATGCATGCAGAAGACCGCTATACGAGGGAAGGTAAAGGTGAGCTAGTAAAGGTGATCCAAATACCACAATTAAGATAGTTCAAAACCAGAATGAACAAGGAAGATTGAACAAGATAAAACCCAGTATCATTGAGTAGATTTTCCTGGCTATGCTAGGTATTTTTTCCAGCCGTGCAGGACAGCGCCAGTGAAAAACATAGGATATCCATCCTCAACACAGAAACCGGCACAGCAACCAGAGGCCATGTTTCCCAAAGACCTCCAGCCCGGTTCTCGGATCTCATGCACGAGCGGCCATACCGAACAGAAACCGCTCAATACACATTCCCCGGGGATCCTCCCAATCCCATACACACCAGTCCACCAAAGAAGTCATGGAAATGAGTCGTGAGAGAAAAAAAAGACATAAGACAGACACGTTCCCATTTCCTCCCGTTTGTAAACTTTTCTTTTCCCTTTCGCCGCGTAATAAGGTATAAGAGAGAAGAAAAATTTAACGGTAGGACTTCTGGTAGCGGGAGCGGGCACCGCGACCACCGAACTTCTTGGGCTCGGCACGGCGGTTGTCGGCAACCAGGAGTGTGCGGTCGTACTGAGCGAGAGCCTGCTTGAGCTGGTTCTTGGAGTGCTCATCGACGTACTTCTGGTAGTAGGCGACAATGGACTTGGCGATGGCCTGACGGATGGCGTAGACCTGGGAGGTGTGACCACCACCGGTGACACGGACACGGATGTCGACACCGGCGAACTTGTCAACGCCGACGATCAGGAGGGGCTCGTAGACCTAAATTTCGAAGAGTCAGTTTTTTGAACTGGATTGAATGTCCCCGTTGCCATTTGTCGGGTTGTGGGCGAACCCTTTTTTTGCATCTGGCGGGTGGGTATTGGCGTAGCGAATGTGCGTACCTTGAAGCGGAGGATCTCAGGCTGGACCAGAGAGAGGGGCTGGCCGTTGACCTTGACGAGGCCCTTGCCTTGCTGTAAAAACACTCAGCATGTTGTCCAATTCAATCGTGTGTGAACCCCCCCCCAATGTTCGCGCAATCTGTTGTTCGTAGACCCTTTCGAAAATTCCATGTCGACTCCCAATTCTGTCTTCTTCCACGACAACTCTCCATGATTCCTTCCAGGTTTTTCGAAACAACGTGTTGACATCGAGGATGGGGGTAGAGGCGTCTTCATACCTTGCAGTGGGCGACAGCGGTGGCTATTGAAAATTGAATGTCAGCGCACAGATTCATGACCTCGCATCGAAAAATTAGAGCTTACCCGTCTTCTTCTTGCCGAAGCATTGCACACTCGGGACGGAAGCCATGGTGGATGAAATGGCCCTTGTTGTCGACGGGGAGGGGAGTGTGTTGTCGTGGGAGATGGAAAAAGAGATCGCTTGAATTCCCATACACACTGATTTGCCCTTCGGTGCGGGTTTCGCTTAGTGTGCGGCCGCTAGTGCCCAATTAGGCTTAGCCCAACACGAGACTTAGGGCTTGGTCACATGACCGGAGAACTTCGTCGGGCTGGGGAACAACAGTACCGTGAGAGGCCGATCAGATCAAGCGTTGAAACTCGGCCAAACTTGGGTGTTGGGTCTTTCTTGTTGCTTGAGTACTGAAGCGGATATCTGCCTTCATTAACTTTTTCGACTTTTGCCCGTCCCGAACCCCTATCACGCCCTCCGTTATCTGAACAAGATGTCGCAACTCGTTGGCAAGGTAAATAGCTTCAATGCGGAGTCTGCCGGACCCTCCGCGCATGTCCGTTATCATCTCAATGGACCCAATTCTAATAATTGATACTACAGACACGTCTTGCTTACTCGCGCGCATGGCACTATGTCGACGCCGGCGCTGATGAACGCTCCTTGGGCCGCCTGGCCTCGTCCATCGCCCTCGTCCTAATGGGCAAGAACAAGCCTATCTACGACCCCTCGACAGATTGTGGTGACTATGTTGTTGTTGCCGGATGCCACGACTTAAAGACGACAGGAAAGAAGCGCTTCCAGAAAAAGTACTACACTCACACGACGCGGCCGGGTAGCTTGAAGAGCATGACGATGGATCAGATGTTTGCTAAATGGGGAGGTGGTGAAGTGCTGCGCCGGGCTGTGAAGGGCATGCTGCCCAAGAACCGTCTGCAGGACTCTCGTTTGGCTCGTCTTAAGAGTAAGTGCCGGTCTTTGATGGGTAGACTGGAGATGTCCCATTGCCCTCGAATGAAAAGGATTATCTCTCCCTCTGCCCATCTATATCTCCCGGTGACTTTCAACTAACATCCCCTGCAGCTTTCGAAGGTCTCGCCCACCCATACAAGGAGAACATCGTCAAGTTTGGCAACAAGTCCACCACGATCGGCGCCATGCCCGAAGTGCAAGAAGCCTTCAAGGCCGTCAAGCCCACCGAACCCACCGCATAGAGCACAAAGTTTTCTCCTTCTTGTGTTACCATTATCGTCATTTTACAACGCGACCTCAACCGGGTCCGCGCGTGCCTGTATTCTATTCTGCGATGTTATGATCCAACCGCAAAAGCGCATGGGTTCGGAGTCAACCTGGGATATTGCTTTTGATTTACCATCTACTCTACCGTTGGCTTGGCCTCGGACTTTTCTTTTCATCTTCTCCAGCCTGCGGTTTCCTTGAATTGAAATGTAATTATAGCACATACAATACTACATACTAAATAAATTATCATGGGAAACACCTCGCAGGCGAAAGTTATATGATGTACCAGATTGGATTCGAGATAGGGAGTCAGTATCCCAGAGGTATAAGAGCATGAGATATATGTACAAGAGAGAATAAACAAAGTCGTGACCAAATCTAGCATTTACAGCTTAGCCTTCTGGCCAGCGCGGGCAACAGTGCACTTGATAAGACCGTTGGGGTTGGACTGAGGAGCATAAACCTCGGCGTCCTTGCCAGTGTTCTTGAGACCCTTGTGCCAAGACAGATCTATAAGCGCAACGATTAGTCCGGAACCCCAAAGCCTTCAAGGCAGCGGAAAGAAAGAAAAGAGTCAGAAAACGTACCAATCTCAAAGTAGTGCTTGTTAGGCAGCGAATACTCAACAGTCTCAAGCAAAGGCGCAGCAGCGAGAATCTGCTCACCCATCTTGTACATGGTAGCCTGAACACTGGCGCTGACATCCTCAGCGAAAGTCTTGAGGGTAATCTTGCGCGCAGCCTCGTAGGCAGCATTGAACTTGCCAACATCAGCCTTGACCTCGGCCACATTGGCGAACTGGCGCCACTGCCAGTTGGCAGCGACATCAGTGCTGAGAATACGGTCCCAGGTCTCCTTGAGAGTGGTGTACTCGTCACGGAGGAAGCCCCAGAACTGGGAGCCGGTGCTCTTCAGCACGGTCAGACCCTTGATTGCGGAGTTAATGGCGATACCCTTGCCCTCGACGACATCGACTTGCACATCGCGGGTCTCGGCACCGGGCTGGATGAACGAGTGCGGGTGGGGCTTGCCATCGACGTCCATGCGCTCCCAGCGGTGGGTGATGATGTTGACGTGCGCGGCGTGGATGTGGTTGTACTTCTCGACGAAGTGTGTTCCAAGAATGGAACCGAACAGTTCGGGGGGTGTGACGGGGTTCTGGCGGGCTGTGATGTAGATGGTGTTCTTGATAGAGTCGGTTGCGACGATCACGCTGTTATCGGCCTTGGTGTAGCTGCGGAGATGGGTTAGTTGGTGTTGGATAGGGTGTAGACTGTGCTACTGACGAGGTCTCGATGTCGCCTTCCAAAAGGACGCAGACGGTCATCTCCACGACTGTCTGGGTGCCGGTCTTTGCATCGCGCTCGACCTTTAGCACGCGGACATTGTCCTTGCCGTAACGGGCTGGTCCCAATGCGCTCATTTTGAGATAATAGTAAGATGGAGAGATTGAGTAGGTTAGAGATAGAGATTGATGCAAAGCTGTGAGTAAAAAAGAGAATCTAACTCCAGCAGATAGTCGAGTATTTAAATCACATCGCCATCGGGCACCTCCGATGACCGCGGATGGCCGCCCTCCCCGATCTTATCAATTTCTCTATCGTATGGCCTGACTTTCTCTCTCTCTCTCTCTCTCTTATACTGTGTCTAACCTCCAAATTCCACCAATAGCTTCCAATCTCAACATCCCAAGTCAACAAATGAATAAATCAAACCAACCTAAAAAAAGAACAAAATCCATCCCCCAGACTCTCGGCCCAGCCCGAACATCTATCTCATCAATGTTAACATTCCCGGCATCCGAACTTCCGACGCCCGAATAAATACAGTAAAGCGTCCCCAAATCTCACCCCTCTCTATAGTGTACTGTAGTCCATAGCAAAGCCCGTCATTTCCCACTGACGGGATCTCGACTCGTCTTGTCCGGGATCTACGTGGAAGCGCACTCTCCACTCGTGTCAGCCCGTTCGGCGACCTCCACTACGGATCAAGCCTGCGCGGAGAGCTGCGATATAGCATGGGCTCATTTTTTACGGACTAATTTTTGAACTGACCCTTTACTTAACTGACTGCGCATGGCCATGCCTTTGTTGTACAGTGCGGGGACATTATCGTGGTTTACTTGTTGAATTGCACTGGGGTTTATTTATTGGTTTAATGTTGGTTTTGTTCTTGGTCTTCTTGTCTATGTGCTACGCTGGGATCCTTCAAGTCAGCTGTGTATATATATATCTTTCGGATTTCATGGGCGCGTGAATGATATTGCTATAGGAAATGGTTTCTGGTAAGTTTATGAGCTGGAATTACAGGTTTATTGCGAGGCTACTATCTCCATGAACTAGTTTCTTTTGAGAAGGGTTTGTACTTCATTATCAAGACTCGCGAGTGGTAGTGTATTATAGAGAGAGGTTCAATATCAACAGACTACTATCAGCGACATACAAGGCGAAAAAGCGTGGCCGATATATCCTGGCACAGCGTATGCAGACATCCACCATCTCAATCAATCCAACGCTCCACATGGATACGGCAAAAGCAAATATCTGGGGCGGTGTTCATGCATTGGCGATCATGCGAGTCATATTGAAACTACAGATTGACCAAGGCTAAGATACACAAGATTGAAATATGACGGGGATCTGCACGTGATTTATGGCTTATAATCATTGAGTTCAAGACGAAGAGTCAAGCACATAGAATCGAAGATTGGTTAGCCGGCAAGAAACCTCAATAAACAAGAAGTATAGCCAAGTAGCCCCACCCCAGCTAAGATCGCAATCATCGAATCGGAAGCCGAGGTGTACTCTTTACCCCGGTGCATAGACTCAGTGGCGTCACACCTGCAACGACCATTGGACGAAGTCTGTATGCAGTGCGCATATAGACACTCTAAGCAGGGATGAGAAGATTTTGTGATTGGGGGAGGATGAAATGGAGTGGTGAAGTTCTCGAGTTTCTACATTGGGACTCGGCTGACGGTCGGGTTTCTTTGTTGGACAAAGAGCCTCTTTGCGATTGAGTGTCTGTCATGTACTTATCTGCTGTGTCATGTAACTTGACTTGGGTTCCTGGGGTTGGATGAGTGAGCTGAGCACGGCCGAGGTGTCATCTTCGCGAAAACAAAGTGGTCTTTGTTGGAATTCCTCGCGGGCTTTCTGCTCTGTTTTCTTGAGTATCATTCGTCCTCTTGATCACATCATGACCACGTGGAACCCATCAGGATCTGGAGAAGGACACGGGGAAAAGTGTCGGTTATTGTTTCTGAAACAGCGTTCATCGACGACGCTCATTGTTGGCGCCGTCTGGATGTCCACCTTGACAGTGCATAGTTTGCCTGGAATTATTGCAGTGTGACTGGCCTGGATTGAAATCGAAGGTGTTCCTGCTATATGCCATGGTAAGTGGGCCTTTCCCTCTGAAAAAAATGAGAACCAGAATCCATGTCGAACAGATTGCCCAGTCATACCGACAACACAAGTCACCCGAGCCGGAGTTGAGTATAAGCACCGTAAGTCCAGTCCCAGATCCACTGGTATCTGTCCAGCTCATACCCACATCCAGTAGGAGAATCGTGCGTCAGCGTACTCCTCATATGTGAAGCCGGGACATCCCTGGTTCTCTGTCCATTATTTGGATACCTAGTGGACCGCGGGCGCACACGAAGTCTGCCATTCATATTAACGCTACTTTATTAGTTGGCTGCATGCTAATCCTGCAACTGGCACATTCCGTGGCCGTGTTTATAGTAGCGCGTGTAATCCAAGGAAGCTCAGGTGCGTTATCCTAGGCTTCATCACCGACGGATTAGGTGCCCGCTTTGTATCCTTTGGTTGCTTCGTTGCTCTCTCACCCGCCCTCACCTGCCTCCGATTTATTGAGAGGAACTCCACCGGACAGATTGCGCTGCTCGTGGGACTGCTGTTCGTCACAGGTATCTTCATCCACGCCTGCGCACCAGCCATGTACATCGAGACCCAGCTGCCTCTCACGGCTACGGAAACCAACAATCCAGGTATACTGGGCGCCAAAGGTGCTAAGGCGCAGGGATTCGGCCTACAGAGTATGTGCCAATTTGCGGGTGTGTTCTTCGGACCGCTCTGGGGTGGGTTCGTGGAGTATCGATGGGGGTGGGGCGCGATGACAGGAACATTGGGGAGTGTTGATGGCCTTGACTGCGAATCCAATGTTGTGGTTGGAAGAGAAGAGAGAGTTTGGGCAAGGTGAGGTTGTTCAGTAGGGGTCCACTGTTCGGTTGGACTATCCCAATCAGGCAACTTATCGGCAGTCATCCATTGCCCGATTTGGTCTCTCCAACGGTTGACTTCATCAGTCTTCTCTTTATTTTAACCACATTCGTTGCCTACTGTCTTCGAAACATAAATACTGAGCTTCACTCTGCTAAAGTTCATGTGTCTTCAATGTCTCTTCATCTTCTACGATACGTTCCAAAGCTAGCGACCGTAAGTCTCATACTTCAGTGCTCAGGGAATATCATTGATTTGCATGTGATCTGACTCTATCAAGAGCTCGCGACTATCTATCCAGCATTCCAAAGCCTCTTTCTCCGATTTCGCCCACTTCAAACACACCACCACAATGGCTCCAACCAACAAAACCTGGCACATCCAACATCGTGCCAAAACCCAGGCAGCAATGCAACAATATACCTGCCCAGCAGAAACAACTCCCCACCTAGCAACCCTCCTAAGTTTCCCATCACGCCGCTCCCTCCTGCCAGAACTGCACACAAAAACAAGCAACGAAATCATAAACCTAGCAAAATCAATCGCAACCTTCGAACCAGTCCGCCTACACGTCCGCCCAGAAGACCTAGCCCACGCGCAATCACTCCTAAATGCGAACGAAAAGGCATCCCCATACCCAATAACCCTAATCGAAGCCCCAACAAACCACGTCTGGATCCGCGACACAGGCCCAGTCTACGTGCGCGGCGCCCACGACAACGCACGGTACGCAATCGACTTCCAATTCTGCGAATGGGGCCACAAAACGGGCGAAAGGATCTACGGCAGCAGCGCATCGCCCGCCGCAGCCCTAGCGCTAGAACAGACGCCCGCATACGCAGACTGGCCAGTCATGGACAGCGCAGCCATGGCGGAGAACACGAATTTCGCAGCGGCAGTGCTAGATCTGGAGAACGAGGCTGTGGCTGCTCAGTCTGCGCACGCAAGTCCTGCGCCTGTTACTCGTGTTTCCACGCATATTCGTCTTGAAGGTGGTGGGATTGAGATTGATGGCGAAGGGACGTTTATGGCCACTGAGAGTAGTGTTCTTGGTGCGCCGCGGAATCCGGGATTGGGGCGGAAAGAGATTGAAGGGGAATTGAGTCGCTTGCTTGGTGTTTCTAAGTTTATTTGGTTCCCTGGGAGGGTTGGGTTGGATGTTACGGATGTGCATATTGATGCCGAGGCAAGGTTTGTACGGCCTGGTGTTGTTGTTGTTTGTCGGCCTCATGAAAGTGCGGAGAAGGTTCATTGGGAGGTTTATGAGGAGATTCGGGGGGTTTTGAGGGATATTGTTGATGCGCGTGGACGGAAGATCGAGGTACATGATGTTGTTGAGCCGGATCCTAAGTTTGTGAAGGGGGATTTGCCTGGTGAGGAGGCTGCGCCGGCGGCTTCGTATGTTAACTTCTATTTTGCGAATGGCGGTTTGGTCATGCCTGCGTTTGGGGATGTGGACGCTGATCAAAAGGCTTTCGAGTTGATGAAGAGTCTTGTTCCTGAGAGGGTTGTTAAGCAAGTTGCTGTTAACGCCTTGCCGAGGACTGGGGGTGTGTTGCATTGTGTTACGCAGCAGGTGCTGTGATTGTAGCCAGTTGTTGTATACCAGATTGGAAGATTTGATGTTGTATTGCTTGAGCTAGTCACATAAACCAGCAATATAAATCACTCGGTAACTTTGGATAAAATGTGATATTGATAGTTGCATTGATCTGATAACGGAATCCATGCACTTTTGGTCAGGCTTGCATTGCAGACGAAAGAGAAGAGAAAGCAAGAAGCAAGGAAATGGCCCAAATCATAAGTCATGTAAGAAATCGTGTAAATGTATGTCTTTTGGGGGCTTCATTTGTACCAGCAAAGCCAATAGAAAGAAACCCAATCCCCAGCCCTCCAGAAACCCAGAGTGAAATAAACGCCATTCCGGTGACGCTCGGTAAATGCCATACGCCACACGAATGAACCAAAAAAAGAAAGCACAAGCATGAAGATCGTAAATATCAGTCCCACTACTGTGGCCGCGGTCTAGGGTGCAGTTTCGTATCATAGGAGGGACAGAAGTAGAAAGAGAAGCAATCCCAGTCTCGTCACAGACTCAACTGATCAATGCTTCCAACCCGTCCACTACCCCCAAGCCGCCCGCCACCCTTGGTGACCATACCAAGACGGTAGAACCGTTCTTCACCAGCCGGTGTCCGGCCCCCAATATACCACTTCTCGGGCCCTATAGCATCGCGGAACCCGCCAGAGCCACTGGAACTATCACTGCCTCGACGCTGACGGTCAGCCGGGCCCCGGTTGATCGGGATAGGGGTTGACGAAGCTGGGGTCGTCGGCGGCGAGGAAGGGAGCGAGGAATCGGCCTGGGCAGTAGAGTGGTGATAGTGGTGGGCCGGGGCCGGGGCGGGTCCTTGCACGGGCCCCGCTGTGCCCGCTGATGCGGAGGTCGATGAAGTATGCGTGTGGTGATTGTGGTGCGAGTGGTGAGAGGACGTGGAGCCTGAACCGCTTGACGATGAGCCTGCCTGTGCTGAGCTGGCGGCTTTTGTGGCGATAGCGCGGGCGCTCTGGGAGATTTGGGCGCTAGAGAGGGAGGAGGTGCCGCCGCTGCCCACGGGCTGGGAGGTTGCTTTATAGGTTGACTGGGCGCGGAAGGCGGCCAGAAAGTTGGCCAGGAATGGGCGGTTGGTTGACATGATCACCTGTGTGTTCACCAAGATGTGAATCTGGGGAGACTGGGAGATCCAGGAAGATATGGGGAATGTCTTGAGTCTTTGAAGTGGAGAAATGGAACCCGATTTCAACCTTTGGAAGTTCCCGAACCCATAGGCGCTCCAATCACAATCGTTGTATTATGGCCATGACGTCGCAATGGGAGTTTCCGGAGTTGAACTTCTTTTTTTCAGATTTCTTTCTGTCTTTTTTTGCTTCTTATACAAAGGGCTCTATTTTGGTGTTAATACTCACTAGTCTCTCTCGCTATAGAGCCCTGCAGGATGCCAGGTGCATGTCAAGACAATCAGTACCACATTTGAATGCTTATCTGATTCAGTTGTAGATATCTCGATATCTCTATTTCTCTCCCTATGGCTATACAATCTATACAAGCCATGCGCGCATATACCCTGAGCACCTGACTTCACCTAGTCTTCCATGGAACGCAGTATTTCCAGATGCACCCCGGACAAAGTATACCTCGGATGGCCGGCTAGGACCGGGCACATGGTCCCCTGGCCACGGGCATAAGGATGTGACCAAGAGGCCTGAGTTATCCGCGAACTCGTGAAGCCCCTTCCAGCCTGATGGTCATCCATTTTGTCCATGCAGTGGTGCCATGCTTCTGTCTTGGCTAATCCATTCTTGTCCATAACACCAGTCATGCCAGGTGGTCCAATTTCGATGGCACAGTTGTATCGTGCCCGCTGCGGTTGTACTATATCCCAAGAAGAAGAAGAAGAAGAAGAAGAAGAAGAAGAAAAAAAAGGAAAGTAGTAAAGCCACTCTCGAACCTGATATGCATTCATGTATCCTCAAGCCGTAGTTGTCTTCTTCTCTCCTCTTGGGCATCCAGCGCTCATTGAAGAAGAGGCAGTGAAGCCTTCACCAACCTGATGGTCATCCGTCTTGCCCATAGCATTGTGTATTATCTTGCTTGGTCGTCCTATTCTCGCTGAAAAAGCAGCACTGATGCCATTCCAGTAGTCGCTTTCCGTGGAAAGCTATATCGTGTTCTTGCGATGGGTCTTTCTAACCATTTCGAAGAGAAAGCAGAAAAGCTACGTCCAACCTAATACAATTCATCCAGTCATCCATATCCCATAGAAAATTGTTCCATTCACTCACCTCAGTTGCTTCATTATCGCTGAAGAAGCAGTCAAGCCATCTCCGCCCAGTAATATTCCAACCATGGATGGCTGCCCTGAGCTTCTGAGCTTCTGGAGAAGAACCAGTAGCTCTATTCTCACCATGCTTGCAACTGCTCGTCTCTATGGATAGGTGTGACATACTCTTACTTCGTTGTCCCTCTCCTCATTGTAAGATGTGCCACATCGATTTCGTCCGTTTCCTTCGGTGTGCGTCTCGGCCATTTGACGTTTTGGGAAAATCGAGGGTTTGGGGCTTCGGAACACTGCAACGAAACGATTGGTAAAAGTCGTAGAGTTTCCGGAAGAGGATCTCACTGTTGCTCTAGGTCGTGAGCTCGTGGGCTTGCAGGTCGTAGGATCCTTAGATGTCGCTGGCGTGATTTCTGGTTAGCATCTGGAAAGTCATGATTGTCTCTTTGGGCTCTGAAGGATGGAGTTGTCAAGCCTCTCGGTATCGCCTCATAAATTCACGCGTGATCTCTGTGCTCTGGGATCGCTGGTGGAGAATCATCGTGGACCTCGTCGGCCACCGAGGAAAGAAATTGTTAGAGAGAGAGGATACCCACTGGTGCCAACAGGAAATTGCACCTAACTGATCCTTGCTAGCACAGCTGCTTTCCCTTAATTCACGCTTAGCAATCATTCCAAGTCACCTTGCGGTCTGGTTACTTGGTTTGAGCTCATGCCAGGTTCTCAGTCGCCATGTTCAGGTTTCTCGGTCTCGAGTCTGTAGATGAAGCCGTTCCCATTAATGGCCAACCTTGATACATAGAATTATACATACATATATAGTCTCCCGCCTTGTAGATTACGACAGCGATGAGCTCCTCGGCAAGGGTGTCTCGGTTGCATTATCTGTCACAATAATGGTTGCAGAGCAGCCCTTCACGTAGTCAAGGCCCAGCAGCCTATCCAACTCTTAGCTCCGTATGTGTATTTTTAGTCTACTGCTCTATTCCTGTCCGCTGGAGTACTCTGTGGCCGTCGCCGTCGCCGTAAGTACTTGGGCCATGGGGTGGTACTGGTGTTTTTGTGCGATGCACAGGCGTGGTGGGCCTTGGGTCTTGATGGCCCGGTGACTCCTGTATGGTCGCAACATCGTAGAGTAGATTGCTGTAGCTCAAATTGTAGCTCTATACTAGCTGATTATCGTGAGATAATTTGTTTGACCATAATTAAGTGCTGAGATCGTATACGGGAGTGCCCACAATGGCCACCCAGGACCTCGTTGTACGGCGTGCGCCGGGGTCTTCAGGGCCCGGTGGCTCTTACGACCTCAAAATCGTAGAATAGACTACTGTAGCTCAAATTGTAGGCTTAGACTAGCTGGTTACCGTGAGGTAGTTGACTTGGTTATACAGGAGTGCGGTGGCCGTATACAGGGGTTCAAGAACGGCCACACAGGATCCCATTGGCAAAACTCGCTTCCTCGGCCAGAATCATCGCTTCGAGCCTCAAAAAAGCTCTCATCTATTCAGACAGGCCTCTAAAACATCATCATGAAGGTTTTTAAGCTCTACTTGGTCTACAAAAGTTTTGGTGGGGCCCCTTGAAGTGTCCGCATTTCTACAGGGCTGTCAACCTTCCAGCAGATCGACGCGCCATGTGGCTGCGGCTCTGCCCATTCTCATCTCTGATTGGTTGAATTCTGAGTCGCGCTCCGCTACAGCCAATCACAGGCGAGGATCGATCTATATATACCCCCCTCTCTTTTCTCCCTCCTTCTTTCTTTCTTCTCTTCTTCACATCTCTCCTTTCTTCAGGTCTTTCCCTCCAAAGGACCTTCCTGGCCAGGAGGTCCCAAGGTCAGGTTTCATCCCAACTTCTGTTCATCTTCCAACCTTCCAACATTTCACATGGTTGTCCAACATCTATGATCTATGTTGACCATGTTTGTTCCATGTCTTCTTTCTTTACCTTTCCCCTTCATAACGCTCCTTCACCTTCATGACCCTCCTTTACCTTCATGGCCCTCCTTTACCTTCATGACCCTTCATGACTAACATGTCTTGTCTTCCTTAGATACGTCCTTGACTTGGATCGACACTCAACTCTTGCCTTCTTCTCGACCTGCCTTGCCTCCTGACTTGCATCAACCTTCAACACATGTTACAACGGGATATGAACTCGAGTCCTCGCTTCTTGTAGCGAGTTGGATGTTGGAAACCGACGGGACCACACTCATGCCTTGCCTTAGCCTCATCGACAACCTTGGACACTCACTCAACACATGGTACAACATCGGGGTGGGAAAGAGGGGTCCGCGCTTCTTGTACGCGGGTGGGACTGGGCGGATACCGGGTCTCCGTTTCTTGTAGCGGATGGGATAGCCGGCTGTGAACTATACAGGCACCGAGAGGCATCGACAACATGTTACCACGGGATATGAATTCGAGTCCCCGTTTCTTGTAGCGGGTTGGATGTTGGAAACCGACGGGCACACACACTCAACACCGGCATCGACAGGCATTGGCACTCAACACTGGTATATCCTCCAACTCTCTTGACCTTCATCTTTCTTGGCCATCAACTCCACGTCCTCCTTCTCTTCGACGTCCATAGTCCGTCATGTCTTCCATGACCCTCCACCTCTTTTGACATCCGTGTCCTCAATGTCCGTCATACCTTTCATGACTTACATTTCCACGTCCTTCCGACATCCGTGTCCCTCATTGTCCGTCATTCCCTCCATGACCGGCATGTCCACCTCCTTCGACGTCCATCGCCCTTTATGACCTTCAAGACGTCTCATCCACAGCTTACCATCTTGCCTCTTTTGTCAACACTTCATGACATCTATCTGACCAACCTTCATCCACGGTCCACCCTTCAGGCTCTTGCCTTGCTTTGTCACTCACCAACCTTGCTGTGACACATCATCTGACATCACGGTTTTCTATGGTCTCGACTCACATCGATCTCCATCGGTCTTCGGTCTTCTCAGTCTTCCCCCATGTATCTATCTCCTATGTTGTTTGGTATTTATGCTTTCGTGTCACCTCCATGAGAGGTCCGACTCCCATGTATTAAGTCAAATGAAAGGTCCATCTTCAATTTCATCTTCTTCATTCAGTTTTCAATGTAGTTTCTATTGTATGGTCTTGTAAGATGTAAGCATACTTCAGGGTTAAGACATTGTAAGTGTTGTTATACACTTGGACACTCTTCTTCATGGCCCTTGGGTTTGTATATTGTCTTGATGTAGCTTGCTTGCATCATTGTCTATACTCTCTATCTTGCTCTCTGTATCTCCTTGTTCTTATGATCCCTATTCTCCGTGAACATAACATAATATTCACCATCAGTGCTGCTACCCTCTACTCAACCGTAGTCAACGGCCATCCACCCCACAACCCCCACCAAACAACGGAGCATAATAACATCCACAATCAAGGTCTTGCAGACTGCACTCTCAACTCCATTAATGACAATACCCACGATCCAGGCATTGTTTCTCATACCTGCGCTCGACTGCAGACAGACATACTCAAGCCTCTCTGTTCCCATGTCCTTTTTGCACCCAAGTCTATTTCTGCGCTCAGTCCCAAGCAATAGACCAAAATAAACCAAGATGATTACCGCAGCCCATGCATGCTTCAGGAATCCACTGTATCCAACGAGACTACGAAGATACACCCCCCCCCCCCCCTCTCTACAGTCAAATTGCATGCAACAAGTTGGACGACACTCATGACCAAGGCCAACGCTTTCTTTTAGGTTATATTACGCTGCACTGCATTTAAGTCTAGACATGCTCATGTCTTCTCTCTGTATCAGCAGAGCCCTCGCTTCATAAACAAGATCCGGGTAAGGTTATATCCACGGTCCATGCTCTCCTCTCCTGCTCTGAGGTGTAGGCGACTCTAAGCAGGCCTGGAAATTTCCTAGTCCTTCGCATAATCTTGAGGAAGGGGGTAGGTTCGAGTCACTGAGGGAGACGGTATTCATGACTGCTTTACAATTGACTTGATTACTGGGCTTCGGACATGCCCTCTCTTCATATTAAAATCCCAAGGCTGTAAGTGTAGCTGCAGATGCAGATAGCAACTTGCGACACATACCAAATTCAATAGATACGTACATCGATAGCCATGGATTCAGCAAAGTGAAATGATTAAAGGTCTATTCTGACAGCTTTTCCCTTGACCCATGAAGAACCATAAACACGAAAAAGAAAAACACCTAGATCACACCCTATCAATATCAAACCCAACGCACATAGCACGTAGCACATATAATATAAATGTTTCTCAGACCGACTTTACTAACACAAGAAAAGAAAAGGCCAAGAGATGCACATGTACACACCAGACCTCAGAAAAGAAGAGAAGATCAATGCACAAGGTAAAAACTGCCAAGAAAGTAATAAAAAAACCGACAAGCAGCCATCCCATAAAAAAAAGTAAAGATAAGATGTAAAGAGTAAAAAAAAGCTTTTTTCTTCTTTCTGATGATCGAACACTCGCGCAAAAAGATGAACAGAACAGATCACATGCCCATGTCTATAGTATGAAGACGCCGAAACAAACCACCCACCATACCCATCAACACACCCCCTCCCACGAACACGAACACACACAAACTCCAATGGACAATGGAACCATGGAGAGAGAGAGGGGGGGGGGAATGAGGGTAAGTGTAAAAAGTAACAACCAGATATCGCAAATCAAGTCCCACTTAAGATATGACATAAGGGTGTAAGGTGAAGATAACGAGATGCGGGAGACACAACCCACGCCTGATGGGAACAGAATTGAATCGAATGTAGAGTAGAATGAATAGAGAAAAATGAAAAATGAGGTGAGGGCCATCAAGGACACACGATACAAAAAACAAAACCGGACGAATAGGGACGCCGGGGCACGGAACGCCGCTGCGAGCTTCGAGGGCCGGATGTCGAGGGCGGTTCGGATCAAGGGACTGTCGTTGCGGAATTGAGGATAGAGAATCGCGACCTGTGAATTTGCACCAGCAGAATGCAGTGTATGGACGGGTTGATTGAGAGGGTGGAGAGCAGAAGTCCTACCCCCGGCGTTGCGGAAAAAGAGTGGTTTTCTCTTGATTCGTCAGACGCTTTTTCAATCTCTTGTCTCATCTTGCGTTCTGATCGAATTCACTGTCTACTGTCTCGCGGGCTGCACGGTACCTGATATGGTCAGCATGTATATCGAAAGATACAAGGGATTGACTAACCGTCACCACCCATGGTGGTCGAGGCAAGG